ATTTTGATACAGAGCCTGTTCGAGCTGGGATACGATTCGGCAGCGGATGTGTTAAGCAAAGAGAGCGGTTATGAGCTGGAGAGTTCGGCTGTGGCGACGTTCCGGAATGCGGTCCTAGAGGGACGATGGGCCGAGGCACAGACGATCCTGATTCAGTCTTTTTACCCGGACGGAAGTGGGCGAACACCGGGCGTAGGCAAGCAGGCGTCGAGTAAAGAGAGGCTGGTGTTGGTGGAGACCGCCGAGTTGAACGAGATGCTCTTCTACCTGCGGCAGCAGAAGTTCCTCGAATTGTTGGAAGCTCGCGACCTCGGAGCGGCGTTGACGGTTCTTCGCCATGAGTTGACCCCTCTCAACTACGATATTGGACGTCTCCATGCCCTGTCTAGGTGGGTTCTCGCAGGAGGGAAATGTTTATAAAGCTCGGTGTACTGACCCGTTGGACTAGTCTTCTCATGTGCCCTCCGGAGCACCTCCACAACCAAGCGGGTTGGAATGGGCCTATCAGCTCGTCTCGCGAGCGGTTGTTGGCCGAATTGTCCAGTAAGTCGAGTGTCTGGACGGCCTGGGAGGTTTCCACACCCCTAACCATGCCACAGAATCGATATCTCCTTCCGTGATGATCCCGGACCATCGTCTCGCTTTATTGCTCGACCGAGTCAAGCAGGATCAGATCAACAACTGCTTGTATCACAACACTGCTTCGCCACCGTCACTCTATTCAGATCACATGTGTGACCGGGCCGACTTTCCACTCCGCACAGCCCTCGAATTGAGCCAGCACTCCGACGAGGTGTGGTATTGCCAGTTCTCGCACGATGGCACAAAGCTAGTCACGGCGGGCCGGGACCACAGTGTGATCATCTACGATGCAACCACCTTCGCCGTCCTCCATAAATTGGTGGAACATGAAGCGGGCGTTGCCCATGCGAGCTGGAGCCCGGACGACACCAAACTCATCACTTGTTCCCAGGATAGAAAGGCTCGGGTGTGGAATGTAGAGGTATGCCCCGTCTGTAGTCCTGCTTCTCCGGGGGGGTTCATACTAACGATCTCAACCCGCAGACCGGCAACTGCATCTTGACCATCGATCACCATCGGCAACCAGTGACTGCCGCGGCGTGGGCTGCGGATGGCGAGACCTTCGTCACGGCGTCTCTCGACTTGAACCTACAGATGTGTCACTGGAGCATGCGTGGGCAAGTTATCCATATGTGGCCCGGTGGTTTCCGCGTACAAGACTGTGCCATCACTCCCGATGGGCGACGACTGATCGCAGCGGATGTGAAAGAGAAGATCCACGTCTACAACTTCCACACGCACGAAGAGGAATATTGTCTGGCCCTGAAAAGCAAGCCGACGTCCATTGCCATCAGCCAAGATTCGCGCCACATGCTGGTGAATCTGTCCGAGGGTCAAATACAACTGATCGACATCGACACGGCGGATGTCATTCGACGGTTTCAAGGGCAGAAACAAGGTTCTTTTGTCATCCGAAGTACCTTTGGAGGCGCTGCAGAGAACTTTGTTGTGAGTGGGAGCGAAGGTATGCTGTCTCCTCATCTGCTGGTTTGCGCCTTGCTGACCATCTACTAGATTCCCGCATCTACGTCTGGCACAAAGAAAACAAGACCCTGGTAGAGACGCTCGACGGGCACATCTCTGGCTGTGTCAATGCGATATCATGGAATCCCACCAACCCCGGCATGTTTGCCTCTGCGGGAGATGACTACTTGGTTAGAATGTAAGCGGCCTTCCTCCTTGAATTCTGTGACTCTTACTGACGAATATTTCAGCTGGACGCGAGAACGAGATGCGCATCCCAATACGATTGCCGCAAAACACCGAACGGCAGCGACACCTGGTGGATTTGCACGCACCAGTGCTCTCCGCTCAACATCCAGCTTTCAATAAAAAAAAAAATAAGAAAAAAACAACCAAATAAGAAGATAAAGATAAAGAAAATAACATATCCCCCTCTACAGCAGGCCTGTCTGTTTGGCTCTCATCTCTTGAGTGATTTTGTATCCATCCATCCATGTTAGGAGTGACATAACTTTTGGACTCGAGGGACAGGGCTTCTTCTCTATCTTTCTTTATTTGTTATACGCCATCTGCTTCTCCTGATTGCATTGCATATATGCATATTTCTGGGCCGTCGGTGAATCCACTCGATAAAGGAACTAGGCGCCACTTACCAACTATCATCTATTTTTTCTTATCTATTCTTTCTTTTTTTATCGTTTTGGTATTGTAGATTGATGAGATGTTTTGCATTTAATATAATGAGCATTTCACTTTTCATTTGTCTTGGCTTTGCTTTGCTTTGCGCGTGGGTATATCTATGCTGTTACTGTTTTGTCATACACGATTTGCAACTATCTCTCTCTTTTTCCTCTTTAACTGGAGTTAACTCTTCTACATTCTCAACACAATGGCCAAATTGGACAGAATGGTGGGAGGAAGAAGAATCCAGAACAAGCCCGCGAAATGGCATCTATCTTTTCGTCCTCACCCTCCCTTTGTATCCCTTCATTTCATTATTTCATTATGTCTTACAATCAAGCAAGCGCAATTCGTTATATTTCGTTTGATTAGGGGTTGGTTTAATATCAATTTCTTGCTGCTTTTGCGGGCTGTGCTGTTTTGGTTCCCACCGTATGTTTTTGATACTTATTGGATAACTAATCTGAGTGGATTTGTTTGGTCCGTGATTGTGTTTCTGCGGTGGATTGGGTAGGATTCAAGGAGGTAGGGTGTAGGATGTAGGATGTAGAATGTAGGGTACGTAGGTGATGATAGAGGGAGGATGCTTTCTCTTTGCTTAGACAAAGGACTATGTTATGGGAAGTAGATAGATAGGTATTTACTGGATTCTACCATTTTGATGATAAACCGACGAAGAATCATTTAAAAGATAAATTGATTGATTGATGAATTGATTGATTGATAGAAATAGAAAAGCCAGTTCGTTCCCAAAAAAACATAGCATCCAGCGAATACAGATAGACAGACAGGTTGATAATGATGAATTGATACAGACAGACAGACCCCGAGACACGTCGAACTCCATGGATAAAATAATACTGTTTCTTTATGGTTTTCTGTTTTTTGTCCTTTTTTGGTTTGGTTCGCTTTCGCTTTCGTGATGGGTGTTAGATGAATGGATGGATGTGTGTTTTTATGGTGGTGGGCGTACCAATTTGGGTATGTTCCCTTTTCCTCCACGCTGGTTTGGCCTCCCTTCTCCCTTGATCTGGGTATTGTCACTTTGCTTTTAGCTCCGGCACGGTTACGGCCTTTTTTGGTAAGTAGGCGCGTATATGGTTGAGGGGTATCATCCGTGGGATAAAGACGTGAGTGGGCCGTGGATGGATCGTAAGTTCTATGGTGGATTATGAGAGGAGGTCGGCAACTGTAGTAGTAGTTAGTATACGTGCGTGGCTTGTGTATTTGATAGAGATAGAACATACCGTTCATGGGCATCTCGTCAATCTGCGTAGAGTAGTACAGTTCGATATCACGCAGGATGCGTACATCGTCGCTGGTGACAAAGTTGATAGCGACACCCTTGCGGCCGAAACGACCACTGCGGCCGATACGGTGAATGTAGTTCTCACGGTTGGTGGGGAGGTCGTAGTTGATGACGAGCGAGACCTGCTGGACGTCGATACCGCGGGCCCAGACGTCTGTGGAGATAAGCACACGCGAGTTACCCTGGCGGAAGTCCTGCATGATGCTGTCGCGCTCCTTCTGCGGCATCTCGCCGTGCATGCTGGAGACGGTGAAGTTGGCCTCGCGCATCTTGTCCGTCAGCCAGTCGACCTTGCGGCGGGTGTTGCAGAAGATGACCGCCTGCGTGATGGTCAGAGTGTCGTAGAGATCGCACAGCGTGTCGAACTTCCACTCTTCCTTCTCCACGGCAATGAAGTACTGCTTGATGCCCTCCAGGGTCAGCTCGTCACGCTTGACCAGCACGCGCACGGGATCCGTCATGAACTTCGTCGTCATGTCGAGGACGTCGTAGGGGAGTGTCGCGGAGACAACCACCACCTGCGTCGCCGGTGGAAGGTACCGGTAGACGTCGTAAATCTGTTCGCGGAATCCGCGGTTCAGGAGCTCGTCGGCCTCGTCGAGGACCAGCATCTTGATGTTCCGCGTGCGCAGGTGGCGCCGCCGGATCATATCTGCTACTCGCCCGGGCGTACCGGACACGACGTGCTGGCCGTAGTCGAGCTTCCGGATATCCTCGCCGATGTTTGTTCCTCCGATACAGGCGTGGCACTGTACGTTCATGTAGTCGCCGAGGGCCATGATGACCGATTGAATTTGGGTCGCCAGTTCGCGGGTCGGGGAAAGGACAAGCGCTGCAAGAAGTAAGTATGGACGTCTCCTCCAACCATCTTCTATCAAGCTCTGTACAACGTACCTTGGCTTTCGCGCACGACGGTGTCGATAACCTGCAGGATACTGATCGCGAAGGTAGCGGTTTTACCGGTACCGGACTGCGCCTGCGCAATCGTATCGCGACCTTTACAGATCTGCACAATTGCACGCGACTGTACCGCGGAGGGGGACTCGTAACCATATGCGTAGACACCACGGAGAAGGCTCTCCTTCAAGTGCATATCCTCAAAGGTCGGAGCCACCGTCACCTCCTTGGAGGTGTTAAACTCCATCTTGTCTGAATTTGCGCCGTCAGTGTTCTGTGCATAAGACTTGACGTCAGGATCCTCAGCCCTTACCATCAGCGCGTCTATCGATTCCGTCCGCCATATTGAATGCACCGGATCCAAATTAGCTCGGTGATAAAGAAAGAAAGTACAATTCCCGTCAGGCTTGGTTTGATAGAGTGGGGACCGGAGCTGGGCGAGGCGAACGATCGAGTCTCGATCGCGACTTTTCGCGGACACCGCCCGCAGTCACGTGATGATATATCGCCGCAAAGCTCTCGAGATTCCGCCGACCAACGTCGCCTCCGTGCAAGATCCACCCCCATTCGCAAACAAGCGCCCACAATGATTCTCGAAGACCAGCGATTTATCCACGAGGATCTTGAACGCCTGGAGCAGGCGATTGCTGATCGCGTCGTCGAGGAGCCCCGAAACGTGAGTTACCCTGTCTTGTTTTCATCTGCGTATGTAGCTAACGGGCGCTGCGCTGAATTAGATCCGCGAGCGCTTGTCTCGTGACCATGAAATCTCTCAATTTTTGAATCGGATAGAGGAGCAGTCGAAGAGGCTACTCGAAATCTACAAAGATGCGGACGGCGCACGCGAGAAGGAGCTCCAGGCGATCTCTACTGGTGACCAGTTTGAGGAGTTCTACAAGCAACTAGATGAGATCAAGGACTTTCACAGACGCTACCCGAACGAGCCGGTCGAGAACCTCGAGAGAGCCTACAAGCGGCGCCAACCGGGCGAGGGCGAGCCGGTGGGGATGGAAATCGACAATATGTTCACCGGTGAAGAGGGCTTCGGACAGTTCCTGGATCTTACGGGCTTGCACGAAGAGTACCTGAACCTCCCTGGTGTCAAGCGGCTGTCGTACATTCAGTATCTCGACGTTTTCGATGTGTTCACGCCGCCCACCTTGCAGATGAAGCCGGCCCAGAAGATCTCGGATAAGTACTTCAAATACGTCGGAGAGCTTGCCGAATACCTCGAGAGTTTCGTCAAGAAGGCACGGCCGTTGCAGGATCTTCGAAAGCTCTTTGCAGGCCTTGATGATGAATTCGAGAAGTTGTGGGCCGCGAATGAAGTTCCTGGGTGGACGGAAGAGAAACAAAATGGCGCCCAGGGCCCGAAGACTGAGGGATCTGGAGAAGGTATCTGGTGTGCGGACTGCGAACGCGAGTTCAAGAACGAGAACGTCTATCGGAATCATCTGACAGGGAAGAAGCACATCCGGGCCGCCGAGGCCCGTAAAGCTGCCGGTGACTCGGGTGACAAACCTGCCCCGGGAGCGGGTGCTGCCTCTGCGACTCATCGCTTGAAGGAACGTGCAGTTGCCGAGCGCGAGCATCGCGTCCGATCTCTAGCCAAGGTGGTTGACCCCGAGCGTCAAGCCACGCGGGTCAATGTCGAACGTAGGGCTGGTATGACCGAACGGGAGCGTCAGATGGAACTCGAGGCGTTGCTTGCGGGTTCCGAAAACCCCGGCGGCGAAGGCCGCGGTAATGATATGTCGGACGACGAGGGTGATGAGCGGATCTATAACCCACTGAAACTGCCACTTGCATGGGACGGAAAGCCCATCCCCTACTGGCTTTACAAACTGCACGGTCTGGGCGTCGAGTACCCCTGTGAGATCTGCGGAAATTACGTCTACATGGGTCGCCGTGCCTTTGACAAGCACTTTTCGGAGGCATTACATCTCTTCGGCCTCAAATGTCTCGGCGTCACATCCAACACGAACCTGTTCCGCGAGATCACTCGGATCGACGACGCCATCCGGCTATGGGAGAAACTTGAGCAGGAGCGCAAGAAGGACCGCGAGCACCATGACAACGTGGTGCAGATGGAGGATGCCGAGGGTAACGTGATGCCCGAGAGGATTTATCTGGAGTATGTGAACCCTTGGAATTATACGTGTCGACTTGATGCTAACAACCAACAGTCTCCAAAAGCAAGGCATTCTCTAGTAAGAGGCTGCTCGGGTACTTTTTATTGTTTCCAACCTTACATTGTTTCTTTATTATCTTTAAAAGCCTGGAGTTTGGCGGGCGTCTTTGTTGGGTCATATGGGCTGTTGGTTGGAGATCTCTACATCACCCACGCACGGACAGGTAGACCTTGCTCTATATGTATTGTATTCAAAGATATTACCATTACCATCATCCACACGAAAGAGTTTGTGTGATTTGTAGATAAATCTCAGTGGTGCTTGGCACAATTTGTCAACTATGTATGCCCACCCGTGCCATTTAGATCGAGGTCGTGTCACGTGCTTTCGCGATCCATGGACGCGCACCTCGCGTGGCTTCTCTTTGCCCACATTGGAGCCCCCACGTCGACTCAAAAGTGAAATTGATATTCCGATCTGGATTGCAGCTTCCATGGGGCCTCTGATGGCTCATAGCCGACCTACATGGGCTTCAAATTCACGCTTCTGTGCGATCTGCTTTCGTCTCTAGAGAACAACAGATTCGTCAAGGCCTCGACCGAGGCTACACGGAACGACCCTGATGCCCGCGTTGTGACACGTTGGTTTGCCCAACATGGCAAGCGTCTGCGTGACAAGTACACGGACCAATTAGCCGTGCTGTCATGTATGTTTCCGGAGAAACGGACAGACAGGGTATACGGGCTACAAGACAGATCACTGGCGAGAGTCATAGGCCGATGTCTACTCCTTGGATCGTCTCGACGCGAAGAGCTCGAGCAATGGCGTCAGTCTGGCGGAGCAGACCTGGGACAGTGCGTTGAGAATGTTATGCGCCAGGCGGAGAACCACATAATCCGGGGCCAAGAGATCACCGTGGAAGAGATCGATGAGGCGCTGAATAGGATCGCCTCCCGCTGCCGATTCTCGGGTCCCAGTTTGCGGAGGCGACAGCGCGGTGCCGTCGATGTCGAGGAGGCGCTGTCTCCTCTGTATCGACGATTGGCTAGTAGAGATGCGAAATGGTTGACGCGCATGATTCTCAAGAGCTTTGCGCCTGTTGTTCTGCCCCTGCCACTGACGCTAAGGAGTCTACACTTTTTGCTCCCTCATCTACTTATATTCCAGGACTCTTTTGAAGCGGCGTTGAGCACGCTGGCGTCGCAGCCAATGTGCAACTTCCCGCCACATCCAGACCCGGAACTGGCTAGAAGCCTAAGGCTGATAGCCCTGCAACACTTGACTCCACGAATGGGGGTCAAAATTGGAAGGCCGGAGTACTATAAAGCTCGGAGTATCAAGAATTGCTGCCAAATGATTGGGCAGCGTCGGATCAGTATGGAGCGAAAGTACGATGGCGAATACTGTCAGATCCATATAGACCTGAGCACACATCCGAGCATCCAGATATTCTCGAAGAGTGGGAAGGACTCAAAGGTGGATAGGTCCGGAATTCATGACGTGCTCAAGGAGGCGTTGAGGATTGGATCTCCGGAGTGCAAGTTCTCTAGCCGGTGTATTCTCGAAGGCGAACTCCTTGTGTGGAGTGACCAGCATGATAAAATCATGGATTTTCACAAATTGCGCAAATTTATATCTCGGTCCGGCACTTTTATAGGGACCGAAAACGATTCACCGTAAGCATATCTCGAAGCCTTCACTCGCTACATAGTTCTGACCCCTTTAGACCACAACCAGATGAACACCTAATGATAATCTTCTTCGATATCCTTCTCCTGGATGACAGTATATGCCTTAGAAAGCCACACCGGGAAAGGCGATTGCTTCTTAAAGAAGTGACACAGATCATACATGGTCGTGCCGGCATCTCGGACCAACGAGTCCTAGACTTTTCCCACCCTGGCAGCCGATCCACTCTAGAAAGCATCTTCGCAAAAGGAGTTAGCAATAAGTGGGAAGGGTTCGTACTCAAAGGGTGTGAAGACCCATACTTCAATATAATGTCTAGCACTAATCACGCCCCGTCTGGCCGCTGGATCAAACTCAAGAAAGATTATATACCCGGGTTGGGTGACACCGTGGACTTAGCATTAATCGGAGGGGCTTACGATTCTTGCGAAGCTGCTGCATTGAATGGCGCCAACAAATTACTGTGGACGCGCTTCTTCATCGGATGTCTTCTCAACAAGGACGCCGTGTTGCAATGCAACGCCGTGCCCAAGTTTCGCATCGTGGATACGATCAACCGCCACTGCATGAGCATACAAAACATGCAGCTCCTCAACCAGCTTGGAGAGTATAGTGCCTGCAGTCCGGAAAGTGGGCACGGTTTTAATATAGAGTTCGGTCATGATACACTTCCCAGCATGGACAGCGTTTTCAGGAAACCTTTCGTCGTGGAAATGCTGGGCAGTGGGTTTGAGAAACCCTCAGGTGCAAGGTATTTCGCACTTAGGTTTCCCCGAATACTCAAAGTCCACTCCGACAGGACTTTTGAAGACGCTGCTTCGTTTGGAGAGTTGCAGGTGTTGGCTGAGCGCGCTCGATCGCTCGTCCTTGAGGACATGGCGCAAGACGAGTCTGAGTGGTCGAAGCGCGTTAAAATAGGAAATGGTTCTGCGCAATACATAACCAATAGGTCACAGAGCACAAGCTCGTCGCTGTCGTCCCAAGAAGTGTCTTCTCGCATGGAAGACCAATCCAACACAGGCTTTGCTCACCCTTCTCCCGATTACCACAAGAGGTTATCGCAAAGCACGAGAGAGACGAACGTTCAGACAGGAAACATCCCAATCTATGTCGATGGAAATGTCTCACCAAACACATCATTTGTCGATGCAGAATCACAAGGACATCTACTCAAAAGCAATGACAACCTCACCCAGAGAGACTGGAGCCGAAGAAAAGAGTCCATGTCTGCTGGCAGCCCCGGGACAAAGACCAAAAACCACGAAGCCGGAGTGTCCAGGGCTATAACTAGCACATCAAACTATACACATGCCTCAATATCCCCATTGCCATCCAAACCAACGCAAGAGCCCAGCCAAAGTGGACAGACAACAAAGCCACCCACAGCAAAAACCCTCCCAAAGAAGCAGACCAAACCCATCAAGTCACCCCTAACCACCATCCCTATCTTATACACACCCCAAAACCCAACTACCAAAAGCATCCCACCCAGCAGCCACCAATTCCCAAACCTAACAACCAACCCATCCATCTTCCTCCAAAACCTCGAACCTCCCAAAACCCTAACACCCCATCCCACTCCCCACACACCCTCCCACCAACAACAAAACCCCCCATCCATCGGCATCCTCCTCACAAATCGATCCCCCCACAACCCCCTAGGTCCCACCCTCCTCACCCTCATCAAAGCACTCTCCCACAAACTCCAAAGCGCACCCCCCACCTACCCCCGCAGCGGCAAAATCTTCGTCCTCGACCCTGACTTCCTCGCTTTCAGCACCGGTCTCACAGACGCTCGGTTTTGCCTGCGCTCTACGTGGGAGAATATTGGACGGGAATTCTTCTATGCTTGTGTTTCTTGGAGCACGGGTGCGGGGAAGAATCATTCGTGTTTGCTGGCTGCTGGGGGAGTAGGGAGTGAGGTCCCGCCGACGCCTGTGGTGAATGGGGGTCTGCGGCGACGGGTAGAGAGCACTGGGTGTGACAGATGCTGCTGTGCGGGGTTGTTTAAGGTGTCTGTTGGGTTTGATCGAAGGGTGTTGGGGTGTCTTGGGGAGGAGTGTTTTACTTGAGATGTTGGTGGTGGTTGGGTAACCCTGGCTGGTTGATGTGAGGCTTGTTGGAGCCTTGTTGCTATATTATATACTCTGGTAGTTACGCTCACGTGTCTGGTTACACCGTGGTATATCCATTTATGGAAGAATAATGAACTGAATAGTTATTATATGATGGATACTCATCCTGTCCTCGCATGATCCCTCCTTTCCCATAGGAACAGACAGAACGCCTCGCTATCGACAACAAACAAACAAAGAAAACGCATCAAACAAATAGGATATGCATATAGCCCGAGTATACAGTAGATAAGTAGCTCACTCCTCACCCTCTCTCCGCGCCCTCACATCTCTCATCAACGCCTTCGCTTCCTCCACCTCCACTCCATCCTGACACAGCTCCCCAGCGAGCTGATCCGCGCGCTCGAGATCCCCATTCCGCAGCGACCACCGCGCAAGCCACAGCCTAGCCTTGGACGTCGTAGCCGTGACGCCAGTGCCATGCCAGGAGTCGCCTTCAGCGTCGTCAGAGACGCGACGTCTGCGGCGGGGTTTCTGGCTACCATCTTCATCTTCATCGTCGGAGGAGGATGACGAGTTCGCGTCGTCTTCTTCGACGGTTGCGCCGGATTCTTGCTGCAGGGTGAGCTCCATGTACGCAGCGGCTTCCTCCTCGCTACCGGTGCGCTCGTAGAGCGTCGCGATCTGGTGCAGCGTCTCTGGGTCGAGGATTTTGTGGGGCGGTCCGGAGGCGTTGTCGTCGTCGGCGGAGTATGACCCTGCGACGAGGGCTCGCTTCAGCGCTTTGATGCTCTGGTCGAGGCGGTTCATCTTCGCGTAGCAGGATCCGACGGCTTGCCACATTTTGGGGTCGTAGGGTCGTAGGGCCGCGGCGCGTTGGTAGTAGAAGAGTGCGTAGAAGGACATGTCGAGGACTTCGTAGGCTTGGCCGAGGCCGTACCAGGCGCGGTAGTCTTTGCGATTGACGTCTACTGCGCGGCGGTAGGATTCGATGGCGGCGTGTGTGTTCTTCATTTCGATGTACTCGTGGCCCATGAGTGTCCATGCGGATAGGAAGTTGCGGTCGAGGGTCAGTGCGCGTCGGAAGTACATGACTGCTTTTTCGTGCTCGGATTTGAGGGAGTAGTAGTTGCCTACGACGCAGCAGGTTTCGGGGCGGAATTTGTCGGTTGCGGTTGCGACTTGCGCGACGAAGGCGAGTCGGGGCCGCCAGCCCATTACGTAGAGGATGTTTGAGTAGTGGTCGAGACTGTCGAGGCGGTGGGGAGAGGTGGTCATGATTTCTGTGAATATGTCGCAGGCATCTTCGAAGTCTGTTGCGGGTTAGATTTGTGTGGGGGTACTGTGGTGGGGGGGTAGATGAGGACGCACCCTTGGAGTGGTAGTAGAGGAGGGCCCGCTGGGTCTTGAGGAATGCGCTGGTGGGAAAGATGGCCTCGAGCTCCGACAAGGTCTGGTAGGTCTCATCCGTCGCTTGGTACAGCTCTTGACTGCAGTGCACGTGGAAAATGAGCGATATGAGGTTCTGGGGTAGATGTTCGACGACATGCTTCAACTGTGTTGGGCGTTAGACCTGTTCTGCGGTTCTGCCGCGCGGTTCATGCTTGGAAACACCTACATCTTCGACACTGGCCAGCAGATCGTTCAGCTCCTGCCACGCGCCCCAGTTGAACGGGTTCAGGTGGACGCTGCGGATCAGCCACCGTTTTGCCTCGTCTTCGTTCCGTCCCTTGAGCAGGATCACTCCGTAGAGGTACTCGAGCCAACCCTGGTTGTGTTCCTCCAAGCCTTTCTCCTGTCGGTCCACGAACCATCCTTCCAGGCCCCGAGCTAGATCCGGTAACTCCCGGTTGACCGTCGTGCCACTGTCGGCTGGCCCCAGGACCATTTCCGTCTCCTCATCTTTCCGCTTCTCCCCGGCCAGGTACTTGGCGTATAGGGCGAGAAACAGTGACCGTTGACTGATGACGGGGTATGGATTCCGAAGGGTATTGCCATCTTTAACACCAGCGTATGAAGCGGCCTTGTGTTTGCCCTTCTGCGGCGTCAACGGTTGTCGCGTTCGCGGGTTGGGGGAACTAGTGGAGAGCGGAACGGGGGAGATGGTGGGAGGCAGGAACACTGCGGCGCAGCGGTCGTACTCGCGCGTGTCGAAGTAGGACTTGGCCAGGAGGTACTTGTGCAACTCTTGGTACTCGAGTTTCGCTTCGAGCGGATCTTGTGTCTGGAGGTAAGGATTCGGAGGATTCGGAGGGTTCAGAGGACTATCGTTGACGTTCATTGGGGATTCCGGGTCGGTGTCGTATTGTTCAATTGGGAGGAGGGAGTCCAGCATTTCGGCCGCCCTGTATATGGTGCGTCAGTCGCTGGCCTTCCCAATGTTTGTTTATAGTCGGCGTACCATTTGGCGGACTGGTAGAGACAGCGCTCGGAGCATTTGATGGCCGCTTCCTCAAGCCGATGCTTGAGTTCCTGGATGTTTTCCTCGGTGAGTGCGGATGCCATGTTTAACTGAATGAAATTTATATTAGAGCTGCCTGCAGATATATTACTCCACTAGGTCTCCCAGTTGTCTGTTGCTAGTAGTGGGTATGCAACCCCAGCATCATTCCGTCGCGAACGCGACAAATGCGAACTCGGAGGTGGTTTGGAGAAAGGGTACCACAGACGTGAAGATGCGTCTCCGCCTGAATAACAGCCAGGTCAAGAAATCGCGGTAAAATGAGAGAATCAATGAGGACGCGCAGAGGAGAAGAAGAAACGAAGTCATAAATGACCGGAATGGACTCAATGATTGCGGATTTCCCGATTGGGACGGACGAGACAAACCAGACAAACGTGACCGCGGGGCGTTCCCGCCAATCAGCAGCCTCAGGCACTCATCTCCTTTTGATCCCCCACTCTGGAGTCTCGACTTCTTCGCCTCCCCTCAATTGCTCCTTTTCTGTCCACTCCCCTCTCCGTCAAATCACCACCGACGTACAGAATGGCTTCCACCGATCGCAAGGCCTTCGAGGCCGTGTTCCCTTCCCTCGCTGAGGATCTGCTGGCCCACGCCCGCAAGTATAACCTGCCCGGCAATGCCATGGAGTGGTTCGAGAAGGTGTGTCTTCTTCCTCTAGACAGACGTATAAAGGAGGACCATACTAACGGCTGCTTGATGTGATAGTCGCTCAATGTCAACACCCCCGGTGGCAAGCTCAACCGTGGCCTCTCCGTGCCCGATACCGGCCTGGCCCTGCTGAAGAAGCCCCTGACCGAGGAGCAGTTCACCCACCTCAGCATGCTGGGCTGGCTGACGGAGCTGCTGCAGGCCTTCTTCCTGGTCAGCGACGACATCATGGACGGCTCGATCACGCGCCGTGGACAGCCCTGTTGGTTCCGCCAGTCCGGTGTGGGGTTGATCGCCATCAACGACGCCTTCATGCTCGAGTCCGGCATCTACGTGATCCTCAAGAAGCACTTCCGATCGCACCCCGCCTACGTCGATCTCATCGAGCTCTTCCACGAGACCACTTGGCAGACCGAGTTGGGCCAGCTGTGTGATCTGATCACGGCCCCCGAGGACCAGGTCAACCTCGACAACTTCTCCATGGAGAAGTACATGTTCATCGTCACCTACAAGACCGCCTACTACAGCTTCTACCTGCCCGTGGCCCTGGCCCTGCTCTACCTGGAGCTGGCCAGCCCCGAGAACCTCAAGCAGGCCCACGACATCCTCATCCCCCTGGGCCAATACTTCCAGGTCCAGGATGACTACCTGGATGCCTACGGCGACCCGGCCTTCATCGGCAAGATCGGCACCGACATCCAGGACAACAAGTGCTCATGGCTCGTCAACCAGGCCCTGCAGCGCTGCTCGCCCGAGCAGCGCCAGGTCCTCGACACGGCTTACGGCCGTAAGGACGCCGACCTCGAGGCCAAGGTCAAGGCCCTGTACCGCGAGCTCGACCTGGAGCGCGTCTACCAGGAGTACGAGGAGTCGACCGTCGGCGACCTGCGGAGCAAGATCGCCGCCATCGACGAGACCCAGGGTCTGAAGAGGGAGGTCTTCGAAGCCTTCCTGGGCAAGATCTACAAGCGCTCCAAGTAGATCCCTTCTCCTTCATCAAGACTCTATTCGGACCCCGATACCCCTTCCAGCCCTCCCTACCCAGCTCCTCATACCCCTTGATGTAAATTGATCTGAATGAAACGAGTCGATAGATAATAGTATATATATAATATAGAGTTAGACAGCGTTTCAAGATAAGGAGAGCACTACTGTAACAGAGATTGTTGACTGGTAAGATGGGACGCTGTTTGTCTGGCTGCCAGTCTGACAGTACTTGTGTTTATGTGAACTGCCTCTGCTTAGTATCTAGCTCGGATGATCATGTTCTATACCCATGGGAACTTTGAACTTATGTATTTGAGAGTAAGGCTTGGTTTCTCAGTATGTCTAGTTACCGAGATTCTTGGAAAGGAACTAAGTTGAGAATGAGCTGATGGTTGAGACGTCCTCGGGCAATAGATCTATAGCTTGCGTGAGCGATTGATATCATTGGAGTTTATTGGTCAAGGTTGGATGGTATACCCTGTGGTATTACCCTGAAGATGGGACGATGTGATTGTACCATAACAAGGCATTATTTAGATAAAAAACTTTAAGTTATACTAGTCTATTCATAGTTATATAGCCCTTGTATATACGAAGTTCTGCAGGCTTAGGGTAAACTCAAGATAGAACAAAATCAGCTGGCTTGAACCTGGAGGTCACTAACTACTGGTAAACAACAGCATATCCGAGTAAAAAAACACCACATAATAGCGGAATCACGATAAACGAAGACCACAGCTTTCCCGGTGCATCTGTGTAGTCACTCTTCAAAAGCATCAATAATAAAAGACGATTTCTTCCACAGGTACATCATCAAAATCTCCGCAACTTTCACCATACTGGTCATCGTCATCGCCACCCTCCAAGCCCTCTTCATCACTGTAAATCGCCTCTTCAAGACCGCCAAACGGTTCCCCATCATAATCATACGAGGCACACGAGCCCGTCCCATCGCTGGAATCCTCCTCGTCATCACCGTCGGTGGCCTCATCAGCACCCTCCTCAGTAATTTCCACTCCGGCAGTCACCCTACTCTCGTTTGTCTCACCGGCTGAGCACACATGTTAGCCAGTACCTACAGATGCCATCAAACTAGCTGGTCTTCGTACAGCCTTGGTCCTGGGTTTCGTGACGCTCGAAGGTCTGCCCGTCTGGGGCGGTGTATCGATCGTAGCCCTTTCCGTCATTGTAGTACTTGCTGCCATTGGGGTTGGAGTAGTAGTATGATCCGTCACTGGTAATCAATATAAGCTTAAAGCTCAATAAGACATGGGATATAGAAGGGAGCATAACCTGTTGGAGTAGTGGTAGCCGGGTTTTCCCTCCTCTCCATTGGAGCCAGAGCTTGGACCGTAGTCACGGGAGCAGTAGTGATTGCCCTACACGTGTTGATCATTGACATATGGTTTGGTGGAATGAAGTCGAGATTGTCCTTACCTTGTCATTGACCCCAGAGCCAGTGTAGGTGAACCCTTTGTCGGTTGACCCTCCGTCCGTGGAGGGGGTTCCACTGGACTTGCAGTCTTTGGAGTCACACATGTTGGAAGATTGGAGAAAGGGATTCGATGGAGATGGTTGAGGGGAAAAGAGATGGTGTGAGTGTCAAGCAAGAAGGAGGAATATGGAAGAAGGAAGAATTGAAAGGCGAGCGAGTGTTTGATTTGAGCTGGCGAGAGGTGTTTGTGACTGCCTCAGGACATTCACTTCCTCAACTGGAAGTGATAAGGTCTACTATTAACTTACCTGGGCAATCACAGTGCCAACGACATCTTCCTCTCACGTTTGTGTGTCACTTGGCATATGTCTCTTGTTACCCTTCTCCGCATAGATTCCATTCTCCTGTTTAATCTCAGGCCTATCTGCGATGGAATGACATGTCTCAGGGTTTCCTCCAACAAGCCCCGACATCATTCTAAACTGGCGCATTTTTTACCTCATCTCACCTGTGTCGAGTAGGCCATGATAATTCTGTAAGTGTGCATGAGGCTAGATACTCTTGCAGGGCATATCTTCCCCATTTGGTTGCAGTATACGTTGATAAGGGTGGTCTTATGGCAGGTGGAGTACTGGAATACGTCCCCATTTTCGACTTCCTTGTTCCCAATAACTATTAGGGCTCTTTCATCGACAAACTATGAGATTGGGGAGATCCTTTATCCGACGACAATCTCATTACGAGCCAGAAAGGTGGAATACATACGCCTATAGAGCCTGGTCGACCGTGCTGATATAGATGTCGTCCAAGCAAATATGACCGAGAACTGTGTGGCAAGAGATACCACTCGGCTGAAAAAGATATCTAGACACTACTGGGTCTTGTGGGTACCCTTTCTACGCACTATCTTATATTGCGACAGGTTGTGTTTCAAAAAAATGAAAGAAAAATGATGACTTCTACCCTCTACTCACACATTTAATAGACCCTGGAAGACAACAGCATGGAATATATATTCATGGCTCTGACAAAACCCTACTCCATATAAATATTGCCCAGAGGGGAATGCGATCATTATTATACAAGAATATGAAATCCAGCTGTTCGTATGGTTTGCAGCCATCTCAAGTGAGTACCTTGACTTTCCATCAAGTGAGAATGAGGAAGTATATATCGAACAATACAAGGAGATCCATTGGTGCCTGGGGGCGGATGATTGGCAGCCTTACTGGTGGATCGGCCTGAGGAACCCAACGGGGTTATGCCCCCCGACGATCTCCCCTCACGCCGATTTTAAAGCGAACTTCAACTTCTTCTTGCTCTCCCTTTGCGCTCCTGTACATCACCAAAAGGTCATGACCTGGCAGTCCGTCGACTGAAAGTCAGACTCCCCTCGAAACCCTACCTATCCGATTCGTCTCCCTCCATGTCCCCATCCAGTTATTTCCAACATCTCCGACGATGTTGAGAGGACTGTTGGTCCTCCTATTCGTCTCGATAGGGGCCTACGCAGACCATGCCCCCTACGATCGATCACCCGCCTTTGAGAACGGCACGTTAGGCCCGTGGCCGACCGAAGCATACCGGTCTGCTCCCGTCATCGGTCCAGCACTCAACCAGCTGCAATACGACCCGCGGTGTCGCGATGGACGGTCGACCCTGTTGGCCCCGCGGGGCTCCAGTGTCCGGAGCCCAGGTCCCATGATCCTTGATCAGGATGGGCATCTCGCATGGACGAGGAACTACGGGCTCACGGGGAAGAATACCTATAATGTGAATGTCTATCCCTTCCGGGATCAGGCGTACCTGACGTTCTGGGTGGGCGATGACCGCAGTGGGAAGGGGGAATACTATATGGTGGGTGTCCAATCTGGGTTGTTCGCTTAAACTTCATTACTTGAGGGGATAATGAACACGAAAGGGGAGTATTTTGGCTAATGACAACAGCTCAATTCCTCCTACCTCGAGGAATACAGAGTCCTCGGCGCCAACAACCTCACCGCGGATCGAAACGAGTTCCAAATCACCCCCGACGGAACCGCCATTCTCACGGTTGTCGATATACATGAACTGCCTGATGTTGGCTGGATCCGCGACGGGACCTTCCAGGAGGTCGAGGTCGCTACTGGATCTCCACGCTTCCAATGGCGCGCTTCGGACCACGTCGAGCCGGTCGGTCCCCGCAACGACCAGACGTCCCAAGAAAGTCCGCTGGATCCCTACCACATAAGTAGCGTCGACAAGGACACCAAGGGGAATTACCTGGTATCCCTGCTGTCGGCCAACAGCCTCGTTTATGTCGACGGGCGTACAGGGAAGATCATCTGGACCCTTGGGGGAGGACAGGATGTCAACGACTTTGAGGACCTGTCGGAAGGCGCAGCGACAAGCTTCTTCGCCCAGAGTCACGCGCATTTTGTGGATACCAGCACTGGCAGTTCCATCGCTCTTTTCGATAATCACGTGGACGGTAGTGCGTCCTCGAGCAGCAGGGCGCTCTACCTCGACATCGACCAGGAGAAAATGACGGTTCGGCTTCGCAAAGAGTACCATCCAAGCAAGCCCGGTCCGGTGACTCTCTTGGGAGGTTCTGTCCAGCTCCTCGAAGAGTACGGCCGCGTCCTGGTCAGCTACGGCGCCGGCGCCGGCCCAGCTTCATGGACCGAACACGACGTCTCCACTGGTGAAGTGCTCTGCGACGTACACTTTGCACCAGCATTCACCTCCACCGGTGCAGACGCCAGTATAGATGCGCCATCAATTGCTCTGGACCGCGTCGTCCGTCAGCACTGGACTGGCTATCCGCCGACGCGGCCCGACCTCGCACTATCAGGCCCGGAGGCGACTGTCAGCTGGAACGGCGCGACAGAGGTAACCACATGGGTAGTCCAAGGATGGAACGCAAACAATGAGACCACCGCGCGGGCCGTCAACGGCGCGACCCTCGACGCGGGCGACAAAGAGCTAGGCTTCGTCACCGCAGTCCCCAAAACCGGCTTCGAAACCATCATCCCCATCCCCTTCTCCAACACCACATACCCGCCCCGGAGGAACAGCTCTACCGCTTCCGTTACCTCCGCGTCCTCGGGATCAACGCCACAGGCCACACCCTAGGCTCCACAAAACTCGTCCGCTGGGACCCCCTATCCCCAGAAACCACCCTGACCCCCGGCGGAGACCTCACCTACGCCGAGCTCGCCGAGAAAGGCGGGCGGGACGAAATCCCCACCGACCCGTCTTCCTCATCCTCAATGAAAGCGCTCGAACGATTCGCCTTCTTCGCACTGGGCTTCCTAACCGCCTGCATCTCCGTCATCTTCATCTGGCTCCTCCTCACCCGGCGCTTCGTACCGCTCCTCGCCTTCGCCATCTCCTTCTTTATCGAGAGGATCTACAACCGCGCGTGCGGTGGCTGGGCCGTCATCGACGGGTACAACGGCGACGAGGACCTCACTGACGAGGAGAGTCCCGCTGACGACGCGACGCAGTTCGAGCTGCTGGGGAACCCGCGGTTGGCGTCGCTGGGAAGTTTCCGGCCGGGTGAGTTCGGGCGAGACTATTATGACAATGATGACGATAGTGATAGCGATGATGATATTGTTTGATGGCGGGGGCTGGACCTGTCTAAGTCTTGTTGCTCAAGGGATTTATCAAGTGTTGGATGTAATGCTTAATTGGGCTGTATATTAGTATATATCATTTGGTACATAGACTAGATAGATGGGGTAGAGCATGGTAGATAGTTGGGTGTGTGTATATATTAGGGTTGACTCCCGCTAATGGATAATTGTAATTGACTGCTTGATTTGGAGAAAAACTGGGAGTAAATCAATTGATTGACTTTAGAGTCCATCAATGCACAAAGAGTGCATGCACAAGACTAAAGTAGCATATATCCGGCATTCAACGAAAGTAGTAGCTAGCTAACCCTAACCAGCAAGCCGGACATAACATCACCGCGTCGACAGACAGGCAGACAAACAGACAGACATGCCGAACAAGCGACATCGTCATCCCGTGTGCCTTAAAACCTCAAAAGAGAGGCTAAAAATCAAGCAGAAGAAGCAACCTCCAACCTCTTAAACCCACCCTGCACAGCAACCTCCTCCTGCAACTCCACCATCCGCTTCTGATCACCCGTCGGATCAGCCGAATCCCCATCCAGCGTCCACGACAAATACTGATTAGTATAGTTCGGCTGGAACGTCTCATCCAAAATGCCCAGTCTCTTGCCATAAGCAGTGACCTTCGCCCAGTCGCGGTTCACGTTCTTCAGATCGCGGCTGAAGTACGCGAACGAGCGCTCGAAGATCTTCCTGTTCACGGGCGTGCCCATAGCGGGTTTGACGTCCACGTAGGCTTCGTATGCGGCAGCAGGCTCGGCGAGGACGTAGTCTGTAGCGCGCTTGACGGCGCGCATGAAAGCGTGGACTTGCGTCTCGTTGCGCGCGAGGAAGGCGTCGTTCGCGATGTACAGGATGGAGCAGAAGCAGCAGCAGCCGAGCTCGGCGAGCTGGTCGATGCGCAGCATTTGGACGTCTGTGCGGGGGCGGTTTTGGGCGGCGAGCCATTCGGAGAGTTCGACCATTTGCACGTTTTCGAGGCCGATGCCGGCGTCGATTGTGCCGGAGGTTATGGCCCGGGTTATGTTCATGCCGCAGCGGACGGCGGTGTAGTCCGATGTGGTCATGTTGTAGTATTTGGTGAGTTCGTCGATTTGGATCTGGGGTTGTTAGTTTTTGCTTCGGTGGACTAGACTAGGGAGGCATACCTTGCCGAACTCGCCCACATAGCCGATTCTCTTACCCTTCAGGGAGCGAAAGTCCTCGGTGATTCCGCTGCCCTTGAGGTACACGAGGCCGGTGAAGGGCTCGTCGAGGAGAGAGCCGATGGAGGTCACGGGGAAGTCGCGCGCTTTGGCCTGCATTCGTCAGTACTATCGCTAGCAGATTGGTGGTGGTTCTGCCTACGGCAAGGGTATGGATCATAGCCTTGAAGCCCATGTCGACCTTGCTGCTGCCGATGATCTCCGTCACGTCAGACGGGTCATTGGGCTCGAGCAAGGCGACCTTGATGCCTTCTTCTTTGAAGAAACCCTTGGCTTGCGCGAGGTACAGGGGGGCGTGGTACGGCGTCGCGTGCCTGGATATCTTAGTAACTGTTTTTCCAGTATCACGATAGCAACGCAGTTGCCAATTGAATAGTGAAGTGAGTGAGCAAGTAGTGCCCTTGTGCATATGCATACCAGTTGGTCAAGAAGGTGATCTTATCAGTCGACATCTTGGTATAGGCACAAGGTTATACTTCACTTCAAAACAGTCAGCATGAGAGACGGGCCCCTCTCGACATCAAAAGGGGCAAAGGGGAACAATCAGAGCGACGCATGTCCTTTCGCTAGTATTATCTAGATCAAGTTGTGACAGTATAATCTCAGAACGACCGGCCGGACTTGTCTTCCCCATTCTATCCATGCTGTATAGAATGGTAGATGGACGAGCCCGACGCGAGACGAACACCTGTCATGCGCGAGCAGTGACTGATTGTATTATACTAGATACGATACCTTGACCCGTGAATTCGTAGCGAAAAGACCCCAGGTCTGGGACCTTGTCTGCGCGGCCTCTTTTGAGAGCCATACCGATGGTGAGCTGGATGATTGGAATTGAAGGGCATAGATCGAGCCAAGGATGTTCAATCAGAGACGATAAGTAAGTGATGAGAAGAGAAAAAAGAGAAGAGGGGAAAATGGCCGAGGGAAGATTTATATAGAAGAAGAGGGGCAGCCTGAGGCCAAAGTCACATGCGGGGCATGTCTCTACAACCGCCATGACAATAATCATGAAAATACCGCAACATCATTCTAATTAAACTCTGTTGGTCTCACCGGATACTCTGAATGGTACCCCGCAGGCCAGCCACGCGTCGCTCTTATTGGAGTGTGGACATGACAGACAGGAAGTCGCTGGAACTCTATCCTGGAACAGCTGCATCATCGTCATCTTAAACCCTGACCCACTGGGGACTCGGAGCGTTCTCCTCCACTGTCCCACCCACCCCCCTCGACCTGATTCGCTTCACCCCCGGTCGATGATCGACTTCTTCTGCAGGCCAACTGATGGCGGTTGTTGGTTTTCGCATGGGTTCGACCAACCCCTCTTTCACGAGGTCGGGGGCCCAAGGGTGATAAGCTGTATTCTCGGAAGGACTGGCAGAAATGGATGTTCTCAACGTTGAATCTACCTGAAAGGAACCAAGCGGCAAAATAAAACGCTGCATTGATGACAGGATGAAGGGACAAAAGAGGAAAGTGGAACAGCGGATTGATCGACACAGCAATGCAAACAGTGAGTCACTCGCGGAAGAGAATAAGACAGCACGCCAGGTTGAAAAATATGATCGTATGTATGTAGGAGATATGTTGGTAATATGTAAACTCTCCAAAAAGGCAATAAAGGAAACATTAAAAGAACATGGCGATGCAAAGGATGCAGAAAGAACATGGTAAAGTAACACACATTAGCCAGCAGCAAATGGGTACAATCAGAGAGGATCCTCTCCTCAAGTCGGATGGCTTCGGTAGATCACGCCACAAAAGCCACGCGATCACTGGCTTCCGTTCACTGATATCCGGTCGAGCGGCGACGAGGGTCGGTCCGATGCCTTCTTGGTGCGCAGGGTGAGGGGGAAGAAGTTCTCCTCGGGGTCTTCTTCCTCGCTATTCCTGTATATGGGTTAGTCCCGGTGATCATTTGAATATCAGCTCATCGGAAGGGAACATACGGCAATCGCCAGGCAATATAATCCTCCGTGCTCAGGCCTTCTTTGACCTCCTGCAGCGATGCAAAATCCCCGGGGGTCATCATGCCGGAGCGGTCCCGGGGCGATCCGGGCACTGACAGAGGCCGCGAGATCTTCTGCTCGGTCCCACCGATGACATTGAAGTAGTCTTCTTCACTGCCAAACGACGACGGGTAGGCTAGAAACGCGTTAGTCAACGATGAGGGCAAAACGTGATATCAAGGAGGGAATGGGCATACCCCTGCGAAGAGCCAGCTGGCGGGCTTTGACGTATTCCAGCCCCATCCGCTTCCAGTCCAGTAGATCACTCAACCGCTCGGTGCGGTTCCGCTGGTTGATGCGCTGGCGTCGGCTCTTCTGCGCAAAGTTGAACATGAAATCCGTCAGCTGGTTGACGGAGTCGTCCACGCCCTTGAGTCGGCGGTCGACGATGTAGATGCCGTAGTCGGAGGAGTTCTCGATCAGCTCCTCCATGTAGCATCCGAACCCGGACAGGTTCGTGGTGATGCTGGGGACGCCCATGACGGTGCACTCGGCCGGGGTGTACCCCCACGGCTCGTAGTAGGACGGGAAGACACCCAGGTGCGTCCCGCGGACAAAGTCGTCGTAGTCCAGCGGCAGCACGGGGTTGGAGGAATTGAGGAATTCCGGGTGGAAGACGATCTTGACGCGGTCGGACGGGTGGTTGAAGAGCTGCACCCGACGGATCTGGTTCAGGATCGGGTCCTCGGAGTCGTTGAGCATGTTGTGCGTGACGATCGGGGGTAGGCCATGTCGCTTCATGGCGAACAGTCGCCGCCGCAGCAGGACGCGGTCCTGACTGGCCATCAGGTCCTTCTCATCGGGCATGTTATCGCCTTCTTTCCACGCCAGACACCGCTCGTAGACACGCCGCCCAATGCCCTTCTCGATCATCTCGATCGTGTCACGCAGCGACTTCACCACGGCCTGGCCCTTGAGCGCCTCGACCGTCAGAGAAGTCGTCTGGGCGGGCATGATAATAAAGGCCACGACGGTGGTCTTGGATCCGCTGGTCTTCAAGCGGTGGTTCAGCCGCGCCATGCCCTCGATGAACATGTCCACGCCTTTATTGCGGAACTCGTACCGACCGGACGTGAACACGTAGAGGGTGTTCTCGAGATCAAAATCATTATGCCCATAAAAGTGACCGCGGACAAAGTCATTGATCTTCTCCTTAGACTCCAGATGCAGGTTCTGGAACTCGTGGACCGCGGAGAATTTCTTGACATTCAGCCCGTTCGGCAGGACACCGTCCGGCTTGCGCTTGAGCAGGTGCTCACTCTCGAACGCCGTGATGTGCGACACGGTCGTGAAGACGTCAGCGGAATGCGCTGCAGCTCGCTCAATGCAGTACCGGTGGTAGATGCCTCGTTTGCCGGCCTCGGCATCCACGTCGAAGTTTTGGAGGTTGTTGTAGAAATCGACCGACCCCGCACAGAGATAGCGCCCGAGTAGGGTCGCATGGGTGGTGAAGATGGTGGTCAGATCCATGTGTCGCCTTTTGGTCAGCGGCAGAGCCACTCCAGCCAGCCACTCGTGGAAATGAGCCACCACCGCCAGGCGGCGTTCGTGGGCGATAAACTGGAAGAAGATCCGTTAGCATGTTTCCACCCCAACGGCCCGGGGAATTGGCGCCCACATACTTCACCCAGGAACCACGCGACCAGATAGCCAAAAACGATTGCTTCGTTCGTTTCCGTATCAGCCGCCGGCGACGGAATGGCCGAGATATTCCACAGGTCGCCCTTCCACTCGTCCAGGTATCCGTACCCCGTGCCCGTGTCGATCAGGAGCACCCGAGGCGCACCCTCAATCAGCCAGCGCCCATAGATGATGTCAATGCCGCGCTCCTTCATGGATCGGATGGTCTCCGTGATAGCGGGATTGGAGGGGGTCAGCTCCTCCACCTCCACGGCAGCCGACGCTCGGTTCAAGGGGCCGATCAGAGTGTATCTATCGCCATACTCCGCGGTGGTGACGGGCGCCTTGGATTTGAGAACGGAATAGATCCCTCCCACGCGATTGGCGACCTCCGTCGCGATCTCGAACAGCATATGGTTGCGCACATCGCGCTTTATCGGCTCGGAGCCAGACTCGTCGCTGGCCATGACGGATGGCCTGATGTGTAGGACAGGAGAACGGGGAGAAAGAGCTAGCTAGGGAGGAGGGAGAGAAGACACAAATCCAAGGAGGGGATCGGTGGAGCTATATGGATAAACAGGGAAGTGGAGACACCGAGGAGAATAAGGAGAGAGAGAGAGAGAGAAAGAGGAGGGGGGGAGAAGGAAGAAATTCCCAGAGCGAACCAGGATGCCTTGAAATTTTTCCTGCTGCGGGGATGGAGGGAGAGCAGCGGGTGGCGGAGACTAAAGCCCGGTCAATGCGGTGGTTGGGTTTGGATAATCAAGAAACCGTTGAGTTTAAGACATCTATTCCCCTAGTAATAGGTCGCTAATTAACTACAGATCTGTCTCTAAAACATACACCCCTTTCTCCTGTCCTCTATCTTCCTGGCGTCTTATTCAATTGACCCAGTCCCAATGCATGGCACGGACGCCAATCCGCATAAACATGAAAGGGAAAAAGCTAGGGAAGAAAGACTCGATCATCCTGCATTTAACCGACAAATGACAACCCTGGTCTTTGCAACATCATGCGACTAGCTGCGTATCATCTGCACGTCCATTTGCCTTGGTGCTCTCACCACGCACGTCCTCCGGTGAGATCGACCGCGGCAGACTCGCCTGTCGTATCACGCCAAAGTCGACAGAAAACAGATCCGGCGCAATTCAATTATCATCGACTCGAATCATAACTTGAAAAAAGACACGATCAACTCCGAGATCTCCGAATTACTGTCTTGAATTGATTCCCAACGTGGAGAACGATCTGGGGAAAGCTGTTGGATCATTACGTCATGACCCACTGTGGTGCCAATCATTTCCAGCTTCATCGTTCGGCGCGAAAAGGACCAGTGAGCTCGTACCAGTTCCTTTGACAATAGGCCGTTGGGACGACTGGGAAGTAGGCACGAGCCTAGCTTTCTAGGTGTAGCTTGACAGGGGAGCAGCAGACGCAGTCGATGAAGGATTCAGGATCAGATAGTGCAGTATCCGTCGTCCAGAGTAACGGTATCCACTTTATCAACCTTCTCACCGGTTCCGCCCGCCCATCAATTGTCAATACTACCCTGTCTATCTCTCTGGTAGGATTTTTTTCATGCTCCTGCGAGGTCGTTACCGCCACGAACATCCCTCGCCTCTTGCGACCTTCGCGCTGTCTGGACACGTCCGGCGCCATCCCGAATACCCTACCGGTGAACCGGAAGTATCCACGACGTAAGGTTTGAAGATCTGCATAGTAGAGCATGCGAGAATGGTGCACGGACTGGTCGTCTCAACGGATGGGTGTTTCACAGCGATGAGCAGAAGCGAACTAGTCCAGACGTTGAAGAATGAATTGGCGTAGCAGGCGACAGCGTTCAAGGATATGGAATAGTATCAAGTATCCAAGTCGCCGTCAATTAGCTGTCTCAAGCAAACGGGGTCCAATAGAAGAGATCAATCCCAACTGCAGCAGGTTTGCCGCCATCCTGACAGTTGACAGAGTACAGTCCGTGCAGAAAAGAAAGCAAACAATGGGTGAAGGATGGCATGCATAGTAAATTCTGATCCCAACGAGGGACGAGAAAATTTCCGCCAACTGCCAATCGCAAAGAAATTCTCTTCCACACCTAGTGTGCAGTGAATCGATGGAGCTATACGACACCTATGGAATACAACGCCACTTTTCGCCCATGTCCAGGTGCTAAATATCGGATGCCTGCGACTATGGCGGTCGATTTTACATTCCATGGTCAGAGCCTGGATAACAGTCTAGTCGCATCAATCTCGAGTCTTCTCGACTCTATCCATGTCCCCAACCTCCTTTGGGGCAACTATCTATTGACCATCTATGGGATCTCCACCATTGTTGATGTATGCCCCTCTGTCTATGAACGATGCAGTACTAAAAAGGGCGCCGCGTTTGTTGTGCCAGACAACTCCATAGATGTATCCTACTCCGTCCTTCTCAACGCCGGCTTCCTTCGCTGCACCAAGAGCACGGAATGTCCATATTAGAGCCCACCTCATACCCCACCCCCAGCTACACATCTGCATATCAAAGAAGAAATCGCGATATTGATATATCGAAACTCCGATGTTCTTCCAGACCTACCCTATCTCGTGGGCAACTCCCAAAACAGGGAGTCCGGCGATCAGCATCAGACAATCAGCTTCCACCCGCAAGATTGGGTTACGGTCAAGGTCGCCTAGAGCCTCAATTTTTTTCTATCCGAATCCCTACTGCCCTAACATATTGCAAAGCCCTGATCTATTTGCGTTGCCGCGATCGTGGGCGAACAACTTACGGAATGTACTGGTTGGTGATGTTGACGTACATAGTCGAATACGCTGATGGGACAGATATCTTTCACGAAGAGGACTTGAGTGAGGTGTATAGGCCATCTTGCTACGCTTTACAAACAGGCGAGCCTAGAGATATGTACTCCATATCGGATGGGCTTCGCTGTTAATTATTTCCGACGTAGCAATCCATAGTAATAGAGATCTAAAAGGACGACTATACAGGCATGGCTAGGTAATTTGATCAAATTTTCACAATTCATTCTTGACTGTTTCTACTTATTTGCCTTGACCAAAATCCAGACAGTAGGAATCACAAAATGCAAGTGATCATACAAACCTGGTGAGAAGTGTACGTTGCTGTGGCTGGTAGCCTCCTCTTTCCTTCAACCCTCCCTCCCTCTCTCTCTTTCCGACCCTCTGTGTCTTTTGACATATCTCCAACACCATTTCCCCCCGACCGTTATGCCGTACGAGTTGTGTCTGAATCAGTAGTGGACGAATCCGGCTTACTCTTAGGATGTCAACTTCCTCATCACAATTCAAGGAGCCCCAAAGCAGTTAACGACAAGCTACTCGCTACGACATCGAGCCCTTTCAACCAGCTGGCCCAGCTCTGTTTTACAGGAGTCCAAGCGGCAAGTCTATTCAGAAGATTTAACTCCCGAATGGCAGGTACGACTGTTTGAATGTCTTAATACCCCCACACCAGGTACTAATGTGACATGGTGGTCGGTAGTCTCCTTAGATCCCCTCGGCGGCAGCGTCTATCCCGTCTATCCAAGCAGGTCGATCTTCTTGTCTTCAAGATAAATACTGTTAGGGATATCAATAGTTCAAGCCCTTTCAAAGTGCTGGTCAGCATTTTGGTACAGTGGCTGTCAAATAGCTGCGGCTTGCGACCCACTCAAGCCGAAAAGGTAGCGAGCAACCTCAGCTCCCAAGGGCCTATCACACTTTCTCCAGCCCAACAGGCTGCTGTAATCCAGGGCTTGGACTGTGTGGTGCAGATTCCCGGGATGGATCACGCTGGGTGGAAGACAAAATTGGGTCTTGATTGATCTGGTGTTATCAAGAGAAATGAATTGGTAGTATTGACGGTCGCATGTCGATAGCTAATACGTGGAAAAGAATACCACTCGGCTACAAAAGATATCTAGATACTTACTTCTAAGCTCTGTGGGTATCCTTTTATACCATCTTTTATTGCGACAGAAAAGACTCAATGTACCAAAAGTCTAGCTATCCTTCTATGCCAGAAATAATGATATGTAGTATTTGCTATTGCATATTAAAAGCTGGGGGGACAGAACGCATTCCTTTGTTTGAAGCTGTATAGAGGTGCGACATCATTTGGTGGTGGTGATAGATCAAGATGCCCGTTCAACATATTCCCCTACCAACCATTCTACCAGCACCCACGATATTCTGTCAACTTCTTTTGTCAAACTACATCACTCTTGATACTCGTAATGAAAAGCTACGAGGGGAAACCCCACCCAACCAAGTTCTATCCCATCCTTCCATGTCAACAACCAAGGTGAGATCATGGATCTCCACTCTGACTTCATAGTGCGGTCATTACCACCAAGATTCCAAGTCGACCGAATCATCGAACATCAACCATATAAAGCTGGATCGTTGGCCTATATGGACTCGGATTTGAACAGTCATTCTAATTAATTAACTTTTCACATCTATCATCCTTGACAGTGAGTACTTTACCATCCACACGTCTATCACTACAACAAGAAACACCACTAACACAACCACAATCACCAGCACACTACCTACCTACATACCTACATCTACTACATCACCTCAAAACACCCTATAAATCACTCACAATGGTCCGCGGCGCCGAATACGACAACAACGTCCCCTCAAGCGACAACCCCATCGAGAACGGCCCTAACAAGGTCCACGGCGCAGGCTCAACCGTACGTCCCCATCCAACCCCCCAGACACTCTCCCACAATCCACATACTAACTTAAGCAAAAGGACGCCGACATCAACCGCGTCCACCGCACCGCCGAACTCCCCGAAGCAGCCAAAAGCTCAGGCGGCCTACACAGCGGCGGTGGCAGCTCGGGCCCCACGCAATCAGGCAGTGGCAAGGGCGGCCACGAGCCCAAGACGCTGGGCGAGAACAAGGGGTTGGGGGCGCACAAGGCTTGATTTTTCGGTGTAAAAAAGTATAATGGTTGGGTTTGTGGATTTGTCGGTGCTTTTTTTTATGGTTCTTGTTGTGGTTGTGAGGGGCGAGGGGGATACGGTTTGGGATTGCGTGGATTGATTCGTTGATGGGTTGTATGATAGCATCATGGTCTTATGAGTTTATATTTCAATTTTTTTTTTCGCCTATGAATGGAATGAAAGATGATTGTTATGTCAACGTGGTGTCCAAGTTATAGGCTTGACTTGAAGGTTTGAGAGTTCTGTAAAGGTTTGAGAGTTCTGTAAAGGTTTGAGAGTTCTGTAAAGGTTTGAGAGTTCTGTAAGAATGGACGAACGGTTAATAGTCAAGGTAGGAGATAATTATATAGCTGTAGATAATGTTCGGTTGATATATAGCGCAAGCTGAATAAAACGCCGCTTTCTATGTAATTCGATCAACAATGTGCAAACCCAAGTCCAAAATTCAAATACCGCTTGTCTTGCCCTAGCACGAGCGGTATGTGATGGATCAGATATTATTATGTGTACAATGTTTTGCGTGTCCTGTGTCTTTCCCTACGCCTTCGAGTCCTCGTTCGTCGTCCCGGTGCCGTTTTTGGTACCGTCTGAGGATGATGAGGTTGCTTCGATGGTCTTTTTCTGGACCAGTTCCAGGAGACGCTCGCCGAGATCGCCAAAGCCTTCAATGCGGTTGAGTTTCGATTGGAAGAATTCTGCGTCGCGTTGGAGTCTGTTGCCTGGTTAGCATATCTCTATGATTACGATGAGGATTCAGTAAACATACCGTTGTTTGCCCTTCTCCGTGTGGACGTCCGCCTCCTCGTACGCCTTGGTCCACTGGTCGCGATACGTGTTGAACACAGGGTCCATGATCATCGACACCGTCATGTCGGGAAGGTGCTTGCTGAGGACGCGGTGCAGCGTGCCCGTCTCCTTGGCTAGCGTCTCCATGTACGGACTGACGTTAGTCGACTGCGTCGCGTCCCAGTCGATCTTCCTCATGGCGTTGACGTGCACCGACGATCGCGAGCTCATGATGTCTACCAGCTTCTCGTGGATCCCGGACTGGTGTTCCTGGCACAGCCGCTTGACCTTGTCGAATTCACCGAGCAAGGAAGTGGACGGCGCCTGTCGGCGGACAAATTCCCGGATGTACGGTACTAGGGCGATGACGAAGCTGAGGGACTGGGAGGATAGGGCGAGATGCTTCGTCGTGATGTTCTTAAGGCCCGCGCTTCGGGTGGCTCCGGCTCCCAGGATCAGCTGCGAGGACCGCGAGTTGAACAGTTTGAGAGACTCCAGGAGGCCGGGGGCGATATCCTGGATCATCGTGGGGATGTTGGACATGAGGAATTGGAAGTTTTCGATGCTCCTCATCATCGCCACGGCCGATTCGGTCAGGATGTATTTCTGCTCGTCGATCTCCGCGCTCCGCACCTTGTCCTTCCCGTTCACAGCCGTAGCCGCTTCAACCTGATCTTTGTCCTCGGACAGCCAGATCTTGGAAATAGTGCCCCAGGCTTCAATGTCCTTGGTGCTCGAGTCCAGGATGCGCCGTAAGGTGATGTTCTCGGCTTCTCCAAAGTCTCTCGCGTCCCATCGGTCGGAATCCATCACTTGGACAAGGTGGTGCCGCTGGGACTCTCCGAAACGGTTGATGTACTCCCGAATATGGTTGCCGACCACTGTCTTCAACACCGTGCCGCTGCGCCCGGAGATCGCTTCGCATTCGTCGGCGAAGAGCCGGTTAAGAGTTAGGTACTTCAGGAAATCCTCCTTCGCTAGAGAGGCGGTCTGGTCCGACCGCACTTTCAGCACCTTGGTGATTTGTGACTGGGCGATGTCGACGGCTTGGCCCAGGAGGCTGGACATATCCAACACCTGCAGAATTTCATCTTGGGCAACGATGTTCGCATTGTCCGGGGTTGTCGACATGGGATCTTGGGTGGGAGACCTGACGCTCGGGGTCGATGGCCCTCCTAGCCCGCTGGCAATGTCGAGTAGGACCTTCACTTGGACACTGAGTCTCCGTAGTGACTCGCTAATCGCGGCGTACACTCGAGAGAACATTTGATACGCGTCTTCGGCATCCATTGCGCGTAGGTTGCGGGCAAGGATCGACGATTTCTCCTGCTGGTTGCGCTGCTGGGATCGTACCGTGGATACGGACACCATTGACTCGTTGTCATCGTCACTGGAACTCGGCATCTGCTTGCGGATCAGTCCCTTCATCTCTCGCAGAACAGCACTCTTGAAGGCGGTGGCGGCCGGGGTTGTGTGGCGGGCCCGGGCGAGCCCTGTCAGAAGCATGTGGAGTCGTGATCTCAGTTGATCGTCGAATGTGATATATGCAGGCACGACACTGACACGTTGGACTCCACGCTGTCGCTGGAACGAGGCGCCCCAACGCTGCAGTGTTGCATTCAAGGGGACACTTGCAACGTGCCGTCGCAAGTCTCCAAGAAGATCATCTAGGAAGCGGCTCTCGTATCCCGAGCCGATCCGGAACCGGAGTAGGGAGAGATCGTTGGATGCGCCCTCCAAAGCTTTCAATTTTCTCAGGTCGAAGGCCTTCCGTGGGGACTCTTGCGACTCGTCGCCTTCACGGGGCCGATCGGAGATGGTTTCGCCTGCCATGAGCCTCTCAACCTCCTCCAGACCATCGGCCGCTTCCTCGATCTCCCCGTTGTCGACCATTTCCTCACAACGAGCCACCGACTCTACTACGTCGCGCAGCTGGGAGACCGCATTGGCGAGCAATCGCACGTTTTCCCTTCGACGGCGCAAGTTGACTATCTTCAACCCTCCAAGTGCCATCTCCCGGTCAATCTTCTGAAGGTCCTTGCGCAACATCTGGATCCGCTGAACCGAGTCCGCCGCTTCCCGATGTAGGGCCTGAAGCGACCCTAGTGCAGTGAAAAACGACTTGGAGGCGGTTGATATAGAGGAGATGAGGTGAATCTCCACCGTGTCCATGTACCACGAGAGTTTCTCCTGCAAGATCGCGTTCGTGGCGAGAGCTTTCCTTCCCCGGGTGACAGGTTCCACCGCAGCTCCGTTTGCCGGTAGCCCATCCTTGTTTGGAGTTCTGGGAGGCGTCACAACCTCCGACTTCTCCGACATGACATCGAATGTCCTCGGGTTCTCGAGATGGAAGTCATCGTTGAAATAAACGTTGGGAATTGTCGATAACGGCGTAACGGCATGGGGACGACCTCGTCCGCCGAAGGACCGCTGCCGACCCCGTGCGTCAAACGGCGAGCTTGCACGGGAATCGAGGGTAATTCCTGAAGGTCGCCGTTCCCGTGACCCCGAGATGAACGATTCGTAATCCTCAGGCTTCGGGGATGAAGCCACGCTTGCGCCTCTAGCCAACTGCGACTCCTCGGAGCTCTCCTTGGCATGCTGGAAGACATCGTACAGCGATCCGACCTGCGACAGATACGGCTCGAACGCCTTGGAGTCCACGCGAGGAATATTTGTCAAGGTCACGGGGGGAATGTCGCGGGTACTCGGAGGTTTGTACCCGGTCGAAGGAACTGCGGTGTGGGGAACCAGGCCGGTCCGAACGATCGGAGGTTGAAGGAGGGTAGAAATGGCTATTCGCAAATCAGTATACCGGGAAACCAGCGCTCGCCTTGTCCGTTGCCACAACACCTACCATTCTGACCCGACTCTGCTATCGAACCATTCCGGGTGGATGTAATATCGAGGACACCGCCAATGCTCGCGAGGGAGGCCGTTGACCCCCGTCTCAGGGGAAATCGCTGGGACGGCCGGCGAGGGGATTCAGTCTGATTGAGCGAGTGATGAGAGAACGAAGGAACGGACGCGCCCGAAGCCAGACTGTCGACAGACTTCCGGGGACTCGCAGAGGACATCACGCTTTTGCCTAATTGGCAGCTCCGACAGCCACCGTACAAGGATTTGGAGATGTTATCTCAACATGACAAGAGGACAGCTGTAGAGGATCCAATCCGGGTGGGTCGGGAGAAGAGGGGAACAGTAACTAGCCAATGGATTCCCACTACCACGAGTCTAACGGCGGGGTATTCGAATAGGGAAAAAGGAAACAATAAAGAACGACAGAAGAAGAAGAAGAAGCCGAAAGAGGTGTTGAGAGACAGGAAGAACTGCAACGTCACCCAGAGCCAATGCGATACGGGGGGGAGGAGTGAGATGTGGATTTGTCCCAATGACAGCTTGTCCCCGATCGGGTAAAGCCTCAGGCCCCAGGGCTGTCGCGTACTAGTCCCGAATAGGAAATGGACTCCCGGGTCTTCCTTTCTTCCGTTCCGGCGGTCGATGCCTTGTCTGTGCCTGAATGTTTGCCTTGGTGCCTCGGCATTCTGCCTGAGGCAGTGAGAAAATCAATTAACGCGCTGCCAGACGCGTCGCGTTCGGTTCGTGTTCCCGCAAAAGTTGAATCGGCTTTGAGTCTCCCTTAGTGACCACATTCAAGTCTCACTTCTCCCTCCTCTCCTCCCCTCCCTCCCCGCTTCTTGTCCTCAAACCTGGTTACGTTCGTCATCATGGATAGACGTACTCCTTACTCACTCAGTGTCCTTGCACCGACTGTTGATGGGGCAGAGGATTCTCGCACACAGATTCAGGCCCGACTACGGGAGTTTGTCCTGGAATTCCAGCTGGACAATGCGTTCATCTACCGGTATGTCATGGACTCGGATATGGATATATGGATATACGATTGAGAGAGAGGGATTGGGCTAATATTTTCGCTCAGAGATCAACTCCGGCAGAATGTTCTTGTCAAACAGTACTACTGCGATATCGACATCGCACATTTGATTTCTTACAACGAGGAGCTTGCCCACAAGCTCACGACAGAACCTGCAGATATCATTCCTCTCGTAAGTGGACAGCTTGCCAATATTATAGGGTCGATTTAACAGTGGTTTTAGTTCGAGGCGGCCCTCCAGCAATGTACCCAGCGAATCGTCTATCCCTCGCAGCGGGACATTTCCCTCCCCACCCACCAGCTCCTGCTACACTCCTCCGCTACGCATATCTCCATCCGTGACCTGAATGCGACAAATATCTCTCATCTGGTGCGCATTCCGGGTATCGTCATTGGCGCTTCGACCATCTCGTCAAAGGCGACGCTTGTCCACATCCGATGCAAGGGCTGTGACCACACCGACAACCTACGAGTCGATGGGGGGTTTTCGGGGCTGACCCTCCCCCGGAGGTGCGGTCGCAACAGGGATCCCGGCGACCAGAACGAAGCGTGCCCCTTGGATCCTTATGTGATCTCTCACGAGAGGTGTCAGTTTGTCGATCAACAGGTTCTCAAGCTGCAGGAGGCTCCGGACCAGGTCCCGGTTGGTGAGCTTCCTCGGCATGTCCTGATCTCGGCCGATCGGTATCTGGCGAACAGGGTAGTCCCTGGCTCGCGGTGCACGGTGATGGGTATCTTCTCTATCTACCAGAAGGGCGGCAAGTCTGATAATGCCGTGGCCATTCGCAACCCGTACTTGCGGGCAGTCGGTCTGATGACGGATCTGGACCAAACCGCCAAGGGAGCCTCGATCTTTTCGGAAGAGGAAGAGCAGGAATTCTTGGAGATCAGTCGACGCCCTGATTTGTACGACGCGCTTGCTCGCAGCATAGCCCCCTCGATTTACGGGAACCTGGACATCAAAAAGGCGATCGTCTGTCTGCTGATGGGCGGTTCCAAGAAGATCCTGCCGGACGGGATGAAGCTGCGTGGAGATATCAACGTGTTGCTTCTGGGTGACCCCGGTACCGCCAAGTCCCAACTGCTGAAGTTCACGGAGAAGGTCTCCCCGATCGCCATTTACACTTCGGGTAAGGGTTCGTCCGCGGCCGGTTTGACTGCATCAGTCCAGCGGGATCACACCACCCGGGAGTTCTACCTGGAAGGCGGTGCCATGGTCCTTGCGGACGGCGGTGTCGTCTGTATCGACGAGTTCGACAAGATGAGAGACGAGGATCGAGTGGCCATCCACGAAGCCATGGAACAGCAGACCATTTCCATTGCCAAGGCCGGTATCACGACCATCCTGAACTCGCGGACGTCGGTGCTGGCCGCGGCGAACCCGGTGTTTGGCCGATACGACGACCTCAAGTCGCCTGGAGAGAACATCGATTTCCAGACGACCATCCTTTCCCGTTTCGATATGATCTTCATCGTCCGCGATGACCACGAGCGTGGCCGCGACGAGCGCATCGCCCGCCACGTTATGGGCGTGCACATGGGAGGCCGTGGTATCGAAGAGCAGGTCGAGGCTGAGGTCCCGGTCGATACGATGAAACGGTACATCAGCTACTGTCGAAGGTAAGACTGACTCCCTTGACAAAGCTACCCCCCAGAAAACTCTAACTTATCTCTCCAGCCGCTGCGCCCCCCGTCTATCTCCCGAAGCTGCCGAGAAGCTCTCGTCGCATTTCGTCTCCATCCGCAAGCAGGTCCACCGCGCGGAGCTCGACTCCAACACGCGCTCGTCGATCCCCATCACGGTGCGTCAGTTGGAAGCCATTGTCCGTATCACCGAGTCCCTGGCGAAGCTGAGCCTGTCGCCAATTGCCACGGAAGCACACGTCGACGAGGCTATCCGTCTCTTCCTGGCCTCGACCATGGATGCCGTTACGCAAGGCGAGGGTCAGGGCACCAAGGAAATGATGGAGGAGGTGAGCAAGATTGAGGACGAGTTGAAGCGCCGGCTGCCCCTCGGCTGGAGCACGAGTCTGGCGACGCTGCGGCGCGAGTTCTGCGACGGCCGCGGTTACACGGAACAGGCGCTCAACCGCTCGTTGTTGGTGCTTCAGCGCCGGGATACCGTCCGCATTCGGTCTGGTGGTTCGCAGGTGTACCGGAATGCTCCTTAGATTTTCCATTCCTTTCTTCTTTTTTTCTTTCCTTGGGCTTTGATGACGAAGTGATGGAATTATGCAAAGTGGGACAGTCTGTCAGGGAGAATGCATCGGGGATGTTTTGTCTGTTGTTTATTGTCTATTGTCTATTATGTGGGATTTATATGGGATACATTACAGCGAGGGAATCTGGCGTTAAATAAGGGTACACTATACAAGTCGAGGTACGGATCACTTTTTTGGAAAAGTACGACAGAGTTCTGAATAATACAGGCCATGCATTCTATGATAATACAAATCCATCCATGCGTGCGACATGCTTTCCTTCTCTGTACGGAGCCAAATATGCGCAAAACATGCCAACCAACATGGGTATCAATCCCACCATAAACACCAATAACACCCAGCCTCCCAACCCCAAAAAACAACCCAAGCAACACCCCCTCACCCACTCTCCTCCCCCAACCACGCCAACCTCACGTTGACGATCTCAAACTCGCCAATATTATACGGGACTCCCTCTCCGTGCTGAAGTCCCATAATAGACACCCAGCGCGTCACAGTAGCAGCCACCTGATCCGCGAGTTTATTGCCCGCACTCGTCCCATGCCCCTTGACCCAGTGCATTTCAACCGCGACGCCCATCGCCTGGAGCTTCCTCGCCCAGCCAACAGCAAACCCCGCGACATCATGCACTGGGTCCGGCAGGGAATCCGGCCAGCGACACAACTCCGCGAGCGCCGACTGCGAATCGCTAAACAGCAGAATCCGCCCCGGCCTGCCCGCCGCATCCATCTTCCCAATCTGCAAAGCAGCGGCCTTCAGCCCGGCGCCGACGGCGAACATCTCCGCATCGTTGTTCTCCTTCCCGTCCACAAGCGCATACCCTTTGTATGAGTGGCCCGCTTCATGTTGGAAGTGAACACCCGCCGCGCAGAATGTTGCGTCGCCTTTGCACCGCTGGGATCCGTCTGTCCAGTAGGTGAATGGGGAGGCGCGGTGGCTGGACGCGAAGTCGAGACTTCCTTTTTCGGACCGGATGGTCATGGTGCCGCTGAAGCTGGTGGCTTCTGTGTGCGTTGGGCGCTGGTCGCCGCTTGGTGAGCTGGCTCGCCCCTGTGTGGGGTTTTGTGTGCGCTCGCTGGCGGATGTCTTGCGGCTTCTGGGTTGCTGCATTCTTTTATTGCGTGAGCAGGCATTTTTGCATCGGATGTTCGATATGATCTTTGGAGGGAGTAGATGTGGGTTGGAGGGTTGGTAGGAGGAAAGATCGATGCGATGAGGAGTGGAGGACTTGACAGAGGTGCAGGAGGGAAGGTACTTATGCATGGTGGGTGTGGAAGAGGATATGAAACAGTGAGTACTTACTTGGTGACTGGAGTATGACCAGGTGAATCTTCTAATGAAGCTTCTCAGTGTGACAGCGCTCTCGACAGGATGGTGATGCTTTGAAGAAACGATATCAGAACTCAACAGACTATGCAACACGACAGGTTTGAGAAGATAGCAATGGAGAAAAAGAAGAAAGGAAAGGAGAAAGAGAAGGAGAGAAATAGAAAGTGAGTCTTTTATACAGCCAACTCCAGCGACGTCAATGGTATTCATATGGTATAACATGGTCTATTTCCTATCATTCATCTACCATAGACTCTACTCTACTACGGTGGGAATGTATTCACTACCCCGGAGATAGCTTTAGTTCCGTGTCCGAACTGACTGTAGGTCCAGCCGGGCTACAAGGCTCTTATGCTGGATGGAGGTCCGTCAGACGTGGTCATTATGATACAAGTTTTGATGGCATGAACAGAGTCTTTGTCTGGGGGTACTTTCTCTAAGGTATACTGAATCCTGGTATCATTTGAGAATGTCTATATGACATGAATGATATACAGGTATTGATAGATATACAGCTATCCATCCATAGCAGTAGCCCTACGCGGGGGCTTCTTGGTTGTTGTATATCAGGATAGAAACCATACTTTCTTTCTCCTTATACTCATCCGTATATGATAATATATGCTATAGATACTCGGTTGCTTGTGACTCATACTGTCTATGAACAATTGTATTCTTATGCATAGCCCACCTGCATTATTTATTGAGTATCTGCATGTTCTTGATCGAGTGATTGAACTGGTACTCTATCACGAAGTCTTCTTATATCTAGACTCTGAAACATTGTTGTTATAATTTCTTTATCACTTTTCTCCTTGATATAAGTGTGGCTGATATAGTGATATATATATTATGATCTCATTGACAGTAACCTTCCCTAATAAAGTCTGGCCACATCATGCTTGGGTGGATAGCCTGGGAACTCACCGAGTGAAAAGTAAGTAGGATGGGCTACCCACTGAGTAACATGAGCTAATCACTGTATTATATAAAGATTGTCAACAAATATACAAATCTGATGTTCGATATACACTACAAGCATGTGTGGAATTATAATCAGTCAACATGTCAGCTACCTTGCAGAGCATTTCCCACATCATTTGTATTTTAATGTTTCTTGCAATCTTGCACTTTTCAATAAAAAAGCTGTTGGTTTTATAATAGAACATATATAGACTAGGGTGGTGTACGATCAGGAATAACACTTAAAGAGAACTTAATACAGTTATATAAATAATACAGGTTGATCATCAACCCAATACACTGATCTGGCATGTTTTCCTATATAATGATCCAGTATGTTGATAAATTAACCCCAGATCTGGCTAGTATAGATCTGGATACCCCAAGCCCTAACTCCAACAGACTACTACCTGCCACTCATACCCTAACGCCACTCCAAGAATAGATCCAGATTGTCTCATCTGTTGATGTTTCTACAAATATTCGCACTTCAATCTCTGTCGCAGTCTTTTACAACTACACAAGTCGACTACAAGTAGTTGTGAGCTCAGCGACGATAACCGGGGTAATCCGCACCGAGTGACGTTAGTTCCCCCCGCATCCCGTCTCCTCATCCCACTTTTCCCTTCTCTCTTCTCCTTTTTCTCCACGTTCAACAATTCCCTACTCATACCCAATTCAGGGTCCATTCGAAGAAAAAAAGAGAACAAAACTACAAACTACAAACTACAACCAACCTACAATCCACCATGGCAACCATCCGCGTCATCGGCTCCCTCAACGCCGACATGGTCTCCGTAACCCCGCGCTTCCCCGACCCCGGCGAAACAATCACCTCCACCTCCTACTTCACCAGCGCCGGTGGCAAAGGCGCCAACCAAGCCGTCGCCTGCGGCCGCGTCTCCCGTCCCCAATCCTCCTCCACCTCCATCTCATCCAAAATCCCCGTGAAAGTGGAAATGGTCGGCGCGGTGGGCGGTCTCGACGGCCACTTCAACAGCCTGCTCAAGCCCACCCTCGAGAAATCCGGCATCGACACGTCCCGCGTGCGCGTCATCCCAGACGCCTACACCGGCGTGGCCGTCATCGTCGTCGACAGCTCTGCCCACGGCGAAAACCGCATCCTGTTCTCCCCCGGCGCGAACTACACGGGGATGCAGCCTGTGCCGGACGTGCTGGGGTCAGCGCTGGCGGCGCCCGTGCCGGACGTGATTGTCATGCAGGGCGAGATCCCCATCGACACGGTGGTGGGGATCCTGCGCGATCTGGCTGCTTATAAGAGTGCGCGACGCGCGGAGGGGAAGCAGGGCGTGGAGGTCGGGCCCGACGTCATGTTTAACCCTGCTCCGGCGCCGCCGGGCGGGTTGCCCGAGGATGCGTGGAAGGCGGTGGATCACCTGGTGATGAACGAGACGGAGGCGGAGCTGATGACGCCTGCGGAGGAGACGCTTGCTGTGGCTGTGCCGGGGGCGGCGGCGCTCGAGGGCAAGGAGAAGGTGGCGCGTTATTTCCACCAGTTGGGCGTGCGCTATGTGCTTATTACGCTGGGGGCTCAGGGCGTGTGGTACAGTGCGGCGGATGCGGGGTTTGCTGGGGAGGCGGATGGGGCGGGTCGGTTCGTGAAGCAGTTGCCGGCGGCGCCGGTGAGTCGGGTGCTGGATACGACGGCCGCGGGGGATACGTTTGTGGGGGCGTATGCGGCGGAGGTGGCGAGGTGGCGTGAGGAGAGACGTCTGGCGGGATTGGGCGGACGGGAGCTCACGGCGGAGGAGAAGAGCGATCGGTATGGACGGTTTATGGAGATGACGATGGGGGTGTCGGCGCGGGCGGCGGCGCGGTGTGTGGAGCGACAGGGGGCGATGGATAGCATTCCGTGGGAGGATGAAATTTGAGAAGGGGAGTAAAAAAGGGAAGACGCGTTGTATAATAGATATAGATGGATTGAATGATGATATAGTTATGGGACCACGTACGGGTCGACATATGTTACAGGCGTGGGAAGTCATGTAGGGTCGGTCATTCATGGGAAGCTGAACCATTCATGCAGAGACGCGAGGAATGAATCCGAATGGTATGAACCGACGCCTGAGTGACGAGAGCATTCCTCAACATCATCCCGAACGTCCAGATCTCGATCTCGATCCTCATCCCGTGAAGAACCAGACCAGCTCATCAGACTCAATACAAATCCAGATCAACCTTCCACCAGTGTCTTAACCCGAGACTGATTAATGACAGTAGCAAGTCAAGTCAAACCAGCTCAAACCAAACCAACCAACCAACCAACCAATCCACCAGACGATCCCATTGCCAACTCACCACCACCTCGCATACCACCTCGCATGGGGTTTCAGTTCCACCCGTGGAACAACCACGGAAAGAGGGCGAAGGCGACGGCGCGTCGGGGGATTAGACAGATTCCTCTGAACGTGATGGCACTCGTAGCCACAGGTTACAGGGGGGGAAGAAACTACTATTTTAATTTTAGTAAGTTTGACGAAGCGCCTCATGGAAAGTCAATCCACGTCTCTGTGCATTCTTCCACCTATTCAGCAGGCCCGTGGGGTGTGAAGAATGAGTAGAATGGATGGATGGATAGCGCCGGGGAATCTGGAAATATGTACGGTAAATGAACGGGTTGGGATCCTTGCAGATATTCTAGCCGCCCGAGGGGAAGGATTGTGAAACCGTCATCATTTGGGAGCTGGGTCGTGTGGAAGGGGATGAGGATGATGGGTGGGACGCGTTGAAGGGGCTTATTCTCTTTTTTACTTTTCTGGGGTGTATTATGGGGAGTTTTAGGTATTATATCTATATCTTGTAGGATGGACGTGAAGAAAGAGGATTAGGGTTGGAGAGTCACGGGGAACTATCGTCAATAGTTTACTGGAGTAAGGATCAATAACTAGACTATTTGGAATAGTTATAATTATACCTAATATAATTATTATTATTATAATATTACAAGGTTATAATAAGTATGATATGATAAAAAAGTAACGCGACACGCCCTTGCGTGGAGCAGCATAATTAGACCGACACGAACTCGACGCGCTCGTTGAGCCCCTCACGCTGCCTTGCTTGGTCCGTCTTTATAACTGGATCATCTCTCCTCTTTTTCCCTTGACTGTCTATCTCTTCATCAGATTGTCCACATTAATTGTCTATTCAGCTGTCTATTCAATTGTCTATTCCATTGTCTACTCAGTTGTCTACATCAATCGAGAGATCGATCTTGAGATCAACCATCCAATCACACTATTAGATCAGCCCCACCAAAACAAACTCATCATGGCGCTCACCATGACTCCCATCATGCGTCAACCTTTTGCCAATCTAGAGACTCCACGCGTGCGATCCCTCATGCGTTCTCATCTGAACCGTCAGCCTGGTACATACCTTCCTCTTCCTTCTACAAACACCATCTAACGTGTGTCCCAGCCAAGAGAGCCCCCCTGGGTGACCTCGCCCTCGACGCCGAAAATGTCGACCCGACGCGTAACACCATCAAGCGCAAGCGCGGCGCCGACGACGACGACGACGACGACGTCAAACCCTCCCTGAAGCCCAGTAAAACCTCTCGCATTGCTCTCTCGACTATCCCGAAAACCACCACCACCACACCGACCACCACGCCCATCACCACCCCAATCAAGACCACCTCCAAACCCATCCTCAAACCCGCCGGCCGCTCCCCCGTCAAATCCACCCCGCGATCGTCTTCCCACCGCCGCTCCAACGTCTCCAAACGCCCCGACCAGCGCTCCCGCGTCACCCGCCCCTTCTCCCTCGCTGCCGCTCTGGCGGGGCCCCAAAAGCCCGCGTCTAAGAAATCCACGCCCCCGTCCTGGACCTTTGATATCCACGTCGACACTGAACAGGAGGAGATGACCAATTTGATGCAGCACTCCACTACCGTGCTGGATATTGGCTCCGACGATTCTACTGCTACTGAGACTGCTGCGACTGCCCCATCCGAAGCCCGCGGGAAGGAGAACATCCCCCCCGCGGAGCTGGAGGTGGAGTCCGCTGCCGTCCGGGAACCCGCTCCCTCGCGAAAGGACGCGATGGAGGATGCGCGCTCTCCGTTAGGCGATCTTCCTGCTGCGGAATACTATGGCGAGGACTGCCATGCTTTCTCGTATGCTGTTGTCTATGATGATGAGGACGAGAATCTCCCGCGCGAGACGGCGGAGAAGGAGAAGAAGAAGCACACGCGGAGCAAGCTGTCCAGCGTCTCGTCTGTCGAGTCGATCGTGGAATTTGCTCCGGAGAAGGAGACCACCGACGCAGTTGATGAGAACAAGGCGGATACCGCCGCCACTGGTGCTGCCGAGGCTGACTCTTGATATACACATAACACATTGAGAAATGTGTAGAGTCATACTTATATCAATATACCACGGACGGCGTTTAATTTGGTTGATTTGCTTCCTTTCGGCGCAGGAATCTAGTTGCATACCCTGATTTATTTCATTTGTTTTGATTTTCCTTATGTTCGGTTTCTTTTGTGCTTGACTAGCCTGTTCTCCTTGTCTTCCCTTCTATCCTACCTGTCCTATCCTACCAGCTTGATGAAGCTCACTCGCTTACCTCTTCCTATCTGTTTACTCCCTTCTATCTGTCTACACGACATACTGTCTCCTCCCTTCCATCCACCCCACCCACTTGGACAACCTGTCTATCTCTTTGCTTGCTTGCTTTTTCTTGATGATGATCGACGGTTACGAGCTCAGAATGCCTTATGGTTATGTGTCATGATGTATATACTACCTTACTTTTAGCTAATACTGTTTTAGTCTAAGACTTGTTTTCTTCTTATTAGAACTGTAGTTTTGAATGGTCATTGTTGAACAATCCTGAGAATGGAATGTCTAATCGAGTAAACAGTTACTAAATATCGCTCATCTCGCTATCCTCTTCGTCACCCTCCCCGCCCATAGTGGTATCCCCCTCCTGGAACTGCACCCGTCGCTCCCCTCCCCCAGCAACTGTCCCCTCTCCCTCTCCCCCTTCCGCTTCTTCCACCGCTTCCTCCTCAGCCTCCTCCTCAACATACTCCCCCTCATCCTCACCCTCACCCTCCCCTTCATCCTCATCTTCATCCTCATCCTCATCCTCATCCTCATCCTCATCCTCCCCCGTCCACCATCCCCATCCCCACCACCCCTCCCCCCCTCCCCCTAACCATCGCCCGCCAGGCCGCAGAAGACTTAATCGTACTCCTCACCTCAGTAGCAAGCATCAAATCCCTCGCACTCGCCACCCTCGCATCAAGCGAAAACCCCTCCGCCAACGCCTCCGGCGTAGCCGCATGATCTGGCAGCGTCAAAAGCTGCGCAAATTCCGCATCGTCCGCCTCCCGCTCACCCAACAGCGCCAGGATCTTCGCCCGCATCACCATCTTTGCTTTCGCGAGCGTCCCGTTCCCGTACCACCCGTCGCTGAGGATCTCGCATTTCTCGCGGAGAAAGCCCGGGCGGATCTGGTGAGACGGCTGTTGTTCTTCTGGGAAGAGGATCCGGCGGAGGAGGGGGTCTTCGATGTCGCAGAACATCCACATTCGGCCGTCGCGCGGGAGGGGCGGCTTCGAGCGGAAGATGTGTGTGTCGGTTGGGAGGACCTCGTTGCCGGATTGGTTGTCGTGGGCTGCTTCGTTCATGCGGGTTAGGGCGTGCCGGCGCCCGCCGCCTGTGAGGCCTGTTGTTGTTGTTGCTGCTGCTGCGGTGGTGGTGGCGGCGGCGCTGGGGGTGGGGGTTGGGGTAGAGTGTGCGGCGCTGCCGCCGCCGTCGCGGGCGACGTCCGGTTCGCGGGGCAGGATGCGGAACATGAGGGTTTGGTATTTGCGGTATTCTGGGTCCGTGCGGGGGTCGTGGCCGAAGCGGACGATGGCGTCGCGCCAGGGGCCGGAGCGGAAGACGTAGCCGACGTAGGGGATTGCGTGGCGGAGGGCGTAGCGTTGTTCGACTTTGGGGAGGGCGTTGCGGAGGCCGCGTCTTGTCCAGGCTGGACGCTGGGCGAAGAGGTCTGCGATTATCGTGATGGTTTCGCGCATCGTCGAGTCGAGCTTTTCCATTGGGGGGCAGCTGTCGCGGGGTTGGCTGGGGACGGGGTCGATGTCGTAGGCGACGAGGTGGGTGAGGACTTTTGCGGCGCGTTGCGTGTTGATTGTTGTGATGTTGCCGGATGTGTCCATGGTTTGGCGGACCGTGGGGTTTTGGCGGTATCTGTATGGTTTAGTTGGGTGTCTAGGTTGGGTGTCTTTGGAGGGGATACGCACATGTACGGGAATTGAATGTCACCGTGGCTGAACGACGGCGGGGGGATGAGGTCTGCGTTCCGACCAGCCCCCTTGGACATGTCCAGGTCGAAGTATTTCATTTTCTCCACTGGTGGGGTCAGTAGTCGTCGCGACAGCTGGGAAGCGTTACTCACCATCAAACGAGAGGATCTCCTCGCGGAAACGGTTACTGAACGAGCTCCCGGCCGTCGAGTACACGAAATCCGGCATTCCTACCGCAGTCAGCGCGCCTGACTCCCTAAACTTAGACAGACAACTCACCCCGAAACACATGCGTCCGGTTCACCATCCCCACCGGCTCAACCTCATACCGGCCCGCGTTATCCTGCAGACTGCGCAGGAGCTGCTGCGCGGTGCGCCGCTGCTGCGGCTCAGAGACGTCATGCGTAAACGGCTCGTCAGACCCCCGCTTGCGCTTGCGGCCCGTCCGCTTTGGAACGGTCACTTTGAGGACCACGTTGTTGGAGACCGTGTTGGTGGACCTCAGCGGTCTGCACATGGCGTCCTCGGGCCGCAGGCGCAAGTATGCTGCCGTGTTGGTGTCGGAGGAGCGGAGGACCTGGGCTGTTAATTGAGGGGTCATCTTCTGTTTGGGGATAGAGCTTACTCGTCGGATGCCGCCATTGCCTTGGAGGGTGTCGATTGCTTTGTCGATGTTTTGGACGATGGCTGGGTGCTCGATGCTGACGATGGGTCGTTGGGGGATGTGGTAGAATGGAGCTGTTCTGGATTGTTGATCTGTCATGGTGAGATGCAGCAATGGTGTTTTTAGTTGTATGTTTGATGAAACAATCTTAAAGGAAGCTAAAGTGCAGTAGTGTTGCAGCACGAGCCAGTTATATATATCGGTTTGCGATGCTCGAATTGTTGATCACCATTTGGGGTCGTTGTAGTTGTGCCTCCAGACGGATACGCGTCAATTCATCTTATACACCAGTTGACGTAATTACCTATTACCAGTGTCCTGCGTTGAAGCTTTCTCCAAGACATGCGATAAAGCAATACAGATCATGAACCGCGCTCAAAGCGCCTTCATGCGGAGTCTTGGCGCCACGTGACATATGTCCCCTTTAAGCCCACCCGGCTGTCTATCGGAATGCCGAATCCGGTATAGTGTCGCTGATCTATATGCGCGTCCGACTAACTTCAGCCAACACTTACTTCACTGGGTATATATCTTCGTGTTTGGGGTATCATGTGGGGCAAGCTGAATGGATTATGCATACAGCTCACAGCGAAGAACCCCTGCTCTACATCTGACGCGTGCTGACTGGCTGTATCATGCAAGCTCGAGAAAGGTGAGATTTGTTCGGTATTACTGATCTACAAGCCTACTATAAACTATCTGGCCATCTTTGGCTTTTTTTAAATATGATCGATTTCTCTCTGAGATTATCGTTCGGGGGCTCTGAACTTTACTACTTCGCCGTCCAGCATGGATTCAATATCGACATTCGAGGAAACCTTAGCATTCCGTCCGAAGAATGACGGTCCTATTGATACGCATCCCTCCAAAGAGGTCCCTCCCAAGCAACTATGCGATCGCTGCGTGAAACTAAACTTGGTGACGCTGCTGTCTCAAGAAACGAAGGACATCTCCATTGGCTGTCTAGCGGAATACGACAACGCGAACTGCCCGTTTTGCGCTATTGTTTCCCAGTCGGTCGGCTTAACGTGGGGTTCTGATTGGAATATCGAAGAAGTATGCTCAAAAGCGAATACAACAGTCCGGCTCTACATGCGCAGTAAAAGCCCATTCTCTACCAAAATAAACGGCCGCACCCAACATCCATACCCCCGGCTATTGCTTGCGATTGACTGGCAGCCCCCAAATATCCAACGCAACAGGGCTCCAATCAAAGAGGTCGACCGGGTTAAGAATCGTTTTGTCATAGCAGAGATTGAGTCCCTGCCAGATCCGTTCGGTTGTTCTTCCCTGGGAGGGACACTTCTTCCTCGTCGAGAGGTCGGGGAGCGTATCGATGTCGACCTCATACAACGGTGGCTTGAGGAATGCAAAAGGCATAAACATTCGTCGAAGTCTTTCCACCGAAAATGTGACTTGTTCCAGTCAGAGCATCCATTCCGGCTTATCGATGTGGTGGACAGATGTCTAGTGTTGAAGAACGAGAGATGCGACTATGTCGCGTTGTCTTATGTATGGGGCCCGGTAAAGACTATCCTTGACAGCGAGCCTGGCACCGCACCCATCCTTCTCAGTACCAAAAACAATGCCGATGAACTCGGTGTACCTCAAGCCCTGCCCCAAACGCAGGAAGCGTTGCACAGAGGCGGCAGAATCCCCCGTACCGTCCGTGACGCCATGGAATTGACCCGTCAGATTGGCATGCGCTATCTCTGGGTTGACACGCTGTGCATTATGCAGGATGATCCACAGGATGTAGATCGATTGATCGGCCGTATGGATGATATCTATGACCATGCAGCCGTGACTGCCATCGCTGCCGCGGGCGCAGACGCAGACGCAGGGCTATGGGGCATAAGTCCCCGATCAGGATACCCCATCCAGCCGGAGAGAATTGCCGCCCCTGAAGGGGGAAGCATCAGTCTTTCACTATGTCCGCCCTCACTCTGCGATGAAGTGCGGAGGCTGAAGTGGAATACGCGAGGTTGGACCTTCCAGGAACAGTGCCTGTCGCAGCGTGTGCTATATTTCGCAACCAACGAGGTTTACTTCAATTGCTCGGAAGTGCAGTGGAGGGAGGGATACGACCATGGCGAGAAGGAAGGCCGTTTCCGCACAGTGGACGTTAGAACGGGGCCACCTATATGGAACGGCCATATCAGGAAAGACCCGGATCCCTCCCCGTACCGGTACCTTGGAGACGTGATAGCACGGAATCGTGTCCAGAGCTATCAGGCTGCCGTGCAGGACTATACGCGCAAGGAGCTCACGAAGCCATACGATATATTAAATGCTTTTGAGGGCATCTTCAATCGCTTCAGAGAGTCTACAGACAATTCAAGCCCCACTATCTGCCAGACCCAGGGAATCCCGTCCCAGATTCTCTACCAAAGCATCCTCTGGTTCCCATCCAACAATGCCACGAGACGTCCCCGTAGTAAGCCCGACAATCGCCTCTCTTCATGGTCGTGGTAAGTCATTCTAAGAGACTCACTCGGAGTGGCACTAACCCGGGATACTAGGGCCAGTTGGACAGGTCCTGTTGACTTCGTCTACGCCGAGAGCTACTGGGTTTCCAGATACATATCTCACGCTATCAAAAAGAAAGCGCCACTCTACGCAGTCATCACGAGCTGGATCTTCGGGGAACCAAAAAAGGAGAGTTGGTGCTGGTCCTCTCCTGTATGGGAGGCTGCAAGCCAGGGAAGCGTGCCCGGCCAGCGCATTAAGCCCGACGAAGTAGCCCGCGCCAAAGACTATCTCAAGACTGTTCTCGGGATAGACGCTAATGCGCTTCTCTCGATTTCACGTTTAGTGGCTCCGCCTGTAACGAAACTGTCCTGTGGCGCCTTGGGCTTTGTTGGGGCCTGTCTGTTATCAACTGAGTTTTGCTTTGTGGACACGAAGAAAGACCACAAGGTCCGACGGCTGGAAGTGGGTAAACATGAAGGGGAGTTTAGGTTTGATGATGGGGTCGAAGTTGTAGACGAGCTTGTTCCTGTTGTTGCTGGTGAGACCATCACCGGGTCTGGCACGTATTCGATTGTGCTCGGCCTTGCTACGGAATATGGGGTTTCGAGAAGAGTTGGGATTGGCTTCGTCTATTTCTCAAAAGACCCTGAAGTGGCTAGGCCCGAGTGGAGATACAAATTCTTCTGTCTTATATGACCGATCTAGAGAACGTTTATTGGTTTTCATAATATGTATATAGCTATATAAGATCAAGCATGGCTCTTAATGTCAAGAATATGCCGGTTATTTCTTATATGTCATTCGGGGTGATTTTAATGGGATATACTTCACGCGAGGGCATGTCCCGGCCAGGATTTCGAGTGTGTGAGTATGACAAGTAATTTCATGTCAGGTTTACTTTGGAGTTCCCTGTCTCTATAAATAATCTGGAGGCTGTGAGGGAGAGATATCAATGTCTCAATGTATAGTGCATTGTAACTATGATCTTTTTCCTGTTCGTACTATTGCATTGTAGTATCTGTCGTAGACAGGATTACTTTCTAGACTTAAGGTGCCATGAGACCTTTCATAGTCTCATGAGAATTGTATTGAGAGCTTATACATATAGTTGTCACTTACAAATATGAGCATGGTATTAAGTGTATCAGCTAAAGCAACGGTCAAAAGCATGACCCGTCACCTGATCAATTATATTGATCGTTCTATCCTCTGCTGAACAACCACCTCGACGTCTGAGCCTCCCCAATTCATCGATTGGCCCATCAACTTCACTCCATTGATCTCTCACAATAGCCAGTCCCCTACCTTATCTAGTCATGGCCTCCCCCGTTCCAACGGACGAAGAGTTCCCTCTTCCCTGCCCCGCCTGGATATTCTCCACCAATTCGGACATCCAGTGAGTCTTCCGCGCTCACAAGACCCAGCCCTAGCAACGAATCACTTACAAGCCGTACTAACATTGCCAAAGACCGCTGCTGGTTCACCGACGACTACACCCCATTCGTATCATACATCGAAGACGGAATGCTCCAAAACCTCAAATCCATCGGCTTTGGATCAGTCGATATCCCCACCAAGACCGCACCGACGCGGCGGGGTCCCAGCTCGCACGGCACCCTCCATCTAGAAGACGTGCTGCATGTCCCAGCCGCATTCTGCAACATAATCGGAGAGCCCATTGTCGGAAAATACATAATCGGAATGGAGTTCTCGAAGAACCGAGCTGGTTCTATCACCAGTCACCCTGATGGCCGCGCAGTGGCCTACTTTAAGCCCCTTACCCCACACACCCCGCTGCCTGAGCTCCGGCTCACCGGACCCCCCATCGGCCCGGTTGTTGGGCCTTCGCCTTTTGATCCGTCTGAGAGACCTAATGTTCTCGCCCGTTGGCCGGAGAGTGAGCGGCAGAGGTTTGCGGTCTGGTATACCTCTGGGAAGCAGGCCGCTCGTCAGAAGGGTCCTAGGGTGAGGTTTGCTAGTCAGATAGCTTCGAGTGAGAAGGCTCCCAGTCAGAAGGTTACTAGTCAGGAGGATTCTAGCCAGAAGACCACTAGTGAGAAGGCTCCTCATCGGCAGGGCTCTCCTGAGGAAGCTTCTCGTCAGGTTCAGGGGGCCGCAGTCGGGCCTCTTACAGAAGAGGAGACAGCGTGGATGAAGATGCACTATGGTAGCGAATTTAGGTTTCTTATACTCTGCCACCTGAGGGTCTACAATGAAGGGGACCGCCAAGAAGGCCGTGCCATTCTGCGCGCCCTGATAGCTGAGGATGAACCTGAGATCAAGCCGCAGGACCCAAGCGAGCGTCGAGACCAGAATTGAAATTGCCAATCGTGGTGGTGGGAAGAGGTAAAACGGAGAGGACGGTGTATTTGTTTCTGAGTTGACTTGTTCTCTTTATCCTTGAGATATGCATAGCGCTCAAGTATGCGACTTATGGAATCACTTCCAAGGTGTCCCATTGCAGCGACGGCGTGACGTGCCTCGTGACCTTGTATTAATTAGTACTGCTATTTTAATCTCTTTACTCTTCTGATTGTATCAATAATGAGTGTCCCACAGGTATCAGCATATAAATCTCTTCTATCTTACACGGAATATAGCAGTAGAAATAGATCTGGATCCAGTGGCAGTTGATGTCGCCAAGAGAGCACTAACCATATAGCGTTAGCTCCAAAGATGGGTGGCTTACTCATATGATGAGGTAAGCAATTTCAACTCGATGCAACACGTGACCCAACGCGGATGGAAAAATGAAAAGAAACAGGACCGAAAGGGAGAAAGGTGTATATCTGGCAGTATGACCATTCAAAATGACTGGGACTGGGATGGTCTCGACTCCAGTTCAAACACGACGGTCCGGTAAGATGGGCAAAGCTGAAGGGCCCCTTACAGGAAGTAGGAGGGGTCCTGACTTTAATCATAGCCAGACGAATAAAAACCCCCATTTGAACACCTGGAATAATACCACGTACCCAGTAATCCACGATATAAGAAATCATCCTTCTCCCTTCCTATTAGCCTGGGCTGTCTATAAATCGGACACTTTTGTTGATCCTAGTATGGGCTTATTATGATTAACATAATTATCTGATCACAACCATTCAAAACCTTCGAATCCATCTCTCTAAACCACACGTCCGAGCGCCTTTCAGCCACACTCCAATACTCTCTCTCTCTCTCTCTCCTTTCCCCCTCCTTTCTCAATCACCACTTCTTTTTTCTCTCCACGGTAATAACCCCACCGGGTGGACAAACCAACCTCATCTTTCTATCCTGTCTCAAGTGATCTCTCCCCCCCCCCTTTCTCCGGTGGATATAAATCTGGCTGGAACAATCCCCGGAGGCTTGACCAGGAAAACCCCCCCGCTTCGTCCAAGCCAACCCAGCCGCTAAGCGACACGGAAGACGATCGCCTACCGCCGACCTAGATTGAACCAACTAAATACTACGAAGGTATCGACCTGACCTACACTCCACTCCCCGACCACTCAGTGCACTCACGGTGTTTTCGATTGACTACTCGGGTACGAAGGTACACCAACGCTCCGGTGCTTAGTACTACTAGCTGCGACTTGCTTGCTACCACTCCCTGGACCGTCTTGGCTCAACTGCTCCCCTGCGCCTAAACATCCTCTCCCTCCAAAGTTGACCTCCCTCTCTCCCTCTTTGTCTCCTAATCCTATCCAGCTGGTTTTCATCCTGAGGTAAGTCTGAATACTTGCGATTAATTTCTGGTTCCCTTTCGTCGCGTTCGGTCGCCCGGTTGAAACTCCACCCGTCCTCCCCCGTCGTCGGTGTCTGGGTGGTTGTGTCGACAGCCCAAAGTCCGCAGAGTCTCGCTCGCTCTCCCGCCCGCCCTCCTGCTGGTGTTGGTGCTGGCCTGCCACCCGCCCTCTTTACCTACTGCTTTCCTCCCTCCTTGATACTGCCTTTCCCTCCCACCAGTCTTCTCCCCCCCCCCCCCCCCCCCCCCTCTCCCCGATCGGTTCGGTGCTTATTCATCGGATAATCTCTGTTCAATCGATCCGATTTGACCGGATTCTGCGTCGGTGCTGTTGTGGTGGAAATACTTATGTGGTCATGCCCCAGGCCCCGACATAAACAAATCGACCCGCCGTGGCTCTCCTGAACGACCCTCCGCACTTCCCAACCTCCCAATTCCGCCGGCTCGCGTGTGGCTTCCGGCTGCACTGGCATCGAGATTCTCGTTTGAGTACATGTGACGGTCCTATTTGCCGTGACAATGAAGGGTTTTAGACAGAGAGTGGTGAGTTTGTCTGGGTTGCTTCATCCCTCGTCCCATCCATTCCGCCCCCCTCCCCACCACCCACCGGGCCAAAAGACCTCATGGGCCACATCTCCTCAACTTCATGATTTCGCCTCCTCCCGACTAACACCCTTTCAGCATGAGCAGTTGTCGAGGGCAAAGGATGCGAATAAATCCTCGAAGAAAAAGGACGCCAACTCCCAGAACCAAGCCTCCATCGGAATTCACCATGCTCAGCAGTCCTCCTCTCCCAACCAAGGCACCCCGACCTCCTCCTCCACATCCGTGAACGATACCAGAGGGAAGTCGCCGGATAATGCTCCGCAGGCAGGGGCCTTTCCCGCAGGTCAGTACTCCATCCCGCAGGGCGCCGGTGTGGCTGGCCAACCTGTGAATAATGGAGGTCCAGGCACTCCCACCAAGCAAGGTCAGCAAGTGGCCCCGAGCTTGGTCATTAGCCCCAGCGGTCCGGTGAGTTTTCTTTCCACACCCCCTGATCCCCGTCTATCCGCCGTCTGGAGGATGTGCGACCGGGTTGAAGATCGTGATGCTCATTGTCGGTCGCTCCCGCACAGCATGCCCCTCCCCCCGGCGCCGCAGAGACGATGCCCGGTGATCTCGCTCCGCCCCGGAAGTCTCACGTCTTCGATCGCCTGCAAACGACCCCCAAGGATTTGTCGGAAGGGATCCGGACGCCCAAGCGCCAGCACTCGTCGCGCTTCGACATCTCTGACCAGCGTCAGCGGGAGCTGGAGAAACTCCCGGGGTTCCACGAGGTCCCCCCCAATCGCCGTCAGGACCTGTTCATGCAGAAGATCGACCAGTGCAACATCATCTTCGACTTCAATGACCCCACCGCGGATATGAAGTCGAAGGAGATCAAGCGGCTGGCGCTCCATGAGCTCCTGGACTACGTCGCCAACAACCGCTCCGTCATCACGGAGCCCATGTACCCGCGCGTCGTCGAGATGTTCGCCAAGAACCTCTTCCGGCCGATCCCCCCGCCCGTGACGCCCCAAGGCGAGGCGTTCGACCCGGAGGAGGACGAGCCGGTCTTGGAGGTCGCCTGGCCGCACATCCAGGTGGTCTACGAATTTTTCCTGCGGTTCATCGAGAGTCAGGACTTCAACACGAACATCGCGAAAGCGTATATCGATCATCACTTCGTTCTTCAGGTAGGCTTTCGGGTGGCGGTGGACCCCCATGGGCTGTGTTGTTAACCGCGTTGCAGTTATTGGAGCTCTTTGACTCGGAAGATCCCCGGGAGCGGGATTTCCTTAAGACCACCTTGCATCGGATCTACGGAAAATTCTTAAACCTGCGCTCGTATATCCGTCGATCCATCAACAACGTCTTCTTCCAATTCACGTACGAGACCGAGCGCTTCAACGGGATTGCCGAGTTACTGGAGATCTTGGGGTCGATTATCAATGGCTTCGCCCTGCCGCTCAAGGAGGAGCACAAGCTTTTCTTGACGCGTGTATTGATTCCCCTGCACAAGGTCAAGAGTCTGAGCATGTATCATCCGCAGCTCGCCTATTGTATTGTTCAGTTCCTGGAGAAGGACTCTTCCCTAACAGAAGAGGTGAGGCTTCCGTCGTCGGAACACGCGCTCCAATCCCGCAACCACCTTGCTGACCCATCCTAGGTGGTCATGGGCCTACTCCGCTACTGGCCTAAGACGAACAGCACCAAGGAAGTGATGTTCTTGAATGAGGTCGAGGACATCTTCGAAGTGATGGATCCGGCAGAGTTCGCCAAGGTCCAAGAGCCCTTGTTCCAGCAACTGGCCAAGTCGGTGGCTAGTCCGCACTTCCAGGTCCGTATCCCCCATAGTACCCCTTGGTCTAAGTCTGTTGCTGAATTTATTAGGTTGCCGAGCGTGGACTCTACTTCTGGAACAACGAATATTTCTGCAACCTTGTTAGCGACAATGTCGAGACCATCCTGCCGATCATGTTCGCCCCGCTGTACGAGAACTCGAAGGGCCACTGGAATAGGTATGTCCCGATCCGCCCGGGCTGACTGTCCGCCACTAACAACCCCTAGAACCATCCACAGCATGGTATTCAATGCGATGAAGATGTTCATGGAAATCAACCCCCGCCTGTTCGATGAATGTTCCCACGAATACAACGAGCGGCAAAACAGCGCCGAACATCGCGAGCGGGAGAGACAGAGCCGGTGGGAGAAGCTCGCCGCACAGGCTCAGGACAGGAAGAATGGCATTCCTGCGCCTGCCCCGGCTCCCAGCGCCTCTAGCGCGGAAATTTCGGTCCACTTGGATGATGTCGATGCCCTCACTCAAGACAGCCAGAAACGCCTTAATGCTCTGAAGCTGGACGAGCCGAACTCTAGCAAGGATCGACGGGGGGTGCCAGCCACGGTTAGTTCCATTGATCTCTAGTTACCCCCCGCCCGCGACCGTTCTCTTTTGCCTACAATCTTGCTCCCTCCTGTCCAAGGAGCGTGCTTTTCGTGTTTCGTTATTGTCTTTTGCTAAGATCGTGTTATTTCGGGTTGACAGCAAGCGTGATTCTAACGTTGGAACGTCCGTTTACTCCAGAGACCGCGCCGGGGCTCCGTTGATGGTGCTAGAAGGCGACGAAGTGGTAGCGGCAGCGAGATTCGAACCCGACGACGATCCGGCTCTGGATCTGCCGTGATGCTGTCACGAAGCAACTCGACTAAATAATGACGGGGTTGCAAAGAACTAGCCCCTTGCATTTCCACGGCGATGGAACATCGACCATACTGCGATGGAAGTGTCCTTGTTTTCGTGGATTGACGGACTATACGATTCGACCCCCGGTTCCACCCTGTGTTGCCTTCATCTCTCCTCCTTACCCTTCTTCTTCTTCTCCAACCCCCCTTTTTATTAACTTCTCTTATTTCCTCCCCCCTTTATTATCTTTTCTTTTCTGATGTGTTCATTTCATTTATGTGTACATGGCTTTTGACATTCTTCTCTCCGCGCGCGGCGCTGTTTTTCAGTCCGCAATTTTTTGAGCGGACGCTTGAGTTTGGACTATTAGAACTGTGTTCGGGTCTGGAAAACGGGTGCGAATGGCGTTTCCCTTCATCGACATTGATGTCGATAATTTTTTCTCTGTCTTCATTTTCTTTGTCCTTTTCTTCTAATTTTTTTACTTTTTTTTTTTTTTTTTTTCTGAGACCATGGCATACCCGTGTCTTCTTCCACCCTTCCACATAGACAATGACATGATTGATGCCTCGGCTTTTTGGCACCTACTTTTTTTCTGGAAGGGGAGAGGGGAACCACGTGCCCTTAAGCGACCGAACCCCTGTCGATGACCCCAGGTCCGGGAACCCAAACCCCAGATAGGTCGAGTAGACGCGGGATAGGTTATAGACGCGCGCCAGTCGGCCAGGATCAATTAAAGGCCGTACCTTCCTAATACGGCCTAGTGTATTGTTCGGGGTCTCTGCGATACCCGCGTTTCTCTGCCCTGTTGCTTTTGCTCGGGTTCGATTTGTAGGCGTTCAATTTGCGCGCAGTCTGCCCATCTCCGTCCTTCACTTGCTCCCTCTCCACTCGTCTCGAAGGCAGCTCTCTTCGCTCCGCTCCTTACCCGTTGTCCTTCGACTTTCACATCTTCTCTTCTTTTCCTATACCCATTCCGTTCCAGCGAGGGAGTTTAATGTCTTGAAAACATCCCCCCCCCGGTTTTAAGCATTTCCGTTGCCCTGCCTGATGCAGCATCCTCCGCCGCCGGGTGAATAACGAACTATTGCCTCCGCCCTCCCTCCTCCGTTGCCTGTCCCGCATGCGCACGCCATCTACGGAAACTACTGTGCTGGCTTTCGACCTCGGCCGGCCGTGTGGCCTGGCAGTTTAATTGATTCTACAAGAGCGGGTTGAGGAGCTCCCCCCGGAGGGGTTTCTTAACTATGGAGCGCAATATCGATATCTATGCTAGCAAGCTGGGGGACGAGCAGCTTGGTATGTTGGTCGCTGCGCCCTGCGGTCGATTGGCTTGCAGAGAGCTTCTGCTTCCCAGTTGATGTCGCGCCGGTGGTGGTGTGTTGTTGTCCTTGCTGACTTTGTGACTCAGATATCAAGATTAGGGCCAATGTCGCTGTCGAATTACGGGATAATATCGAGCCCTTGTGCTCGGGTGCGAGCTATCCGATATTCCTCTCGAAGTTATGGCCCGTCTTTAAGAATATCTTGCGGGGTGAGCCCGTGTTCATCACGATGTCTGTTGAGCAGGTGCGTATTGTGTTGGGGTTCGATCTGTTGATCGGTGGTGGTGATGGGTTGGTTGGTTCAATGGATGGCAGCTGATACTCTCGTCTCGCCGGCAGAAATTCCGCAACTGCATTCTCGAGACACTACACCGATTACCCGTCGCTTCTCCCGATGTGGAACCCTACGCCGCGGATATGGTTGATTTGTTGATGGATCTGGTCCGGATCGAGAACGAAGAGAATGCTGTTCTCTGTATGAAGACCATCATGGATGTGGAGCGCAACCAACCCAAGGCGACTGCTCTTCAGGTGCAACCGTTCTTAGAGCTCATCCAGGAGATGTTCCAGACCATGGAGCAGGTCGTCCGCGATACTTTTGATACCCCCACTCAGTCCACGCCCGCGGGAATGCCGTCAACCCCCAGCGCCATAGCACAGACCTTCCAGTCCCCGCGACCCAGCTCCCCCGCCACGTCTGTATCGGACTTGGGACCGGACCAGCATGCCAACAATGTCCTGCTCAAGGGCATGCAGTCGTTCAAGGTGTTGGCAGAATGCCCGATAATCGTCGTCTCCATCTTCCAAACGCACCGCAACTCTGTTGCCGCCAATGTGAAGCTTTTCGTGCCGCTTATCAAGAGTATATTGCTTCTCCAAGCCAAGCCGCAGGAGAAAGCTCATGCGGAAGCCGCCGCCCAAGGGAAGATCTTTACAGGCGTGTGTCGGGAAATTAAGAACCGTCCCGCGTTTGGGGAGTTCATCACAGCGCAGGTCAAGACCATGAGCTTCCTGGCCTACCTCTTACGGGTGTATGCGCAGCAGCTGCAGGATTTCCTACCTACATTGCCGTCGGTCGTGGTTCGTCTTCTCCAGGATTGCCCCCGGGAGAAGTCCAGCGCCCGCAAGGAACTGCTCGTTGCCATTCGTCATATTATCAACTTCAACTACCGAAAGATCTTCCTGGAGAAGATCGACGAGCTTCTTGACGAGCGGACCTTGATTGGCGACGGCCTCACAGTCTACGAAACGATGAGGCCTCTGGCTTATAGCATGCTGGCGGATCTCATCCACCATGTCCGAGACCACTTGTCGCGCGACCAGATCCGGCGTACGGTCGAGGTGTATACGAAGAACCTGCATGATGATTTCCCCGGTACAAGCTTCCAGACAATGAGCGCGAAGCTGCTGTTGAACATGGCGGAGAAGATCTCCAAGCTGGACGATAAGCGTGAGGCACGCTACTTCTTGATCATGATCCTGGATGCCATCGGTGACAAGTTTGCATCCATGAACCACCAGTTCAACAACGCTGTAAAGGTTTCAAAGATGTACAAGGAGACGAAGAAGGACATCGAGCCTTGTCCGGAGCGGTATCTGGCTGACAAGGACCATCCCCCGGATTGGGATGAGATTGATATCTTCTCCGCCTCACCGATCAAGACGTCTAATCCTCGTGATCGTGGTGGGGACCCGGTATCTGACAACATCTTCTTGTTCAGGAACCTCATCAATGGCCTGAAGAATATCTTCCACCAGCTCAAGAACTGCAACCCCGATAATATCCAGATCGACCCGAATAATGTCCCGATCAACTGGGCAGAGGTTTCATATGGATATAACGCCGAGGAAGTGCGCGTCATTAAGAAGCTTTTCCATGAGGGTGCCCGTGTGTTCAAGTACTACGGCGTGGACCAGTCGCCGCCAGATGTGAACTATTCTTCTCCTTTCGATTTCCTTGCCAGCCAATACACGGCTCCAATGTCACGAGAGGAGAAGGAGCTTCTGGAGAGCTTTGGGACTGTCTTCCACTGCATTGACACGGCGACCTTTTACGAGGTCTTCCATTCGGAGATCCCGTATCTGCATGAGCTCATGTTCGACCACGGGGCTTTGCTCCATCTACCGCAGTTCTTCCTCGCCAGCGAAGCTACATCCCCGGCATTCTCAGGCATGGTGCTCCAGTACCTGATGGAACGTATCCATGAAGTCGGAACCGCTGACATGACGAGGGCGAAAATCTTGCTGAGGATGTTCAAACTGTCATTCATGGCCGTGACCCTCTTCTCTGCACAGAATGAACAAGTCCTGCATCCTCATGTCACCAAGATCGTCACCAAGTGTATTGAGCTTTCGGTGACCGCCGAGGAACCCATGAATTACTTTCTCCTTCTGCGCTCCCTCTTCCGCAGCATTGGCGGCGGCCGCTTTGAGCTCCTGTATAAAGAGATCCTCCCGCTGCTAGAGATGCTCCTCGAGACGTTTAATAACCTTCTTCTTGCTGCTCGGAAGCCTCAAGAGCGGGATCTTTACGTCGAGCTTACTCTTACTGTGCCTGCCCGCCTCAGCCACCTGTTACCGCACTTGAGCTATCTTATGCGGCCAATCGTGGTAGCGCTACGGGCAGATTCAGACCTCGTCGGACAGGGGCTGAGAACCCTTGAGCTTTGCGTGGACAATCTCACGGCTGACTACCTCGACCCAATTATGGCGCCTATAATGGATGAATTGATGACAGCGCTTTGGGATCACTTGCGGCCCCACCCCTATAATCATTTCCATGCGCACACGACGATGAGGATCTTGGGCAAACTTGGCGGGCGCAACAGGAAATTCCTCAATCACCCCCCTGACTTGTCGTTTGAGCAATACACGGATGATGCTCCAAGCTTTGACATGAAGCTTATCGGCCCCAGTGAAAAACGACCTTTCCCAATTGCAGTCGGCATTGATCTTGCAATTGCCAAGTTGATGGAAAATCCCAGGACTGCCTCGACAAAGGCGCCGCAAGATCCGGACAAGCCGTCCAGCTTGTTCTATAAACAGCAGGCCTTCCGCATGGTTTCCTCGCAGCTGAAGCTCTACATCGGCTATGAAACCATCCCCGAGGATCTGGCCTCGCTCATTCGTCTCGGCGCCAATGATTTGTTCGAGAACAAAACCACCGGCATGCCCGACATCATGGAAAGGTCCGAGAGGTCCAGTTCGATTCCAAAGAAGCAGGCGCAGGAAGGTTCCCTGAAGAAGCTCCTAAAGGCTTGCATATTTGCCACCACTGTCCCTGAACTCGAGCAGACCGCGACAGCTTTTGTGGCTGATGTTTGCAAGCATTTTGCTATCGTTGAAGTTGGACGGGCCCTGGCTCAAGTCCGACACAGCCGAAAGCCTTTCGATGTGTCTAGCGGCGAGGGTCCTGTGTACCTCGACTCCCGACTGCTTGCTGATGCGCTGGTTGAGTCGCTGTCTTCTGACTCCCCTTGCGTCCGTGAGAGTGGTCAAGCGGCCATGCAGGTCATGAAGGATGCCGCTGTCGTCATCTTCGGGTCGTCAGATCGCGCGTCAAAGCTTCCCTTCTTCCAGCATCTCGGTCGCATTTTCTGCCATAGTTGCTATAGCGAAGAATGGTTCACCAAGGCAGGTGGTAGTTTCGGTATCCACCTGTTCGCGACCGACCTTGACCTCGGCGATACTTGGATCTTTGAAAAGCAGCTCGAGTTCGTTCGCGCGCTGATGCATGTCATCAAGGATACCCCACCCGACCTTCCAGCCAGCACGAGGATCAGGGCCCAAGAGACCCTGGAACTGATCTTGAAGCGGTGCTGCAAGAACGCCTCCAAAGATGACCTCAAGAATGAGAAGGGTCGTCTCTACTCCCTTTGCGGCTCCTTCGTATTTGATCTTAGTCACATGAACAAGTATGTTAGGGAGGCCTCTCGCCTGAGCTTTTCGACCATGGCAGAAGTCCTCGGATGCCAAGTCCATGAGCTTATCTTCCCTGTTAAAGATCGTCTATTACAGTCCATCTTCAACAAACCCCTTCGCGCTCTGCCGTTCGCCACGCAGATTGGCTTCATCGATGCCATCACATTCTGCTTGAGTCTCCATAATAATATCTTGACCTTTAATGACCCCCTTAATCGCCTAATGCTGGAGTCCCTGGCACTTGCCGATGCGGATGATGAATCCCTTGCGCCAAAACCGAACGAGTTCAAGAACGCCGAGATGATTGTGAATTTGCGTGTTGCCTGTCTCCGGCTTCTGTCGATGGCAATGAGCTTCCAGGAATTCGCCAACCCCGCGCAGAACAGCAGTCGTGCTCGAATCATCTCCGTCTTCTTCAAGTCTCTCTATTCACGATCGCCGGAGGTGATCGAAGCTGCCAATGCTGGTCTACGGGATGTCTTGACGCAGACGAACAAACTCCCAAAGGATCTGCTGCAGAATGGTCTACGTCCTATCCTGATGAACCTCCAAGATCCGAAGCGGCTGAGCGTTGCGGGCCTCGATGGTCTTGCTCGCCTTTTAACGCTTTTGACGAATTATTTCAAGGTTGAAATTGGTGCGCGTCTTCTGGACCACATGAAGGTCATCGCGGATGATTCGATTCTGCAAAAGGTGTCTTTTAGTCTCGTTGAGCAGAGCCCGCCCATGAAGATTGTCGCGGCCATCTTCAATATTTTCCATCTTCTCCCGCCGGCTGCGACGTCATTCATGGAGCATCTTGTCAACAAGGTTTTGGAACTGGAAGAAACACTCCGGAGAACTTCCCACAGTCCTTTCCGGAAGCCCCTTGTCAAATACCTGAACCGTTACCCGAAGGAAAGCCTGGCGTTCTTCCTGGCTCGCTTCAAGGAGGAGCGTTTCGGCCGTTTCTTTGGGCAGATCCTGGACGACCCGGAAAGCGAAGCACTCCGTGCGGCAGTTGTTGCAGACACGGATGCATTGACATCAGCTGCTTTTGGACAAGACGTGGGTGAGGCCAAGAACACCGCAGCTATCAATGGGATCTGTGTGGTTCACTCCATATGCTCACACCAGCACACGAAACGCTGGCTGGTGTCGCATGCCGACCTACGGGCGAAGCTCCTCACCTTCGGACGGGATCTGGAGAGAAAGCTGCGCAATGACAAGCTTCCCGCCAGCGAACGCTTGAGGGTCGAGCAAGCACAGGACAAGTTGATGGAGATCTTCACCACCTACCTATCGGAGTCGGTACAGGATCTCGATTTCCTTTTCGAGGTTATGGATGGTCTTTCTGCAGATGAATTGAAGCACACCCTTGCCTTCCCGCGATTCATCTATAGCCATATAATCACCAACGAGTCCATCGACTACCGCCGCTCGGTGATTATGAGATGTCTTGATCTCTACGGCCAACGCTCGTGCTCGCAGAAGATGAAGACATTTGCCTTCCGAAACCTTGTCAATCCCATCTTCGCCATGGATGTGCAGGCGAATTGGAACAGCCCCGCGAACAGCCCCAAGTTGATGGACAAGAGCATGACCGAGTTCATCCAGAGCCGTCTGTGGAAGCCTCAGCTGTCGGATCTGAGCGAGGAGTCTAGCCAGGCTGGTGTTGATCATTCACGGATGGAGCTGCTTCAACTGTCGGCCTTGTTGATCAAGTACCACTCTCAAACAGTGCAGGACTCGCGCAAAGACATCATCAAGTTTGCGTGGAACTACATTCGCCTGGAGGACATTATCAATAAGTATGGTGCCTACGTTCTCATCAGCTACTTTATCGCGCATTACGAGACTCCTTTCAAGATTGTGGTCCAGGTCTATGTTGCTCTTTTGAAAGCGCACCAGAATGAAGGCAAAGCTCTTGTCACCCAGGCGTTGGATGTGCTCGCCCCTGTTCTCCCTAATAGGATTGTGTCTTTGAACACCCAGGCACCGGATGTACGATATCCGTTGTGGGCCAAGTGGCCGCGTCGCATCCTGGCGGAGGAGACTGCCAATTTACAGCAAGTCATGAGCATTTTCCAGTTCCTTGTGCGACAACCCGACCTGTTTTACGAGTCCCGCGAGCATTTTGTGCCTCTCATTGTTCCTTCTCTGATCAAGATTGCATCCCCGCCCAATTCATCAAATGATAGTAAGAAGCTTGCGCTGAACCTTATCAACCTCATCTGGCACTGGGAAGAGAAACGAGTGGTGCAGAGCCAGCCACCGGTGCCTAATGGTGTGCTTGACTCGCCGAATGCCAAGAAGCGCAAAATCGACGAGCAAGGCACTGCCTCTGCCTCTCCCATGGGAGCCACGACACCCCATTCCGCTCGCGAGCGGGGTGACTATGTGGTTCCTGCTGACCTCCGGGCCGCATTGACTAAATATCTCATTACCTTCATCACGACCATCCAAGAGCGGTTCATTGTTCCCGCGACCCGATATAGAGAAATGTCCTCGGCCAAGACTCAGCCGCCGGTGCAAACAGGCGATATGATCAAGAAGGCGGTTTATCTACTCAGAAACCTCCTGTCCCCGGAGTACTGGGGTGATCTTGATATTGATCTGTATCAGAAGGTCATGGAGCCCATTCTTGCTGGTGAGAAGGCGGACAAGCCGGACGACAAGCATACCACGAGTATGATCAATGCGCTGCAAGTTTTGCGCGTTTTGTTAGCAGACAAGCCGGATGACTGGATCGTGGCACGTGTGCCGGTCATTCAGAAGCTTTTCGAGAAGCCATTACGATCTGATAACCCAGAGATCCAAGATTCGCTCCATGGGCTTGAGGATGAGATGGATATCAGTCCGAAGTTGATCCCGCCAATCAAGCGTGTCCTGAACGCGCTTCCGGATGATCAACCGGAAGATGAGGACGCCATGGACATTGAGCACTCGCCGTCGGAATTCGTCGCATACCTATCCGCCATTGCAACCGAGACGCTCTCCGCCAACAATTATGTTTCGAGCTTGAATATTCTCTGGTCACTGTCTAAGAGCAAGCCGGCTGAAATGGATGGTCACATCCCCCAGGTCATGAAGGCGTTTTCCCAGAAACTGGCAAAGGAGCATGTGGCTGCATCCACCCAGAATGGGGGTCAATTAACTCCCGGAGGCAGACCCGCCGAAGGTGTCCCCGATCAACAAGAATTTGAGCTGGGCGTCGATCTGATCTTCAAGACTATCGAGTTGATCTCCGTCCGCATGTCTCACCTCGGCGAGCAACGACGCCCGTTCCTCAGTGTCCTCGCTCAGCTGGTGGAGCGTTCGCAGAACATCAAGCTTTGCAGCAAGATCCTGGGCATGGTTGAAGAGTGGATCTTCCATTCTACCGAGTCCTGGCCTACTCTTAAAGAAAAGACGGCCGTCTTGCACAAGATGCTGCTTTTCGAGACACGCACCGATAAGACGATGTTGAAAAAGTTCCTTAACCTGGTCATCCGAATTTACGAGGACTCGAAGATCACGAGGACGGAGCTCACTGTACGGCTGGAGCACGCGTTCTTGATCGGCACACGGGCGCAGGATGTCGAAATGCGCAACCGCTTTATGAATATTTTCGATCGGAGCTTGACCCGTCTTGCCAGCTCCCGGCTAAGCTATGTGTTGACCTGTCAGAACTGGGACACTCTTGCGGACTCTTTCTGGCTGGCGCAGGCGTCGCATCTGCTTTTGGGGTGCGTTGACATGACTGGGTCGGCCAGGCTGCATCCTGACGACTTCACTCTGTCTCCGCTCTCGTTCCTCTACAGTAATGCGGAGAAGGACTCGAGGAAAGCAGATGTCATGGTTGATACACAGCTGGAAACCTTCATCACTGATCGTAAGCGGTTCGTCGCCGACATCGGTGACGTCAAGGTTCGCGATCTTATGGAGCCGCTGTGCCAGTTGCAGCATACCGATCCCAACGTCAGTTACACCTTGTGGACTAGTCTTTTCCCCATGTTCTGGTCTATCTTGTCTCGGGAAGATCGCATCGATCTGGAGAAGGGGATGGTCACACTTCTCACGCGCGAGTATCATCAAAGACAGCTGGACAAGCGACCGAATGTTATCCAAGCTCTACTCGAAGGCGTTGTTCGCTCCAAGCCCCGTTTCAAGGTCCCTCCGCATGTCATGAAGTATCTCACTCGCACTTACGATGCGTGGTACACAGCTGCCATTTACCTGGAGGACTCCGCCATCAGCCCATTGATCGACACACCCACGGTCCGCGAGAGCAATCTCGACGCATTAGTTGAGATCTACGCAGGACTACAAGAAGAAGATTTCTTCTACGGTACTTGGCGGCGTCGGTGCAAGTTCGTTGAGACCAACGCCGCACTTTCCTATGAACAGCAGGGAATGTGGGACAAGGGACAACAGCTTTATGAAAATGCCCAAATCAAAGCTCGCTCTGGGGCGATGCCGTTCTCACAAGGCGAATACTTCTTGTGGGAGGACCATTGGCTTATCTGCGGGCAGAAGCTCCAGCAGTGGGAGATTCTCAGCGATTTCGCTAAGCATGAAAACCTGAACGATCTGCTTCTGGAGGCTGCGTGGAGGAACATTGAGAATTGGCAGAGTGAGGGCAACCGGGAGCAGCTCGAGTCTCTGATCAAGTCCGTGTCCGATGCGCCTACCCCGAGGCGGACTTTCTTCCAGGCGTTCATGGCTCTTCTTCAATGCCATATGAAGAAAGAGAACAGCACTCAAGAATTCAACGGCGTCTGCGATGAGTCGATCCAATTGTCTATCCGCAAGTGGCTGCAGCTGCCTAAGAGGATCACGAATGCGCACATCCCCATCTTGGAGCACTTCCAGCTTCTGGTGGAGCTTCATGATGCCAGCCACATCTGCGTCAGTCTGTCGCAGACCAATGAACGCAATCTGGATACGAAATCGGCTGAGCTGAAGCTGCTACTGGGCACGTGGCGAGACCGTCTCCCGAACCTGTGGGACGATATCAATGCCTGGCAGGACCTTGTCACTTGGCGGCAGCACATCTTCCAGCTTATCAACGCGACCTATCTGGGCTTGCTGCCTCCGCAGACCAACAATGTGGCGAGCAACTCATATGCGTACCGGGGTTACCATGAGACGGCGTGGATTATCAACCGCTTTGCTCATGTCGCACGGAAGCACCAGATGCCTGAAGTGTGCATCAATCAGCTGAGCCGCATCTACACGCTGCCGAATATCGAAATCCAGGAAGCGTTCCTGAAGCTGCGAGAGCAGGCCAAGTGCCACTACCAGAACCCCAAGGAACTCAACAGCGGGCTGGACGTGATCAACAACACGAACCTCAACTACTTCGGCGCGCAGCAGAAGGCGGAGTTCTACACGCTGAAGGGCATGTTCCTTGCCAAGCTCAACCATGTCAACGAGGCGAACGAAGCGTTTGGTGTCGCGTTATACTATGACTTGAGGCTCGGCAAGGCCTGGTATGAGTGGGGACAGTACAGCGATCAGCGGTTCAAGGCTGATCCGAGTGACCTGGAACTCGCCAGCAACGCCGTGAGCTGCTACCTCGAAGCAGCCCCGCTGTACAAGGGTGCAAAGACCAGGAAGTTGCTGAGTCGGATCCTGTGGCTGCTTAGTTTGGACAACGAAGAAGGACAGATTGCTGCTGCCTTTGAGAAGTTCAAGGGTGACACCCCAGTGTGGTATTGGATTACGTTCATTCCGCAGTTGTTGACAAGCTTGTCGCATCGGGAGGCCCGCCTTTGCAAGGCCATCCTGGTGAAGATCGCCAAGTTGTACCCGCAGGCGCTGTTCTTCTTACTCCGCACCAACAGGGAAGACATGCTGAACATCAAGAAACAGCATGATCAGAAGCAGGAGAAGCTGAACCGTGCTAGACAGCAACAGCAGCTGGCCTCGCCGCATACCAAGTCTTCGCCCTCTGTCACGGATGGGTCTCCTCAGCAGCCTGCTGCGGTCAAGAATCCCAATACTTCCACTCCCGTGCAGGGCCAGAGCGGTCTGGTCAACGGCCAGCAGAATCCAACTCCGCAGCCTCAGGGGTTGCCACAGGGCCAGAGCCCGCAGCTCAACATGCCCGGACAGGCCCAGTCCTCTCCTGCCCAGGGTCAATCTCAACCGCCGGGTTCTACGCCCGTCCAAGGCCAGACTCCCACCCTTGGCCAGGGGCAGATTCCGCCACCTCAAGGTCAGCAACCAGGCAACCTCCAGGTGCCAGGACAGGTTCCCATCCCCAATGGCACTGCCCAGCAGAATCAAACTTCTGGAGCCGAGCCGGAACGGGAGCCCCTTAAGAAGCCTTGGGAATACTCGGACGAGATCATGTCTGGACTCAAGACAGCCTTCCCGCTGCTCGCGCTTTCAATGGAGACCATGGTCGATCAGATCCACAAGAACTTCAAGTGCCCACCGGACGAGGACGCCTACCGCCTTATCGTCGCTCTGCTGAACGACGGTCTGGCGTATGTTGGTCGCATGCCAGGGTCTTATGCGCAGGACTTTAAGCTGCCGGCTGCTACGGAGGCGAACATCACGCGCTTCGCTGAGACCATCCTCCCTGCGCATATTCGCAAGTCCTTCGAAGCGGACTTCGTCATCAAGAAACCCACCATGTATGAGTACATCCAGAAGCTGCGTCGCTGGCGTGACAAGTTCGAGGAGAAACTCGACCGCCGGCCCCAGACTCAGTTCCTCGAGACGTACTCCCCTCATCTCACGGAGTTCCGATTCCTGAAGTTTGAGGAGGTGGAGGTCCCCGGACAGTATCTCCTGCATAAGGACAAGAACCAGGATTTTGTCCGTATCGATCGCTTCCTGCCTGATATCGATCTGGTGCGTGGGATTGGCGTGTGCCACCGTCGCTTGAAGATCCGTGGCCACGATGGTAGTGTGCATCCGTTTGCCGTCCAACACCCGGCGGCTCGACACTGCCGACGCGAAGAGCGGATTCTGCAGTTGTTCCGTATCTTCAACGGTCTTCTGGCCAAGCGCAAGGAGAGCCGCCGTCGCAATCTGTACTTCCATCTGCCTCTCATGGTGCCGCTGGCTCCCCATATTCGCTTGGTGCGCGACGATCCGTCCTACATCTCCATGCAGGGTATCTTTGAAGACTACTGCAGACGGGTTGGCATGAACAAGGACGAGCCTGTGCTCTTCACGATGGACAAGATGCGGTCGTTGGCCGAGACGAAACACAATGTAAGCCGACCCACCCTCATCACTTCCCGAACCATTACTGACACTTCCCAGCGGTCTCCGGAGCAGCAGCAGGTTCTTCGCACCGAAATCCTCACTGCCATCCAGGAGAAGTGGGTGCCGAGCACGGTTGTGCTGGACTACTTCCAGAAGACGTACCCCAACTTCTCGGACTTCTGGCTGTTCCGCCGGCAGTTCGCCTACCAGTATGCCGCCGTGGCGTTCATGACGTACGTGATGCACATGGGCAACCGGTATCCGAACAAGATCATGGTGTCGCGATCGACGGGCGATATCTGGGGCACCGAGCTGATCCCGGCCATCAACCCGGCCAAGGCATTCTTCTACAACCCGGAGCAGGTGCCCTTCCGCTTCACGCCCAACATCCAGACGTTGATGGGACCGATCGCCACAGAGGGTCTCTTCGCGTGCGCCCTGATGGCCATCGCGCGGTGCCTCACCGAACCGCGCCAGGAGCTCGAGCAACAACTGAGCATCTTCGTTCGCGACGAAATGATGTTCTGGGCGACAGCCCAACACCGCGGTACCCTCCCCGTGGCACAGCTGCGCGACCTGGTCTACAGCAACAGCGACGTCATCGTCAATCGCGCCGTCAGCCTCGCCAGTCCCCCCGAGGGCAACCTGCCCGCCAACCAGACCACCATCGATCTGATCTCCAAGGCCGTCAACCCGCAGTATCTGGCCTCGTGCGATGCCTTGTGGATGCCGTATCTGTGAAGACCGCGTTTCGTTTGCTGGGGAGGTTGGATCTGGACTATGTGGATGGCGTTAGCATTTGCTATATTTATGTTGTCGTTTGCTTTTTACTTTTTCTATTTTTTTCGTCGTGTGTTTCTTGCTTTGCTATTATGTTGTTTCCTTTTCCCCTTGGGGAGAGGTTGGGGGTTGTCGTCGAGTGGATTCGCATGGAGTAATTCTTTAGCGTGGCGTTTGGGGCATATTCTTAGTTGTGAAGAATCCGATGCTTATGAATTGAATTGTTGAATCTGAAGTATTTCTTGATTGTGTGTGTAAATGTCGACTTGTATACTTCGATTTTCTACTTTAGGCCACTGAGTCCAATGATAACTGCCCGATCGGGTAAAGTGTGGCACGGGATCGGCTTGGTTGGAATCTCCGACTGAGCTTGAATGATCTTGCGTCTTCTTTATTTGTCTTGCGATTCGCATAGCTCTCTCTTTGTTCTGTCTCTTATTTCTCTTTGTGGCGCTGATTCGATTTGCGGTCGCAAGTTCATTCAATCCCCCCCCCACTACTCCGGTGCGACACCAAAGTGGGACGCGTCTGTTTACCTCCGCCTCCGCCTCCGCCCTCCGTCCTCCGCACCTGGCGCCCCTCCACCCTTCTCTATTTGCTGATCCCATGCTCCACGACCGTACTTTGACGAGAAACGATTCGATACTGTGACTCTATCCCCAGATAAGTCGCCATGGAGAAATTCTTGCGCTCCTGGCGACAGGATGCGTTGAACCGCGGCCAGCATGACTCGGCCATCTACATTGGTGACAAGGTCCTAGCCTTGACGAGTGAGTGCAGCGCCTCCGCCCAGGAGAGACCAGAGATCTAGCTAACGGACTATATCATCAGATAGTGATTCCGACGCCTTCTGGCTCGCCCAAGTCCATTTCTCCAACAACAATTACACGCGCGCGTTGGCTCTGCTGTCGCGCAAAGACCTGATCTCGAGAAGCACCGCATGTCGATACCTCGCCGCCCACTGCTACATCAAACAGAACCAGTTCGAACAAGCGCTTTCTATCCTCGGCGACCATAACCCCACCCACCTCATCCGCACCAGCAACAACGGACACAGTCGGCGCAAGCTGCAGCACCTGAACGGACAGAGCCACGTCACGCTGCGCAACGGGAAGACGGCTACTTCGCGCATGGATCGGGCTGAGGCCGAACGCGAGGACGCGAGTCAGATTCGCTTCGAGGCGGCTATGTGTTATCTGCGGGGCCTGTGTTTCGCGAAGCAGAATGCGTTTGATCGCGCGCGCGATTGCTACAAGGATGCGGTGCGCATCGACGTGCAGTGCTTTGAGGCGTTTGACCAGCTGATGAAGAACTCGCTTATGTCACCCGCGGAAGAGCTGGAGTTTTTGGAGTCGCTGGATTTCGACGCCATCACTGCGTCGGATCCGTCCGTGGCGCAGGAGGCGGCTCACTTTACGAAGATGCTGTACACGACGCGGCTGTCGAAGTACTCTTCTCCGGCAATTCTGTCGGACGCTACTGAGACGCTGTCGACGCATTATAATTTGGCGGAGAATCCGGATATTCTGCTGTCGAGGGCTGAGGCTATGTATACGCAATGTCGGTTTGCGGAGGCGCTGGAACTGACCTCGTCTATTTTGTCGGCGGCGCAGCCGTCGTCGACTTCTCTGTCGGCTGCTACTACGCCGTATAACCCAGCGCAGAACCATCTGGGACATCCCCCGGCTGTGTATCCGTTACACCTCGCTTGTCTGTATGAGACAGGTGCTACGAATGCGCTATTCCTGCTATCTCACACCCTGGCCGATCATGCGCCGGAGGAACCGTATACCTATCTCGCAATTGGAGTCTACTACCTGTCCGTGTCTAAGATTGCTGAAGCACGGCGGTTCTTTTCCAAAGCGTCTCTGTTAGACCCACACTCGGCCGCGGCGTGGATTGGATTCGCGCACACATTCGCCGCCGAGGGGGAGCACGATCAAGCCATTGCGGCGTACAGCACTGCCGCTCGGCTATTCCAGGGCAGTCACCTGCCGCAGCTCTTCCTCGGGATGCAGCATCTCGCTTTGAACAACATGTCCCTGGCTCATGAGTATCTCTGCGCGGCTTATTCCATGTCGACCGGCGCCACATCTGGCGCGGTGCTCTCCATCCCCACGAACCCTTCAGGCGAGCTATCCCAGTTGGGCGGGGATCCCCTTGTACTCAACGAATTCGGCGTGGTCCTATACCACCAGAACCATCTCGAGGATTCCGTAGTCCTCTTCCGCCAAGCACTCTCACTGGCGGGCTCCCTGAACTGCGAGCCCGGCGCCTGGGTCGCGACACGGGCCAACATGGGACATGCGCTGCGCCGCATCGGTCGACTGACAGAGGCCTTAGTAGAATTCGACGAGTGTCTCCGCATCGGCGCCGCCGGGGCCAGCTTCGGGTATAGCCCCTTCCTCGGCGGCAGTGGCGGCAACGCAGCAGGGATGGCGTCCACCGGCGTCGGCGGCTACGAAGACCGCGGTCTGATCGGGTCTCTGCACAGCGCACGCGGTATCATCCTTCTAGAGCTGAACCGCACCATGGAAGCCGTCACGGCGCTACACGAGGCTGTCCGCGTACTAGGCGCCAGCGGAGGCGGCGACGCCGCCGGCGGGGCCGGAATCGCCGGCACGCTGCTGACGCGGGCGTTGGAGATCTGGTCAGACGAGGGGTACGACGCAGACGAAGCCCAGGCCGAGGAATCCGCCGCCCGCAGCTCCAACCGGTCCTCCCGCGACAAGGGCAAGAGCAAGGTATCGTCCCGCCGACGGGTCCCTGCCGAGGAGTCCTACCCCGACGAGTGGACCGACGAAGTCACGCATGTCGATTCCCAGCAAGGCGACGCTATCGGCGCGGGGCCCTTCGACGAGAAGGTCGAGATGGAGCTCGACGAGGACGCAGACGTCCTGATTAATCAGGCGATGAGGCGTGTGAAGGGTACGAAGACTCGTCGTCGGCTGGAGTTCAGCCCTGATGTAGTCGATGTTTCTTCTTCTGTGCATGAGACGCCTGTTGCTGATGATCACTATGATGGCGGTGGTGGTGGTGGGGGGCATCGGCGTCGGGGATCGCGGAATATTCGGAGTGCGAGGCAGTGATACCATGCGCCCTTTTTTCCTCTTTCCTTTTCTCACTCTTTTGTTTTGTCTTCTTTTGTTCTGTTTCCCCTTATGACTGGCTGCGTTATAGCTGGCGTTGGGTATTCCTGATTAGGCTCTATATCTGGCTTATGCTCTCTCTCTCTCTCTCCCCCCTGTTTTGAGTCATGCCATGGCATGGTCTGGCATCGCATGGCATTGGTATTGATATCGTCTACGGGCAGATGGAGTGATGGTTCTCTCTTGCATGGTGAATGGCGATGGTGACTGGCGTCTTGTTATCTTGTCTTGGTTTGGTAGGTTCGTCTGGTCATGCATGGCATTTGGTTGCGTGGATAGATAGGTTTTTGTTTCTGGGGGAGGCTGGTATGGTTAGTTAGGAGGATAGTTCTAATCCAGTGGATGTTCTTGAAGAAGCGTATAGATTTGTTTTCTGTATTGTAGTGTTGGGTGGTAGGGCGCTGTGATTATATGGTGAGTAGATTGTTTCCACAGGGGTGAGAATTTCTCGTTGTGGGCTGACTTGTATTTTCGTCTAGATATGTGAGGATCCCTAATAGACTCTGCTTGATCGAGGGAGAGTCGCACGTTTCCCTCCTGGCCCGTCGCAGCATGGATTGGAGTCAAGCACCCCCAACTCTCTCCTACAGTATTTGTCGTGATATACGGAAGTGAACAGGTACTATATCGACTGTACACTGGGACCAAGCGCGTGCGACGCGATATCGACAACCAATCCTGTATTTTCCTCTCCGGGAACCAGGACTAGAAAAAAACCTACTGTATGACAATAAGCAATACATGAAACCTTAAGAGGAGTCACAGTACGTATAGAGTTTGAATGTGTTCAAACTATGGACCTACGACCATGATACCTTCCTGGCGTAGCAGTGATTTGTCCGTCAGAGTGACGTAACGCCAGAGCGTGAATTCGCTACAAACGTTGGTTCTGTATTGCCCCTGTCTGTAGGAGTTAACAAAGCCAGTGTAGAGAGAAGAGTGCCAAGTCTTTGAATCAGATTCATACCATATACTGCATACCACAAACCACACACAGCTTCCATCACTAGCTCCACCATGTCCGCTTTGGAAAACATCCCCCCTTTATACGTCCCAAAGAAGCGCCCAGCCAAGGACATGGAAAAGCTCCAGGATGAGATGGACAAGGCCAGTAATGAACAGACACAGGCCCGGAAGAAACTAAAGGCTCATGGAAGTTTTGATGCCGAGTTTTGGAGTGCTGCTGTGAATGTAGAGTCAGCTTGTCTAACGAAGTCAAGGATCGCATCGGATATCTCATTGTCAGAATTCGAAGGGAGACAGGCGGACTGGGAGAAGACGGAAGAAGCACGGAGACTGTTTGCACAAATACGGGCGCAGATGCACCGGGTAGCTTCGTTTTCTCACCAGAGAGATTCTCTCTCTCTTTGCAAGTCCAAGGGAGGGCTGATAACGTCTTTCATGAAGCTCTTCACCTCCAGCCCGTTGGGGCTGAATATCAGGACAGGGGCCGGGCCCCGAGACTCCAAAACGCAGTCGAGCTTCAGGGCACAACTTCTCAAGGACTATGACAGTCTGGATGAGCAGGGAAATGCCTGGTGCCCCATTCTGGGGTGTTATTTGGATCCGGACAATGTCACTGCATCACACCTCTTTGCATACAAACATGGACAAGCGTCCATGGATGCCATCTTTGGCAAAATCTGTCCGCCGGAACTCTTTTCCTCGCGCAATGGATTGATAATGTCGGCTGCTGTCGAGAAGGTTTTTGATATCGGGGTACTTGTGATCGTCCCTGATATTCCTGACCGTCCGACTAAACAGGTGCTTTGCGGTTGGGTAAATGATGAAGTGCGGGAGTTCAAAATCCGCATCATCGACACAACATGGTCAAAGCTTGACCACTTCGTCGTAGGGACGACGAGGTGGAGAGACATGGATGGAAAGAAGCTGGAGTTCAGAGGGAACTACCGCCCAGCAGCCCGATACCTGTACTTCCACTACTGCGTTCAGATACTGCGAAGGGCCTGGAGGGCCGGACCTGGTCAGCAAGCGGTGTTTTCTCTCCAGGATGAGCTAGGGAAACTATTCTGGGGCACCCCCGGAAAGTATGTGGCAAGAAATATGCTCAAAGCATTTATTCAAGAGCTTGGGCATGAAGCGGATGATCTTCTTATTGGGGCGAGGGGCAGTGGGGGGGATGACAAGGTCCTTTTGAATATAGCAGCAACTCAGATTGCAGAGCAGAGTGTCGAAGAGGAGGATGGCGAAGATGAACACGACGAGGACGAGGAGGAGGACGAGGATGAGGATGAGGATTGATGATTAAGGCGGTGATACTTGTTGTATACTTAGTCTCTATTCTTAGGCAGCATTTGCTCAACAGAATTAATTGATTTCATTTCTACGAACTGGACTGATCCAGATAACTATCAATTATAGACACTCATATCTCTGATATATATTCTTTTTCATCGTATTCAAGCCTTCACTCGATGAGAGACTTTGATTCGTTCCTGCGTATTTATTGATATCAGGCTTCATAAGGCTTGCTGTCAACTACGAGTCAGATGGGATGGGTGGTCGGTTTGTCTACAATTTAAAGCTATTAGCGTAGCTATGAAACCAAATTTATCAGAGATATAATTCTTTTTGAGTGTTAAATATTTTCCAACGCTCTGTCCACTAATTGCTCATAACCTTCAAGCTCATATTAGCTAGTCATCTGTCCCTCGCCCCCATGATTCCCCCATATACTCCACTGTAAGATAGATCAAACAAAGCCTTACTCAAGCCCATACTGCTCCTTCGCATCCACAAAAGCCAAGTCCTGAAAGATGAAACTCGACAACAACAACGGAGCATCGTCCAAGCCGAAGAAGAACTTATCCATCTGCCGGACCTCCGGATCCTCCTTATTCCCCTCATCATCATCGGTATCATCCATGAACACAAACAGCAGACCCTTGTCCGCCCAGTCCCGCGTGGTCACGACGATAAACGCCGGCGGATACCAGCCAGCATTGCCTTCTGCCTCGCCACCGGAGACGGGAGTGATTTCCTTGTCCAGGTCGACGTGGGCCTGGACAACGTCCTTGAGCGACCTCCCGGCGATATTGTGCACTTTCGGGGCGCGCACGATGGGTTTCGGGTTATCGTTTTCGAGCCATTCTTTGTTGAGGGTCGTGAGAAGACTGTCCAGGTCTTCTGCTGGAAGATCAACGAGGGTGTATAGAGCGAAGGAGGCTTCATCCCAGCTGTACTGGCCGTAACGGCAGAGCGCGGGGCAGGTGGGGGGCAGAGAAAGGTCTGGAGCCATGGTCTTGGTCTGTCTTGGTTTGGCGTCTGTCGGGCGAGTTGAATGGTTGTTGATGATTACGGACTTCGACCCGATGTATGGGGGATTATGATCTGTGATCAGGTCAAGAGAATGGGTAGTACGCGTCTGTATATCATTCGAGAGGGGCTGAGACTAGGCCGCAACGAGGGAGGCCAATGAGGCTAAAGCGGGAACTGCTCGGCCAAATCCAGCCGTTTGATATGATCGTTCTCTCTATCCGGACAGTGAGACTACCTGTAAGGAATCACTAACTGATACGCTCTAAGCCAATAATCTACCCAGTTTGGACAGAGGAATTACCAATTGACTCAGGCGGCGCTGTCATCTCCTTCCTACATCATCTCGTAAGCATGTGATCCTCAGCCTTCAAGGTTGGTTGCTTGCATATTCGAACACCCAGCCTCGCGGACTGGCCCAGCAGGAAACAACCTTGCCGATCAATATCACTAGTTTGGCTAGGTTAATTGTGTGTTCCTCCTGAAGCTGGCTTAGAGACTCTCACTCTTCAATCACAAGTCAATCAGGATACTTCAGCTACTTGGCACGACAAGGATACCCCTACATTGGCGTCATACAATCAGGGCATATAAGCATACCTGGGAAAAGGAGGTTGCCTTGGGTTGGCACACCATAGAACTATATCCACCGCAAGTAACAGACAGCGGCAGGTTATTCGATCCGTTAAAGAACCCGAAACCATAGAAGATAGGTATAGAAAAACTTCATGGGATTGAGATGTAGGAATAGCAACGAATGTGAGCAACACCATTGCCATTGCGAGCACGAAACTAATTGAACCACTTCATTGCCTCAGATTATGCGAGGCTATTCATAGCCCCAGGCGAGTCCCGCAGCCTTACTGCTGCGAGGCGATCACACCACCTTCCTGTAATCCGTCTGGCCGTGTCGTATACGAATGAAGAGCCTTCAGAGGCAGGGCCTCCTCTGATTCTCTTGAGGTCTATATGACCAATTGAGGTATAAATAGGAACTCACTCCCAGTCGAAATAGAAGTAACAACAAGCAATCCATATCTTATATCTTCATATCTTCCCAATCGTTTGAAAAGGCAGTTGCAACAAATCAGACGACATCATGAAGTCTTCCCTCTTGTATTTAGGTCTCTGCATCCTCTCCCTGGGATCCGCACTCCCCGAGCCGGCTTCCAACAACCAGGCGTCGGCAAATGCGGTAAAGCGTCTAGTCTTTGACTGCGCTGATGGACAGGTCGGCGGTATGTGACCCACCTCCCTCGCAAGCTATGGAGACAGAGAACTGACAGCGATGTTGTGCAGATACTTGCCTGAATATGTGCTATGGTATGCTCGCTCTCCTGTCCGGCTACAATTGAAGCTGAATAATAACCCCCCTACGTCCAGGCGCAAAATGCAAGAGACTGGGCACCACACTCACCTGGGATCACCCGAATTATACCAACCAGGGCAAGCGCAGCCGTCTTGCCGGCTGTGGCTCTGGCAACAGATGTAGCAAACCCCCCTATGGCGCTGGATACCAGTGCGACGAGTTTCCGTTCAAGTCCGTCAAGGAGGCAGAAAAGGGCAACCAAGTCAACCGATGCGTCAAAAGACACTATAACAGCCGTGAGTCAAGTCATCCCTGCACCTATTGAGACCGTGGCTAACAGAATCCAGGCCAAGGAGGTGTCCTGCGGCAATTCTACTACTCCAATGGCAACTTCAAGGGCAAGGGCTGCGATGGGAAGGCCCCTTGTAAATTCAGCCTGTCCTTCAAGAACTTCAATAAGTATGGGTACTGCAAAAAGGGGGGAAGCTGCACGAACGACGGAAATGAATATACCAAGGCCGGACCGGCGAAGCGCGAAGAGGAGGTCGACGCCAGTGGCTATTACCGCCTTGGGAGCGGCGATGTTATCTATGTTCCTGACGGTGCGGCAGTGGGTGATTTGGTCTATAAGGCTAAATTCACCAACTCCAATGGGACCATGATTGCCGATGTTGCGACTCCGACTGATGACGATGATGAGATCGATGACGATGACGAGTTCGACGTTGAAGAAGATACCATTGTTGAAGAGGTTGAGGACTATGAATAGTTGCTCGATGCCTTTTCATAGACTTATGGCTTCCGCATGTGTTGTATGAGAGACTTTGTCAGGGTTGAGCTGGTAGACTGGAGTTTTCGAGTTATATTTTCTATATATAAAGCCTATGTTGGAATATAAGTCAGATTAAGCCCTATAACTACCATACGTTGGTCAACGTTTTGGCGTAGCGGTCATGATATGTTTCCATGGTAGCTCAAAGGCGTCCTTCCTATAGATATTCTTATTATGCTTGTTAAATCGAATAGTTTTGTTCGCCTTTTCGAATGCTGTCAACTGTGCATTTCGAGCCAGTGCTTGCTCTTTGTACCGAAAATGATAACATCCTGACCTCCTCTCTGGATCACGGACGTGTTTCAATGGTTGTTGGAGCTTAGAAGGGAAGCTTTGAGAGGCGGGTATCCAGTGAAGACAGGTGAGATCACCTGGCCTGCATGTAGATTGAAACCATGGGAAGTCGGTCAAGTTCTGGGTATCTACTAATCTCTAGCAACTTAGTCGTCGTGCAGCATGCACAGTTCATTACTGAGAGTTTGTCAGGCCATGATGAACCCATCATCGTAGCCGACTTGTTGAAATTTTTATGCGATGATTCTATATGAAGGCGTGTGTATCATCCAACCTGTTTCAACAGTAGCCACTGCTTCTGAAAATTTAGGGAACTCCTAGGGAGCGCAGGTGAGAGATCGGAAAGGCAAGGATACTAAGGGCTACGTTAGTGTTTTTGAAGAGGGTTGACTAAGATTTTTGCACAGGGAACCAGCCTATGCACTCGGATAGATTGCATGCTCTAAGCACAGGAGGCTTTGAACTGGGCAGCTTGGTGTCCCAAAAGTTTGATCTGTGGGGTCTCGGGTGAGTCTCTGGCGGCATGCATCTTTTGAGAGCACTGTGGTGATAGGAGTCGTAGCATTATCATCCAGAATGGATGCTTATCGTCTCTGGTAGATCTCTATGAAGCATGCCAGTCTCGCACGACTGGTACAAGTTCTTCTGTCGTTGTTGACGACATGTAAGTAATTCTGAATCCAATTATCACGGCAAGCATGTGCGATAATATGGTCTGAACGGCCGGCGGCTTCTGTCATACTTTTGATGCGAGGGCTAGAGGCTACTGACGTGAAAAGCCGTCAATGCTCTCTATATAAAACGCCTCGATTATGCGATTTGCTTCAATGACTCGAAATAGACCCTGATTAGACAACTCTAGGGGTGGAGGTGGGCGTGACTGAGATATATAAGGTCCACACCGTCGCGGGGGGTGATAGCTATTGAGCGTCTGAGGGCCAAAGGCAATGTACCTGTAGGGGATGAGGGTTATGCTGCTGCTGCTCCCTCTAATGGAATAACGAGATAACCCCCGGGAAGGGTAATGTCACAACATATCCTTCATTATGCCAATATTACCTGATTTCCTCACCCCTCTCTTCTTATTAGTTGATCAATAATCTGGTGGATAGGGATACGGTTACTCACCTCACATGGTGTACAGAATGGCCGTTACAGACCGCAGACACTCAGCATGTTTCGTTGGTTTATTACTTGGTACTCTTTGAAATGAATAAAGGGATGAATAATTCCGGGCCAATAATCGTAAACGGGGTGACTTAGTTAGTTGTGGCTGATATTGTATTTCCGGTAAGACACAAACCACTGTACAAGTTATTTGTAGTATAACTTCTAGGCTTGGTATAGTCAGACTCGCCGATTGGGTTGATGAGTGGGACCATAATGGAACATGGAGGGAAAAAACCCCAAACGAAAGCCATTTCAAAACCGAACATGAACAGACACATTCGCCGGGGCGCAGTAAAGAGCGGAGGCAACTGCGGTCTCGGGGGCAAAAAATGACATATCTAATGTTGAGGCAAAGACAGCCAGTTAGACCCTACATGCAAAACTGTCCCCATCATGTCTCACCCACGGCAAACGAAAACCTTGTGAGCCGGTGAGTAAAGCCGGTCTGAGCTTGTTTCCGGGATGGACCAGCGCAGCAGACCACCGGAGTCTTGCAAGCAAATTGAGGGTGAGCTTGTCAGAAAGGAGAATTCCGTCAACCGTTGCCATATCCATGCATCCTGTCTCTGCAGGTAGCCAGTAGTTCAGCCACTCGCCGCATTGGGCGAGCGATATACGCCCATGCATTGAATGCGCGGGACGGAAGAAAAGCGAGGCAATCGATCGGCTCAGCTGTTGGCCACTGGGAATAGAGGGGCAGCATATGGGCTGCGTAATGGCATGCAACATATAGCGGTCAATGTAGGGGCTTCTGTGACTGTGCTCTCCCAGGGATGTAGATAACCCGCGTCTGCCCCATCCCCAAAACAATGCGTACCATCTGTTTTGTCCAGACGGCACAATGAAGATCGCTCATATCTCAGGTGCCTTCAATGGCCGGCTCCTTGTTACCTGCGGCATCACCGCTCTGTCGCAGGTAACCCTGGGACTGGAACAGGCCGCTTTCACATCCACGCAGGAAATGCCTGCATTCGCCCACACGTTTGGTGTGTACTCTGCTGAGGGGCATGCCCATCGTCTTGGATCAGACTTTATGGACCTTCTCAATGGTCTTCCTTATGTTGGCCTCGTTTTTGGCCTGGTCCAGGGAAGTTTGATTAGTAGACGGTTTGGACGTCGTGCGAGCTTGTTCGTCATGTGTCTCTGGGCATTTTTTGGAGTGTCTCTTCTGGTGACTTCTCACAGCCAACTTCAGATCCTGTTCGGCCGTATGATTACCTATGTCTCCGTGGGGATTGAACTAGCAGTTGTGCCTGTCCTTCACGCGGAGTTGGTGCCGGCCCAGGTGCGTGGGCTCGTCGTTGGAACATATCACACGGGATTGTTAGTAGGTTATCGCTGAATACTGCTGGCTGCTGAGGGTCAAATAAGCTAAATATGACAGGTGGGACAACTTGTCATGTCTCTCATCTGCCGTGCGACTCGTGAGATTGAAGGTGATTCCTCGTGGAGAGTCCCGCTAGGATTACTCTACGTTATTCCGGGCCTCGTTTTCTGCCTGGGATGGCTCATTCCAGAGGTGTGTTCCGACAAGCGAAGTCTGTGGATATCATGCTAATATAAGCTAGTCTCCTCGACTCCTCCTGATAAACGCCCGCCCTGAAAAAGCCCGTCAGTCACTGCAAAAACTGCGTCAAGGCCGTTTCACCGACGATGAAATCGAACAGGAGTTCCAACAGCTGTGTGACACCATCGACATTACGACTGACCAGGGCAGTTTCCGCGAGATCTTCCGAGGCAGCCACATGCAGCGCACGCTCATCATCGTCGGAGTCAACATCTTCATGCAGGTCACAGGAGACAGCTTCGTGTCACAGTACGGGACGGCCTTTGTGCGGACCATAGATACCGTTAACCCATTCTCGATGGTGTGCATCTACTCCGCGATCAACATCTTTGTCAGTCTCGTGGCGATGTTGCTGTCAGATACCGTCGGCCGAGTGTACGCCTTCATATCATGTCACTATTCGAGTCCAAGCAACTGACCATGGTACTATAGGCCCCTAATGTTTGCCAGTGCCATTATCCAAGCCGGCTCTCTCTTCACCCTGGGCGGCCTGGGTACAACCAGCACCTCCCCTGCCGTCTCATCCGCCACAATGGCCATGATGGCTGTGTTTGGGGTTGGGTACCAGATCGGCTGGGGGCCGTTGTCCCACGTTGTAGCAGCGGAGGTGCCTACCACGCGGCTGCGCGACGTCACGTACGCCGTTGGAGCAATCTTCAGCATTCTCATCCAGTGTGCCATCTCGCTCAGCGTGCCACGTGCCGTAGACGGGCAGATGGGACCGGGGTCACAAGTGGGGTTTTTGTTCGGTATTTTCGCGATCTGTGCGGCCCTGTTTACCTGGTTCTGCGTGCCAGAATGTAAGGGCAAGACGCTGGAGGAGATGGACCACTTGTTCTTGCATGGTATGCCGATTCGGGAGTTTGCTCGGGTGGGTCAAGTGAATGTACATGTGTCCAAGGAGGTGGAAAAAGATGGAGTGTAGAGTGTTTTGTCAGTAGTGGGGAGGAGTACAGAGAGAAGAGGTGACTGCTTTTATACCTGGAGTATAAGGCACGGGTCTCAGGAAGCAATCTCAGGCACCAACTCGATTCTAACTGGAATCAAAAATAATTCTACAAATCACCGCCCAATAAACTCAGATCAAATACTACAAGCGTGTATAATATCACATCAAGCCGATTTCTCTACCTCCTCCAACACGACCTTACATCCCAATGGTGCCATAATCCCGCCCTGTGGTTGGATTAGAAAACACATATAATTCCAAAATTGACAAAAGGGAAAGACTCACCGGCGTCATCTTCAACTGATATCCCTCTTCAACCCGCCACTTAACCCGTCCGATCAACTCCGCCAAAAGCACCCTCATTTGCAATAGGACGAACCCCTGCCCCAGACATTTTCTCGAATGCGCATTGAACGGGATATATGTGCCTCGGACAGTATCCCGCCTGAACCGCGCATGCATCTCGTTTACAGTGGTTCCCCATCGCTCAGGCCGAAACTCCATCGCATCGGGACCCCAAATGGCTGGGTTGACGTGCACGCCGTAGGCGTTCCATCCGACGAATGTGCCCTTTGGAATCGCAACCTTGCCTCCTAGCTGGGCATCGCGGAGGGTGACCCGGTTGATAAGCTGCGACACGGGAGGGTAGAGACGTAGGAGCTCGTAGATGGTGGCTGTCAAGTAGGGGAGGTTTGTAAGGGCTTCGTGGGTGCAGTTTGCGGACCGAATTTCATCACGGAGTTTCTGCTGGGCATCCTTTCCTACTGTTAGTAACTCCTCATTGTCTTTCATCGCAACCCCAAATCGAAGATACACACAGGTAAGGTCCCCAACTGCCAAAACATCGAATTCACCAACTGCTGTGCATTCTCATGTGCCGTCAGGAACACGATCTTCAAGTTATCGCGGTATTGCTTCTCCGTCAGGCGGCCCTCGCGACGGGCCCGCATCAGCATATGGACGACCATGTCGTCGTCACCGGGTAGTTTATCAATTTTGGAGTCAATTTTGTTGTGCACGGCGTCTACTAGACGGTCCCCAAACTCGTGCATGATGTGAAAGGCGAATTTGCGCGAGTTGAACAGCCATGGGAAGCGGTCGAGGTCGGGGAAGTTGAAGAACAGCGGACGAAAGAGGATGCCTTTAATGACGGATTGAATGGATTCGAGGCGGACTGCATTCAAAGGTTTCTCTAAGGCCTATACAATCAGTACTTCAGAATCTAGAATGGAACAGCAATAACGAGTAGAATGAAGGGGTAAAAGGATACGATACCTGCAAATCCAAATCCAGAAAGCTAACCCCCATCACATCCACCGCCCACTGTTGCACGTAATGATTCGCGACAATCCCTTTTCCATCAGATCCATCAGCAGAAACCAATCTCTGCTCCTCCACCAACTTATCCACGAACCGCTTCGACTTCCTTACCAAGGGCTGCACATCAAAATGCCTCTTCTGCAGCCCTGGCTTCATGATCGCCGTATATAGCTTCCAGTTCTCCCCATGCGCATTTATAATGTTATCACCCACCAGGGTAGCAATCACACTCCACGGTATCTTCTTCTGCGAGCCCGCTTTTGCGTAGAGATCCTCGTTGCGGAACATGTCGGTGAGCCACTCGGGCTTGGTGATCAGGATACTCCAACGTCCGGCAAACCAGATGAGGACGGCACCATGGGACTCGAGAGGTTTGCGTAGCCAGCGCTCGTAGATCTCATCCTGGCCCATTGACGACCACAGGCCAATGATGGAGACGTAGAAGGGGATTCTGGGGAGGTTGGGCAGGCTCCAGGGGACGTGGAGGTAGTACCATATGAGGAAGATCACCGCGCAAGGAAACAGGAGGAGTGGGTTTGGAAGGTTCATTGTTTGTGTTATCTCTTTAATATATGCCAACATTTTGTTGCTGTTGCAAACGCTGTTGTGTACAACCGTGTGATGAGTGATGCCGATGGGGGAATATATAGAGGTCGAGTGCGCGAACCATGATTTGGAGTAATAGCATTGAGTTTTCACGAAAATCCGATAAACTAAAACATCCACTAAAGAATGTCCAAGAGACTGAACCATCGACTGAGAATAACTAGCATCGACCAACGCGTGGGGTTCGCATTCGCCTGACGCTGACTATGGTGACGCAGACCGAGTCAGCTTTGTCAACCCGCAGGAGGCTAAAGTGGTCAAATACACTTGTTTGTCAGTCATGAATAAGACACTCTATTCAACGATCCTTGAGTATTCATTCCAATGATGGCAATATATAACAGAAGCCATATCTCCTTGTTCTCCTGTTGAATCAGCAGAAATCAATCGCAACCATGGCTCTCAATCTCCACAAAGATCGTCTCTCCGCGGACGAACTCGACCTCAAGGACCCTTATAGTGAGTACCAGTAGAGAAAACCTCTATTCTACTCTATACGACAGGGCAATAACTCATAACCTGCTCGCAGTCACCGGGTCTCTTGGTTTCTTCGTCATCCACAATGTGATACGCCGTAATCTCACCACCTGTGCCGAACACATGCGGAATCTCTCCGTGGCCGAGATCGAACCTTATATCACATACGCCAAATATACCCTCCACGTTACGCTCGACCAAATCATTTCGTCTGACGAACTCTGGTTTCCCATGTTCGCCGACCACGACAACCGGTTTACGCCCTATATCGTCGCGCATGAGCAGCCCAGGGCACAGATCGTCGGTCTGCGTGAACTCTTGTCCAGTCTCGACCCATCCAGCGGGTCTATCGACGACAGCATCAGAGCGCAGGTAACGGACGGATTTACGGACCTGTATAATATTCTCAACAAGCAGTTCGACGAGGAGGAGACTTTGGTCAACGGGCTTGGACGCCAGGTCCCGCTGGAGAAGATTCAAGCTCTGCAGAAGAAGCAGGAGGAGCGGCGCAAGGCAGACGTCAAGACATATGGACATCTCTGGACTGCGGTGTATTTACTGCGAAGCCTGGAGCTCAAGGAGAGAGAGATCTTCCCTCCGGGAGTTCCGAAGTTTATTGCGAGTGCGATGTTGACTGCCGGGGGGATGCAGTACAAACGGTATGTTTACCCTTGGGTTTGTTGCTTTAATCTCTTGTCTTATTACTGTGTATCATAATGGCTTGTACTGATTCGTCTCTATAGAGAACTGCAGTTTGCACCGAAGGTTTGAAATCATGCCGGTCGGTTTGAGGTGTTGATTGTAGCTACCCAGATGAAACTTGATAGTTTGTCTATTGATTTATATATCACCCCGTCTTATGGGATTATATCTGTCACTGAATGGACAAGGATTACAACTTCTATTACAACTTCTTCCAATCATCTGACCTAGTTCAATGGGCAACAATCTCATTGTTCTCCCCACTCTTCAACCGGCCTGGTAAACAGCCCGGCCTGTGCGACTCTTGAGCTGCCATCACGTAATTCCGGCAGTAGATCCCGGAAGCAGAACGAATCGTCGATCAGAAGAAGCCTTCAGTCAGCTTATCCAAGGAAGTCAGTCCCGGTACATCCGAGTGGCCGGATCAGATCAGCGGCGTATACCTTGGTGCTTTTCTGGATAATGATCTGCTGCCTGAATCAAAGGATACGAATATGAATTTCTATCCGCTTTTGCCTAGTGTCTGATGAGCACACTTTGTTCGTATTCTAGCAGGTGTCGTCACCCTGGTCCACATGAAGCATCGCAGGCACCCAAAAGTATAACAAAATACACTAAGCACGGAACTGCCCAAGGCCTGTTTTCCCCCGGCATTACCTACATGATGGGCCATCGACATCCGTATTGTCGTTACTAACCCTCTGCAAGACACATTGATTTGGAAAAATACCCCCCAGTCAAATAATACTACTTTATCGCAGTCGTTTCGATATATTGTACATATTCCGTTGGATTCCCAATTGACAATTAGTAAAGATCTCGGGGTACCTCTCTCACTGTATCCAATGCAGACCCCCAGAAAGTATAGCGAGACATCATCCTGTCTCGTCTTCCCAGAATCTTGATTCACTAGATGGTGTTACAAATCCCAACCCCGGTGTCATCCTTGCCCCATTGACACCCGGACCACAGGTCGGAATCAAGCCCTAAGTACCCCGGTATCTCCATCTAAGCTCGGAAGAATCTGAAATCCATAATCTGTATTATCTGCAATAGCCGACGCGGATAATACCCCCCAACATAACAGTAATAGTTCCTGAGACGAGCACCGGCTGGCAGGGGTAGCAACCCAACCGGCCCAAAAGACAGGGGAAGCCAACACACGCCATCTTGTCTCAGGATACGAATGGCCTGTGTCACTGTAACAACGTAGTGGACTCTTGGAATACGATGCGGGTCATATTTTGACATCAACAGGGATGGCATCGGATCCGGAGCGTCACCCGGGGTCTCCCTGTTGCTCTGTTCTCGGAAGTCCTGGAGACAATGGTTGTGGGGGATATACAAAGGGTTGTGTCACGGCATTATCAGCGGTGTAGAACAATATGTGTATGATGCTATCAGTGGGTCAAATATGGCGCTGCCTTGGTCTTCTCCGAACATGCTCCCCTGTTGGCTGTGGTCTGGGTCTAGATCTGATGTGGGAGAGCATTGTCGATGGCTGATTATTGATTTCTTTTCTTGCAAGTTTTCATTTGCAATCTTATCGCAGAGAATGTACCATCGAAGGAACAGAATCACATAATGTCTTTGGACGGAAGACATTTGGAAGAAGCATCCTACTACCGCCTCAAAGCATCCATGTCTATTGCCCTAATAACAATCAATTGTAATCTAGCAGTTGTAGGCACTTACCTACATCAAAACTACAACAGTTTCCCATGATAACGCATATCCTACTGCCTATCTACCACACGCAATAACAGCCAAGTCCAGAATACTCTCCGCAATCCCGGAATTACAGAAGCCTATCTACCGCCGCACGAAAGAAATAGCAGCGCGAATTCCGAATCAAATATAAATATCTCTCTACCAGGTTAACCCTTCGACAGCCCGGATTCCTCTTCTCCAACCGGGTCTTCGGACTCGTTAAATAGGCGAAGTGAGCCAAGCCATTACCTACCTCTGTACTCCGTGGTTATTAGGTCATCCTGGCGAGGCAAGCTCACACCGGTGTCCGACGGTTTCTCTCACTCTCACACACACACTCACTCTCTCTTTCCTTCGTTTTCTGATCCGACTCGGTATAATCCTCCTGAAAGTCCAGGATATCCTAGATTGATCTGCTTGTGGGGAAAGCATAGTGATTCGGCCGGAGATTACCGTGTATGCTTGATTTTGAGGGATTGTTCCGAGGGTACTTTTGGCCACTGTCTTGTTTCTTTTATTCTTGATATGGGTCGGGAAGGGTGCACCCCGCCCCTGTCCTGAATGTCTAGGCAGTTTTACCATATTGATAGCAGTGCATGTCTTAGTATGGAGTAGTTCCAAGGGACGGATGGCGTGCCCCTCCTCCCTCCACTAGAGCCTGACTAGAGCCCGAAGACAGATTGGGCAATCAAGCCGGGGGTGGTCGCGTTGGCACCGTAGAGACTGTTGGTTCCCTGCAGTCTGTGCTATGTGTTGCACGGTTACGAAAGTATATCGGGTTTCGGTTCTTCTGGATCCTCGCTCTGTAGGAATGGGCTAGGTAGGCGAGGGGTCTCAATATGGTGCGACTTAGTTTGAGTGGCCCCGTTCTAGAACCTTTGATGCTACAAGAGACACGGTGCGAGGACCTGGAGCTTTTGCAGCGTGAGGCGCTACAATGGGTCATGATGGAGGAGGCTTACGCAGTTTGACCCTTGTGTACGGACATGGTATTGACGGGTATGTAAATCCGGTCTACTGTCAACGGGTCAAGCTGATTATCTCCGTAGTAATAATGAAAGAGTAGATCAAAACAGATAGCCAAAGTTAATCCCCGAATGGATGATTAGACATGGTTGTGATCCCATCCGGTAGATTCCATTTGAAACACCACGACCCTGCCACGTATCTGTGGTACCTAGTCCAACCCATAGCACCCTTTCCCTAATAATCTGCCCAATACATCAGACGCAGGCAAAGAATGGCCTTCTGATAACAGTCTGGGCCCCCGCAAATCCATCCCTTACATCCCTTACATCCCCGCCAAGATGCTCGATGCCAACGAGAACCCGTACCACACTGTCGCAACCATGGAGATGGCATTCAGATGGATGGCCATGGCGTGGTTGCGCCCAAAATTTCGATTGGCCTGGTGCATCTTCGCCGGGTCTGTTGGCGCAGGGTTATCTTCATTGCTGGCTTGCTCTACACCGGGTCAGTCTGGTTTTGATCGAAACAAATCTCTTTTTCTATCAATCACCGACGAGCAGAAAAGTCGTCGCTGTCGCACCAAAGAGAGAGGTAAAGGGGGGAAGGTGACGACAAAGGACATGGTAGCTCACCCTGCATGCCCCTCCGCACGACCGCGGCCGTCGTGGTCTTCGGCCCGAAGACGAACCAGTTCAGGGCCCCTGTCACGCCCACAATGGCCAGCGGTACTGTATCCCAACCCAACGACAGGATGCTCCGCGGCGGCCGGCTTACCGCGGTAAGAATCACGAGGCCCACCTGACATTTGAAATATGCGGGGAAGATTTGTTTCTGGAGGGCGAGAAACTCGCGCATTGGGAGGGCGCGATAGCAGACTTTGGTGTTGACGAAGCTCTGGGAAGAATTGAGTTTCAGGGTGGTCTATGGTGGATGACATTGGGGTTGTACCTGGAAGAGCTCGGTGCCCAGTAGAGCGCCATAGGAGAGAAGATGGTAGGGGAGAAGATTGGTAACAGTTGAGAGAACAGAGTCCATTTTTTTTATCTTGTCTTTTCTTTCAATGTTCCCTTTGGATTTCTGTTTTCTCGATAGGAGCCGATGTAGTTGAAGGGATAGGGATGGAAAGATGAAACGGAAGGAGGAGGAAGATGGATGAGGATGAGGTCAATCTCGGTCCAACAAGAGGACAAAGAAAAAGAACTGCCTGACTGACATCAGCGGGATTAGTCCGATACATCCAGACGCCCTTGGTTACATATTTTGAACCTGGTAAGTCCACTATACTTTCTGGGGGGCTCGATGGTTTTCGGTTTGACTGGATTCTGTCAGCCCTTATAGACACGCTGTATGGAGCTAAATGGAATACAATGGTTCTTTCTAACCCTTTGGTATGTTTGAAACGTACTTTGTCAATTCTGCACGGCATGTATACCCGGATGGCTTGGAGAAAGTGAAGTAGATTGAAGTTGAAGAGTAGACTGTGAACAAACTTCAACTGACGTACCCTTGTCACGGGATCGCCGCCTTTCTTCTCATCTTCTTCATTGTTTGTCAATTACTTCTCTTCTTTTCTTCATCTCTCTCTCCTCCAATCTCTATCTCCCCATCCTCCCATGGATTCTTAATCGTTACCCACTTCTCTTCAGTGGAAGTATTTTCTTTTTCAGAGTAACACATCCACTTTTCAGCACGCCACTTCGCTTTTTGCTCCTGTTGATAACATATCATGACCATCGGAGACAATCCTGGTCAATTACCGACCAGGAGAAACGCCATCTTTCTCCAAATGGAGCTGACCACCCAAGTTGTCCCAGCTAATAAATTCGTCACTGGAGGGGAAAACACGTCCTCACCAACTCCCGCGCCACAATGGTTGACTGGTCAATTGTCATCCAGGCCACCGACTCAACCACGTTCCAATGCTGACGGCAGATCAGCACGGCCCTTGGGTAAAATCTTCACCAATCTCGACTGATCCTCAGCGCTGGGAGTCATAGGGAGCCCGGAGTCCCCCATAAGGCTATTCTGCCGGAGCTGGATCGGGCACCCCATATCCAACACTGCACGGTTCAGGCGTCTAGGGTTGACCACGGTTTCCGCGCTTGCTACTTTTATTGATGAACGTGGGCTGAGATTCTTCAAGCTTCATTAAGTAATCGTTGCTATTCTGGTCTTACCATGACAGTCGCCCCCTACCCACCCCCACCATTTCCGTGTGGGATTCGTCAGTCTTGTGTTTTGGCGCCCCATAGTGTCATCTGGCTCTGTCACTTCCTCATCGGACGCCGAACGCTTTAGGTTTACTCGAGACATGTTCCCGTCCTTGGTTTGACCTGATCGGTCGAGCCCGACTCCGTCGCCGGCTTACCTGTAGTCTCCCACCGACGGAACAAGTGAGCCTTCCTTGTCGAATAGCTTTCCCCTAGCCGACATAGTGTGTGCCAGCCCTCGTGAACAAACAATCTCCTGAAATTTGGTTCTCTACCCGGGACGCCCGAAGTGTCATTGCCACGAGAATTACGTCCATGGTGGTCAAGCAGGGATAAGCTGTTTTCACATTTGGACAAGATGGGAGTCTTCAGCGACCATGGTACAGGTGTCACCGTCCCTAACGCTCGGACCAGAGTACTATCTCATCATTTCCACTGCCTCCCGAGGTTAGGCCCAGGCAACTGATCTTCTTGTTCCACAGCCTGCTTGGCTGAGGGGAAGTGTCCCACGGGAGGTCGTCCATATTAGACCCTGAAGAGCGAGGTGGGGCGAATCAGTGAGGTGGTATCCGTGGGCATTATCCCTCTTCGGCATGACATGATGGTCGCTGCGGGTCTGAGATGAAAACCGATAATCTATTAGTCTATTGATTGAGTTTGATGTATTTTCTTTGTTATTTTGATTTTGATCCTTGTCTTCTCTGGCTTGACATATTTATGTTTTATTTTTCTATTTTTTTTTTTTTTCCTTCTATCGTTGGCCCTGGCTACAATTCCCGGGTGGCGCGAAACGCCGCCTACGTGCCCATCTGTGTTCACGCCTGTTGCGGCAGCTGCAAACCAAGCTCAACAGGCACCAGGAGCTGCAGGTCGGTGGAGTATCGCAGCCCGGAGATCAGCCACGAATGATACCCTGGTTAACACGCTTTACAATCTACAGTCGGAATGCACAGCTGTCGTGGAGGCCATCCGAGAATGCGCCAACCGTGGGCATTGGAATATGGATCGATGCCCCGCAATACAGCCGTTCCCCATCAAGCCCGACCGGGATCCCTCCGAAGCCATTGCACTACCTCGTAAGTCCACAGGTTCTGGCGATTCTGACCGAGGGCCAATGAGATGCCAGTGGTCGGGATCCGGGTCCTCCCAGCGTGCCAGAATCTGTGAGCTGAGAGCCCGAGATCATCTATAAAGCTATCAACAGATAAGGTTGACGTTGTCTGGCCTGGTCGTATTCGATTCTTCCTCACTGGTTCCCTCAACCTGGTGGCCAACGGCTCTTCACATTAAGATCGAACCATGATGCACTGCCCGCTCACTGTCTTGCCTTGGCTGTAAGCACGTCTGCTGGCCTTGGAGCTTTGGGCCGATATTCGCTGTAGACTTTAAGACGGCGGCGATCGAGCCTCTCCTCTTCCACCAATCCCTTTGTTATCTCCGTCACTCTATAGCCACCACGATGCGAGCCCATGCTCCCAAAGAAGAACGGACTTCCGCCGAACCTGCCACGCAGAAGCAAGAAGATCCCATCGAACGGAGAAGACTTCAAAACCGCCTGTCGCAACGGAATCATCGTTCGTGCCCCCCGTCTGCCGTGTACAATCTTTACTGACTGGTTGGTCTCTTAGGTCGCAAGATTCGGGATCGCATTGCAAAGCTTCAAGAGCGAGTCATTGCCACCGAACTACGAGCGGCTGCCAGCCTGAATGGCTGGAATAACCCGAACCCATCTGCCCCGCCGATGGGGCATGCATTGCCTCCATATGAAGTCGACGGAGGCCTCACGTCACTGTCCCCTGAAACTGCCACATCCCTCAGTCCATCGTACCTCTTGTCTTCCGCCGCTTGCTCATCGTGTGGGCCCAACGTGGGACCCATGCCTGTGCTCTCGTCACAGTCATCTTCGTCCTCGCTCTTCGACCTCACCGGAAGTGAGATTGACTCCAGTGCATCTTCTTCTATAGGAAGTAGTTTCTTCTCGCCCCGTTTCAGTCCAATGACCCCGGACTTGTCGGTGAGCATTCCGGCGAGCTATCCTCCAGCCGACCTCTGTTCTCCGATGTACCCTGAGCCGTGGGCTTTCCAAGCATCGTATCCACCATCAAATATGTACTACGTCGGTATGCTACTCTACCCCAGTTCTGCGGTTCGTCATACGATACAAATAGCGCTGATCACGATCTAGAAACCACCCTCCCCCAGATCATCCAAGCCCTCGGCCCAGGTGCCTCGCGCACCAAAGCCATCATCCTCCTCCCTCAATCTAACGGCCATCATCTACCCGCAGGCATGGGGCCTCCCCCACCACCAACAGGGTCCTCCCCATCTCCAGCAATAGCGGCAACAGGAGCCAACGCAATCGACCCTGTCATTGCCTCCTTGAACCCACTAGGCTCACACCCACTGGCCTGTCAGTGCGGATCCGGATCAATGCCAGGGTCCCCAGGATCAGTTGGAGGCATGGACTGGATGGGCGGTGGGGCCTCCCCGATGTGTCCAGTCCATGGTGGACAGGGCGGTGGCGGGATGGAGAGTCATCAACTGACGATGCTATGACTACTATATATACTATTTTTGGGGATAAGTTTGGAGTTTGATTCAGCTATATGGTTAATATAAATTGGTTATACTATTTCTTCTGTTATTGAGCCACGGTGGAAGTGGTATAGATGCCTGACAAAAAGGGAGGTGAGGTTAACCTTCGGAACTAGTATCCTTCAAGCCTAGCGTTGACAACAATCTGTCGGGGACAAGTATCTCTTGCAGTAGAATCAGTCGGAATGCCTTGGTTACAAAGCGCCACACCAGGTTATCGAAACAGCACTTCTATACTCCGTAAAAGGGTCCCGCTAATACAAGCCTCCATGGCTTAACACGCTGCAGAATAATACTAAAAAAAGCGAGGCTTCAGAGAAGTCGTAGATCCACCTCGTAGTGCAGATCTTACCGGGGAGGGTTAGGTTTCCACTAGGTAGCCCTAACTTTATCCGTCGGAGCATTTCGTCGGCTGCGTAGGTAGGTATCTAGTATCAATGCTGCTCTGACGCGAGTTTGTGTAGGGTATGCGAATATGTTTTGATCAGTCTGCTTGGGTTGGATATGATGTATGCTGGGTTTGTTGTATTGTATTGATGTTGGTTGGTGGGGGTTGTTCATTAGGTGTCGAGGCATCAATATTGTAGCCTGGCTGATGGCCTAGGTATCTTTTCATGGAGGAGCCTTAGCTAACTGTAATACTAAGGTGCCTAGGTACGTCAAGGCGGTGCATCCAATAAGGCTGCGAGAGAGTTAAAGTCTCTAGGCATCTCCTATGTTTCCTGGTTAGCTATTTGAAAGATTCTACATTCAGTATCCTAACTAACGACAGTGGTGTCTATAACGACATCTAATATATAGGGGTAGGTTAGTACTAGTTAGGGTTAATAGGTAGCATTGAGTTCAGCTCGTGGCACGATACCTCTGGGCATGACGTCCTCTGCAATATGCATGACATCGCTCCACCACTCTGTTAGAGTTTTTTCTTCGATAGATTATACATGCTCATGTATTATCTCAGCCACTGCACCAAAATACTGAATCACCAGTTGCCAGGCTGGGTATGACCGATACCCAGCATGTTGTTATAATGGTCTTCATCTAAGTTAGACTCGCAACTGTATGAACATGGATGGCACGGACATGGCCACGAGACATACACCTTCTTTGGTCGAGTTCCGAAACCCTAAGTTTATATGTTAGGTTCGAAGGGAAGATTGTTGGAAAGTATGAACAGACTCGGGCTGTCCATAGGGTGAGACACGCTATATCCCAGAACAGGTACTCCGCGGTAACATAATATGTATCTTGCATTCGGTCAGCTCAGGGATCATATCGACAACTGCAGGGTTTTCCATGAGTATCTTAGTTGAATTCGGTCATGCTTTTTATGTCACGCTCAATATGTTTTGTACGCTAAATGTGGTGGGGATATGCCTGCTAGAATACACTCCCGAAGAACAAGTATAGGGTTGAGTGCCAAGAATATCCGACTCTAATTATACAGTGAACAAGGTTGTCTTACGTCATGGCTGGAAGCAGGCTTGCAGGATTAGTCCCTGTTAGGATGTTGGTGTACTCGGGGTCAGGGGTATGGAGGGCTGTGTGAAGGACTATGCATGAGAGTATCATAGTTACCTATCTACCTGGTAGTGCAGGGTGATTAAAATCAAGATGCTAGGATATTAGACCGGTTCTCATGACCTGGTAGCCTGAGGATCGAAAAATGGCCCCCAACCTGATCAGGCATCGCCTCCACCGTGGCAAGGCTGGGTCGAACAACCCCAAGAAAGAAGAAAAAAAGGAAGAAAAAAAATACTGATGATAGACAAATCCACAGTCAATCAGATATGTTCTAGATATAAATATCTTCCATCGAGTGATGGATAGAAAGTTAGAGAGTTAGATAGAGAAGATGGACACCTAAGGTACCACCTCCAGATAGCGAAGTGGAGGCGACTCTGAGTCAGCCACATCGTGACCAATCATACCACCACCTCGGCTCCACGACTGTAAACCGACTGGGAAAGAATCGACGTTCGATGGCGTTTCATCAGGCCAAAAGGCCAAAAGGCCAAAAAAAGGGACTCTCCCTCGATCCTTCTCGATCTTTTCTCTCCACCGCTTAATCCGTCCTCCTTTTCATCTTCTTCTTCTTCTCCCTCCCCACTTCCTCTTCTTCCCTCCTCCCCATTCTTTTGACCCCCGCTTAGATTCAGACGAGACGTCTTCACCTCCGCCCGCCCGCCGCTCCCTCCCTCCCCTCCCCCCTTTTCTGGCTCCGCTCTACGATGCCATCAATCCTTCCCCGGATTGATCTGTTCTTGTTCTCCCCCCCGCAATGACTCTCCCCGGTTGCTCGCGATGGCGCCTGAGACAAAATTTTCTGCTTTACCTTTTCTACTGCGCCGGCTTCTTCTGTCTCTTCGGCATCATCTCCATCTGGTTTGGCATGAACACGGACCGCGACTATGTTCACCCGTTATTGACCCAATTGATCCCGGCTGGTCACTGCGCCTGCCAGACCTCGACCACATTCCAATGCTCCACCTGTCTCTCCTGCCCCGAGCAGTCCCCCGCGCATCTCCCGCCCCCCGGCGCGCCCTCTCCATGGCAGTTCCAGTCGACGCGTGACGCCAACAACGAAAGCCTTGATGCCGACCAGTGCCAGACCGCCTTCCCCGGTCTCTTCGAGGATGTGTCCCGCGCAGGTGTCTACTGGCGCGCCCACGGATACTTAGGGACGGAGGACTTGGATCGCATCCCGCTGGAATTGGGCATGGCCCGAGCCTTCATCCACCGCGGCGAACTCCACGTGGTCGCCGTACACTCCAAGGGAGAGGACCACCGTCGCAAGATCCTGGCGGTGTTGAGCTCCATCCATCGCGCGCTGGTCGCCGATGCTCGTCGGGCCGCCCGGCGCGATATTGAGTTTGTCTTCTCCGTCGAAGACAAGGTGGAGGACGTCACCAGTTCGGACAACCCCGTCTGGGTGCTGGCGCGGTCCGCGACCGAGGAGGCCGTCTGGCTGATGCCGGACTTTGGCTTCTGGGCCTGGGATAACACCCAAAATTCGATCGGGCCGTTCGACCAGGTGGTGGAGCGCGTGAAGCGTGCTGATATCCCTTGGTCGGAGAAGAAGCAGCAGCTGGTCTGGCGGGGGAAACCGAGTTTCGCCCCCAAGTTACGGCGCGCCCTGATGGATGCCACGCGGGGAAAGTCGTGGGGCGACGTCAAACAGGTCGATTGGACAGACGGCACGAATATCATGCGCATGGAGGACCACTGCCAGTATATGTTCATTGCCCATGTAGAAGGTATGCCTTTGTCCCCCTCGTTCACTTACTTTTCCTGTTGTCCTATTCCTCTGCCGTTCGACTTCTCCTGTGTCGGGAATTGTTGTTAACTTCTCTTTTTCAGGTCGCTCCTATTCAGCATCCCTCAAGTATCGCCAAGCGTGCAACTCCGTCATCGTGGCCCACAAACTGCAGTACATCCAGCATCACCACTACCTTCTCGTACCGGACGGTCCCCATCAAAACTACATCGAAGTGGAACGCGACTTCAACGACCTGTCGGCTAAGATGGAACCGCTGCTGCGCGACACCAAGGCGGCACAACGCATCGCAGATAACAGCGTGCGGACATTCCGCGAGCGATACCTGACCAAGGCAGCCGAGGCATGCTACTGGCGAGCTCTCTTCGACGGATACGAACAGGTGTGGAACAGCAGTGTGACGGTATGGTCCGAACAACAACAACGGGAGCGCGGTCTGCGATACGAATCCTTCATCCTGTTGGATAGCCAGTCGATGTTGAATTTCGAAACGATGTGACGAGACTGACCCGGACAGACGGATTGACGGACTGATTTGCGATTATTGGCTTGCATCCCGGAGTTGACGGTGTCGGGACCCTATCCTTGTACAGGTTTTTGACAGGTCCCGGGGAACCTCCCTTTCCTTTGGACCGGTTCATCGATACCACGAGAGCGTGTGTTTTCTTTTCTTTCCTTCTTTTTTGGGATTTGTATAGTATAGAGACTCTGATTACTAGAGTGGCCGTCCCTTTATTAGTATATATACCGGCCTATCATACATAATTTAACTATAATCCCGCTGAGATTGCGGGCTGCACAGATTAATCATGTCGGTGGTTACTGAGTTTCAGGCTGGAGTCAATTGTAACCCCTGTCTTGTACATGTCTTGTGTCACTATCGTTTACGATCGTTTACCCATCGTTATTGGGGCTCAATATTGCGGTGGCTTTTAAGACCTCACCTCGGTAGCCCAGACCTAATCCAATTTGTCAGATCGTATTATCCTCTACTCCGTACTACCTGGCACTATAGTAGGTACTAAGTGTCTTAGTGTCTCGGGGAGCGATGACCGCGAGGTCAATAATAGATATCATGTGATTCGCTCGAGTCGAATAGGTTTTCGACAATCAAATAGTGGGTGGAGTCATTCTCAGCCTTCTCCACATTTCATCGACTAGTCTGGTCTTGCATCGCACGGGTGAGATTGGATGGGACTGAGATCGATGAGGGTATTTGTGTTTGCTGGCTGGTTTACAGTGGATTTACTCCTTTCTCGCTGCTAAATACTATACTACAGTAATACTTACTGTACTCTGAAGACGCTGTGCACGAAGTCCAGAGATGATGTTATGGACACGACCGTCGACACCGTCAATTAACCCTTCAAACGAGGGCATTCTGCACGGGGTTGTCAAATTAGACAAGACAAAACAAACCAAGACAGACAAAACAAGCGCCACGACATGATTCATCCCCCCCGTCCACAAGCTATCCGTCTACCGAGTGGAGTCCACCAGGTGGCACCCTTCAACAAATCAGACCCATCCACAACAGAAACCAAATAAAAGACTCATTCTAGTGTCCACCCTTTTCCTTTTTCTCCCTTTCCTCCAAATGACAATCCCTCCACGGTGGATTGGTCGGTTGCATGACGCAAGGCCTGAAGGGTTGGAAGGCATGTCCGTCTGTCTACCAGCCTGCTCCCTCGACGAACCATGATCTGTGCAATGATCAGCCCGTCAACCACTCACAAGCATCCAGTGGATCCCCAAGGGTGCAAATCCCTCCCGCTATCGAAAAGATCGGCGCGGGCGAGATTTCAGCTCAGATCTGCATCACATCGAGGGATGGGCTTGGCTTGACTTGAGTGGTGTCGCTGCTGCAGCTGGTCTCCATAGGTAATAAGCGCGGCGTGCTCCGGTAGGGAGGTTGAGTCAAACAATAACAATAACAATTATTATCATAATAACTACCTACTAATAATATCGGTGCCATCCGCCCTCGTTCCCGTCTGATTCTGATTTCTCCCCGTTGTTTACTGGACTAATAGACGGTGCAAACATGTCTACCCCCATTCCCAAGCCTAAAGGGCTCCCGATTTTGGGAAACTTGTTCAATCTCGATGGGAATAATCCTTGGGCTTCGTTCAATAAGCTGGCTTTGACTAATAAGGACTTCCGTGTGTACCCCCAGGAATGATACAGTTGCAAAAGACTGCGATTATTCTTCATTAAGTGGTCTAGAATCTAACAGGCCAGGTCCCATCTTCAAAATCAGCATCCTCGGACACGACATCGTCTTCGTGACAGGCGCCGCCCTTCTAGAAGAAATCTGCGACGAGAAGCGATTCCGCAAATGCGTCGCAGGCCCCATCATCGAGATCCGCGCCGCCGTGCACGACAGCCTCTTCACAGCGAAACATGACGAGATGGAGATGTGGGGTATCGCCCACCGCATCATGGCGCCACTGGCAACCCCCGAAGCAACCGCCCTCCTATACAGCGGCATCCGCGAAACATCCGCCGACCTAATCAAGAAGTGGACAGCAGGCCCGCGCCAACGCGTCCACATCACCAACGACCTGGACCGACTCAACCACGAAGCCAACACGCTCTGCTTCTTCGACAAACGCGTCCACTGCATGGAAGGCCCCGAACCAGCCCTCGTCGCAGCCATGGCCGACTCAACCGGCGAATCCCTCAAGCGCCCAACCCGCCCCCGCCTCCTCACCTGGCTCCTGCACGAGCGCAAATGGAAACGCGACATCAAAACCATGCGCGACTTCGGCGCCTCCCTCGTCCAACACCGCCGCGACAACCCCTCCGACAAAAAAGACATGCTGCACGCCCTCATGCACGGCACAGACCCCGAAACAGGCCGCTCCCTCACCGAAAGCCAGGTCCTCGACGAGATAATCAACGTCTACATCGGCAGCGCCACCGCCCCCAACCTCGTCGCCTTCGCCCTCTACTACCTCATGAAGAACCCAGACGAGATCCGCAAAGCCCAAGACGAGCTCGACGCCGTCGTTGGCCCCACAGCTGACCTCGAACACACCCACCTCACCAGCCTCCCCTACGTCGAGGCCATCCTCCGCGAAGCATTCCGCCTATCTGGCGTCGCGCCAGGCTTCAACATCGAGCCCATCCCCGAAGAGGGGAACGACGCGCCCGTCATGCTCGCCGGCGGCGAGTACCAAGTCCCGCGCAACCAGCCCCTCATCGCCATCCTGGCGGCCGTGAACCGCGACCCGGCTGTCTTCGACGACCCGGACGCGTTCAAGCCTGAGCGCATGGTCGGCGAGAAGTTCGATGCGCTGCCTGCGGGTGTGAAGAAGGGCTTTGGGAATGGTCAGCGCAGGTGCTTTGGGTCTCGCTATGCGTGGGAGTGGTCGTTTTTTACGCTCGCTGCTGTGCTTAAGGATGTGGAGTTTCAGCAGGCGGATCCGGAGTATGTTATGCATAATGACGGGGTCAATTATAGTGGGGCGTTTACTGTGAAGCCTGTGGGTTTCTTTGGGATTACGGGGCCGAGGGTGAGGCAGTAGTTCTGGACTGGCTTTATGAATGCGTGGTAGCTCTTTGACTGGTTAGGGTCAGGAAGGAATCGATTGTGATGTTTGATACCAATTGGATGGACAGCAGGCTGATATACCGTGTGGATTGAGGAACGAATACAGGTGCGATAATCAGCAGATAGGTAATGGAGACGTGTTACGCGATTTCATTCCAGCTCGAGCGAGTCTACAGTATCAGCTGAACATTTCCCCAAAGACTCCATTCTGCAGACTGTCTCTTGTCATGTTCTATGTAGAACCCATCATACAACCCACTACACCCCACATCAACTCCCCTACGGGAGGAGGGGAGTGCCGCTACATATCGATGCCACATGCACGCATATATCACCTCCTATACCCAGTAGGTAACTTATGAGCTTGCTGCCCAGTACATGAAAGGCTCTTCGGCCTCCATGAGTCCAATCCATGTCTATACTACGCCATAGTAAAGCACGTGATGGGGCACCCACCGTCGACCCTAGTCACGTGGAACGGACCACCTGCAATCATCTCATCTTGGCTCGCTCAGCGGTCTTTGTCTTCTGCAGACAACAGCTCACTCATTCTTGCCTCGCGAGTCATGACGCGCCTGGATCTGCAGTCGTTTATCTGCTTTGGATTAAGATGTTAATGCTAAGCCACTAAGCCGGAATCATCCTTGCAGCTCACTAGTCATGGTATTCACTATCTGCTTTAGGGTTGAGGATGTCAGTACTTGGTTATAAGCTACGATTTCCCCTAGACGGGTTGGTACAGTATTCAAATTCTTGTGTAAAAAGACTTATGTGGTTATATAGGTAGGTCTTCGCACATCTGGTCATCTATAACATAAGTCATTGCAACATGGGGTAGATTGCCCTGGGAGACAAGAAGGAGGAAAGGAAAGGAAAGGAAATCATTCTGAAACTGGACGAGGTTTAAACAAAACAATAAACACGCAGAATGTACTTGGAATGAGACACAAACATTCTTGGAAACAGACGCAAACACACTTCGACAAGGAAAATACAAAACTATACTAATCAACATGAATCCGCCACAACTCCCGATCACATCGACTCTTATACCCCGTCCGCGTGTGCAGCATGCTCGTGTTGTCACTAACAAGCATGTCACCCCTCTCCCACTCAAACCGCAGACAGACACGATAGTCATATGTCATGCGATCAATGACATCCACCAGCGACTGATCCTCGTTCTCGACGTGCACTGCACAAGTCGAGAATTTGGTCTTTGTCTTGTCCCATGGCTGGTGCCAGCGCACGCAGGGCAAGCCCGTGACCTTGTGCGTCACGATAAGCGGCAGACTCTTGAGTTTGGCGTCCCAGAACCCGTCGTTGTCCATTGCCCATGTAACAGGCTGGAGACGCTCTGCGGTCCACGGGAGAGGCAGGTAGCGGAAGAGGAGGCGCGAGCTGGCAAACAGCGTGTACCCGCTGCCTTTCGGGGCGGTGGCTGGACAGGTGAAGTACTGGAACCCTGGGGGCTTTTGAACCCGGCTAGTCTCCCCTGTGACAGGATCGGTGTGGTCTTCGAATTTGAACATGCCGTCAAAGTGCATGGGCATGGCTTCGTTTGAGGTGACGTTGTTGCCGAGCTTGTCAGTCCGCCCCGCGTCCCGCACTTTCTGGATCACCCCGAAGCTCCAGGGGAGGATGGTGCCTAGCTCGGAGGCGGTTGCCAGATAGTCTTCTTCGTTGAGGGAGTCGGCGAAGCCGCGGAGAACGACTGGCGAGAACGTGTTGGAGAGCTGACGGACCTTGCGCATGGGGATGGATCGGATAGAGGGCGGGGCGCGGCTGTCGTCGATATCGACGGGGCGGATGATCAGCCCGCAGGGGTAGAGGTGCTCGAATTTGACGGTGAGCCCGTCGGCATGCCAGTCGAAGAGATCCGATCGCTCGCGGAAGTAATACGGACGACCGTTCTTGTAGATCAGGTCGTGCGTCTCGCGCACGTCTTCAGCATGCACAGTGCAGAACGTGCCGTTGGTGTTGACGGCGATAGACGAGTGCCAGGGTGTGTACCCAAGGGCACCGCGGACCTGGGGAACCAGGGAGATGGAGAGTTTACGCTCGCCATTGGATTCATGGATCGAGAGGCGCACGTAGTCGCCGCGATTGGCCTTGATCGCAGAGGCAAATGACTTTCCGCGGACGATCATACTGCGCGCAATGTCAGCGATGCGCGCCTGGCGGGCCTTCTTCGTCGTGAACTGCTTGTCTTCCTGATGTGCCAGATCCTTGGTCAGGAACTTGATGTACCCGCGGTACGTCAGGCAGGTGTCGTTGTCGTTGCGGATGGCCTCGGCCGCATCAAAGGTCGGGTCACCGAATCGGTACACGAGCTCCCGACGCAGGCAGTTGGCGTGCGCCAGGTAATGCGCCTTGGCTTCTTCGGGGTTGCTTGTCTTGATCCAGGGGTGCTCGAGAAGCTCGAATAGCCGGATAAACTTAACGTGGTGCAGTTCCTGCTCGACGGCCATCTTCCGCAGGGTCTCGCCGTATTCCCACACCGTCTCGTCGGTCACGCCCAGGATGTCTGCTATGGTCAGGTCAAATCATATACCTGGAAGGTGTGTTACTCACCGTTGTACACCAAGCCGTCCGAGCTGATATACGCGTCTGCACCTGGCTCGTATACTTGTGCGATATTCCGGCACAGTCCGTTGAGGTGGTGCAGGGCCAGCTCCTCGCCCATGTCCGGAAGAACGCCGAGGACTTTGTCTCGTGCATTGGGGGACTTGAAGGGGAAAGCAGGGAGGACCATGCGGACAGGCTCGCATTTCTTGACTTGCTCTAGAACGGTAGGGATGAAAGAAGAGAGGCCCTTCCATGATTCGCCCGTCTTCTCATAGTTCACCCCATAGCTCTCGATGACCTTTAGGATTGCAATAGCTGTCTGCTCCTCTCTTGGAACCCCCGGCTCGTCCCTGTTGATGGACGGCTCGGGGGTAAGGATGTCTACGTCGGACGCCGGCCCCGGGGACTGGAGCGTCTCGTCCTCTTCCGGGATATGTGATTCAGCCCCGTTGACACCCCGGTTCGCTTCACAGGGTTTCTCGCACGTCTCAGTCATTTCTGTCTCCTCTAGACCTGGCTCTAAACACGAGTTAGCATCAACATCTCGGATACGATCAGTCAGCTAGCTAGCTCACCTGTCCAATGACGCGGCTCGTCCACTGCGAAAGTGATAGCATTCGCATCCGGCGCGGAGCCCACCTCAGAAGGCTCAACAACAACGGACACCTTGGATGCCGACTTGGCGCTGTACGACTCGGATGCCTCGACCTGGGACTCCTCAAGGCAATCGGCACTAGGTAGGACCGCAATCATGGCGTTTGATTCTTGTTTCACGTATAGGAAATCTACCAAGAGCCAACTGAAACTTGCTCAGATGTTCTCAACGGTGCAGTTGAAAACTAGATGTGTGTTGGAATTCAGGGTCTGTGTCTCCATCCCCTCAAGCAACAGCATGGATTTTCCTTCCTTATATAGCCCAGTTCCCAAGGTTTCTTTTCCTTCCACCAGACCGAAAACAATAAAAGGATATCAGAGTGTGCCATCGGGGATTATGGTTAACGCTCATGTCAGCAGAATACGAAGAGAGCCAAAAGTTATCTCAGTCTGGGCACACCACGACGAACAGCTGCCCGTCCACGAGCACAACTCGCGCTGAATCGAGTATCCGGTCCGTTCAGCTTGCCCGACATCAGGCCTTCAGTCCCCTGTTGACCTGAGTAAGGCATGAGCCTTGGAAAACTCAGAACCCGAACCGACGAACCAACCAGTTTGTCGTCCGCTGCTGAAGTTCGCGCTGTAGTCATGTCCTCCGGAGATGCCCTGACGAAAATGTCGGAGGTGATGACTAGAGCTGCATGCGCCCCGGAGGCATTCATTGGCTAGCTGGGACATCTGTTGAACTGCTCCTGTCTGTCCTTAGGTAGGTACCATCGCCACAGCGCCCATTTTTAGATGTCTCAGGGACGAGAGTTTGGATAGCGGTCTGTTGGCTGGCTGGATGCTGGCCGCTGGCTAGATGGCTCTCATTTGGGCATATCAGCGTGTCTGCCAACGCGTGACTCAAACGCCTGATCTCTGACTACACCTCACACAAGAGCTAGACCCAGATCTACATGTATGAATCTGTCAATGACAAACGGACCCAGTGGCTGGCGTCGAGGGTGAGGGTCACTAGTACTTGGAATAGACTATGAAAACAGCAGCGTCAACCCCAGGAGACTCGTGGTTTGTCCCTGTAGGGATTCCCACCCCCGAGGTCCTGTATGTAGGCGTACATAAGACGGGCCATTGTGACTGTTGATGACAGCATTCGGCACCCAGGGGGCAATTCTTCACGAACCCCTGTGGCGTCGTCGTTTCTTTTTCCGCTTTTTTATTTCTTTTTTTTAGGTTTTTGCTTCCAAGCCCTCGTACGGGGTTGGTGACACTAATGCTGATACCACAGACAACATGCTTTTCATCTATTTTCCCCGAAGAACGCCCACCCAATGGGATATTCGCCTTCTGGACTTTTCTATTTCCGCTTCTACACAGACACCTTCGTCGAACGGCACTAATGGGGATGACAGAAGTCAAAAGTTCCCTTCAACAAATCAAATGTATTGAAATAGCTCTACATAGGATGAACGAACATCCGCGTGGCCCCGTCACTCGCTTAATTCCACATCATACTCCATCACGCGGGCCACGAACTGTGCCATATCGGGCGAGATCAACCGAGAAACCAGATGAAGCGAGGCATCCAGCCCACTGCTGATTCCCCCGGCCGTCAGCAGACGAACGCCCAGCGAGCTAACCTCCTGGTCGACGTATCGGCGGTGGATAATAGTAGGCGGCGCAGCAGCGGGGTCGTTTACCTCAGCGCAGAGCCGGCCCAAGGACTCCAGCGCGCGGTGGTGGGTAGTAACCACCACACCATCAGTGAGCAGCCCCGCCTTGGCAACCAGAAAGGCCCCCGTGCAGATGGAGAAGACCACGCGGGGGACACCCTCCTCCTTCCGGGGGAGCGCAGCGAACCTGCGAATGAGGTCCACTTCAGGAGTGTCGCGATGGTCGTGTGAAGAAGCGATCAGACCGTCTATGACAGATGGTGGGGCGCCGGGGCATACCAAGATGTCGTACTCGGGGAGTTTGCGCGTGGTGGCGGGGTCTGCGATGACGAGATCGGCGTTGATGGAGAGGGCGTTTTTGGCGCGCACGATGGAGTCGCGGGCGATGATGTCGATGGTGAAGGCGAGGTCTGGGTCGTCGGGGTTGTGGTTGTGGGAGACGTGGGAGAGGATCTCGAGGGGCCCGGTGAAGTCGAGGAGGTCGACGCCCTTGAAGATTAGGACGGCGACTTTGTAGTATTTTTTGGGGGGGGACATTGTGTAGAGATTGGTGTGTCTATCTTGATCTTGGGTGGTGGTGGTGGTGGTAGGTTGTTGCTGCTGCGGTAGGCGCTGCGATATGTATTTGGGTTCAATTACCAGTAACAAAGTGCAAATCACAATCGGAGGCAGCTACATTCCATCCCTTCTCCCATTCCATACATTGATAGATGTTTACCTAGTTACAGCCCCCACCTCAGCTGAAGTGAGAGTTTCCAAAACCATGTCCACCATGCTGACTCTGCTGACTCCTCTTGTCGCCCAGGGGGGAGACATCAACTCGCCACAGGTAGATGTCTCAGCCCCAGAAATAGGTATCATTGTTACTCAGTTTGAACTCGGTCTCTCTGAACTGGTTTCAACGCATGTCTAATGGAGGGAGAACCGTAATCTTCAGGCCTTAGACTGGATGCAGATGGAATGTGGGTATGTAGGGTCTGCAGGATATGTACGGCCTAGAGCAGGTGCGGATCGGATAGTTCTCATTGTGGGGCTTATTTGTGGTCTGGCTTACTTGGTTATGATTGGGTACAATAGAAATATCTCCATTGTTATCGTTGATGGTGTGGCGGTTTTGCTGTTGCAGCTTGCAGGATGTGATTTAACTCTGTTGGGATATCGTCATATTGAGCCTGACCAAACCCTCATTCGGTATTGGTGCAGTGGTTGAGAGACTCTCTATTGTTTAGTCGTATCAGTAATTGCGAGACACAATAATATAATGCCATATAGCAAAGGGAGAGACTAAACCCAGTGGTATACATTCTCAAGCACTGTTGTGCTTCTTCTCCATATATTTGTGCTACCCAAATGATAATCAATCCCTCTAATTTCCATCTACTAGGCAATTATAAGCATCCTGCTGGTCTACCCAAAGATTCCATCTACGAAGTATATTTATAGTATCTTAAGATCCTGTCATATTCTCTATACATACATGGTGGCAAGCACTAGCGTGAGCGATCTGCAAATCTCCTGTCTCCACTTCAGCTAGCCTACTTGCACTTTACATATATATTGATTTATTCCGGTGATGATGTAGCATGTACCCTATCATTGATTAGGTAATGCCTACTTGGTACGATATTGTTGACTCTGCGGTGCTTGTGCTTGTATGTCCGTATCTAGAGAACCTGATACACCTAAGATACGTATAGAACATCGGTGCTCCAATAGATATGTTAAATAGTTCAATATGTCCGAAGGATTACTGAGAAATTTAGTAGAAAAGAGAATATACATTCATACTTACTACATATACCCATCCATAGTAAGGACATTAAGGGCAATGTATATATTAGATCGGACACATTATATGTTAACATAGGGTACTCTACTAGCCTGAAGAGGTAGGCTAAGTATGAATGAACAAGCGAACAACGGGTTAAATTAAGAATATGGCGCCCAATAACGCCAAATCCCTCAATATAAAATCCTAATGTATACAACAAGAATATCTCCAAAAAGCCAATCAATCAAAGAACCAACCCGTATATTTTTACTCGCCAGCCCATCCATCCATCCATCCATCCAATCAACCGAACACCCGTCGTCCAATCATGCAAAACCCAAAATATGCAACCAGTGCTAAAACAAAAGAAAATCAACCACCACAAGTGGACCGAATCAACTCCACAATGGCGGGTGGATGTACTCCGACGCCCGGTCGAGAATATTCGGGAACGTCCACTCGCTGCTGGTAGAACTCTCCGGGGTCGGCGGCGGGAGCGATCCCATGTTGGGCGTCAGGCTGGCGGAGACAGGCGCCGTGAAGGGGCCCATCGTGGCGCTGCCGGGGGCTGCCACTGGGTGCATGTAGGCGGGGGATCCGGCGGGCCCGGTGCCTGTCGACGGGGCCATGCCGTGCGAGGCGAATGCGGCTTCGAGTTTCTCTAGTGCGCTGAGAGTCTTTGTGAGGGGTTTGGCCCACTGCGTTTGGGTGTCGATTGCGACGGCTGCTGACGCGGGGGAGGCGGAACTCAGGGCTGCGGGGCTGGTTGCGGATGGGGCGGCGGGTTCGCCGGCGGGGAAGCCTTCGGAGTTGGCGCGCTCGGAGATGATTAGCTTTAGTTGCTGGAGAAGGGTCCAGAAGCGAGGGTCGGTCTTGGACTCTTCTGTGACGGCTAGAAGGAAGATGGAGCTGATGGCTCGCTGGAGGGTGATCCATGAGCGGGAGGCGTGCGAGCTGACGGAGTGCATCTCGATGTAGGCTTCCACGGTTGTCATGAGGCTGCTTACGCAGTCTGCGCGCATGCTGGCGATGGCTGGGTCTTTGGGGTGGGCGGCGTATTTGAGAGCTGGCCGACACAGCTCGGAGGAGAAGTAGGATGAGTGCAATTTCAAAACGAGCCGCTCTAGGTGTTGTGTGGGCGTCATGCAGTACTCGCGGTCCCGCAGGTACGGTTGGGCCTCGGCGATGACCTGCTGGATTCTCTCTTTGTACGATTGGATGGACTTGGAACTCATTTGGTTGTGAGGACTGAGCATTCGGCCACGGACGACCTCCAACGCCAGTGAGATGACCCGGCAGAGGGATTCAAAGTATGGTCGGTCGTTTGGAACGGAATCGTCGCGGTATGCGATGTCAGGTTGGCTCACGGCTGTCGTCGAGGGTCGATCGTAGGATAGAGAGAAGTGGCTGTCTTGCCACGCCATCGACCACCTGCCCGCTGTTAGATCTCCACCCAAGGGGGAAAGAGTGGTGTAAATCATGGACTTACCAAACATGTCGTCTCCGGTATCTTTCTGCCGGGGAGAAGTGACTTGATTCAACATGCAATCCAAGAGCCAACCCCATTCGGAGTGTCATGCCTAATCTGGTCAGCGGTGAAATCCAACGCGCAGAGGAACAGGACTAACCAAGAAGCACGTAGGAAATGCCCGGGTTCATATTATAAGAGAGAACATTGCCAATGACCAAGAGAGTCTCAATAGCCTCGATTGTCGGCTGCGACATGAAATTGGTCATCCGCAAACATTGGTAGGAGCAACACACTAAACAGATCAGCAGTGACACAATCGACCATTCGGAGACAAAGCGTACCATAAACCTGAGAGGTCAACTCTCGTTCTTTACCAGGGATGTCAGAAGATTGGCAACCGGACGCCAACACGGCAAACAGTAATCCCAGGAAGGCGATACTGACGCCGAACGGTTTCTGCGTCTGATTGGCATCTACTTGGTATGCTCCGCCCATCGCCGCTCGATTTTGCAAAACAAGATCGAGATACATTTCGAACTGCGGGATATCTCCAAGCACGGGGTAGATAGCGCCCGCAATATCACGATAATAGATGAAGAATCTGCCAACCGTCTATCAATATCATGCACGAAGGAAGAGACGAAAAAGAAACTCACTCTTTACACTGCCGATCACTGGGAAGTGCGCCACAAACGGCGCTCACATCAAAAGTCGACATATCCGAGGACCACAGATCAACGAACGGATACGTCGCGGACTCGTTGTCAAGACCCAGCTTGGGTAATATCCCTCCCTCCAAAAGAGCTTGCAGCTGGTCCGAACCGGACTTGTTGTTGAGTATATAAGCCAACACGGACCTCGACCCCAGGTGGACGGTGCCCTCGCCCAAGGTGTTTGGCGCGTGGATGCCCTCGCGCTCAGGAGACGGAGGTTTAGACCGGTTGCTGGCCTCGGCGCTCTGGACGCTTCCCGTTTCCGTCAACGCCGGGCCTTCCTCCACCCTCTCCAGCCCGGTCCGCATATTCGAGATCGTCTGCTCCATATCCCTAAGTCGACTGCGAATATTATCCCACTCCTCGCGCGCAATCGACACGCGAGCTCCGGGAGCCGGTCCGCTCGGCCGGCGCAAGCCGGCCTCCGTCAATCCGGGCTCCTGCTTCAAGCGCACATTGGCATCCGTGGGGCCCGGGAGGCCAACACTTTCTGGTACACTGGCCTGCGAGCCTCCGACTGGACTATCGCGGTAGGGCTGCGCGAGAGGTCCCGCCATGACGCGTTTTTTCGAGGGCCGTTCGTACGAGCACAGATCGGCGTGGTCTCGCTTCACGCACCCGTCGCAGGGGAGGTTCCGATCGCACTTGACCTTCCGGGCATGGCACGGGTAGCAGGCTTTGGGCTCTCGCGCTTTTCGCTTGGTGCGGATGATCGCATCGACTTGGGAGCGGGGGAGGTCGGTGACGGACCGAGAGGCAGTCGCCATGTCGGAGCCGGGTAGAGGCGACGAGAACGACACGGACGACTGATAGGGAGAAGCCATTATGATTGTATTGGCGTCGTAAGGGGAATCAGTGCCTAGTGGTCTATTTGGCTCTGTCGGGGAGCCTGTCGGAAACCTGTCCGGGCGATCGCGGGTCGTTCTGCCAACCGTTGTCGTCGCGGACGGAGAAGAACGGGCACAAAAAGAGGATCGGATGGGCGGCTAGCGTCACGCTGAGGGTAACCGAATGGACATTGCTGGATCGAGTCGAGAGAATTCGTTTAGTAGAAATTCGAACAGGTGGAACCGGCCTCCGAAGCTTTCCAATGGAGGAATCAATGCGGGATGGAGGAGGCGAAAGACGGGGAGAGCAAGACAGCGGCACGTGACCCGGGAGCCGGGAATGCTGACTCAGTCAGGGTCTGCACGTGACGGGGCGGGGATCCCCATGCCCTAACTCAGTGACGTCGAACGGCTGTGGCGGCACACGGATGGAGATTCCCAGACCAACGAGGTGACCGTGCCTTGGATTGTGTGTATATCTAGCTAGAGTCGATAGTGTATAGCGCTTGAAGGGTCTGGGTTAGGAATTTTGGTCAATATTACTCAATCTATTTTTCAAAGAGGCTTCTAATGGTCATACTGGAGATACTTGGACACAGTGCTCTAACATATTATCTATCATTCTATACACATGTATATATACACACATCTCACAACATATTAAGATAGTCTTCAATGATAAAAAAGGAAAAGGTAAAATCAAAAACGCTAGTGGAAACTCCCAAACTTTTTCAAATGCCGCGTAAATGCATCAACCAATATCAAAGCAAACCACCCCGAGCGGAAGGATGGGGATATCAAGACAATGCATGGGGGTATTTCAATAATTAAGTCCGTAAAAAGGTCGGACGGGAATGAGGGGATTGATCAAACAAGTGATCCAGATCCGAACAACCCGTGATAATTTTTGCTTGTTTGTTTTTTTGAAGTTTAAAACTTTCCGTGCTCTTCATCAGGGACGAAGGCGTACTTGGAGAAGCGGCGGATAGACTCTCCCTTGTAGTAAAAGACGAAGGGAATCAAGCAGCAGGCCAGACCCAAAAAGGCCAGCAGCGTGCTCGCCCACTCGTAGCCCAGACGGTGGTACATCTGCTCGGTGAACAGCACCGTGCAGGCACCCCACATGGAACGGAGGAACGTCTTGGCTGCCAAGGCGGAGGCGGCTTGGTGCTGGTAGGTGTCGACCAAGTAGTTGTTGGCCGAGTTGTACAGAAAGATGAAGCCGAAGCCGACGGGAAGACCACCGATGGCGGGGCCGAACCAGTGGATATGGGGGTACGAGGTCCAGGCGAAGATGAACAGACCGATCGGGATCAGCCAGCACGAGAGCATCATGGGAATCAAACGGCTCTCGGCGGGGGGTTGCCGGCCACCGTTCTTTGCGTAAAGAGACAGGTAATGCTTGTTCACCAGGGGGGCGCAAGCCGCACTGCACAGGACACCGATAGCGAGAGGAATGAACATCAGACCAGTAGGTCCAGCGCTCCAGCCCTTGCCTTCTTCAAACACGATAGGGTAACTAGACAGGCGATTGTTAGGAGGATATTCCAAATGACGTCATGGGGAGGTTGTAAACTTACGCAACGAAGAACATGTACAGCAGACCGTAGAGAACCGACATGTAGATGGAGATGAAAAACACAATGGGTTCCAGGAAGAGAAGCTGGAAGGGGCGGAAGAGGAAGATGCGCAGCTTCTCGCCCATCGGACGGGCATCCAGCTCGGTCTCGGTCACGTATTTCTCGTCGTTCTCGGTCTTGCGCAACTTCTGGGCTCTCTTCTTCAGAAGGGCGGGGGCATAGGTCTCCGGCACGGTGAAGGTGATCAGAACCCAGGCACAGAATCCGAGAATCAGCTGGATCCAGTACAGCCACCTCCAGTCACCGGTGCCATCCGCGAGATAACCACCGACAAGGGGACCAATGGCGGGACCAATGAAAGGACTGGCGGAGAAAGCAGCCATTGGGACACCACGTTCCTCGTTCTTCCACAGATCGGCCAACGTGCCACCGACCAGAGTCATGGGCGCACTGAAGGCGATACCGTCGATCGCACGGCAGACGATCAGGGTTGCGATGTTCTTGGAAACGGCGCACGGGATGATGAAGATCACGGCCACTAAAAGAGTGAGAGCGTAAACGGGTCGGCGACCAAACATTTCTGATGCGGGAGCAAATGCCATGGGGCCTGGACAAGTCAGCTTTGACGATCTCAAATGATTAAAGGGACTGGGTTTGTGGACCACTTACCAACACCGAAACCAATGACGAACACGGTGACCACGACCAGACTCACTTCACGCGACACCCCGAATTCCTTGGCGGGGCCTTCGATATCGGCCGTGATCACACTGCTGGTAAAGGCGACAACGAAACAGGTAAAGGACACGACCATGGTGCAGTACCATTTGAACGCTTTGGACCAGTTCTTGGGGTTCTCGGGGTCGTCGATCTTGAAGGTGACCAGCTTCCAATCCTCCATCTGCCCCGTGACGGTAGACTTGACGGGCTTGATGATCTCTCCCGCCGCGGTCTCCGTCACGTACTCTTCCAGGTTGGCATTCTCGGTGACTTGGCGCAACGGAAGATCAGTTGGGTCGACCTGATCGTTGGCAATAGAGCCCATGGTGTAGGTCCGTGTGGCCTCCGAAGAGAGGTCGTAATGTTGTGGTTCTTGCATCTTGGACAAGGTGGATACAGATAGATGCTAAAGCGATGGGGAGGTAATGCAACACATTTGAAGGCCGGTGGGTAGGGGAAACGAGGTACTTATAGACTGACATCTTTGAATGTTTCCAGAATTGGAACGGGAAGAGTGGACCGATCAAGAAAATTTTAACCTTTAGGATGATGCTTACAAGGTTCAATCTTCAAAGTTACCGTATGTCGAGATACCCAACTCGGCAATCGGCCGGGCGGTTTTGGGTCGGATGCGATTCGGTTTCCCGATCGGGATAGCCACTCTAGCCGGATAAGGCGATATCTCCCGAGCGCCCGGGCCCGGGATCCTTACCCATCCCATCCTCGTTGGTCCACCATTCTCCCTTTTCAATGTCTTTGTGCAGTACACGAATCTGGTTTCTGGAACAACCCAGACCAAATTTTCTACATTCGAGGTGGCATATCTTGGTTCGGTGCCGGCACGGGTGCTCGAATATTCTATTCTGTACCTGCTCTACCCTCTACTCCGGGTCTGAGGGAGAAGAAGGCGAATGTCCCTCCCAGTGTCAAACCCCTTTTCGTTGCTTGCGATAAGGGTGGGGGGAAAAGGAAAAAAATACAACAATAATCTAGTGATGAGGGTTCCATTTTCTGGACCCCTACCAATTGGAAGAAATTTCTCATCATTAACTGTGGATCTCTGGTCTATAGAATTTCATATTTTGAAGGGAAAACGGGACTGTCACCATTGCTCTTTGTAGTAATCCACTCCTCAACTGTGGTCCCCATGGACCCTTGTCTTGCCTGTCATTCGCGAATATCTACCCATCATTATCAATTAGTCCTCCGAGCTACACGGAATCGCCCCTAGGTAGCAACCCGTTTGGGTCTACAAGTCTTAGGGCACATTCCAGATTCTGCCTGGCTTAGGCTGCCGTTGTGGGTCCGTTATAGCTGCCATGGTGGAGTGGCCGTGAGTCTTTTTTTTCGGGTAGTGGGTACGACGTGCAGGAATACTAGTCTATAAACTAGGGACGAGGTCGACTACATCTTTTGAGGTCGGTCTACTTTTTGCCGCGCATGCCACTTATCCACCCGTGGCACCCAGTAGCCACCGATCTCAATAATGTGTCTAACCTCACCATCAGGAGGGGTTGCGTTCCGGTTCGCAACGTCCGTGCCATGGGAATGGAACCAAGATCAACAACTGTTGGTCTGTCACGCCATAAACTATAGAACGGTCAATGCTATATGCTCCGTATACTACGAGTTACTAGGACCGTAGGCCCTACGAACTAGTAGCTGTTATCAGGAGACTTGATATCACAGGTGATATCAGTGGAACTACTACATCCAGTGTCGACTAACCTGTTGCCTAGTCGTCAACGACCATGACGATTGCCAGAAACGGGCTGTGGCAACCACGGGGAGTGATTCCAAACCGGTATCGCCAACATAAGGGAGATATAGCCCTTGGGGGGTTCCGTTGGCAACCGAGATGAGCTTTGGTAACCGTGCATTCCATAGATAGCACTGGAGCATTCCGTACTTACGATACCGACTAGGTTATTGTTCTCCGATCTCTTGCGATGGCAAATATCGGGACATCTTACCGTATCGGGTAATATCTCAGCCACCCGTTCCGTTGGTCGATAATGTTCACCGTTGGATACGCTTGGTACTTTTGATATACCACTTCCTTGCTCTCATAACAAATACTTTCGATCCGCACAGCTCGTTCTCGGATCAAGACGATGCAGAGAAAACGGTTTCATATTGGATCTTCAGACCCACTTTGGGACTGTCTTTGCTGGCTTGTCGGTCGGAAGAGATCTAGATCGTGAATTGTAGCATTGGATGCCATACACTACCGTAGGTAGAGGTATACATACATGGTTTACAGATTGTCTACACTATGTACACCAGTGAAGTCGAGAAACAACAGCTGCATCCTGAGGCATCAGCAATTCGGACTTTTGGTTCTTCCGTTTATCTCCCACGTGACAGATAAGATGGGCCGATAAGCCGGAAGAGGACTAGCGCGGGGTTTGAATGACTCAGGCATCCAAAAAAAGCGTCCCGGATTTTCATCTCGCATCGTCACCGGACGAGCAAGCTCATCGTCTTGTCCGCCGTGCTCCATTCCAACTGCTGAGCGTACGGCTTTGTTGGAGGTCCAAATCCCCTCCAATCTGTCATCTCTCGACTGTCCAGGATTTAGCTATCCTTGATCTGAAACTCATACCCGTCCCGTCCCCTCCTCCAACGGGTCGAGTCGTGCCTTCGTCATGGCATCATCTTCCAACTACGTGACCATCCCCGGATCGGTCGCCTTCTCTCATTCGCGTGGACACGCAATTGCTGCCAGTGTTGGGGCGCAGGATGTGCGCGCCCAGTGGGTCCACTATGTGCATGCTTCTCAGCCCTTAGAAGCTGCTCAACAGGGCGTCTTGGAGCAGCTCCTGCACTACGGTGATATCACCGACATTCCTGCGTCGTTCAGCGACGCCGATGGTCCGCATGACGATTTCTATGTCTTCCCTCGTACCGGTACCATCTCTCCGTGGAGCTCCCAAGCGACCGCCATCGCCCATGTGTGCGGGCTCCGCAAATATGTGAAACGCATCGAGCGGGGTATCAAGATCTCCATTCTCCGCACCGACGCCGAATCATACAAGCCCGGATACCAGGATATCCTGCATGACCGCATGACGCAGATCATCAGCCAGGAGGAACCGGACTTGCATTTGATGTTTTCCGAGCACAGCCCTCTCCCTCTCGAGACCATCCCCATCTCTGGCTCCGACATGTCCCCGAAGGAGGTCCTGCAGGAAGCGAACAAACGGCTTGGTCTGGCCTTGGAGGAGTCTGAGATTGACTACCTGGCCGAGGCTTATGGTCCCAACGGTCCGCTCGCTCGCGACCCGACCGACGTCGAGCTGTTCATGTTTGCCCAGGTGAACTCGGAACACTGCCGTCACAAGCAGTTCAATGCTTCGTGGGTCATTGATGGCAAGCAGATGCCCAACAGCCTGTTTGCCATGATCCGCAACACCCATAAGAAGCATCCCGAACACACCGTGAGCGCCTACAGTGACAACGCTGCGGTCCTGGAGGGCGCCCCGGCCGCCTTCTGGTCCCCCCACCCCTTCACCGGCGAGTGGAACCACGTCAAGGAGGTCGTTCACTTCTTGGCCAAGGTCGAAACTCACAACCATCCGACCGCTGTTTCGCCGTATCCCGGTGCTGCTACCGGCTCCGGTGGTGAGATTCGTGATGAAGGAGCCGTGGGTCGGGGCTCCAGACCCAAAGCCGGTCTGTCGGGCTACTGTGTCTCCGATCTTCTGATCCCGGGCTTGAGACAGCCCTGGGAATTGGATGTTGGCCGTCCCAGTCACATTGCGAGCGCTCTGGACATCATGTTGGAGGCTCCCATCGGCAGTGCCGCCTATAACAACGAGTTTGGGCGCCCTTGCATTTCGGGATACTTCCGTACGTTGCTGACGGAGATCGACGTCGGTAAAGGCGAGAAGGAGCTCCGCGGATACCACAAGCCCATCATGATCGCGGGTGGTGTCGGGACCGTTCGTCCCCAGCATGCCATCAAGACGCCGGAGACGGTTAAGCCTGGTGCCTTTCTTGTTGTCCTGGGTGGTCCGGCCATGCTGATTGGGTTGGGCGGTGGTGCCGCATCCAGTATTACCTCCGGAGAGGGCTCCGCCGATCTGGACTTTGCCAGTGTGCAGAGAGGCAACGCTGAGGTCCAGCGCCGCGCTCAGGAAGTGATCAACGCGTGTGTCGCCATGGGGGATAACAACCCGATCAAGTTCATCCACGACGTTGGCGCTGGTGGTCTTTCCAACGCCCTTCCCGAATTGATCCACGACTCCGGTCTCGGTGCCACTTTCGAGCTTCGGGAGATTGACAGCGCCGACCGTAGCATGAGCCCCATGCAAATCTGGTGCTGCGAGGCGCAAGAGCGTTATGTCATGGCCGTCGGGGAGGACAGCATGAACAAGTTCACCGCCATTGCCCACCGTGAGCGCTGCGGCTTCTCGGTCGTTGGTCGCGGTGGCGGCACGTCCGAGGAAGACAAGAAGCTGATCCTAATGGATCGGGAATCCAGCGAATATCCCAAGCCCATCGACCTGCCTCTGTCGGTTCTCTTCGGCAAGCCGCCCAAGATGACCAGGGTTGTGGACTCCCGCAAACTGAAGCTGCCCGCTGTCGACGCAAGCCTCACTTCCTACCTGCCCTCTGTGGCCCCCAACCACCTGGAGCTCCTTGGTGAGGCCGCCAAGAGAGTCCTGTCGCTCCCCGCCGTGGGCTCCAAGTCTTTCCTCATCACCATTGGAGACCGGACGGTCGGTGGTCTCACCGCGCGCGACCAAATGGTTGGCCGCTGGCAGACCCCGGTGGCAGACGTCGCCGTCACGGCCACTGCACTGCTTCAGGGCGTGAAGACGGGCGAGGCTATGGCGATGGGCGAAAAGCCCACCCTTGCGCTGATCTCTCCCGCTTCTTCCGCACGGATGGCTGTTGCGGAGTCGCTCATGAACCTCGCCGCCGCGGACCTGGTTGACCGCCTGGAGCATGTGAAACTGTCGGCGAACTGGATGTCCGCCAGCAGCCACCCCGGAGAGGGCGCTGCCATCTACGAGGCTGCGGAGGCTATCGGTATGGACCTGTGCCCCAAGCTGGGTATCAGCATCCCTGTCGGAAAGGACTCCATGTCCATGAAGATGAAGTGGACCGACGAAGCCAAGCAGGCCAAGGAGGTCACCGCGCCTATGTCGCTGGTCATTACTTCGTTTGCTCCCGTCGGCAACTACCGCAAGACCTGGACCCCGGCTCTCCGCCGCCCGGAGGAAGTGGGCGATACCGTTCTCATGTTCGTTGATCTTTCGTTCGGCCGGAAGACCCTGGGTGGCTCTGCACTCGCGCAGGTCTTCAACCAGGTGGGCGATGAGTGCCCCGACGTCCGCGATGTTGACATCTTCCGCGATTACTTCGACGCCACTCAGCAGCTGCAAGACGCGGGCATCGTTCTGGCCTACCACGACCGATCCGACGGTGGTCTCTTCACCACCCTCGCCGAGATGATGTTTGCCGGTCGCTGCGGCGTCGAGGTCATGCTCGACAACATCTGTGGCGGCACCGACACCAAGAACCTTGTCGAGACGCTCTTCAACGAGGAACTGGGCGCCGTGTTCCAGGTCCGTAAGGAGCACGAGATCCAGTTCCGCTCGTGCTTCGCTACCTGCGGACCCCCCGCCGGCCTCATCCACAAAATCGGTCGCGTCTCGGAGAAGCACAAGCAGAACCTCACCATCTACCAAGGCCACACCCTGGTGTACCGCAACGGCCGCGCCAACCTGCAACAGACCTGGGCCACCACGTCGCACAACATGCAAAAGATGCGCGACAACGCCGCCTGCGCCGACCAGGAGTTCGCCAGCATCCTCGACGACGCCGACCCCGGTCTCTCCTGGAACCCGACGTTCGACCCCAAGGACCGGGCCCTCCCCATCATGACCAGCCTGAGCCAGTACTCTCCCTTCAGCAACAAGCCCCGCGTAGCCATCCTGCGCGAGCAAGGCGTGAACAGCCAAGCCGAGATGGCCTTCGCCTTCAACACAGCCGGCTTCTCCGCCGTCGACGTCCACATGACAGACATCATCGCCGGCCGCGTCTCCCTCTCCAGCTTCGTCGGCCTCGCCGCCTGCGGCGGTTTCTCCTACGGCGACGTCCTCGGCGCCGGCCAAGGCTGGGCCAAGTCCGTCCTGCTGCACGAGAACACGCGCACCGAGTTCAAGACGTTCTTCGAGCGCGCCGACACCTTCGCCCTCGGCGTCTGCAACGGCTGCCAGTTCCTCTCTCGCCTGAAGGCCCTCATCCCCGGCGCGCAGCACTGGCCCAGCTTCGAGCGCAACGCGAGCGAGCAATACGAAGGCCGAGTCGCGCTGGTCCGCATCACCGATCCGGACCCGTCGCGCCCCAGCGTCTTCCTGCACGGCATGCACGGGTCGTCTCTCCCGATCGCCGTCGCCCACGGCGAAGGCCGCGCCTCGTTCGCGCCTAGCTCCGACATGACGCCCCAGTCGTTCGTCCGCGAGGGCCTCGCCCCCGTCCAGTACGTCGACAACGCCTCCCTCAAGCCCACCGTCAAGTACCCCTTCAACCCCAACGGCAGTCCCGAGGGTATCGCCGGTATCCGCAACGAAGACGGCCGCGTCCTGGCTATCATGCCTCACCCCGAGCGTACCGTCATGAACGGCATCGCCAGCTGGCTGCCTGCTAAGGCTGAAGAATGGGGAGACATCGGACCTTGGGGCCGTGTGTTCTTCAGCGCGAGAAGATGGGTTGGTTAGAATGTTTTTATCCAACAAAAGGAAAGAACAAGCAAGAAACACAAAAAAAAGGTCTTCAAAAGCTCATCAAAAAAATAAAGCAGCTTGGCTGTCCTCTCTACCTTTGTTAGAAGGACACCTCGCAGATTATCTTCATATGTTTATCAATTTATTTCATTTTATTTGTTCATCCATGTTAATAGTATCTCTTTATGTATATGCTTTTTTTTACTTAAGGGAAACAGACTTGGTGGAAGACATGTGTGGTACATGATTTTTATTTCTTCACTTTACTTCTCTTTTTCTTTTTATTCTAGCTTCTTTTTTTTTCGCTCACGATTCAGGATGATATGGTTGGCATGATGATTGATTGTTTGTTTGTTTGATATCTTTACTTTACATAGCTTAGGCTACAAAATGGAATAGTGCATGTTTATTTTTTTTTTTTCTTTTTCAGTACCGATGTGTATTCAATCTTCTTGAGGAAAAGAAACTTAAAGATAAGATGACAGTAGATAGCTAGACATTTTAAGGTACCCAATGGACGATAAACTTGACGCAATTCGATCGATCTAAAATGGTATTATTTATTGATAATACATTAGAAAGCGCATCCTGCGCTGTCAATCCTTTCATTATCAATTCATTAATCAATTATCAGTATCATCACCATACATATTACAGACCAAATCCAGAAAGATAGGTAGGTATTTTACACCACCGCAGACCGCGCCTCCCGCCTCCAATCCAACTTCTCAGCCAACATCTCCCAAGAAAGTTGGCCGTCGACGCGGCCGATGCCCTTCAGTCCGGCAGCGAGGAAGCCGACGAGACGGTGGAACTGGTCCTTTGTGTCGCGCAGACGCTGGTCGTAGAGTGTGTCGTGGAGGGCGATACGGCGGTTGTTTTCGATTTCAGTGTCGTCGTCGTCGGATTCGAACTCGGATTCGGGTTCGGATTCGTCTGAAGTGTCATCGTCTTCGGTGTTGTGTGGCCTTTTTTGGCGGGCTGGTTTGATGGATGAGCTGTGGCGGATGTATTGGAGGTTTGCGAAGCTGATGGAGAGGTCAAGGAGAGAGGTGGTGGCTTGGAGGAGTGGGGCGAGGTTCGCGGAGAGGAGAAGCTGGGCTTCGAGGGAGGAGAGGTAGGCGTTGTGGGCGTCGATCATGGCGGTGACGTCTTCGGCGGCGGAGAGGGATTTCTGGAGGGCGAGGGTGGAGGTGGAGATGACGAAGTCGGTGAGGTGGCTGTAGAGGGTGTTGAGGAACCAGAGCATGTTGTGGTGGAGTGCGTAGCTGAGGGAGTGGGCGTTGTGCTGGACGGTCCTGTCGGCTGCGTGCCGGGCGTATTGTTGGACGATGGTGTGTTTTGCGCGACGGATCTGCATTAAGAAGATGGCGATTCGCTGGTAGCGCAGGATCGCTGGTTTGGTGATGATGTTCGCGATGGGCCAGGGGAGGACGTAGTCGAAAGCTATCATGTCGAGCATACTGACGGATCGGCTGCTGCTAGCTTGGTCGCGCGGAGAGTGGGCCTCGTTGGTGCGGACGATGAGTCGTGAAGGGTCGATGAATGGCAATGCGCTGAGGGCGCTTTGGGCCACATCTGTGAGGAGATACCGGTCTCTCCAGGCGCCTTTGCCGCGGTCGATCAGGTCAAAGATTTTGTTGTCGATCGGACTGAATACGCTCATATCGCGGCCGAAGTAAATACATTCCAACGCCTGGAGAGACACCCACAGTCCGCATCGTTTGTCGAGCTCCTGGCGCAGTAACGCTGACGTTAGGGAGTGGTTCTGATCAACTATTTTCCCAAATGCAGACTCAAACAGCATGTAGAATGGGAGGTAGCGAGCTGATTGACTGTCAGAAAAGACGTCTTCGAGAGCGAGCGATGTCTTTCTCGGGGTTCCCACGTCGCCATCGTATGCGTTGAGGTGACGCAGGAAGACCATGCTTTTCCCTGTGATGAAGATTTTGTGAACAAGCGGGCGGATGAATTTCGGCGCATTTACTAGTCCAGATGCATCGTCCAGCGAGTACCAGTCTTGCCACAGCGTGCGTAGGTCGCTATCGGAACGACTTTTGTGAATAAAAAACGACTTTTCCGACGAATCTTCTAAAAGGCCCGCCTCCATCCATAAACGTATTGGGCGTGCATAAGTTTCGAAGCATGCAAAAAAGAGCTCTGCTAAAGACATGAACTCGGCGTCGTCACCAGCGGCCTGCAGCCCACAGACCTCGTCGTACAGTAGATCGAGACATTTTATGGGCTCGTTAGATCCGCTTCGGAATTGCGATACAACCTCTGCCAGCAGGAGGAGAAGCTTTGATTCTTGACGGACGTCTTGGCACAGTTGCAACAAACTAACGGTGACTTCGAGGTTTCGCGACAAGTACCGTGATTCGATACGTGACAAGTAAGCATCAAAACCACCCAAAATAGCGTCAATACGCCGATGAAACGTCTGCATGTACGCGATGCTCTGCGACGTTTGAGAAAACCGCCTGAGGGTGTCGATCTTGGCACCAGTTGAGCACAGCTCCCGCAACAATGCCACCAGGACACCGTTGGACAGATGAGCCAATGTGTACCTGCGATCCACCTCAATACTATCGTCCAAGCGCCAAAACAGAGACGTAGGTAGCCCTTGCAGCATTGAGATGGTCTCTCGTACCATTTGAAGCTCTGTGATCACACGCGACGAGATTCCATCCTGCTGGAGACCGTCGGCGTGCTTCTCTTCTCTCCAAAATTGCGCACTCTTGATAGAAGCAACAAGATCTTCATCCTCTCCGGACGAGAAAACATCCTCAGAGATCACATAGTCCTCTTCAGGAGCCACCGAACTTTGAGGTCGAGTGCGCGGTTCGTCTCTGTCACTGGACAGGGACGTTAGATCATCCTCGGACGAGCTCGCCCCGTAATCTACGCTTTCCCATATATCGTCATCGCAGTATGCAGTGCCGGCGGGATCTATATCAGACCAGGAGAGACCCTTTGCTTCTGGTTTCGGCGCGACTCTCTCCAGGCGATCGACAGTCGAGTACTGCGCAGGACGATTCGCAAGCTGCAGGAGTAAAGAGAGGATTTCCGGAAACCACGAACTGCGGTGCTCCTCCAGCTCTACCAAGCGCAATCGTAGAGCGTCCGCCAAGTCATCCTTGTCGAGGACCTGAAACTTTTCCTGCAGACCCTCGAGTTGTTTTGCGACAGCGAATTGGTCAGTGCGGGGATGGGCGTTGGACCTGAGGGTAGCCTCTGCCCGGCGTTTGAGGGACTTGAAACGAGGATCATTCTTCCACCTATTAGCTGGGGTCGTTTCAAGATATCGGTCGATACCAACTGTCTGAGAAGGAAAGTCAAACTACATACAATTCGATCAGGTTTCGCGACAGCGGTGATTAGCTCCTCCGTTAGCGTGCCCACACTGGCAACTACGGCCATTCTGGGGGCAACTGTAAGAAGTCTGAGCCAACGAGGACGAAGAAGAGGCGATCCGTGTAACGAGGCCCCATATCAAGGACTTCTTCCCTTCTCCTCTTCTTTTTTCCTTTTTTTCTGTTTCTGTTCCGACGAGATGACGCGGCCGTGACGGAGCAAGGAGGAGAGACAAGACAAGCGTGGGATCATTAGGGAGAGATCCGCTACTAATCCACTTCGGGCGGTCTGGATGGACAAATCGTCCCTGATAACAATCGGCCTCATTGATTATTATTATTACTGCCTTCTGTCTCTTTCCCTTCTTCCCCCACTCACCACCTCCCCTTTATTCCCCCTTTCTCTTTGCTCTGGCAAGCCATCATGGCCGTCGCTAGACCCATTCGCATGCTGGGTGCAGCATGCATCGTTCTCATTCTGTTTATGATCTTCCAACTCAACAAGGAACCGGAGTCATCTAAGGGGGACAATGTCGGAGGCTTGAAATCCGATCCACTGTTAGCGCGTACGTACCAACTGGATTCCTACGGCTTGCGATGACTTCACTACCGTCGAGGTCTTTCGTTAGATTGTCTTACTGATACGCTTTCATCTAGGGACCGGAGAACCTGAAGGCGAACTGTGGCGAGCCGACGACCACGACTATGCCCCCGACAGCCCCAACTCCGCGCGCACCAACGCAGCGCTGATCATGCTCGTCCGGAACGAGGAGATTGATGAGTTGATCCCAACGATGGAAGATCTCGAGCGGACGTGGAATTCCAAGTTCAACTACCCCTGGATCTTTTTCAACGACAAGCCGTTTACGGAGGACTTCAAGAAGCGCACGCAGGCGGTCACCAAGGCCAAGTGTCAATACGGTACGTTGCCATCCGAATAATGACATGGGTTTTGGATTCGATCTGACACGATGCAGAGGAGGTTCCCAAGGAGCACTGGGACGTCCCCAGCTGGATCAACATGGATCTCTTCCACGAGTCGGCGGAGATGCTGAAGGAGAAGAACATTCAGTACAGCGACAAGGTCTCGTATCACCAGATGTGCCGGTGGAACAGCGGCATGTTCTACAAACACCCCGCCCTCGAGAAGTACCGTTACTACTGGCGCGTTGAGCCCAACGTCAAGTTCTTCTGCGACGTCGACTACGACGTGTTCCGCTTCGTGGAGGATCGCAACATCACCTACGGATTCACCATCAACCTGTTCGACGCTCCCCAGAGTATGCCGTCGCTGTGGCCCGAGACCAAGAAATTCATCGCCGCGAACCCGTCCTACGTCTCCGATAACAACATGATGGCGTGGCTGACGGACGACCAACTCCGTCCCGACCACACCCAAGACGCCAATGGGTATTCCACCTGCCACTTCTGGTCCAACTTCGAAATCGGAGACATGGACTTCTTCCGCGGCGATCAGTACACCGCCTACTTCGATCATCTCGACCGTGCCGGTGGTTTCTTCTACGAGCGGTGGGGCGACGCTCCCGTTCATTCGATCGGTATAGGGCTGTTTGCCGATGCAGCCAAGGTCCACTGGTAGGTAGATCGTTCTTCAAGAGATGACTCCCCTGCTCACTAGTTTTTTTCACAGGTTCCGGGACATTGGTTATAACCACATCCCCTACTACAACTGCCCCAACTCGCCCAAGTGCTCTGGCTGCACCGCGGGCCAATTCTACGCCGGCGAGCCCTTCCTGGCCAAGGAGGACTGCCGTCCCAGCTACTTCAAGCACGTCGGGACACACTAGACTATTGATCAAGAAGTCGCCAAATTTCTCTTGCAAAAGCATCGTCATCCTCGTCCTTATCATTGCATCTCAAAAGCCCAGTGATGAATCACTCTCAAAAGCGACAGGAAATGCCTTGCCTTCTTCTTTCCCTTTCTATTTTTTCTTCCATTCTGGTTTACGGCAAAATTCTACCTATCTGTTCATACAATATCCAACCTTGTTCGGCGGCGTTATGGGATGTGGCTTTCTTTTTCTTATTTTTCACTTCATCTCATCTATTCCATTCTCTTTCCCTGTTTTATTATCTTCAGCTAGGTATAAGCCGGCCGCTTGATGCTCCTTGAAGGAATCCCAGCCGGCTGTTTCTTATGTATCTATATTTTATATTTTGGGATTCTGTTCTTTTGTCTTTGATGTCTGATTTAATCTTCTGTTTTGTTATTAGTGTAGGATTGTAGTTTTGAAAGTAGTATTACTACAACTACAAGAAAGAAACAATCATAACATAATAAAGAGTAGGTAGGCAAAGCAACAAAGCTAACAACACACCTGCATTCTAACAAATCGATATAATAATGATGAAAAAAAATAATAAAAAAATAGAGAGTATGTATACAGCTATTCTTCTTTCCTATCTCTTTTTTTGTTTCTCAAAATCGACGGGAAAAACAGACAACGGACCGATACAAAAAAACACAACCACAACCACAGAGAACCAAGCAAAACAACAGCACGTCAACAGACGTTGCTTGTTATATGCTTATCCCCCTCCAAGAAATCACAGGCTACTATGATGGCAGTGGAATGAGCGAGTTTACTGCTCATCGGGGTAGAGCTCCTCGCGAAGAGCGACGCCCAGCTCCTGGCGGAGACCTTCCAGGCTCTCGAGGTATTGCTTGTACTGTTCGGGGGTCTCGACCTTGGCTTTGATACCTATTATTTGGTGGTCAGTGGTTAGTAAACGGCTTCGGTCAAGCAGAGACGAAAGAGACTGGGGAATGCGCACCCTCGAAGACGCGGACGGCGGTAGGGTAGTCGTTGACCCGGCGGGCGGCCTTGAGGGCAGCGGTGAGGACCTCCACGGAGGGGACGAGATCGTAAGCGAAGCAGTTGTTCAGGTTACGCTATTTGAGGGGAGCGCACGTATTAGCGGGATGACATATTCCGAGGTGGGGATATGAATATAAAATTGTCTCGTCGCGTTGCCGATTGCGGTGGTGTGCCCGTAGGCACGATCGGAAAAGTAAACCAATTGTGCGCAACATACCTGGAGCTCGAAGACATCCTGGACGGTGTCGAATTCCTTCTCGAACCTAGTGACCATTGGGATCAGCGGATTAAATCCCTCGGGCGAATTTATCGGGGAGAAAGGATACGGCAATCTAATCCGATCCCGACCCCTAGATCATATAGCCTCGGAAGGGGAGGGCGTTCGGCGAATGTCGATCGAAACCCAATGGCAAGCGAAAATGGGGGAGACCTACCGGGAAGAGAACTCCTCGAAGGTCTCGTCCTCGTGGTGGCCGGAGCGGAGCTTGCTGGAGGTGCTGAAGCAGGGCCGGCTGATGGGCAGAGCGATGGGAGCCTGCAACCGGGACCGGGGCACTTGGGGAGCTTTGAAAAAGCCGGCAGGGCGGACGGCGCGGGAAGCGACACGGAAGATGGAAAGAGACGACATGGTTGTCGAGAATTGAGGGTGTGGAGGGGGAGGGAGGGGGGAGAGGGGGGGGGGAGAAAAGAGGGACTTTGGACTTGGAGATGTGGATGAGGTTTGAAGTCAGAGAAGGGCAAGTTGACCAAGCCGGGCTTTGGCACTAAGACAGAGTAGGATTTTGCGGGTGGTGTGAGGTTGGTGGTTGGATGCCTCAGGCGGGTGTCCGGTCAGCCCGTCATCGAGGTTTGATGCCTCAGTGCCTGTTTTCGCTGGCCGCTCCCGTGCTTGCCCGAGGCCGCTGCTTGTGTGTGCCTGAGGCAGGAGTGGTGATTGCTATCTGCCGCTGCTGATTGGTCCATGCGGTGTCAGACTGACTCGGCTGCTGATTGGCTGGAGAGTCTCTCGGGCCGTTTATAACGCCGGCCATGAGATAATGCCTCAGGCTGCTGCATCCTGCATCCTCATGCGGGATCTACAGTACAGAGTATATGCTCAGGACCAGGTACGGAGTATCAGGACCCCTCGATCCTCGGCAGTCGGGATAATACCCTTGTTCTGCAGCTGTTACGCAGGGACCCTGCGCCTATTTGAGACGCGGTGTTAGTGAACTCAATTACTTCCATGGTTTCCTACCACAACCGATATCGCCATCGGTATGATTGGAGTTCTTAGGTTGTGGTGGCGTTGGGAATATCCAGTCAATTTCCAGTAAAGCTTTTCTGCTTGGGACAATGTTTGAGTCTGAATCTGCACCTTTTACGTCGGACGGTGCGGTGCACTTAATGGTGGTTTATCGTCCTACGTGTACCCGTAGAAAGCCCCGATATATATTTGTAACCACCCGAAATGCTTAAATAGCGGGAGTATGAAACACCAAACTGAAAGCCGTGTTTGGGCTCCATCGTCCGAGGATCGAGGTCTTTAAGTACCACCTTGGAAACACCGGAGTGTCTCACCAGGTACGCCATCCAAGTTACCCATTGCGAAGGGACTCTAATTCAGTGCAATCTGTCTATATCGGTAGTCTAGATGGATCTGAGTCGGACGCCATTGTCTTCCCCGCTTCTTCGATCCGGGGTAGTCCATGCATGTGAAGATAATCCAGTCGAAAGGAACTCATCCTGGCAGATCTTCGAGGTTGTTGATGATGTCCCGAGCATCAATCCATCCATGTCCTTGATTGTACCTGTAGGTAGAGGAGGTATATGCATGTGACGAGGGATATACCTCCGTTTCATGGGTAAAAGTGTAGGGTCGACCCCTCACATCGGAAGTAGTAGATAAACGACATGCATATAAAGTCTCTCAGAATGGAGATTCTGGTTCAAAGAATCCTGATCAGAGTTGACATCTCCAGCTTGAAGTAGGTAGTATCTTGAGGTTCCTCCCAGGGCTACTTAGTGTTGCGGATCGACTGCTTACCTAAGGGATTTTCAGATTTTCCCCCTTTTTCTGCAGGCCGAGGCGTTACTTTTCTCTCCTGACTTGACGGAACGGAACCGGTGGAACGCTGACCTCCATTTTAAACTGTTTTCTTCTCTTCTTTCTCCCTTCTGTCCTTTTCCCACGTCTCTCTCTCTCTCCACTGTCCGCAGTTTCCTTTCCCTTTTCTCTCCCTTTCCTTTCTCCTTCTCTTTCTTTTCCTTTCATTCTCTTTCGCCTTTTCTTTTTTTTCCTTTGGGCTCTCTTCTCCGCGACACTCGTTCTCCCTTGCGACCCGCGATCAGAAAAAGTCTCCCCCTCACCGGTCAACTGCACCAACATCGCTCGTTCGTGAAGCGTTGTATATTGGGTCGAAGTGATTTTGGGTTGGCGATTCGTCATGGATTTGGAATTCCTCAAGAATGTGCCGCGGCCGACAATTGATCGGCCGTTTGGCATCCACCTATGGCCTATCTTCGACAAGGCGTTCGAGATGGTCGTCGGCTATCCCGCCAGCGAGTTCGACTTCAAGGCCGGCGTGACTCCCATGTCGACTATCAAGGAGACGGTGATCGGACTGGTGGCCTACTATGTCATCATCTTCGGTGGTCGCGCGCTCATGAAGAACCGCGAGCCCTTCAAGCTGAACTTGCTGTTCATGATCCACAACTTCTACCTGACCGCCATCAGCGCCACGCTTCTGGTTCTGTTCATCGAGCAGTTGGTGCCCACCATCTGGAACCATGGGATCTTCTTCGCCATCTGTGACCACAACGGTGGTTGGACTCAGCCCCTGATCGTTCTCTACTATGTAAGTCCGCCGCGCTGAACCCGACGGGGAAACCGACGGGGAAACGAGACTAACGGAGAACAGCTGAACTACCTGACCAAATACCTCGAACTGCTTGATACCGTCTTCCTGTTCCTCAAGAAGAAGCCCTTGACCTTCCTCCACACCTACCACCACGGTGCCACCGCCCTCCTGTGCTATACCCAGCTGATCGGCTTGACCGCGGTGCAGTGGGTGGTGATCGACATCAACCTGCTGGTCCACGTCGTCATGTACTGGTACTACTTCCAGAGTGCCCGCGGCATCCGTATCACCTGGAAGGAATGGATCACCCGTCTCCAGATCATCCAGTTCGTCATCGATCTCGGTAGGTCAACCCCTGGCGCGTTACCACCACCGTCATATGCTAATTTGTGCAGGCTTCGTGTACTTTGCGTCCTACACCTACTTCACCTCGTCCTACTTCCCCGAGCTGCCCAACATGGGTGTTTGCGCCGGAGAGGAGTTCGCCGCGTTCGCCGGCATGGGCATCCTTAGCTCCTACCTCTTCCTGTTCATCTCGTTCTACATCGCCACCTACAACAAGACCAAGTCCAAGGCTGGCCGTCCCCGTCGCAACACTGGCCGCCAGGCTGTCATCGACATGGCCAAGTTCGAGGTCGCCCCGGCTCCCGGCGCGCAGGCTGCTTCCGCCAACGGCACTGTCCCGTCCAACGGATCCGCCGTGTCGACCGGACGGTCCAACGGGCCCGTCACTCGCTCGCGCAAGGCTTAAATGCTGTGCGCGTGGCCTACCAACGGATGAACCTCGCGAGAGGGCCATCCGACCGATCTGCAGCAGCAGTTCAACCACCTTCCCTATTCCACACATTCCGTTCGACCACCGGCGTTTGGCTTTGTCCCGGGTGTGATGAACCATTAGACAATCCTTTTGCATCTGGCCATTTTGGGTTCAAGTATTATATTATCATTTAATGAATGACCATTATGATACTGGTCGCGTTCGTGGCCAGCCGATGCATGCCGTCCGCATACGAGGGCTCTACGGGAGATTTGCTTCTGAGGCGTTCTCGCCTCCAGTGTATTCTAGATTTGGTTTTCCCCGAGTATGCGGCGGCGGCTGCGGGCTTTTCCTTCTTGTTTCCTTTTACTATTCTTTTTTTTTTTTTTTTTTCCCCCCCATTCTTATACTTTGTTGATTCTTATGGCGGAGTTTATCGCTATGGCAGGTAAATATCAAATAATTACGGGGGTGTATCGGTATCACCTGTTGATGTATATAGAAGTGATTACATGGATTATGCAGTTGTTTTGGTTGCTTGATATATAGTAGAATCTAGAGCGACTATTCGATATGCCTCAGTCTACTTAACTGGAAGCGCATCCGACCAACCTCAGGTAGGTATATCCCGGAGATTCGCATCACCTTACAAGCCAATTCCCTCTGTATGATCCTGACAATGGCACACAAGATAAGCGTAGGGCAGGGCCTGTCTGGTAGGACAATGAACACATCTCTATTCAAGTTGGGACCTGTCTAGGACGGATGGATTTTGCGCGTGGGTTATTGGGTACCTAGAGTAGAAGACGATGGCATCTACTGGAGCCCAGTGAGGGAGGTACTTGGTACTTACTACCTTGGATATCCCGCGAGCGAGTATATTTTAGCTTGGTGAATGAGTTGTCAATTGATAGTCTGTCTATGTATGGTATTCTTTAATCCAGGGGAAATATGAACAAAAGGGTAAAACTGAAGGAAAAAGAAAGAGAGAGAGAGAGAGAGAGAGACCAGCCATTCCATTCAAATCCATCCAAACCACCACCCCGCACCACATTCATTCCTCCCCCCGCTCTAGCTGAACTATTCACGTTTCATGATGTACTTACTTCCTACTAAATAACTCCTGGGGGGGGGGTTTGAACTCATCATAAAGAAAAAAGAAAAAAAAAAAACACAAAAAGAGAGTGGAGCGCAAAGCCCGGACAACCATGTGGCACCTACATCAACAACCCACCCACCCACCCACCCACCACCATGGAATCTAAAACTGACGATGATGCACTCATCACATAGATACCTAACTACTGAGGAAAATTTGGGTAAGAGAGTAGCTCAATTCGGAAGATTGACTACTTTCACTCCCCAATCGAGCAAGCCGTGACCAGATAGGCAGGCGACTAATAACGATCGACGGGAGGACGAAACGCCCGGTGCTGCGGGGGAATGTTTCGGCCGGGGTTGGGGAGGGACCTTCGGAGATTTTATCCTTAGTGTCTTCTCTTTTCTTCGTCTTTTGTGGGATAGCTTCTTTCTGTAGGATGCTTGGGTGTTTGATGTGGTGGGGTTGAGGGGTGGGGGCATTGCCTTGATTTTGGGGGGGATTGATTAGTGGCTAGGACTTACTTGGGTAAGGGTATTGTTTTGACTGTTTGGTTCTATGAGAACTGTAGTTTTCCGTACTTACCTGCTTACTACTTACCAGTAGTTGGTGGATAGTGGGGAAGGGGGATTGAAGTGGTGTTTCATGTGGATGGTAGTATATATGACATGTGCTTTCGTGATGTCAATGGTGTTTTAGTTCTTGTCGCTAGACTGAATTGTCATGATGATAGCCAGATGATAGTCAAGATAATCATGATGATTGTCATAATGGGTGTTTTGAGTGATATAGTACAGATTTCTATTGTCTATATAACATGTGAATCTTTATATCAGTGTATACACACTCTTCGTACTCTCATTGCATCATCTGCTGACTACTAGGTAAAAGATAAGTATCCAGAGATTCTATCCTGTCCATTAGGTCATAGTGGACCAGGATACATGGCCAACTAAGTATATAATCGATGCACCTAACTAAGATAGCATCCAAGCAACACTACCCAACTACCAGGACAACACCCAAGACACCCAGACCAAGGAGCCCCTAAGCGAGCCATTCGGCATCTCTTCATGCCACGTACCAAGACAACAGTTCCAGACCTAACTAGCAAAGCACTAACACGGTACCTTGTCCGGCATGTGCACAGGACTCCATTCCCTGCTCTGGGAGGATTCGGCCGTGTTAGCTTGGTCGACTTGGAAACTGCCGGCGCCGGACGCTTAGTACTAGCTGGTGTTGAGTCGAGATCTGGACTCAGGTGAGCTGGAGTTGTTTTTCCTATTGTCGTCATTGTCATTTGGTGAAGGTGTTTATACTTTGGCAGGGGTAGGGCTTTGATCAGGATTGTGTCGCTCAAAGTTGAAACGGGCCGTTCTTCGTGCTAGGCCAGTGTTGAAGTGTGTTCTAGCTTAGCTTTCTACGTTGGATAAAGTCAGCTGAGGATAACCCTGTACGTGCGTATGACTTGAAGAAACTTCGTCACTATCGACGTTTATCCAGTTGACTATCTCTGACCGGCACGTTCTCCCTAGCTGGAACCACTTTGCTGTATCAAGCAGTATATCCGATATATTGCTATGCACTAGGGAAGAACCAATAAGGGAATGCGTCTGTACCACTATCAAGGTACGGAGAGACAATTACTGGCTCATATATCGCCACCCCCTTATCTCAGACTACCTAGATAGATAGACTACGTAGACTACCATATGATAAAGATAATCCCATCAAAGCGATCAGCAATATCAGCAGCAGTTACAGAAAGAAAATGCTAGGATGGTGATAACCGGAGGACCAGACCTAGTGTTACCATGAGACTCGACTATCCTCGAGCATGGATCGCTGGAAATTACGTACCAGTCCTTCAGCATTTCTGACCCCTCTCTAATCCCTACCAGGTACCACTCTATAATAGCACTATATCGACCGGGTATGTAGGGCTAGCAAGGTACCAATATATCAACCCACCTTCATAACTTGGTGGAGTGTCTTTGTGCCTTGGAGCCTAAGATAGGGCTAAGTATTAAGGGCGCGCATAATCCATCACTTGCCCCTCCCCTCCCCCCCCCCCATCATCCCTCTTTCGCCCTCCTCACCGAATAAGAATGGCCAAACCCATTCTTCACCCTGTTAACAGGCACTGCCGCTAAGCCTGTCATGATCTGTCACACTGTCACGCCCCGTTCAAAACTGGGGGAGGAGGAAAAGAAGGTGGGACGACGGTTTGGCGGTGACCTGCATATCCAGGCGCGGAAGGCGCTGGATCCAGGACCGGGGTGCATAGCGCACTAGGTATAATTTCCCCCCTCTCTCTCCTCCGTCGTTATTCCGATTGGTGTGGTGGGTGGTGGTTAGTGGGTGTGGTGGTGAGGACAGGATTCGAATTGGGACCGCTAACTAGCTAGTTGATCATAACGGAGCGACCTGATGAATGTCCGGACGTTTTGTCAGGGGCGTTAGGCCCCGGTTTCTCCGCATGTCGATCAATTATTGGGGGGGTTTATTGGTTGGAATTGTATATGGGTTTTTGGTGGTTTTGTGAGATGGTTTAATGATGTGAAATCGAATTGATTTTTGTCGACATTGAGGATTATGATGTCTTCCGATTATTGTGTACGAGATGATCTTTCTCCGTCTTCCTTCAATTAAGTTGGGGTAAACCCCCGCTTCGCGAGAAGGGGCGGGGGAGAGGTCGAATGGATATGGTTCCTGTACGTACTGTAGAAAAGAGGGGGGATGTCGGGGCGCTTGGCTGGGAAAGTATAGGCTGCAGCTTGCATCTGCTCCCACCACCGCAAAGTTAGATTCCCTTTTTTTTCTGTAGAATACCCACCTAAACTCAGTCCCCAAACTCAATTGTGCTTGGAGTTTGAAAGCGAATCCCGTTTCATGTCTAATCCTGCGGGCTGTCTGGGGAATCAACGCGAGAGGCTGGGCCAGTCGTGGACGCCACGATGCCGGGCCGCAGATGATACATACTCCCGAAGGCGCACTATAATTACAATTGACCGAGTCTATTGACTCTGGGATGCGTTTGAGGATGGATCTGGCAGGCTGGAATCAATCCAGTAAGGGAGGAAGAGGTGTAGGTCACATCCTAAAAATATCTTCCAGCCACATTGTATACTCGGGGACTACTGCGTGTCTCCTTTCAAGAAACTACGGTTATTGATATGTTAGAGGTGACCGAGGAGGAGTGCACTGTAGTCGCGTCGTTGCACTCGTTGTGCTCCGTACACTGGAGACGTTACGAAGATGACTCAGTTATGAACATAAACCCAAACACAATGTTTCACATCGCAACCGCTGTTTGTTCCTGCAGCTTTGCCGTGCGAACCCGCCGGTTTTCTCCCGGTTTCTTGCTTGATGTTCGATGAGATAGACGGTCCATCTCAGCAACCCATTCAACCATCTCCCTATTCACAATTTGGTACAGATGGTTTGGAGAACCATCAAACAGACGATGATGAATTCCAAGTGAATCGACCTCGTCATCGGATGACCATCCGAGGTGCGGGAAGGAGAGCTGTGGAGATACAAAACTGCAAGGGTTCACTGGTTCTGCCGCAGGGGAGTTTGGCCTAGATACTTGGTCCCCCGAAGAAGTTACGGTCCTCGAAGGCTCCAAATTCTCCGATTCGTCCGGTGTTGACCGTGCATTTCAAGCGTGGAGTCCAGTCCAATCTAGTCCACCAAGGGGATAAAAAAGACCCAGTTGTATTGTACGGAGACATACACTGTACAATACACAAACCGGACACGGTTCAAATTAACTTTCAGGGGAAGCCCTTCTCGCAGTGGTCAGGGTTTGAAGGACAGAAAATCCATGATCAGAAAATGCTACCGGCGTGTTTGAGTTAGACGGGAACTCCACTGGCCGTGTAAGTTGACAATCGACTTCAGGGGGAGGAATTGACCTATCAGAGGTGGATCTTCGTAGAGTTGTGCTTGTCTCTTTTTGTCAATTCCCTCCGTTAATCTAGGATTGCACTATGAATGCCGCCATAATAAACCAGGTCAATATCAAAGCAAGAAAAACAGTGGATCCGGAACCAAGAAAACGGACCGAATGGAAGGGGAAAAGTCCTCCACACCGCCTGATTCTTCCGGGTGGGTCTCACCGCCCGGTGCCTCGTACATCTTATTATTTATTTTTTTTATCTTCTGTATTGTATTCTATCCACATTCTACAGTTCTATCATCAAGGATCCTCTATAATCTATATTGATATTATATCGTATCTGTTTATACATACGATCATCTCACCATATCTCCAATGCTGACCCTGTTAATACTCCGGTTAATGCTCCTATCCTAGCGTCAAACAAACCAGTCATGATCCATCTAATAGATCACCGGCTTACGTTCATGGATCCATGACTATTTCCTCATTCGGTTGAACGGCCCTTGGCATGGACTTGGATTGACCTGGATTATTCTCCATCTTCCTCACCTGATCCTCCACCAAGTGATCAACTCGGCAGTTTAGTATCAGCTTAGTGTCTGCCACTGATTCATCTGATTGCCTAATCCAGATGCCAGCGCGCACTGGCAATCTAGATGCTGCCACCAACATCTCTCCACGTCTCTTCTCGATCCCACCGTGCACTGGCCTCTTCAAGCTACTGTATGGACAGCTCACGTTGATCTGTCAACTCACCATACATTCTTTCTGTCTATTCTTTCCCCTCTCTTGAATTCTCTCTTCCCTTGTACACACCCTCCAGTGGATAGTCAGGAACCCATGCAAGGGAGGTAACGGCTCTCCCTCCGGTCTTGCAGGAGGATACCGTATGATACTGTATACTGGAATTCTGCACGTGTGTCTTTTATCTCTCCTTTAATAATAAATATATTATGATTATATTACTTTGATTTTTTTTTTTTTTTTTTTTTTTGATTATCATTGTTGTTTTATTATTATATTATTTTATATTTTGTTTTTGTTTTACAGTTCCTGCGACAGTGGATCCCTCCCAGTTCTTGACCCAGTCACATCGGATCGTCCAGAGACATCCAATCCATTCGAATCCACTGCCAATTGATTACTCTCGTCGTACTTCAAGTCACCGCCAGGGTCCAAGCATACCAGCCCGTGTGGGACAAAAGAGGATTCCATTCCACTCCTGTTCCTGTTCTAGCCTATTACGTGGGATCCGTTCCTCGATCTCCTCTCGTACCTCTCGCTGACTTTATATTGCATGTTTTATATTTTACATTCCCACTATCTCATAAGTCTCTTCTTTCCTCTCTGGCGGTTTCTCTCATATACCATTCGTCCCTCCTGTCTGGCGCTCTTCTCTTTCTTTCCTTTTTCTCTTCTTTTCTGGACGGATCATCCCTGCCAGACAGGTTCTCCCAACAACGCCCTCTTCATTAATTCTATACTCCTAATTGATTGATCTCTTTCACCCCGTCTTTTGTCTGATTTGTTGCACGGGCGCCTGACCCTGCGTGCGTTTATTGTCGCCGACCATGTATCCGAATGACTGCCTGGACCTGGACTATATGAAACCACAACAACTACCACATAGGTACGACTCGGAGGAGGAGGATGTCTCCGAGTCAGAACACAGTGCCCACGATCACGCCTATTCGCCCGTCGAGTCTTACCAACCGCCCGAGCCCTTCGACTCTGACCTGAGCGCCGACGAGCTGTCCAATGTCGATGCGACGGAGCCGTCCACCTATCCCGGTCTTCTCTCCCCATTCCCCTCCGTGGGCAAGGCGTCTCGCCCCGTATCCATGGACACTCTCAAGCGTAGTAGCGGCGCCACCTTCGTGGCGGACTCGTATATTTTCGACCATGATGACGACGTGATCATCGAGCTTCCTTCTCCCAACTCCACCTCGCCCCTCCACTCGCCCATGTTTCTCCAGCCGACCGTCTATGTGCCTCCCGAGTCTCTTCCGTCGAGGAGTCCATCGTCTGGTTCCTCCGCGTCGAGTTCCTCCGTCGACGACATGGACGTGCTAGTGGCCGAGCAGGTGACCTATGTCGAGCCGATCACCAAACCGCATCTGATCCAGATCAGCCCGGGGAAGTCCTCGATGGACGAGGACGACGGCCCCGCGCACGCTCTGAACCCGCTCGGTATGTCCAGATCGGCCCTGAAGTCCGCACCCTTCCTGGACCACGAATACTCGCCAAAAACCCGACCCCGCCCCGACAGCCTGCTGTTGAGCGCTCGCCGCAGCCGACAGCTCTCTGGGCGGATTATGACGCAGCTCGAGCGAACGCCCTCCCACGGGGCGGATGCAGAGACCAAGTCGGGCGCCGCCACCAAATCGGCGGCCGATGTGCCTCCGATCCCACGCCCGCTGTCGCTGCACTCGCGCTCCATGACCTTCTCTCGCTCCAAATCCGGCGCCCCGGAGAAGGGCCCGCTGTCGTTCGCAAAGAACCACCTCCGCCGCCCGCCCTCGCTCCAGAGCCTGCGGAGCCCGCACTTCTCTCTCTTCCCCTCCCGCCAAACCCCCGGGTCCCGGGAGGACCACCGATCGGGGTCGTACTCCTCCACCAGCTCAGAGTACTCCCCCAACACTCTCTGCCCGCCCCCCTACTCCGCCTTCCCGAACCTCAGCCGCGACCGCTCCGACTCGAGCTTCAGCGGATTCAACGGCCCCGCCACGCGCCGGCCGTCCATGCCCATGCTCGGCGCGCTGAAAAGCCCCGGCGGACTCAGCACCTGCTCGACCAGCAGTCTGCGCTCGGAGGTGGACAGCGTCTACGAGGCCGACCGACAGGAGGCAGACCCGCAGCCGCGCCACAAGCGAGTCAAGAGCCTGAAACGCAGCAAGCACCCCAAGGAAGAGACAGATCCGTCTGCTAAGAAGTTCATGGGCTTTATGTTTAAGAGCAAACGCCGGTCAAAGATGCTGAACGCTTGATAATGCCTACGCCTATGCTGCCACGGCTATTTTGTTTGGAATGATCATATACACGATCTGTTGGCCATTATACTGTTAATACTGTCTTTTCCTTTCGATAGCCTGTCTCTTTCTCATACTTTTGTTTTACAAACGGTGGCGTTCGGTATCGGCGTGGTCGGCTATTTGCTTACTTCGGTGCTTTCTTTCTTCCTTCCTTGCTTGCTTGCTTCTTTCATCCTTCTTACTTACTAGCCATCCACTACTCAATTGCATTGAGTCAGTCAGTACGTCCGTTCTTGTATTATAGTATACCGCTTCAACTTCAATTTACCGATAGTGACCGGACCCTGGCGTGGTCATCATATCATCTATTCTCATCTAGACTTTCTATCCTACTTTTCTTAGCCTAGCTCTACACATTCCATATTCTACATTCTATAATTTCTTTTTCCTTTATCTTCCTAAGTAAGCAGAATCTATCTATCAACTCCGTGGAACATATTCCCGGCCCCAACAAGCCCCACCCTACCCTGAGCAACCCATTCTTTGTTGGTCGCACACACACACATACACATACATGCCGTACGACCAAACTAGAGATCCCATGTACCACCGACCCGAGTACCTAGACCGTCCCGAAACACAACGCGAAGCACGCTACTCGCCACTAGTTGATTGAACGGATGCGTGCAGTACCTATATCCCGGGATGGGGACTGACTGACTGAATGAGTAAGTGAGACTGCACTCACTGCAGTGAGAAAGTAGTCGGGGGAGACTGTACGCCGTACGACAAGGGTAGGCGCATTTCTGGAACGAGTGAAGGAAAGTTTAAATCGGGGATTCAATAAATTTTCATATCTGGTGATTTGAGTTTTCATGAGAAGGGGGACGGGTCGGGGTCTTGAGTTGTGGGGGTTGATCTTTTACTGATGGTGTAGTATGTGTCTATGTGGATCTACAAGTAGGGTTAGTAGGGTGGACGGACGGGGTGGACTGCGCCGGGGTTACTGCATGTTGTTATTAGGAGATTTTACGGATAGATTGGGGGATAATATAATATAATATAATGTAATATACAATATCATTAGGATAAAAAATCATCAATAACAATAGATACTATTTTCTCATATCTAGCTCCAGGGATCTAGTACCTGGTAACTAGTCAGTATGCTACGTGGACATCCACCATCCTCCCATCCCTCAACAAGGCGCAGGCGCAGCCAGGCACAGTCAGCCCTAACTATACTATTATCGTATAGTATATCTCACTAACCACTTCAGTCACGAGCCGCAGATATTCCATACATTTGATCATTTGATGAACTGTCTTTTTCGTCTTTTGCTTTTCTCTGCCCTAGACGAGGGTTTTTCATTGAATACATCTGACTGTATGTTAGTGGCGCTTTGGTCAGGTCCGAATTCGTATATTACAACCACGACTACGGTGAATTTTTACCCCGGTGTGAGGATGAGGAGGTGTGGAGTGGTAGGCGAGTCAGGTTTACCATATCTGACTCGCGAGTTGGTTATCTGCCTACGGACTATCTATTTTGCCTACCTGCTCACCTGCCTATCTAGGTTACCGCCGGTGTGTCTGAGTAAGTTCTTGCAGTGATAGGATCGTCTTACATGAATCAGGCTGTGGGATTGACACGGGGATAGTTGGAGTTGGAGTCAGTGATAGTAACATGGAGTCCAATCCTTTGGAAACGCCGGATGACTGGGTTATGGGAGTGATTGACAGATACGAGTCATGCTGGTTTTCAGCTTTGATCTGATTATTACCTGTGAAAAAGGGAAGGGGTATTTGTTATTTCTCAATGATACCGATTTTCTCTTCATCTAGACCATGCATTGATGCGGGGAAATGTGGGGTGCAGATAATGACTGGCATGTTTGTCACTGCCGCTGTCCTACATACTCTTCAATTGATCAATTAAATATGTTGTCAACGGCTATCTACAATGAAGAGAATGGTAAAGAAGGAGATGATGAATGGAATAGTCACGGAGTACTGCATATGTATAGCAATCAATCTGCAAACAGCAGTGCGACGTGAAAAAATTTCATCATTCATGGTTGTCTGTCTTTAGAGAGGGAGATGTAGTCTATTTAAACCTTCCCTCTCCTGCTCTCCCTCTTGTATTCTCCCAATGAGGTGTATATATACTGCTTTTTACTCTCGTCATAGAATATGCTTATACCACTTATCCTTGAGCTCAGTACGACACTGCTATAGAACTGTGGAACAGACAAGTACGTCTAGAATAACAAGGAGAGCTGGGGAGCTCTTCATGAAGTCAGTCTCCCGCAGGAGACAGATTATACCCTCGATATATCTGCCCAGTCAGACATATTCCACCCAAAGAACATCTACTCTATATCCATCCGGCTATCAGATACGTGATATATCGCGCACAATTCCCTGGAGCAGGCCAACGACCGCGCTACAGACTTTTCTGTACATCCCAACAGTATATACGTATACGACCGGTGAGTACCCCCATGTTTCCCACCACCAGTATGAGACGAGAAACTGACAGCCTCGTCAATATCTGCAGGTAGTAAGTGCGATACGTTATCCGAGTGGGGTCCGAATGGATTGGACCTGTCATTTCAACGGCCCCCAACGGTCTCGTATTTGAAAATAGACCTTGCTGATGGCTTTTCTAGACCTGGAGGGCTAAACTCTACCTGGGGGTATTTGGCGTTGTCGTTCCTTGCAGATCGTTTGTCGTGATTGCATGGAGTGGAGGAGGCGCGAATGGCCTGGTCTGAGCCTATTGCTTAGATACGGAACCAACACACTTGTCCGCATGGCACAGCGCTCGTGCCCCGTTTCTTAGGCTAAACGAGCCCTGAGTTTGCAGGGTGCAATCGTCCTGCTGGTGATTGTTTTTTTACATACGGCTTTACGGAACACTGACAACGGGCCTCATGGCTTCCATTGAATGTCTGTCCCATTGGATACACCTGAAAACCAGTAAGTACGTTTTATCAATGCTTGTATGCTTACAATAAACAAGCTAACATATTCAAACGTTAGGGCCAAGACTACGATGGGGTTATCCTACTGGACAGTATCTCGAAGGCGATCAGACGCTGTGAACAGACACTCGCACATCGATTGGCACCCATGGCATACCTATTCATTATACGAGAGATGTATAACACTGCGAGACCCACATTGTGAACGATACTAAGTCCCGCATGCTACTCGACATTCAATCAAATCGAGCATCCGATGCAGGGTGGTGGTGTGTTGCTCTGGCGCGATAGGTAAGATGGGACCAGCGCGCTTCTTGATCATTCGAATCATTGGCTAATGATGCACGCTTACATTTAGATATTCGTCTGAGTCCTTGCCCAGCTTGACTTATTCAACAGTGCAGAGCGCTTCTGTCCTAACGATTGAATCAAATCAGTCATGCGTCAAAAAGTCAGATAGCAACCCCGCTACTGCTCAAGTTGTGCGCGGGAATGATATAAATTTGGTTTTCTTCCTCGACGACTGCATCATCTATGGTCAGGGTTGTAACGATAATATATAAAGCGAACCCTCCCATATTATATACCTTGAAGAACGCCCCCACTGCTGCCGGCCGCCGACGTGCCTCAAGTATGTTCGAGTGCCCGTGGTAGAGTGCAAGAACAACCTGAGCCGTACAAATTGTGTCTGATATCAGTAAAGACGTTACTACTACGTTCGGGTATGATATACTTCCGTTTGTTGGACTGAGCTAGCTAATAGATGAAAGTACATGTTCGCCTGCAGTCTCAAAACTGGCCGACCCAATCTTCGTCTCTTTGGCCTCCGTGGACTGGCGCTCACGGCGCAAAGCTACGCTGGAGCCGCCGCGTAGGTGGTCGATGCGGCTTACCATTTCCCGTGGGGTACCACAGGTAACAATATGGGCGAGCGATATATATACAGTATAACTGGAGTCGATCGGCCTACTCTTATATACCGCTCTACCTTTATAGTGGAATTTGGTTTGATGGTTTTTTGACACCATGATGTTATCAACCACGGAATTGACCTGGGTAGAGCCTGCGACACTACTTCTTTGTGTGAAGATCGCCAAATGCAAGCCTACACTGTGGATCTACGATTCAGGTTACAACTATGGAAGCGCCATACTAGGGTGTATCGAAGAGCACTCTGTCATATTCCAAGTTCCACATTCCCAATAGGTCATACACATTATATATGCCACCTCCAATAAAAGAGCTCGGTTATCCTAGAAAACGAGGTAAGTTAGTCTTCTCACTACAAATTACGTTTATTCGCCCTCCCTGTGACTGACACCCAACAGATGACGGCTTGTATATAGATATATCACCAGACCTAACCTTCGATCCTGACCGTTATCCGGAGACTCTCACGATGACCAATTGAACGTCCCTCCAGTGCTACTCTCCGGAATATGACTTTCGACACTAAAATCGGGGCCAGCATGTCAACATGGACACACTATTGGCCCATGTGGTACACGACATAGCTGAACTACTATAATGACCCTAATGTCCGCTGGTTGTTTCACTCGATCACAAAAACTCACGAGCCCGATCCCAAGGTCGTGCGCCTCATGGGCTTTCCAGTCATGAATATCTTCTCAAGCAAGATGTATCGCTCGGCACAGTCGGGAGATATAGTCAATGAGTTATTCTGCATCGCGGAGGACAAGCATTATACATAGCATGGAACCCCATACTTGCGACAACAGGACGTATTTAGCTATCTTGACACGAAGACCCGATTGGACAACCTTGTGATAGGTCTACACAATGCCAGCAAATCATCGAACCAAAACATCACCAAGATAGCACAGCGCTGGATGTGGCTCATGAGCGCACACACCGCGTCCAAGAAGGCCCAGAGAGATACCACCACCATATACTACTTTTCTTATAACAACACCTGTTCTTCTGCAATTGGAACTCACCGACATTAACACCATTGTGTGCTACCGGATAAGGCTTTCTATTTCCTCATGAAAGATATATTCAGGATACTTGGAGGGAGTAACGGCCCACCTCAACCTGGAACTATGCACGAGAAAGATTTTTAAGTAGTTTGGCGAACTGTGGACTTGATGCTGTTGCCCTTTCATTCCCCGCCAAATGGATACTCGATGAGCCAGCATCACCTGAGAGACGTGGTTCGAGAGCTCACTACAATATATCAAAGTTCAGGAAGGACGCCACCTACAAGCAATTGAGAAAGCTATGTCGCGCGATGAATTTGTCATCCCATTGGAGACGGCCAGGTGGAAGATAATCGATGTTAAAGATCGACTTTAAAGACAACAACGGATACGTCACCCATTTCAAAGCGTGCTGGGCCATTGCAATGTTAAGATCTCCTGAAGAATCACGTACTCTCCTGTTGCTGCAGAATCTTCGATGAAAATGGATCGCTTTCATCACTGAGGTCTTGGTTACCAACAAGTCAACGTCTGCACAGCATACCCCCACGCAGGATACGCGGAAAAAGAATGGTAGCCATTGCATAAGCGAATTCGCTTTTTGACCAGGCTTGATATGACTGATATCCCAACAAAAGGATTCTATGGTCCTTATCAAAGGATTCGAAGAACACCTCACCATTCAACCCTCGCTTATGGTACCCATTACCCTTCGTTTTCTTTTGAAACTCAACATGATCTCTCCACACGACTTCAATTTTAATATTGTTTTGTAAGATGCAAGTCTTCGACTTGAACACCGACAACTATGAAGCCGCGAAGCATCACTTCAAGAACGGCTTGCTCTATACACAAGTCACTGTCGCGCTCATATGGATAAGCCGCTAGATCGTGAGGACAATTCGAGCTAATGCTAAGATTTATGAACGGTCTCTGTCAGACCTGGCTTTCTGGCATCTCAAGGTCATCTCAAGCGCGAAGTAAGTTGCTCTTTGACCCTTGCTACTGCAAATGCTGACGGCGTGTTTGGCACTTCGTTCAGCGATCCGCAAAGACAGTGTGCAGCTCAGTAGTACATACTGCAGTGTCAGCTGAGATCAATTACAGCTGGACAACTTCTACACTGCTTCAGGTAGGGACCGGCTTTTTTCTTAATACTCTCTCCCCCCCCCCCCCCTGCCACTCCCACTGGCTTCCCTACCCATATCCATTCCACTATCAAAGCAATCTCGATCCTTCGATGAATGGTGAGTCACTCTACACTCCTGCAGAGCGGCAGCAAGCACGATAGCATCCCGGCTGTGCTCTCTCCAGGCTGTCTTCTGAGCAACAACGACAACACCTCAAAGAGGACGACGACAGTAATTATCCTGGTACTTGCCTATTGCGAGATACAAATACGGTCCAATATTGTTTCATACCAACGGCAACCTGTTAAACAAGACATCCCCATATCGTGGGAGGACAACGTCGACGGGGGGCTCACCCAAGCCCTTGGACAGAGTCAAATTGACGCGCTTCTTCAAAAAAAGGGTATGTAAATCCCGCAGATTTTGTGAGATAAGCCGATTTTATGGTCATCTGGACCCTAAGAAACTCCAAACCTTCATTATCACCTATCCACGGACGCGAGTGAATAGGGACCTCAAAAAACCCCATCAAACCGATGCGCTGATCTTGGTCAAACCCACGGACCGCGTGTGCCGTCTGCGCTCTCAGTTTATTACATTAAAACATGACACGCCTATTCTTATCATGGTAATCGACAAATCACTTCTCCTAGACTACATTATCTCTTCCCTGAAGCCGCTGTCGGCTTCTTCCTCTCCCAGGTCTCCTCTCACCTCGATCTGCTCACACATTGTTGATTGTCGCTGGCAAATCCTGGACCCTTGATTGAAGCCAACGCCGGCTCCCTACTCGGACAAGAACTTTTAGTATTGTGAACACCAGGACTGACACCGCTGCAGAGCGAGTGTCTACACTATGTCTTCCATTAAAGAGAGAGAACAGGCCATTACCAGGTCGCTTATAGAGAAAATTAGGTCGATCCCATACTGAATACCTGTTCACGGATATGACACCGTTTGTCGTGTTCCTGAACGCTCTGATTCTTCTTGTTCTGTCTATGCTCAGCAGGATATTATGCAATCTTCTAGTCGACGAGGAAGTCACCGCACAAGAAATCACAGCAAGCATAGCATATCCAGCATTACAAGTCCTCATATCAAATGCCACCTTGGCCCACTCCACAACCCCACTCCAGCGTTAGAGTATACGGAACGACCACATTGAAACAAATCCTGAGGGATAACACAAAAACGACATGGATTCATAATCACGGATGACAGAGTCACCATTGGATCTTTAGATGAGAGGATACTCTTCGAACGCCGATGCTAACCTCGGTTTCATGCGATATATGGCAGAAATCTCGAGGTCGCGGCCACTGCGAGTCGTCCAGCTCCGGCCGCTAGGCCGGCGCCACAGGCGTCCGGAACTCAGTATATGGGTCGCCAATGTTACAGGTGCGGTCAAATGAATCACATAGCAACGCGTTGTCCGAACACCGCATTATCAAAAAGCCAGCAGGACCAGCTGTGAGAGGCGGACCGGGAGCGCATTGCGGTCAAGACGCCGGTTGCCAGTAACTTTCCCCAGGTCGGGGTCAAGCCAGTATCCGGTAATCAGTTGGGGCCGTCCACGGCGACAGCAGTGAACACCACCAGGGTTAACATGGCAGTGATTGAGCCATCCGACCATGTGCAACCTCGCTGTGTTGAGGTTCCAGAGGAGCAGTTTGCCAACTGGGGAGGTGCGGCGCCGTTCAATGTGTTGGATTCAGACGTCACCGAGAATTTGGATATATGCTGGACTCTCGAACCAGAGGACGTAACCCAATGAAAAGACGGTGCAATCGCACAAGATACACCACCACACTATACCATGATCTACACATGCGGTGGTGGCACTGGCTTCTGAAAAACACGGCATATAGCGTTCAACCCATAAAATCTGTACACAAGCGATACAGAAAGAAAACCTCTGGCGAGACAAATACTCGCCTCAATCCTGACTCGTGCGATTCCCATCGGTATCAATAAGATGCTCCATCACAAGAAACAGCCAATCAATAGGGGATATCCTAAATACAATGAGCCTGGGCAAGATGCATCTTACTTTCTAGCTATCTAATAGTTCTTCACCTATTCCTCTCTTGCTTATCCTCCTCCTATATCACGCGTGAGATGGCTGACAGCAGGACCAACAGATATTTACTGTCATTACTACATGTGTGATCAGTTACTAGGTCTGATTAAACCGCGCTGAAATACAGCACTTGTGAGATCAAATAAACAGTCAACACGTGCTAGCAGAGTCTAACATCACTACCTTGTCCCTCTGCTAACCTGCATCCTATTAAATACTATTATATTAGTCACCACTCGATTAAAGACGAACCATCTGGTTTTCATGATAGAATAAGTGTGATACTCGGGCCTGCCAGGCTCATTGGTATCTGGGTGTCTGAATGGATAAAATCCGTGGAACCCAACCACCCACGCCTTGATATAATCATGTCCCCACTCAGCACGTCCGGGCTTCTACCTCCACATTCCTTGGATAATTCTCCCCGCAATGTCCCATCAACATCTCCCTGGGCAGTTCAATCCTGCTCGCCCCCGTTCTCATGCCACGGTTTTGATCGGTATCCTCTCTCGCTACCCCACGCAGGGTGGTGGGCCCAAGTGGGAAGAAGCGGAACCGGAGTTAGCATCCCTACGGGAACAAGTCACCACGCTGGCTACGGAAATCGAAGACGGCCATTCCAGTCCTTCTCAATCGGTCAACTGCAGTTTCTCGAGGAAGACTTAGAGAACATATTGGCCGTGTGGGCCTGGGAGCAGTCGCGCCCTGTCCCTTCAACCCAGAGAGAGTATAGTATTTATTAAGAAGCCAATCTCTGAGAAGGGCCTATCCAAGCCATCATAGCACAGATAGTCAGCAAACATAGGCCCCACCCCTATCTGTCTATACATGGTATGAAAGGCAGTTCTGGGCGGTTCTGTAATGATAAGTTAGTTATCTTTCTATTTGAGTTGCAACAGTTTGACAATATGGTTTTTTTTGAATCCTAACCCCTCAAAAACCATCGAATGTCAGGAGGCTTTGTATGTGAACTTTGCCAAATCCGCGCTCCTGCAGCAGTCGCCGGCCACGATGAACAGGAAATTCAACGACCACCATGACTTTGACACGATCCAAACAGATATCAGATTCTCTAAGAAGCTGTAAGACAGAATAAAGTGTGTTCCCAGTCGCGAGTACGTCGTCTACCACCACTACTGACCCAGCCCTCTGGATCGCATCCCTGCAAACCTCAATGTGTCTTACTTTGGGAGACTGAGATGCCAAGGCAGATATATGTGAGGCATGGATAGGGGCTCTTATGGTGGGTGGAGGTAACTTTCCTGCTTCACGGATCGGCGTGAAGGGGACGTTAACCTGTAAGGCAAGTGCTGAAGCAAAGATGTACCCCCCAGTCTCACAAGAGGTTATCAAATCAACACTGTTCCAGTTCCCTGTGAAAGAAGACTGCATCAAAGAGATGCATAGGGCTAGCCCACCAGGTTGCTCGGCAATGTTCAAGACATGGCGGAACTCAACGCCTGGCCGCGGAAAGTTGGGCACACGACCAACCATCTGGGCGAGCCGCTGGAAATCTTCACTGAGAAATGGAAGCAAACTGCTCTCTGCAAACAATCTTGCCCCGCCCTTTCCATTTTGGTGATTCTCGAATACAAAGGTGGGGCAGTGTCTCAAGAAAGTTGGATTTGAAGTATTAGTAGCATCAGTGATACCCTGCCGTCGGTCCTCTCGGATGTTGTCAGTCGTTCTGACATGTACCTCCAGGACTCTAGTAGCAGGCACTAAATGCGACATAGCTGCAACCGGAGCTCCATCCCTCATACCTGTAATTATTAGAACATCAACGTCTGCAGCCTTCTGCACCACATCAAGCAAATGCTCCTCGGGAAGATGCGGCCGTTGTCGGACCTGGTCCCGGAAGAACTCCGTTAACCTGGATCGATGTTGCTCTTTGTAAGCTCTGTCCTGAAGCAAGCACTCCAAATTGGCACCGGTGGCTACGGCATATTCTCGCTTGGTCGCATCGCTAATGCTGACAGCGCGTGCCACGACCCTTTTCTGAGTATTCTCGGTGAATACAGAAACCCAGATGTTTGCACAGAAGTCTTTTCCGGCTCCGCTTTCACCAGTGACCAGAATAATGAGCTTCTGTGCTGTTGACACTTTCGGTAGTGGAGACGTATAAGCCAGGACATCGGATGGATCGGTGGTATGCTTGAGGTAGGCTAGGCGCTGCAGATTCGCCCCAAACGCCCTAGCTGCCAGTGTCACGTCTCTTGGGTCGGGCCCCAAATCTGCGCCATATACCCCACAGCTCAGAGGTAGTAAGTCCGCAGCCACTCGGTATACCCATTGCACGACATCTCGGGAATTTTCCGTGGTATCGTCGTTTCGGGACCACACGCCTGTCACGACACAAGCATAGTCCCAACCGCGACACCCGAAGGCAGTCGTATCAGGTGCCACGTTGTTGACCGCCTCACCACCATGGAGCAAATGGAGGTAGCAGAATGGGGTTGGACGAGTGTTGATAGCCCGGACCAACGTCGCGGACAGGTTTCGCGATGAGATGCTGGTTAAAAACAAGCAGCGCTTGAACGAATTGGTCTTGTTACCACCATGCCCGCCATGCATTCCGGACATGTACATATCGGCGTCAAAGACTTCCACGCCGTTCATAACCCTCGGATTATCTTCTGATCTGGATGTGGTGCCCATAGGAAGAGAAACAGGTGAAAGGGGTTCCAAATCACGTCCAGGTATTGAGCATTCAAAGACCGTCACGCCAAGGTGAATCTGGCCATTTTCCCAGTAGAGATATGCATCTGCTGAGCAATTACCTGGTAGCTTCCCCGCCAGAGCTTGGTCAAAAGCGCTCAGTTGATGCTGCGCATGCTGATCATCCCTCAATGGAGCACTCCATCTTCGAACCAGGTACATCGGAGCGGCAAAGGCTTTGAAGGTCACACTGATTATTATGCCAATGTTCGTCCCAGCGCCCTTTGCTGCCCATAAAAGGTCGGCCTGGTTTTTCGGATAGACAGCACCCACTGGGCGGTGTTCGCCAGGTACATCGCCAATGCAGAGAACTCGGCCTGATCGAACACTGACAGCAACGACACCGACAATGGCATCGCATGTGAGCCCATACATCCTAGCCAGATGACCAATGCCACCTTGTAGCCACAGCCCCGCCCCGGTACTTGGGCGAGCACCTAAAGGCACGGTCACGCCGGCTTCCATGGTTTTACGGACAATATCTCCTGCCTTGCAGCCCGCTTCAGCGACGACGAGCGGCGTACTATCCGGGTTGGTCCCAGCTCCATTGCTGCTCGCATGAAGAATATGGATCTGATCAAAAGAAGACATATCGACCGCCACAATATTGGGTTGTAGGCAGTGACCGCTGTGACCACCACCAACAACAGTGAGGCCAGTTCGATGCTTAAGAGCCCATTGAACACAATCTTGGACCTGTTGAATCTCCGTCGGTTTAACGATCACCGCGGGACGGTGGTGGCGAGCTTCCCAGTTCTTAACTCGTATGTTCTCCACAAAAGGAACCCGAGCAGTTAGCTCTGGGAGTGAATCCGAATGCTTGGTGAAGGCTGCCATCAATTGGGGCGAGCTAAAGAAAAGCTGCTTTAAATGATTCTCTGGGCGTCGACCTAAGGATCGGCATGCTTCACGCCATTCCATCCTGGTAGCCCTATTTGCCTCTCTGTCATGCAAGCTGAATCCTGCAACCAACGGAGCAAAACTGTCCAGTGCATTGTCATCATCTGGTACGGAGAGCTCTCCTAGAGGAAATAAAGCCACTCGATGACATATTAATTTGCCGAAGTCTGGCCCATCGCGATGGAAGACGGCCACTATTCCGCCTTCATGATCTTCAACGAGCATATTCAGTGCTTTTTCGATGAACTTTGATTTGGGATTCAAGCCGTACATGCTGTGACAGAATAGTATCAAGTTGTACTTTTCACCAATCTGATGTGTAACACTGCATTTATCCGTCTTCATTTCGGGGTGTATGGAAAATGGCACTCGATGGATATTGACAGAACTCTTCAGGCGTGGAAAGGGCAACTCTGTTTCTGAGTTGGGACAGAGCCACTTTTCCATGGCGGTAGCAAAGAGATCGTTAGGTTCAAATGCGGTGTATCCTCCGATCTTTTGTCTCAGGGACTTGGGTAGGTGTCCAAGTATACTCTTGGGTCCAGGACCAATTTCCAGCACTGATATCCAATCCCTCGAATCGAGGAGGGGTGTCAGCAACCTCGACAATTGAGGGATGATAAAGTCCTGATAGCTGATCCATCCCGAGTCCTTAGCCATTATCTCGAACCCATCCCTGTAATTTTCGTCTGATAATGTCTGCGTTGATGCTGCGGCCGCCATGGCCTTCTGCCTCAGAACGGATTTGAGTGTTTCGATGCTGGCCATTTCGTTTATGGTGTAGCGGCATGAAGGGATATGGATGAGGAAGTTATTTATATTTATATTTATATTTATAGTTTTGTTTTTCTCAAAGCGGGCTCCCACTTAACTATCTCCAATTTAGTCTCCCTATCAGCTAAGCAAAGATACATGAAGCGGGGTGGTTGATACGTGGCACTCTTAAGCCATGGTTGGATGCATAGACCCAGAGCTAATGCATGTGATTTACCATCACACTTGTGTTCGAGGTATATTCAATGTTAGTCTGGTCAAGGGTCAGACATGTTGCTTTTCCCTTCCGACTTGAACCCGAAATCTCCTTGAATGTATCGGGGAAAATCCAGAGCGGGAAGGCCTATGTACGACGCCAGAGAGATATGCTAAATCAATGCTATATTTTACCCAAGGATATTCGGAAAATATCCAAGACTTGGTCAATGGAGCAGTCTTCCATGAAGACCACAGCGAACTCGTTATTGTGAAAGATATCGATATCTTCTCTCTTTGCGAGCATCATATGGTTCCCTTCACTGGAAAGGTACAGTACAGTCTAGACCCAAGGGTGTCGGGGTCATTGTGGAGTGCATTCACTTGTGCATGACCACGCGCGGTGTTCAGAAAGTGGAAAGTTCTACAAATACCAGTTGTATGCTTGGCTGCATGTTGACGAGCTCGGAGGTCAGAAGTGAATCCATGTCACTCCTTCATCTAAGGTGACTGACCTACCCGGCTCCTTTGTGATCACGGTGTCACCACTCATGGGGTTCCTGTATTGCCCCATGGTTTTGATGCCGCTACAACCAATGTTTACCCGTTCCATGATCTTCAGGCTATTTTAATTTTGCTTGAATACGTTACTGCCTCCGTGTAAGAGTGAATGTCAAACATGTGACCTACACCATCTGCAGAGAAGAGCCCATCAAAATTGCATTGGCAGTCATAGTCAGCCTCGCAATTCTTTTACCCACGAGCCACGAATCGAGACAATTACCCAGACCTTAACGATACCCCTAATATCTCCTAGATACACCCATCCCTAGAAGTGCAGTGGGAATTAAAGCCGGTCGTTCCTCATCTGTTGAAGATCTCAGTGTTGCGCTTGAACCGATCACAAAAAGGAAATTGAACTACACAGGGACATACTAGTTATTGCTGGCCACCCTACCTCACCTCCTTGAGACATTTTCAGGAATTATCAACAATGGGGTATATGGGGGACCTTGCTTGCCTGGATGATACTAATATGCCTCACTTTGCGCAGATATCTGTGGCAGCTTATGGGATGGTTGGATGACAGCTTCGCCTCTTGTGTATGGTTGGGGGGTGGTTTGGGGTGGTAGTGGAGGTGCTGGGGGTTTTTTGTATTGTACTCTTTTTTTATTATTATTACATCGTTTATCTATCTCTCGCTTTAAGTATCTATAGGAAAGGGAAGAGCATTGCCACTATGCTCGCTCATCCAGCTGATTAAGGCTACGCATAACTCTCCCATCTCTACTCCCTTTCCAACAAATATTTTAACCCTCAAATCCAGTCCAAACAACTTAACCATTCGATGACATATGTATAATTGAACTAGGTAACTCACAAGACGTAATAGCTACTCGCTAATGTATATAAAACTTAGAGGATATACGATGTCGCATTCGCATTCGCATTCGCAGTCGCATTTTGCATTGAGCTCCCTTTGCACATAACTAAATTGAACCTTCAAAAACCGTAGCCAGTTCTCACTTTCGTGCTTCCAGGCTGGTTTTGATTGCTGTTGAGTGTTGGTTAGACTGATCTTACCCCTCATGCAAGGAAATAGTGGAAAGATGACTTACCATCGCAAGAAGTCTTAGCATCTCCGAAAAGCATTTTCGTTCCGTCCATGAAGAACATTGGGTTGGGGACGTCGGCTGTTTATCTAATCAGTATTCTCATCTTCCTTTTTCTTTTCTCAAAATAGAGTAGGAAGGGAAATACATACCATATCCACTTGACATTCCCCGCTTCATCACGATAACTTCCTTGCTCTTCCACGCTTGCAGGACAGGCATTCCAGAGATAGCTGAGTCCGGCTCGAGCGCGATGGGATTGACGGTGTCGTTGGCGCCGATCACGAGGGTGACATCTGTGTCGGAGAAGTCGTCGTTGATTTCGTCCATCTCAAGCACGACTGGTCTATTGTTAGTTCTGTTCTTTCTTTGTTAAGGGTGGGGTCATACTGTCATAAGGCACCGATGCCTCCGCGAGCAGCACGTTGCACTGTCCAGGCATGCGGCCCGCAACCGGGTGGATCGCAAAGCGAACTTTGACGCCGCGGGCACGCAGCATGTGCACGATCTCTGCGAGAGCGTACTGCGCTTTGGCTACTGCCATGCCGTATCCGACCACCTAACTTGGGTTAGCTGAGCTTCGGTCACGGATAGGTTGGGACATACAATGACAACGTTCTCGGCGTTGGTCAGCGCTTCGGACACGTCGTCAACGGTAGCCGTAGTGATCTTGCCCTCGATTTGCTTCTGCGCTTGTTGCGGTGCGGAAATTCCGCCGAATAGGACGTTGGTGAGTGATCGGTTCATGGCGACACACTGGATAATCAGCAACGGTCGTGTCTACTGAGCGGGGAGCATACCATGATGTAGGACAGGATGGAACCGCTGACGCCGATCAAGGATCCGACGCTCGTAAGAAGAGGGTTGTCAAGCATGAGACCTTCGGCCACCAGGGCAAAACCGGAGTATGCGTTGAGCACCGTGATCACGACAGCTATGCCTTATTAGCGACAATCTACAATCATCCAAGGAAACGTACGCATATCCGCCCCGCCTATAGCGGCAGTTGTCGTATATCCCTTGATGAAACTGAGGAGGGTACTGGCACCGAGACAGGTCGCTGCAATGGCCGGATTCGCCGGCGCCATGGTGAGGAAAGCTCCCATGGTGGCTACATTGCTTCCCAGCAAAGTCGAGTTGATCACATGGCGACCGGGAAGGATAGTCGGTCGCGATGCCATGCGCCCGGCAAGCTTCATGAATGCTACGATCGAGCCCGTGAACGTGATACCGCCTATCTGGTCAGCCTCCACCGTACTATTGCCTCCATGCTCCTGAACGATGGGACAAGTATCATACCGATAATGACGCCCAAGTAAGCTGTCACCATGTGGAGGGTCGAGATATCACTGATATCGGTGAGCACGCTTCCAATACTGGTCATCACGGCAGCAAGGCCGACGACGGAGTGCAGCGCCGCAACAGTCTGGGGAAGTCCGGTGGGCGTGATCCGGCGACCAATGATAGTACCTAGTGGTGTGAGCAAACATCAACCATCGGCTGATTATACATACCGACAACGGTGCCGACACCTGCAATGGCCCCGAACTGAGTCAAAGTCTCGGCATCAAACCCGGCTGCATACAGGGACGCAAGGATACCCGAAGCCACACCCAAGATACCGAAGATGTTGCCCCGTCGGGCCGTCTGCTGGGAGGACAGACCGGAGATCGAAGCTTCTCACGTCAGCGCCACGCCTCGCAAGAATTCCCGAAGAGGATACTACTCACCCATACACAGCAGACTGCTAACCAGATAACCCGCCTGCACGATACCGGCCATACCCGTGCTGGCGGCCGCAATGAACCCGCCCCCAAACAATGTGGCCGGGATGGCGTACAGCCATGGGTACTCGGGTGGGTCGGTGGGGCCTAGAAAGTCAGCGACAGACACCCCACAGGACTAAGCTACTCACGCTTAAACATATCCAGCATGCGCTTGGTGATCACAAACCCGCCTGACACGTTCATGCACGCCAAGAGAACCGAGGCTGCTCCGAGGTACTCGGGAACAGTCGTAGGGAAGTATCCACCGCCCATGATGAAAAATCCTCCAATACCCACCATTCCTGGAGACCGTTAGCGGCGACTAGACAATAGACAGCAAGGGATCGACCGTACCGGAAATCGCGTTGGTGACACTCATCAAAGGGGAGTGCAGGGCCGGAGCCACGCCCCAGACCGCCCGATATCCAACCAGACCGGCCAGACCGAAGGTCATCATGTTGCCCATGAAGATCGGGCCCGTGGCCTTGCCCAACGCCAGAGCGGAGCCCATTCCGGCAGTGACGGTCGTGACATCGCGAGTGGCCTTCTGCCAGGGGGTCAGGGCCAGCTCCGCTTGCGCCTTGGTCGGCGCAGCGGGTTCTGTTTTGGGGGCGGGCGGAGGGGCGGGACGCGGGGCAGGTGGCACGATTTCTCCATCCAAGGTGACAATTGAGCCACGGACGACTTCATCAGATAGGTCGACACCATACGACTTCTCCTGAGGCGCCATGGACAATAGGTACTTGGTGACGTTGTTCGAGTAGAGGGTCGAGGATTGAGTCGGTAGCCGGGATGGGAAGTCGGTGTATCCTGAAGCTGGTCAGCGTGTCTCGTAGCCCCCGTAGCTTGTATACCCACCAATGATGGTAACATCTTTGTGGTTGACGAGTTGTCCCGGAACGGTTGCTTCGCAGTTACCCCCGGCTTCCGCCGCGAGGTCCACGACCACCGAGCCAGGTTTCATGGCGGCAATCATCTTGGGATGGGATTAGCTGTGTCAAACCATGTCAAGGGAGCTCGGACCAACCCACCTCTTTGGTGATCAGCTTCGGGGCCGGCCTCCCAGGAATGAGAGCAGTCGTGATGATGATGTCCACATCGCGCGCTTGTTCCATGAAGAGCTTCATTTCGGCCTCGATGAATTCCTTGGACATTTCCTTGGCGTAGCCACCCTGGCCTGCGCCGTCCTCTTGGAAGTCGACTTCGACGAACTCGGCGCCCAGCGATTGAACTTGTTCTCGGACAGCGGGGCGGGTGTCAAACCCGCGAACGATGGCGCCCATGCGACGAGCCTTCTTCGCGTCAGTAGAATCATACCAAGATCCCTGCACATCGACTTACAGTTGCAATGGCACTCAAGCCAGCGACGCCGGCTCCAATGACCAAAACCTTACTCGGGGGGATCTAGACTGTTAGCAAGAAACATGCGATGCGCTCCGGGAAACACACCTTGCTAGAAGGGGGTGGTTAGCTTTGACTCATTCCAATGGGAGGGAGAAACCTACCCCGCTGCAGTAACCTGACCAGTGAGAAATCGACCGAAATGATTAGAAGCTTCCAAAACCGCCTTGTATCCAGCAATGTTGGCCATAGAACTGAAATATGTTAGTATGAAACATCCTAGTAGATCGGAAGATGACCCACCTAAGAGCATCAAAGACCTGCGCGCGAGAGATTCTCGGGATCATATCCATAGCAAAGGTGGTCACACCGCGTTGAGCCAGTTGCTCGACCAGAGGTCTGTTCTGCGCGGGATACACAAACGAGATAACCGTGGTTCCTTTCTGGAGGGCCTGCACTTCATTGAAGGGCCCCTCCTGCTGCGGGCTGCGGACTTTCAAGAGAATGTTGCTCTGGGAGTAGACCGTGGCCCGATCGACCAAGGTGGCTCCCGCCTGTTCGTAGATCTGATCCAGCATCTGGGCTTCCTCCCCGGCGCCACGTTCGACCAGCACACGGGAGAAGCCTTTCTTGAGAAGCATAGCCACATTCTGCGGGGTGAGAGCGACGCGACGCTCACCCGGGAAGGACTCTCGGGGCACGCCCACGGTCAAGGCGGAATAGGGTACGACGGGGACTGGGGAGGCATCCGACGCGCTGGTGGCGTATCTCCGAGTGGTTTGGGATTGTGGAGCAGGCAAGAGCTCGTGGTCGCGGCGGTAGGTGGCATGATTGGAAACCTGTCTGAACGGGAGGGCTACTGGTTGGGACACAAATCCCGTCAGTCACGGTGCAGAACGATGATGAGCGATTGCTTACCAGAATGCTTCCCGATCAACAACGACTTCCCTGGATGACCCTTGAGTAGCGCTCGACACGGCGCCCAGGCCGACCGCAGAGACAACGAACTCATTGTTGAGGCAGCCACAGACCGAGGGAAGAAGGGGACTGGATCTGAGAAGTATACGAAAACCTCATGCCAGGATGAAGACCCACATGGGTTGGCTTAACCGAGGCAGAGGACGACAATATACTAGACTAGCGAAGGAACAGGAACCAGACGAAAATGAAGCAAAAGAAAAGGAAGAAAAGGTGAACGAGGTCCAGGAAGAGAAGGGGGAGTCATAGTGGGTTGACCGACATAAGTCCGGCCACTTCAATCAAATCCTTTCTTGTGCCTGAGGCGGGGATCGCGATCGGTCAAAGCGGACCGATCGTCCACAGCCATTCATTCATTCCCGTCCAGCAAGGGGGGGTGTTAGAGGGGGATTAGAGGGGGTGGAGAGAATGGAGTCTCTTCCACAAATCCGTAGCCTTGAATAACTGCTTGTTGACTGGAGAGAAGGATGAAACGGTGTCGCCCAGACATCCATACGATGTGACCAAGACGTGGATAATGAGGGGAAATGCGTGTGGGGAAAACATCCCCGACCGTCAGCTGCCAGTTGACTCCACCACTCGAAGCGGAGAGAAGTGCCGATTCTCGGATGGATGGGTTGGATTGATTGATTGTTTATATGATTCTCAATACTGTCCATCCACTGGCAGAGACGGTTGAGACGTTGTGCATTGACTGTATTCTCATCCTGGTCGATTTACGACTAATAGTTGGTGTTTCCCAGGATTATACTGGTTGGACTGGTTATACTCGAAGCGAACACGGAGGATGGAGATGCACCTCTGCCTGACGTCTACACCGACCACAGTGATATTAGAATCAAATGAATTGAATAAAATATATAAAAATAGATACAAATGAGTAAAATATTTAAGATATATTATATAAAATAAACAAGAAATTGATACTGGACGGCCCGAAGTAAGCCCGGTCACGGGGTCGAACTGCAGATTGTTGCCTCAGGCTGCCACAAACATCTGCACCGTTTCGTTCTTCCTCATTTCTCTTTTCTCATTCTATACTCTCTCCAAGTCCACTGCGGTATGATACTCCTGTCTAGGACCACGATCGGGACTACACTCTACCAAAACACCTAGTTACATCAATCACTTCCCACCACGAAGGAACCCTCCACCGTGAGGTAGGGAAAAAGACGTGATCACTATAAAGCTTCCAGTATGGAATTGACTCTACTACACACGATTGTATACTCTGGTGGAAGACCATCTGATGGAAAATACATCACCCAGTAGCGCTCGACCCAACTAATACACGCTACATCAAAAGTAACCAGGAAATGAGGAACCACAGAATAAACTCGGGCGGAGTGGCATGGCCTGCCTTAGTCCGGGACCCACGTTCGCCGTTTCTGGTTGGCACGATCGTCCTCATTTGCAGGTCCCTCTTCATCATTTCAACTTGCGGACCAGTCATCTCCGATTCAGCAACGATCGTACTTATCTGATTATCGCTCATTTTCCTCGGCGATACCATTGGTAGGCGAAAAGCCATGGGATCGGATTAGACCTTTCCTATCCTGTTCCCCATCAAAGCTTCGGTGTAAGCTTTGGGACCCGGAAAACTTTTTTTTCGATCTCGTTTTTTCGCTCTTTGACGGGACCTGACCTGTTCCTGACATCAACGACAAACTTAAAAGTCGTCCACAGGAACGGAGTGCGGTGGTATCTCTGTTCTTCCATCCTCCCATCGAAGCATGTACCCAGACGTCGCGGCCATGGCCCCGCCGACCGTCCAACAGCAGGATTCCCTCGTCGATCAGGATCCCCTCAACGATGGAGAAGAGGACAGAAGCCAGCGCGAATCTCAAGATGATGCAGCATTGTTGGTATGTGTCATTTTAAGCTTGTCGCCGTTCGAATGCATGTACAATGCTAACGTCCCGCAGAAAACCATGGGCTACAAGCCGGTGAGTCACGGGAAACCGGGCAAGCAGAACTAAGAGAACTGTTCCTGGACTAAGTCAAGACCAGGTCTTGCATCGAACGTATAGTTTCTTCGAGAACTTTGCAACCACCTTTGGTAGGACAGCCGAATCTTGGGATCGCCGGAGATTTCCTACTAACATGTCTAGCCGCGCTTTACTTCATCGGTGGGGTTCGTGTCACCTTCAGTACCGGAATCATGGCTGGTGGGAATTTAGCCTACTGGTGAGTATTGATCCAGCGGCGGGATTGCACCGATCTGACGATATGAAGGACGAGCTACCTTGTCACCATGGTTTTCACTTTCATCACGGCTGCCGTAATAGCGGAAGTCTGCTCCGCGTCGCCATCCGCAGGTTCCATCTATTTATGGGCAGCGGAAGCCGGTGGTCCCCGGTTTGGACGGCTCCTTGGCTTCATCGTCGCATGGTGGAGCACGACGGCATGGACCACCTTTTGTGCCAGCAACACGCAATCGGCGGTCAACTACATGTTGGCTGTGAGCTCTCCCCTCTCTGGATGAAAATTCGATCGCTAACAGGTTGTAGGAATTGACCGTGTTCAACGTCGATTTCCCCAAAGACACCAGTGATGTCAAATTTCGTGCACTTCAATGGATCTGCACCGAGGTGCTGCTGGCATTGGCTGCGCTCCTCAACTTTATGCCTCGTAAGCTGTCTCGTTGCCTGTCCCTCACTAATGCTCACCATTCGATAAGCCCGCTATTTCCGGTTCGTCTTCTATTTCTCCTCGATGATCGTCATGCTGGACTTTGTTCTCAACCTCGTCTGGCTCCCCATTGGCACGCACAATACCTGGGGGTTCCGGACGGCGGAGGAGGCCTTCATGTCGACCTACAACGGCACCGGCGCCCCTCCCGGATGGAATTGGTGTCTGTCGTATCTCGCCACGGCCGGTATCCTGATCGGATTCGACGCCTCGGGGCACGTCGCCGAAGAGACTAAGCACGCCTCGGTGACGGCCGCGCGAGGTATCTTCTGGAGCACAATAGCAAGCGGATTCGGCGGACTCGCCACCATTATCTTGTTTCTCTTTTGCGCGGTTTGTCTCCCGGTTCGTTTCTCTTCTTCAATACTGACAGTAGCAGCCCGGCCCAGCGAAACTCTTCGAATTCGGCTCCTCGCAGCCGTTCGTACCGCTTTACGCCGCAGTGCTAGGTAAAGGCGGCCACGTCTTTATGATCGTGATATGTGTTGTCGCCCTGTGGCTCGTACGTCTCATCTTCGCGTGTTCCCTTCTTCACCAGCCACCCCCAAACTAACAACAACAAGAACACCGCGATAGCCATCGTGGCCGCCTCCCGACTAGTCTTCGCCGTCGCGCGAGACGGCGTCCTCCCCTTCTCATCGTGGGTATCCCGCGTCAACAACGGCCAACCACGCAACGCTGTAGTCGTCGTCTGGGCCGTCGGCGCCATCATCACCTGCACGCTGCTTCCCTCCGACGTAGCCTTCACATCGCTAGTCTCAGCAGCCGGCGTACCCAGCGCCGCCGCATACGGCCTAATCTGCCTAGCGCGGCTGCTCTGCACACCACACCGGTTTCCGAAGCCGCAGTGGAGCCTCGGCCGCTGGAGCAAGCCGTTCCAGTTCATCGCGGTGTTCTGGAACGGGTGGGTAGTGGCCGTGCTCTTCTCACCTTATCAGTTTCCTGTGTCCGGGGCGAATCTCAACTGTATATCTCCCATCTTACTTGCTGGCTTACACTATGTGCTAACTTAACTGGCTAGATGCTCCTATCATTATGGCCTCCGTGACTGTCTTCGCTCTGATCTCGTACGTGGTCATGCCAGAGGAGGCCTGGCTGCCGCGGAACCGCATCTCGCATTTCATTGATAGCAAGGGCGCGAGTACAACGGTGGAAGAAGTGGGCGTCCCCCCGAGAGAGGAGCAGGCACGGGAGCCTAGCGATGAACGGACCCGGACTGAGGCGCTCGCGCAATGAATGTTATCTAGTATCTTGTAATGATAATGTTAATCGTGATGCTAAGCTAGTCAAAGATTGACCTAGATTGGTCTTCATCAAGATAGTCCATTGGTAATTACTACACAGCCCAGTCAGCCAGGGCCAGCATTGCCCCAAACCAGTTAGTGAGGTAGCGGGCAACGCCAGTCCACAAGCCCAACAAATCCGGAGATCAGATTGCGTGGACAGGGGTTCCTTACTACCAGTAGTACCCCATATACCAGTACCCCATATACAGTATCTACCACCTATATTCTCCATAGTCTATACACACTTTTACATTAAAGGCTAGCTAGTCACCTGTGGAGTTCAACGTTCTTTAGTACTTTGTAGTAATAAAACCATAGCGATCACCGTTAGCCCCTTCAACCATTACCCCCTTCAAGCTAGACAGTCACACCTACCATCTACGCGTCTACCCCATACCCCATACATAACGAACTAAATAAATACTAACAAACACTATTGACCTAACGAGTGCGCTTTTTTAGACCTCACAAGCACCATGAACTATGAACCAAATATGAAGTAACGTCTTGCTATAAATAGGCACTGTACAGTAGCTCAAGGGGCTAGCGCTATCTAGTTAGCTAGTGTAGGTCAAAGTATAACTAGTATGAGGGTATGAGGCGCTATGGGCACATGTTGAGGAGACTTTGGACTTGGCTGGGTCCAGGGTTGGTGGAATGGAATGAAGTGAAATTGTAATCGGCGGATTTGATGGGCGCTTTCTTTTTGGATGGTAGATGGCTTGGTTGTTACTATCTGATTGATTGATTGATTGAGTGGGTGGGTGGGTGCCTCTGCATGGGGTTTTACGGAGCATGCTTTGTTTTTTTTTTTTGGAAATGAAATCCGAATCAGTGGATGGATGGTTCGCGAATGGTTTAGGGTATAATAATTTCCCTCTTCTTTTCCTTTATGTAGGTGATATTGTGGAAATCTCGTATGTGTTGCGATTGATGGATATACGTATGTATGCGCTCACTATACTACGAGTCAGTACTGTGAAGGACGGGATAGCCTCAGATCGGCGGACCACTCAGACCCTGGATGTTGATAGATGCTCTGTACGACTACGACAAAACTGAGATAAGCAAGCGGCCCGCGGGATCTACACGACAGCCATCATAATCTTCGCTTTCCCACGGAGGAGTACTCTGTAGGACTGGAACTGTTGTAAGTTGTGACATGTCTTCCGTGCGCCCCGTCAATGATTGAATGGCCAAGACTTCCCCTATTCCCACTCCAAGGACGGAAACTCCATTCCACCACCGCTGGGATGATCCGTCACTCCTCAGTCCTGGGACGTGGTATCTCGCCCGAGTCCGACACATGCAAGTAGAAGAAAGGACTGTGCCGGCCGTTTGAAAACCCTTAAAGATGCCGAGCTTGACCAGCCCAGCCAGTCGATCATCCCCGCTGTGATGACATACTACGGTGTGTAAAATGCCGCGAATCATCGCCCCGTAGAGCCCGGGTTGATCACCATGCGGCACACGCCGCCGACCCTGAAGTTAGGGTCGAGTACGTAGTCAAAGATCGACCGCGGTTTGACCCCCTGGAAGGACCCAAACTCCCGAAGCTTTCAAAGTCAGATGCCGCCGCTAGTCTGGCTGGATTGTAAGATTTTCCTTGTTTCATTTAATCTTGAACTTTCCTTTTTCTTGATTTATTTCTTTGTCCTTTTATTTGCCTGTTTTTTTTGTTGGATTTATAAGGTTTGTTTTCTTTCGCACGAGCTCCTGGTCGAGCGACAGCAGACCAAAGAAGCGCAAACCAAGGATAGTCCCTCACCGAGCCCCTCTGGGAAAATGCGGTTGGCTATTTGTAGGTCCACAGTAGTGTACGGGGCGGGGACCACCCGCCCACTTTCGCCGCTAGGTGGTCTTTGAGGGACAGACATGCGAGATTATGGATGGATCGAGAAAGCAACGTGCATGCTGGGACGCTGGAAGGACCTACCCAAGTAATCTCCCCCGCCTCCTCAGACGTTTGGAAAAAGCAAAAGCGGCATCCAATTGTTCCACCTGCACCGGCAGTGGCGCACGGAGTAAAGGAACAGACAGACCATCAAATCAAGATCCCCACGGAAACAATTGCAAGTGTTTGACGGGCGCATTAGTGACCAAGCGGCGCGAATCCTTCCCAGCATGGTTTGAACGGCCATGCCCAGAGAATTCTAGGATTAGTTTCGTAGGATCATCAAATGATAGCACGCGATGACACGAGCGAGGAGGGGAGAGTGCGAAGACCATCCATCGGTGGAAATCGCATTAGTGGATCATGAAGTGGAGATACGCGACGAAGGTGGTCGACTGGGTTTATGGGGAGGTGAGGTCAGAATTGCGATTGGGCAGACATCAATGCGGTATTTTTTTGTTCTTTTTCTTTTTCTCCTTCTCACTTTTTTGACTTTTTCCCTTTTTTCCGCTTGCTTCTTGGCTTTCTTTTTCTCTCCTTTCATTCTGTCTTCCCTGTTGGAGCTCGTGTGTCTGGGCCTGTAGTTGTTCGGCTGGTAGAAAGGTTATCCTATTGCCAAGAATTCTCAAACAGGCAAGGATCGGAGCCACGAGGAAAACGAGTTAGCCTTGGGAGGAGCATGCGAAGATCAACCACTAAGGTCGATCAGCGGCCATCGCTGTTGGAGTGGGAACGGACGGTGATTTCATTTGGGGGTCAGAAGAAGGTTAAGTAGGAGGATGATGGATTCCAAACCGTTCCAACTGCAGTTGTTTTTCCTCCTCGATTTTGCCTGGAGTTCCCGCCCCACCCAGGATGCCTCAGGTTTGTCCGGAGTAGAAGAAGTTCGTTTTAACTTCAACTTCCAACTTCTTTCTTGGTTCGTCATCCCATCTGGATGGACATGACTCTGTCTGTCAGCTTCCTCCCTCACCCTCGTCTCTGATCGTCTGCTGTGCGCCTGCATCTCATCTGTCTGTCCTTTCCGCACCGCTGCTTCTGTCCTTTTCGCCCCCTACGCCACTTGTTTCTGGAACCCCTCCAGTTAACTAAACCTCCGGTTGGACTCTCATCGGCTGTCCTCCTGCTCCTCCCACATGTCTCTACCCCACAGTTTCCTTCCTTCCATCTCCTCGCCGCCTCATGGAGATTCACAGCGTTGTCTGCCCACCCTCCTCCGCTCCGCAACCTCAACTGTCCGCCACCACTCACCCTCCGGAGAAACGAAAACGAGTGCGCCGCTGGCATCACCGGGGGTTCACTGGCTGTTCGACATGCCGTCGCCGCCATGTGCGCTGCGATGAGGCCTCACCCTCGTGTAAGAATTGCACGCGGTTAGGGTTGGAATGCGATGGCACCCAGGGTCGCATGACGTTCAAGGTCTACGGACCCCCGCCACCGCCGTCGGAATCGTCGTCGGCCCCGAAGAAGGGAGACAGGAGATCGATCTCGGGCACGCTGGATGTGGCTAGCGCAGATGGAAAACCAATTAAGCGGGAACAAGATGCGGACGAGGAATCATTGGACGGGGTGATCGTGTCGCCGACGACCGTGTCCGAGTCGAGACCGGTCGAGTACCGCTTCCAAGAGCCCATGGGCCTCGCGGGGTTCGAGGCCTCGTCATTGCAATGCATCGATGGTCGATATTACACGCATTTCATTGACCAAGTGGCGACGTTGCTCCTGATTTACGACAACTCCAGCAATATCAACCCTTTCCGCCGGAACTTCCCCGACATGGCGCACGCGTCACATTCCGTGGCCAGCGCCATGCAGGCGCTGGGGGCTCTCCACCTGGCCAATACCTCCAGCGGACAACAACGAAATACACACTTCCAGCATGCGATGGGCAAGTATGGGGAGGTAGTCAAATCGTTCCGGCATAAGTATATCCAACCGGAGCAGAACGTCCAGCTGAGCGATTTCGCCACTTGCTTATTACTGTCCCTCTTCGAGGTGCGCGCAATCATTTCTGATCCCCGCACATTTTTTCGTTTCGCCCGCTAATTTGAACAGATGATGGATTCGCAAAATCACAATTGGGCGATTCATTTGAAAGGCGCCCGCGAAATCTACCGTATCCTCTTCCTTCCAAACAGCGATCCCACCAAAGAAGCCGAACGCCTCGCCGAAACCAACCACCCCCTCCGAAATTTCCTCGTTTCGCTCCTTTCCTATCTCGATGTGGCGGGCGCATGCGCGACAAGTGACGGCACTGTGGTAGAAGGCAGCTACTGGCGGACGCATGGCGGTGGCTGGGAATACAACTTGGGGACGCCCAGCTTGTCATCCGACTCGCCAGACAGTCCTCTGTTGATCGAACTGCGACAAGGTTGGTCAGTCATGATGGAGATCCAGGCGTCCATCAGCGCATTCGGCAAGACAAAACAGCAAGGAATCGTATCGCACGCGCAGCAAGACATGATCTTCAACGAGATCCTAGGCCGCCTAGTCGAATGGCGCAAAGCCGCCCCCGATCCGTTCCAGAAACTCGGCAGTCTAGACGCTGAAAGCCTGCGGCTGTTCCCGTACCCGGAAATCCTCGAGTACACCGGCTGCATCGAGGCGTACGAACAGGCCACCAACATCTTCCTGTACAAGGTGGCCGCCGCTGAGCGTCCAGACTATCAGCCGCCGCGCGCACTCATGGACGTGCTCGCGTCTCGGATCCTCGCCCTGATAGGCACGCTGGCCAAAGACGTCGGCCAGCTGGCGGTCTTATGGCCGCTCTTCACGGCGGGTAGGGAAACGCGAGACGAGGGGGAGCAGAAATACGTACGACAGACGATGATCGAGCTGCAGCGGTTTGGGTTTAAGGTGTGTTTCAGTTTTTCCTTTCTCGTTCTCAAGCGATCGATCAGACCATACTAACAGCAACATTAGAACGTCGAAAAGGCCCTAGAAGAGCTAGAGCACGCGTGGTTCAAACAGCGCAGTTTCCCAGAAGGTTGGGTCGATCGAATGGACGACGTGCGATCCTCAATTCTGCTACCCTGATCATCTCTTTTCCTCCTCTCTTTCACAGCGGTGGTGCTGGGTTCTCATCACCTACTACTTCTCCCTTCTTCCTATACCTATACCTATATCTTCTCTTCTCCTTCCCTCTCCCCTCCCCTCTCAATTTCACCCTATGTGAATACATCCCTAGGACCGACCTTATACTTGAGTCCTCCTTACTCATCTATGATACGATATCATGGCTCCCGGCCATTGGGCAGTCCCAGCTCGTCATCAATAGGACAGGCTCCTGTGAGATGAATGACTAGTGTTTGTCTTTTTTTCTTTGTACATTTTAATGGGAACGGTCGGGTCTGTCTGTTTCCGGTTAATGGGATGCATTAGATAGGTTTTATATTCCCATGCTCTATATTATGTACATGCTTGTTTGGTCTAGATACAGGACAGGATCGCCTTGGTATAAATAAATGCACATATTTACTCTTGACATGTGGGAGAGTGCCAATCGAAACAATCAAAAAATGGCAAATTCTGGTGGGTTTTCTTTTCTTTTCTTTTTTTTTTCATGATGCCATGCAGAGGGTTATGAATTGTATGAAAAAAAAAGAGGCGCAAAGCAGTTGACATATTAGCTCATCTCAATGGGTCCACTGAATTTCACTATATATAGATATCTTGACCTAATATACTCCGTGTACACACCCGCCTATCTTGTCGGTATATTGCAAATCCTAGGTATGATTGATTGGGACCGAGTAATGATAAAATCAAAGTCAATTATAGATGTTTAGATGGATGTGTACATGCTACGCATATGGTTCTTGCATTAAATTCGGTTATATTGAACAAATAGAGAAGGAGGACTGTTTTTACACCCGCATAATTAACCTTACTGTATTGAATCGGATTGGTCTCAAACCATCCGTTGCTCATGCTCTGCGCAGAGCCAAATTTTTTGCTTCCCACAGGGGTGACAAGCTTCAACGTTCGCCGTGAGCTTCGAGTCTCATCTGGGCCCTTTTTCTCTACCTTTATTCTCTCCTGTCCGAATCGGGCGTGGTGCTGGTGGCTTCCATCTCCTCGCGCGTGTCGTCGCCTGCCACCAAGCTGTCCGAGCGCGCGACAATGTCCCGCTCGAGTTGGGCCTTCTCTTCGTCCGTTGCGTCGGTGAGATTCACGGCGACTTCTTCGCCGAAGTTCTTGGCGATCTCCTCCAGCGTGAGACGGGCGGTTTCGGGGAAGAAGAAATAAATTACTGGATGGGTCAGCGGGGAGGCTATGACTGAACCAGGGAAAGCCCGTCTTACTGGGAATGAAGACAGCCGACCAGCAGATGATGACCAGATAGTACTTCCAGCCAGCGTCGGCGAAACCCATGGGGGCAGTTTGAAGCAGAATGAGGGTCGCTAGCTCATCAGTAGGGGTTCACAACCTGTTGAAATATAAGACATACCGGCAAACTGCCCGAAAAGCGAAAATCCCATGCCAATTGGTCGGATTTCGGTTGGGAAGATTTCCGACACGTAGAGGTACATCGTGGTGTCGCAACAGGTTCTGCATTCGGTGAGCACCAATTCAGCTTGAATGTTAGAAGATCACTCACCCCTGGAAAGCCAAATACAGAAATATGAAGAAAATGCCAAAGCCGTTTCCGACCTTGTTCGTGGTACCGGCATACTCGGCACCGGTATACTCGGCCGTCATCGCAGCTAGACAGCTCGTGCTGACGATAATCCCCACAAAACCGGTGATGTACATGCCGCGACGCGAGTTCACCTTGTCATGCAGCCAGGCACCCAGAGGGTTGTAAATGACACCTGGATGGCGAGTGAGCAATAGACGGCCAATGTAATACTCGAGTTTTCTTACCAGCTGTGGTTAGCCAGACGGCAGAAAGAAGCAGGGGCATCGATCCAGTCTCTCCCAGATTCGTGTACAGGATCACGGCATAGTTGTTCTGCCAAGGGTTAGCCTGATATTCCGGCTTGGGCCTGTAATACTCACGATGATGAGAGGGCCGCCAAATTCCGCACCCCATTGGGTGAGAAAGCCGATGGCCATACGCTTCCTATAGGATGGCTTCTGCAGCACCGCTTTCCACACGTTGCCATACGTAGCCAGTCGCTCCGCTTCCAGACGGATCTGTTCCCTTGTTTGGTAGAGTTCCTCCTTCGCGACGAGGTGCTGGGGGTCATCCGGCGATGCGCGGAGTTTCTCCAGCACCACCTTGGCCTCCTCAAATTTGCCCTTGGAGATGAGCCACCGCGGGGACCGAGGCAGCCATGGGGATCCCAGCAGGAGGACCAGGGCCGGCAGACACTGAAGGCACAGGGGAAACCTCCACCCAAATGTGCCCAGCTTTCCCTCGGCGTAGTAGCAAGCGAAGCCAACCCAGCCCGAGAGCATGTACCCGAAGACGAGGAAGATGGCGTGGTGGCCGACGAGCCAGCCTCGGCGGAAGGCACTCGACATCTCCGAGAGGTACATGGGACACACGGTCACGAGGATACCAATTCCAAGACCGCAGATAAAGCGACCGGCTTGGAACATCCTTGAATAAGTCAGACGCTGTCTGTATTCGAGATTAGGTACAGACATACTCGATAGAGTTTGCACCACCTTGGAGGGCACCTCCAAACATGGAAAAGAAGGCCCCCAACTGAATGTTGACTTTGCGACCAAAAAATTCACACGACCACATGATGAAGAGGGACCCTACGGCCCCTCCGGCGCTGAAAACACCATTGGCTGTGGCGATGATTGGAGTGGTGACGGTGGCATACCCGGGCTCTTTCTCGGTGGGTAGGTTGAAGTAGGCATACCACCCGGGCTGACCGATGGTGCTGGAAATGATAGAGGCGCAATAACCGTAGGTCTGCGAGATAGGCCGGCTGATGAGACAGAGTCCTTGAGAGAGAGATGCAGGGAAGCACTGACCAATGACCCAATGGCCACGAAGACAGAGACCAGCCGATTGTACACGCTGGTCTGCGACCCGAACGTCCCCATGATGGATGAGTTGGAATTGACAAGGCTCAACCAAGCAAGACCGTCAAAGGTCAATAAAAGTCAAACTACAGGGTCAAAGAATAAAGCAAAAATAAGGACCGGTGAAGTGGAACGAGGCGGCACGTTGCACCAGGATGATGAGACCGGGATTGGGAATATTCACAGGAGAACAAAAACAGAAGAGCGACTAGCCGGTGGAATTTTGAGAGCTAAAAAGTTATAAGAGTTCTCGGCAGAAGAGCGGTCCCATTCTTGGACGTGGATTTGGCGCAACCCCGATGCGAACCCGTTCGTTTGGGGAATGCGTCCAGTCCACACCGTGGTGCGAATGACGCAGTAAGGAGAGAGGAAGCTAGCTTCCAGACCACCATTCTGGCCCTCCCCTTCAACCGAGGACCAGGTTGACTGGATCGTGCCAGTCCATGATAGGATGAGATGGACTAGCATGGGAAGATCATTGGTGAGAGTGGACTGGGGGAGGACGACAGGTCCCACTCCAAGAGATCTTCAACCAACCGGGGAGAAAAGTGGACAGTTACAGTGTTTTTTTCCGCCATGATAAGAAGGGGAAAGGAGTCCACTGGCACTATTGGATGGTTGAGTGGCATGGTTTGAGACTAAGTCGAGACGAGACTAAGTAGAAGACGGAAAGAAGAGTAGAAGAGAGAGAGAGAGGATGAAGGAGACTAGAGTAGATGGAATCCATGCACGCTAGTCTACTTTGGGAAGAAAACACACGGCCTTCTTCGTCAGGCACAAAGTACCATATCTGATCATGCCTGAGGTACTACATGATACTCACTTAGTGTAGTAGATGGACAGGTAGTATTGCAATCCGACGGACAGTATGTAATAGATTGGTCCCATTCATAGATGGAACATGACTCTAGTATCTCTTGAATACGACATACTATCCAATGTCTCATGAAGATTCTGCTGGACTATAGAATCTCAACGGCCCCGTTCGGAGTGGGGCATCTGTTAGCTGCCTGAGGTTCCTTCTCCTTTTAGCTGGACTCCACCAATGTGAAGAACACACCCACTCATCTTCACCTCTGCTTCCCATTCCACTTTCCACCAACTCCTCTCTGCCCCACTTCCTCAGCCTCGCTCTGCCGTCTGATGGTTACTATCCCTGTGCTAACTTCAAAGGTCGCATACACTTGTGATTTGGTCCCGTGTGTCGGTCTCTCAACGGACGTGTGCCACAACATACAGCGATCGACATGGTCTTCGGAATGTCTACGTTTGAACCCGAATTGACACCATGACAATTAGTGCAATGATACTCATGAATAGTCCGAGTATCGGGTCGGAGGATTAACCCATCTGGATAGCGAATATTGTGTCGATTGTGTGTCCAGTATCTACAATCTACAGAGAGTCCGACCCCCCGTCGGTGCCCTACAATGGCTTCTTCCCAATTGGTCCTGGATATCCACCACCCAGTTCCACAAGCCGGGGTGATCAATTACTCTGCTTTGACAGCCGCCATTACCCCTCCTTCTATCCCATTCCACTCGTCAGTCGAGTCGTCGGGAGATGGATCCACTGGGGGGAATGGGACACCAACGAGCCAAAGCTTTCCCCATGGGTGAGTAAGCAAGCGGTGATTTAAAGCACATGACGCCGTTGCGCCGTTATGCCACGCAGATACCCATGCATAGAGCTTACATTCCGGAATTCTTCTTCCACTGCTGCCGTCTCCATTACCGCCGTTGTGGGATATTGACGTGATCGCCTCGCATTGATCGACCCCTTCTCTATACATCAACAATGGCAACTCCTTCCCCTTTTGATATCCCCTTCGATCAGCTCCCCAACCCCCGACAGGTCTGGGTTGGGAAACCGGGCAGTTACGAAGAAGGTTTGGGAAAGCTAGCTATTCTGACCCCAGATGTAGTCGCCAAAGCGGCGGCCGTCGAAATTAGAACCGGGCGGCGCGTAACCATGGGATGGGACATGACGAAGCTCGACTATCCTAATCTGAACCGCCAGCCATGCCAGCATCAGATCATCCCGCTCCTGGACGGGGTGGCCTTCGATGACATCTTCACCATGAATCCTCGTACGTTTCGTCTCCTTGGACCGCGTGGGCCTTGGTGCCCCTGGGCTGATGTGTTCCAGAGCAAAGTAGCCAGTGGGACGGACTGCGACACTTCTCCCAAACGGTTCCCGGCCAGACGCAGCGAGTCTTCTACGGTGGCACCACGAGCGAAGAGATTACCGACCGGAAGAATGACCGGATCGGTCTGCAGCATTGGGCACGGGAAGGCATTGCAGGTATGATCCTCTTCCCCAGTTGGTAACCTCCATTCGTCCAGCGTCTCAAGTGACCATGATAGGTCGGGGGGTGTTGATCGACTATGCCGCATGGGCCGAGAAAAGGGGGATCAAGTATAGTACCTTCTCGACCCATCAGGTTCGGCTCGCCGATATCGTGGAAATAGCGCGAGAATGCAATATCACCTTCCAGAAAGGGGATATTCTGTTTGTTCGGGTCGGGGTTACCAAGGAGTGGGACACGGTCATGACCGATGCTCAGAAACAGGAGTACTCCAATAACCCAAGTCCCTTACATGCAGGGGTGGAAGGGACCACTGACATGCTTCGGTGGCTGTGGGACACCGGATTTGCCGCCATTGCGAGCGACTCCATTAGCTGGGAGGTGAGACGGCCGTTGAATTCAAGATGCAACATCGACCGTTAGACTGACAGGGATGCTATCCGCAGGTTTACCCACCTCAAGCGGATGTTTTCCTGCATGAGTATGTTCTGGCAGGATGGGGGATGCCAATTGGTGAGTCGACCCGGCCGTTGGCGAACGGAGTTTCGCACTTAAAGGCCGATGTGACTGATCAATTCCTCCATTAGGCGAGCTGTTTGACCTCGAAGCGTTGGCTCGTATGTGCCAGGAGCATCAGCGCTGGAGCTTCTTCGTTGCGTCTATTCCCCTGAACATGCCTGGGGGGGTGTCATCCCCTCCGAACATCATGGCAGTCTTCTAGACCCATAGTTGGGAGTGAGTCCAATACTCGGTCACATCCCCTACCCGGTATCATATCAATCCCTGTTGCAGATAGAGACTGCCGATGCGCCATGACTAGGATTAGCTACCCCCTCAATTCATCACATTGTCTAAATGAGCTATAACATCAAGCACATTGACCCAGTGCGTACTGTTGGAGACACAGAAAGATGGAGGTTTATTTTTAATCTTTTGCCCCTCCTATTCGCGGGGTATCTTCCGATGCATGAGGCCGATGGGGGACGTGTCAAATTTCTATGGTTTGCTGGTCAGCCAATTCTCTGACAGAAAGCCTCGGCCAAATGATGCTTGCTATACGGGGTGCGTTTGCATCGGAACACTAACCCTGCGACCCGTGAGTAGACCCATCTGCCGTCCGCGTTATGAATTTTGGATCAGTCGACGATCGTTTGTCTTCTAGCACCATATCTGAAACCATGTCATTCGGAGCTCCAGTGGAGCTTGACTGCGGACAGGGGTCTCGAAGTAGTCTTGAAATAGCGCTTTGAGCTTTGGAAGAAGAAAAACGTGCCGCACGGTTGCCGCGTTGGTCGCACGATCGATCGAAAGGCCTAATCATGTAAGGATAATGTCTCCCACCGAAATTATGAAAATTGGCAATCTCGTATGGCTTCGTTGGCAACCTCTTTAACCCAGCTGTCAGAAAGAACAGTAGCATCGCTATGTGGGAACAATCCCACCTTCTTACAGGGACATTGTCTACCTAAAACCTCACCAATCGGGCAGTGGGGCCTGCGAGAAGCTAATCAAGCCGGGGCGGTGCCACCCGCAAATCGGCCCACGTCTGGGACTCGCAGTGACAGTCCGATGACCGCTAACCCCCATCCAGCGCCTTAGATTGACCCCATGGTCAAACCATATTGGCTGAGCCTTCGTGTCTGGAACTCGGTGCATCGTCGTACCTTTGTCAATCGTCTGTCGATGGCCAAATTGTGATAGTCACTATCGAGGCAATGACCACCCCGATGGAAGAATTGGCTTTTTGAGCCCGAAGTCAAAGCGTTATTCAATCCGCACGCTCAGTTATTGGCCGTTTCACCGTCGATCATGTATCGGGTCCATTTTCGGCCTGAGTACCCGGGTCGAGAAACGGTGGCAGAAATCGGGTTTGCCTTTGCGGTCGTTAACAATTCAACCCGACAAGGAAAGAGCCACCCTGGTCATATGGCTGGTGGGGAGCAATGACAGATGGTCGCGGAATTATATGGTTATGGTGTGATACGATGTGCGACTGGTGAGCGTTATGTGGGGCATCCCATCATTGTGTTCCTGAGGTTTTTCGTCCGTCCTCCTTCTGACCCGTCATATCGTGATTTCACAGATATCCACTGCTTCGTACTTCTGCATGGCGGTGCAACCCGCCATCCCATTGGCTTCCATTGGAGCTGTGAAGGGTTTGGATCGTCTTCAGGAACCCCCTGATGATTTATGATACGGGACAATGGCTCGCTGAGAATATTTGACAGGGCCCACCGTATGGAATTGAAGGACATTGTATCAAATTGCGAGTAGCACCGTATGGTGGGCTCCACCCATATGGCGATCCAGTATTCTGGGAGCCTGGATGCACCCAGTCAAGGCGCCGATTCTTAGATGATGGCCGGGCTCACAATATCCATCGGAGCCAATAGGATCAGGCTCAAGGACGAACGAATTTCCAAATTTTTCTGTATCAACGACGTACCGCTTGGCAGCAACAGTCTTGCCAATAGTATCCGCCGGCGGACCGGAACGGGTGTGCTCAGCGAGAAGATCAAGACTCTGCACGGCTTATTCTCTATCTTAATGCTTGCTTTCCCCTGGAGTTAGTGCACCCAGCACGACTAATTCCTTACGAATGGGGGTTAGCGTTTACTTCTGTATTCCCTGGTACTCATGTTAAAACCTGCAACATACAGTCTCTCCCATCGCGCGAACAATGCGCCTGGCGATCGATTGATACGAATTTTACCTGTCGAGCTATCAAGTTCCTCCATCTGATCACCACCATCGTTCATGGTTTATTAACCCTATACTGGACCCTGATGCACACGCAGTCAAGCACTAGACGGTTCCAGTGCTTCCAACGAGTCGGTAACCACGATGGCCGCTGTCGAATTAAGCGGACGAGATATGGCGTCGCCGGACCGGTCGATGCAGAATTGGAACTATGCGACGCAGTCGCTGTGCATTGGGGGGATGACTATGTTCTTTGCTTTGCGGGTATATACCCGGATGTTCATCTTGAATGGGTTTACCAAGGAGGACTGTGAGTCTCGTTGAGCCCTATACAGCAGAGCGAAGGTCACGGGAGCTGACGATTCCAGGGATATGCTTCGGCGCTTGGGTATGAAGGCCACCGTTTCTGCGTTGACGTGTTCTCACTGTGTATAGTTCCTTGGGGTGAGCTACTCTGTCGTCGCACTCATAAGTACGCACTCGTCTTGTCTTGTCGCACTTGTCACTAACGGCATCATCAGTGAGTCACTTTGGAGGCGGAGTACACTGGAATGACGTCCCAGAAGCACACCACATCCCATTCCAAAAAGTAAGCCATCCAGGAACCCTCGGACCCACGAGCGTCACTCACACAAATCCAGACCGTATACGTAACAATGGTCCTCTACGGCCCAACGGCCTACCTCACCAAGCTCTCCCTGCTCTGGATCATGACCCGCGTATTCAGCCCGTTCCGCAAATCCGTCATCTTCATCTACTTCTTCCTAGCTCTGATGCTGGCATACTACATCCCGGCCGTCATCGTGAAGATCCGCATCTGCGACCCGATCGCCAAGTTCTGGGTGCCAGATCTGCCGGGGTCATGCCTGGACCAGTCATCCATCATCCTAGCAGACGCAGTTGTCAGCGTAGTCAGCGATTTTATTGTGTTGCTAGTCCCGTTGCCACTCACCGTGCGCCTGCAACTGCCTTTGAAGAAGAAGATGCGTGTCATGGTCATCCTCGGAGCGGGCGGACTTGCCTGCGCTTCCAGCATCATCCGACTGATTCTGATTTTGCTGACGGGGCAGTCCAAGGATGCGACTATTGCCTTTATGCGGGTGAATATGTTCGGGTAAGTCTCCAGCTTCTTCTGTGCCCCATCTCCTCCCATACCGTATATCCAGGATAGTACAGTACAAGAAACTCACCACAAATAACAATACAAAGCAACGCCGAAATCGCCATCGGCGTCATCTGCGCCTGCCTCCCCGCCATGTCTGCGCTCGCACACAAAGCCAAGGCCGAATACTCCAGCCGCCGCGCCACGCAGAGCTCGACGTACCAGCTCAGCAAGTTCAAGAACCCTTCGAGTCGCACGGACCGCAGCCGGACGCGCATGAGCAGCATCATGGACATGGACCACAGCTCGGACCACTATATCCTTATGCCGGAGGAGCCGAAGATGCGGTCGGCGGTGAGGGGCGATGGCGAGAGGGAGAGGCAGGGGTTGGCGCAGGGGATTACGAAGACTGTTGATGTGGATGTTGTTTCGTCTGTTGGGACGAGATGATTTTTTCTCCCTGGTTTATATTGGGTACATACATGATAATACTATGTATCTATTTATGATATTGTATATACATGAATACGAATCCACCCCTCATAAAGTAAAGTAGTCAGTCCATCCGAACAAAGAAAGTAGCAAACCCATCCATCCCCACCATCAGTGAAAGAAAAGAAGTAAAAAAGTAAATAAAAGCAAACAAATCACCACGCTATACACCGCGCCCAGCGCGTGGCGTCTCGGACCCTACCCAACTGGGGACTAAACGCTCGCCATCAGGGCTTGCTATCCCTGCATATGTTGGTGTTGTTTGGGACTGTTAGGATTGGAATTGTGGCTGTGGTGGGGGGGTTTATATCACGTCAGATTTGATTTTTCATCTGGTTGCAGAGTTAGTTGACGAAAATTCTGGATTTGTGGGTGGGAGGTGATTGAGGAGGAGTATATAGTGAGGTAGGTAGGTAGGTAGGTATGTAGGTAGTAGTAGTAGTAGTAGTTAGGGCACAGCACATCATACATACAATATCCAAGCCCTAATTTACTGTACCCCAACCACGAACGACTCGTTCAGAAAAAGTAACTACGCCATCTCAACTATATCACTACAAGTAATCCATAGTCTCATTAACATCCATTCCCATGCAGATCGCATCACCAATGACCAATACCTAAAAAGCCACTAGCCAGCCAGCTAACTAGCTCACGAGCTAACTAGCTAGCTATGCTGTATAATAGATAGACAGTCACACAGCCACGACAGACGCATCACACCGCACTGCACTGGGTGTACCGATTCCGTGCTATGCTGTTGACTTGCTTTTGTTTCTGTGTGCTATTTTTATATACTATGGGATCATCATACTTTGTTAGCCTAGGTGGGATGCTACCTTCGGATTGGATTGCATAGAGCTGGGTGGCTCGTGGGGGCGAGGGGCGAGGGGCGAGGGGCGTTTGTGGGTTGCAGTTGAGTATTGATTGTTTTAGACTGTGCTATCTTCTAGGTCTCTTGGGGGGGGGGGGGGGGGGGGTTTAGGGTAGTTTGGTGGATATTGTGTATATCTAGTTGGATGGATAGTCATATAGATAATGGGTATGTACTATGTCGATAGGAGGTTTATAGAGAATACTATAGCATTATATCTACGCCATTGTACCATGAATCTCTCTGTTCACACCCAATCCATACACACAGTATGCAACAATTAATACAGTAACCCTCCGCCTAAAACAATAAAGAGAGAAGAATAGAATAATGCTATAGTAAGACCTCGTATACCATATCTATAATATACTATAAAAAGCACCCAACAAGCCCTATCCTGGAATATCAGCCCATCCTGGAACCCTCCCTCCCTCCCTTCCAATCCCTGCCCTAGACGAACCTGCATTAACAGCGTGTCATTCGCTTGCGCGGATACAGCTGATATGATCCGAAGAAAGAGTAGAGCTGACCTTGTATGATCTGATCCCATCTGAGCTCAGCTAACCTAAGCTACCTAAGCTACCTACCTACCTACTAATCCCAGTCCACTCCACGCGGTAGATCCCAGACAGATCAGATCAGATCCCATCTAGGATGATCGTTCCTGCTTCCCTCCCTTCTTATCTTGTCAGTGTCGTGCGAGTCTGGCGCTGCCTCCATGACACTCTCGTGAGACGATGGAGATCTACTCGGATATTGACGGGAGAGACATGTCTTGCCTGGTTTGGATCGGGTCTGGGATTGGGGCTGGGGGGAGGGGGGTCGGAGGGCGGCGGTGGAATATTGCTTATTTCTTTGTCGATTCATTGGTTTATATTATTGCGTATTTTATTGCTATTTATTGGTTGTTAATTGGGATACTGACTGTGATTATGACTATGATTGCTGGGTTAGTACTATTATTTGATCCGTATTGGAGCTAAGGATGAGGATGAGGATGGGATGGGATGGGATGGATGGGAATAAGCGTGACAATGGGGATGACGATGAAAATGACTAGAGGATGAAGAAAGAAACAAAGACAAAGATAGAAAGAACGACAATGAAAATGATAAATTCAATGTGAATGTCAGTGTGATAATGCAAGGCTGTCATCCCTGTCCTGCTAGTCCTATCCCATCACGCCGGTAGTGCAATCTCCAAGACATGATATCAAATCACGCTCCGAAATTGCATAAAGATTGATGGGTAGGTAGGTAGGCAGGTATAAGGTATAAATACACGTCGACAAGTCCAGTTCAAAACTCCAATCCAGACATCCATACATGAATGCAAAATGGCCACAGCGTACAACGAAGCTGTCGACACCATCCGTCCTGTCGAGTATCCTTCTCTGACCACCAGAAACAACAATGATAGACGTATAATCTACCTCGACCACGCCGGCGCAACCCTCTATCCCCGCTCGCTAGTCAACGCCTACACGACAGACCTCCAATCCGCCATCTACGGCAACCCGCACTCAGAGAGCACGCCGTCGCGGGCGTCCAGCGCGCGCGTAGCCGACGCGCGCACGCAGCTCCTGCGCTTCTTCGGTGCCAGCCCGCTGCACTTCGACCTCGTCTTCACGGCGAATGCTACCGCGGCTGTGAAGCTCGTGGGCGAGTGTCTGGCGCAGGGGGGCGGTGGCCGCGGTTTCCGCTATGTGTATCACCAGGATGCGCATACCAGCCTTGTGGGAGTGAGGCAGATGGCGGCGGAGAGTGTCTGTCTTGAGGATGATGCCGCTGTGGAGAGGTGGATTCGTCGTGGCGGGTCGGCCTGGTCTTGGCAGGCGAGGTTGGGGATGCCGAGGAGGGAAGAGATGGTTACGCTGTTGGGGTATCCGGGGCAGAGTAATATGACGGGGAGGCGGTTGCCGAGGTCTTGGTATGCTTTCTTGAGATTGACTGTGCTGGAATATATGACGTTGCTGACGGTATTTGTGCAGGCCAGCGCATATTAGGGGCAATAGCGCGCACAGAACAGCCTACACGCTGTGGGACGCTGCAGCGCTGGCTTCGACGAGTCCACTGTCGTTGTCGGACGTGGACGCCGCGCCGGACTTCACTGCCGTGTCGCTGTACAAGATCTTCGGCCTGCCAGACGTGGGGTGTCTTATCGTGCGCAAGGCCTCTGCGCACCTGCTAGTCTCGCAGGCGCGCTACTTCGGCGGCGGCACGGTGGACATGGTGGCGAACTCGAGTCCGGGGTCATCGTCGTCGCGCGCCTGGCACGCTGTGAAGACGGACACACTGCACGATGCCCTCGAGGACGGCACACTGCCGTTCCATTCCCTGCTGGCGGTAGGGCACGCGGTGCGTCTGCACGAGGACCTGCTCGGCGGTATGGCGCGCGTGTCGGCGCACTGTGCGTTTCTGGCCTCGCAGCTGTATACCGCGTTGGATGAGCTGCGGCACGCGAACGGCAGCAAGCTGGTGCGCGTGTATACCGGCTCTGAGCGCGCTGCGTTTGGGGACCCGGCGCTGCAGGGCCCGACTGTGGCGATGGCTGTGGTGGATCCGGCGGGTAGGGTCCATGGCTATGCGGATGTGGAGCGCGCGGCAGATGCAGACGGCGTGTATTTTCGGAGTGGGTCGGTTTGTAACCCTGGGGGCATGTCGTATCTGGGGTGGACGAAGATGCACGATAGGGTGGCTGCGTTTGAGGCCGGGCACCGCTGTTCGGCGCCCATTCAGGAGGTGGGTGGGCGCGCGACGGGAATCGTGAGGGTGTCTTTGGGGGCGATGAGCAGCTTGGGGGACGTGGATGGGTTTGTGGAGTGGCTGGCGAGAAAGTATCTTGATGTTTATGTGGATGATCGTGGTTCCAGTTCTTTTTCGTTGGGGGCGTTCAAGGAGACTGTGGAGGAGGGAGTAGTGGCGAGGAGGTACGATGCGTGCATCGTGCGGTTGGTGAGGGGCTTGGTCAGGTTGACTTGATCGTGTGGCATAGCCTGCCCTCATCCCCGGACCCGCCAAGGCCGACATGGTCCTTGTCCCACAGACGGCCAACTCTACCTATTCCCAAACGGAAATGTGTCTCAGTTCGAGTTTGCTTGCTTCCGAGGCTCTGTTGCTTCCCGATGGCCGTGGGACTTATGCCGGATCGACAAGGGGTGTTCCTGCAGATGGAGCCTGGAGTGTTGTCGCCGCAGACGAGTAATGTTCAATTAACTGAGACATATTGCGTCGCTAGGTACCGTATCTGCCTCGGTCGTGGTACTCGGCTCAATATACATTTTTAGCCACCAGTTGACTGGCCAGGTGACCAAGATCCTGAGACAATGACTCGGAGATTACGACCAAACCGATGGATCAAACAGCGACAGGTCCTCTTCCAACAAACCCACCATATGCTGATTCCCCGAATACCAGTTTCCCAGCGTCGACGGCGGCACTGTATCCGGTGGGGAAGAAGCCGAAGGCTCCGGCATTGGTCCAGTCGTCTCGCCGTCCTCCATCGGCGCAGGAGCCAGTCCCAGCGCGCTGAGGTACGTGTCAAACTCTTGGCCTACAGACGCCATAGCGTCGCTCTCCTGCGTTCGCGCCTGCGCTTTCGCTTCGAGATAGAGTCGGGCGACGCTGCTGAGCACCTGGCACAAACGGTGCATTTTATCGATTGCTTCGGACGAGCCGCGGTGTGGTTCGAGGGAGGTAACGAACTCTTCGAGGCGATGGAGGTCCGTCTGCGACGAGACTTCGATGGTGTGGCAGAAGAGGACTATAAACGGGACGAACGGGGAGAAGAGGATGGCCCAGTGGAGATATGAGCATTTGGTGTGTTCAGTGCTCTCCTTCAACATGCTCATGCAGTTGTGGTGGCATTCGAGAGCGGACCGTGCGGTCTCGATGCATTCTTGAAGGAAGGTGCCCTGAGACCCCACAGGCGGCGGGATGGCTCGGTAAATCAAGGTCACGATTGATTGGCGGGTAACCTCGTCGGACTTAAGGTACATCAGGTCCATGGCGGAAACATTGTTGAGATTGCCGTTCAGTTCCTATCTAGTTAGTTGACGTATAAAACACAAGAGGGGAGCTTACCGCGAAAGGCTCCATAACTGTCCATTGCGTTTCAGCAGCCAGGTGACGAGCGTGTGCCGCTCGCTCACTCTCCGCTTGACACAGCGCGGCGGGACTATACAGCTGCTCGTATATCTGGCCCTGGATCCGGGCCAACTTAATCCACAACTGGTATACACGCCCCCACGGCTCCGCGATGCCTTCCAGCTCAATTGTCCATGGCAGGGAGATATCGTAATCTTGAAAGGTAGAGGCCCGGCCCAGACGTAATGCCAAGGGCTTATCGAGACAATACACCGACCAGAAGAGACGAATCTTCTTTTCTTTGATGCTCTTGGTATCGTGCTCCATAGATGACGAGCGGTGGTAACCCAGAGCCTGGCACAGACGAGACGCAGTTGAACTCAGGGTGAAGGCAAAAGACGGTTTCGAAATTTCGATGGCGTATATAGCCTATTGGTCAGCATCGCCACGGTAAGGGGGAGAGGGTACATACTCCCAAGGCAAGCGCCTCAATCGACTCATCCCGCACAGGCATCAGAAGACTCATGCGCGCCAGCGCAATCTCCAGATTCGTGCGACAGATCTGGGAGTATTTACTGTAGGCATCCATCATCTCGGGCTCCCCGCCATAGTAGGTAAACTCCTCAAACAGATAGTACAGACATCCGTTCACCACGATGAAAGTAGACTGGGAGTAATCCTCAGTGGCAAAGTAGACTTCGCGACACGCTTCAACTAGGCGTTCCGAGGAAACAAATGGGCATAGTCCATTTATGGTGGACGACGGGTGTTCTTCACAGATTAGCGCAATCCCACGAAGAGGGGGAGAGACAGATGGAGATACCTTTGAGCCGGCGTAGTATGGACAATACCACCTGGCTAGGCGGCATAGCGAGCTCGCGCAACTCAGGACTCGACCCGACTTTCTGACTGGGGAAGCGAGCTTCGCGGAGCGACGACGGGACCTGGTTATCCTGCATATTAACCATCTTCTTGAGGGTCGCGAGAGCCGCTCCAATCTTCGGGGTCGACATCTGGAGGGCGCTACGAGAGACAGCCGACTCGAGGAACTCGCTTGCATAGGCCGAATGGGCTGACAAAGATGAATTGCCCTCGAAGGCAGGGACCATCTCATGCTGTCTGAGCGTGGTCGTGGCGTTGGAGACCGGGCCCGCTGCAGACGGACTCATCTGGTTCGATGTCGGCGTCGGTTGGAAACACGGCTCCGTGGTCGTTGTGCTTGCGCCGGCTTTGAGCTCGTGGAGGATTTGCTCGATGTTTCCCAGACGCTTCTCGATCAGATCGATCTTGCGTTCACTGTTGATTCGTTAGGAGGGTTTACTGGGCATGAACGCACGTCTGGGCAGGGGGGTATACTATTGACTGGAGATGAGCACCCGCTGACGCTGCTCGTGAGGTTTTCGACCCGCACCAGTGGAGCGACAGACAATGTTTGAGCTGCGACAGTTGGAGCAGGGAGAGCGCTTGTCGCAGCGTATCTAGATAGTACAATGACCACGTCAGACGAGTCCCAGCCTGCATCTCAAACTAGTGTAGTAGTTTGCACAAGGGCGCATACTTTTCTTAAACGACATTGATCACACTACATCCAGTCAGTTTATCCCTTCGTCGAATCCAACATGAAATTAGAGCGCCATAACGGTGGAGTACATACCGCGCGTCTGTTAAGCGACTCGCGACTGTCAGTCTCGGGGCCCTCGGCCTCCATGTCCGGGGAGGACATGGCCCGTAAATCCCGGATTTGGGAATAATGACCGACTTGACAGGTCTGATTGGAATGGAGGACCGGATCTGTTTCGTGTGATTGATTGATAATATCCGATGGGGAAGTTATGCGAGATGATGCGTTAAACACAAGGTTGTTGATCGGCGGTCGGAGTCCGCGGGTGCCGAACGTGACCGACAATCTAATCTTATCGATCCTCTCATTACAGTGGAACGCCGAAGACAGTCTTTCTATATCGTCCCTTCTATTTCCTGATAATTGCAATAAGATAGAGCTTTTTGGGGGGGATTCTCTCGGAGTTTGCAAGTTTATTATATGCTGTGATAAAGTCTGATAATTCTTTTCTTGATCTAATTCAACCAAGACTTTACATCCACTGCTGCAGGATTTATACCCAGGTTATCTAGATCCTGACAAGTTTAAGAGCAGAACCTGAGAAAGAGAGTTGTTGAAACGCTTATGAGTCGTTACTCCCTGTGTTTCTGGTCCATTGCTGCCTAGGGACAGTGTTGACTGAAGCGTAGCTACCCGAAATGCCAGGTGATATGCTGGGCGTCTGCATTTGCCCCATGCTCTGCTGGCCACCCGCTGTATATAAACCTTGCATGCTCTGGTTTAACCCAGGATCGAACGGTTGTGGTGGTTGCTGTACCGACTGTCCAGCAGGCTGCCGGTGCGGTAGCATCTGATTCCGTTCCTCTGTAGACATCTGGAAGTGAGAGCCAGGTGCACCCGCAGCCGGTATATTAGGGCTACCCCGGTTCTGAACGCTATAGAAGAGCGGTGTTGGAACTTGGCTCCGATCGGGGTACGATGGCTGTGGGACAGCAACGTTCACATATTCGGGATATTGCTGATGCATGTTAACCTGTGCTTGGGGCTGATGTAAAGCCGTCGGCTTCTGGCCTTGCGACGCCATGAAGAATGCCCTTCTTCTGTCGGCTGCACTGCCTCCCATGTCGGTGTCGTCGTCGCTCATCCAAATTGCTCGTCGGCGGGCTTCTTTTGCGCGACGCGCAGCGTTCGTACCATAAAGATCGTTGATGTACTTTGTAAACTCAAGGTAAGCATTTCGAACAATCCTGAAGTGGTCGACGCTGAGTTTCACGATAGCATCAGGATTCAGGATAGCCTCGTGACTATTTCCCTGGGCTTCGAACTCAGCCAAGGCCAGAGCTGTCTGACAGGCGTTCCGGACCTGTCTGCCATTCCAGCGGGCATGTGGGTATTCAAGGAAGTGCTGGCCTGCGAAGTTTCCAATTCCAACTTTGTCGATGTCAATTTTTCTCCCTCTTCTGTTAAAGCGCTCCTCTATCATGTCCATGTTGATCTTGAACACCTCGACTGTCTTGTCATGGTTTAAATCCGGGTAGTACAAACTGATGTGGATGCGTGAGGCAAAAGCCTCGTCAAAATCCCCAACGCGGTTTGTTGTTAGAAAAAGAATACCTGCGTAGTATTCCATGACGCGAAGGAAGACTAGTCACAGGTTAGTTAGCCTCTCTTCCGGATGTTGGATTCATTTCATTGTTAACCCACCGGCGACGAGTCCGTTTCGTTTGAAGTCTTCCTTAGTCCGCTCCGCAAGGAACACATCCGCTTCATCGAGGAGAAGAATGCAATCCCATCTATTGGCTAGAGCAAAATTTGTTTCCAGGGCCTTTTCGACCTCCGTTGCAGTAGTGCCAAGGTCACCTATATACCGTTAGTAGGACCTTCTCTCAGTGTACGCGGCAAATCTATATGAACGGAGACCTACCACATGTAATCTGAAACAGTGGCTTTTTGAACAGCTCGGCTACTCCCTCTGTTCGCATGGATCTGTTAGCATACTTCCGCTTCAAGTACCGCCTGATAGCACATACCAGCAGTGGATGTTTTGCCCACTCCAGGGGCCCCGTGGAGAAGTAGAATCAATCCCTTTCCTGGAGTTCGTCTTAGTCTAATAGCTTTCTCAAAAGTTTATCAAGCCAGATAGAGAAAAGTACCTTTTCCTTTGACGATGTCAAATTGCTCTCCTTCATCCGATGCCAATTTTTTGTCTCGGAAGTGCTGTGCTATAAGCGATACGATCATCGGTTTGTGCCCTTCCTCAAGAACAAGCTGGTCAAAGGCTGTCACGGGCTCTGCCTTCTTGTAGTCCCCCTGTTTAGGGTCTCCAGTCAATGAAGGGGAGTTTTGCAGTGGATGGATGTCAGTCAGATAGGCTAGGTCCAAATTTGCTGCGGTCGAGACATGTCAACATTGTACAGTAAGATATTGTCGGACGACCTACCCCATTTGCGGCTGCGCAGCACAAAGCCAAATACACGGTATGACATGATCAACAACTCATCATCGGAGATCACAGGAGCTCCATCAATACCGGTGTTTACCTCTCCCAATAGTCGAGGAATGATGGCAACCGACGGGGGCTCGTCCATGACATTCCCCTTGGGTAGGAGACTATCTATGTATTCGGTCCGCTGCTTCTCGTCCACGTAGATATCGTCATGCACGCTTTCATTCTCACAGCAAACCCCTGTACATCCCGGCTGTTTATCTTCGATCTCCGAAGAAGATTCCCCAATCAGCATTTCCAAACGAGGCTGCCATTGTTGCCGTTCTCTGTCTTCCACCGAGAAGGCTGTTTCAAAGTCGATAACAACCGGGCTTTCCACCTCATCCCGAACGACCAATGTTGGGCCAGCATAGTACATATGCTTTACTCCAGCAACTTCCAGGAACTTTGCGCCCCGACGTATGAGTTTCCGCCGATACTTGTCGTGAGAGGGGAGAGAGTCCACCTCCTTCCATTCATTCTCTGTAAAGTCCGACTTTCGAAGTGGGTGACAGCGAAGAGGGTATATCTCTAATGATGTTAGCTCCCTCTCGCCTTCAAACCGCTTCAAGTCGAACACTTGAGTCACAGGGCCAAGCGACTTCCCGTCGAAGTCGATGTAGACGCAAATGACACTGAACGGTGGCTTTTCCTTCTTGTCGATGTCATGCCATCGTTGCCTCCAGGTTGGGACCACTCGATGCTTAGCACTCATCGCTTTGATCACCCGATAGGCCTGCTTGCCATCATGGCCAATCACCTCCACCCCGGGCCGGAAGATGTGCCACAGATCAGAGAAGAAGACTTTCCGATAGTTGGGCGCGGCTATATGTCTCTGCTTGGGTGATATATCGGAGTCCATAAGACTCAGAAGACAACTCAGGTGCTGTAGAGCGATTGGTGATTTTGTTATGTCGTCGGGGTCCTCATCTTCTTTCTTTTCGTCGTCATTCACCTTTTCCTTTTCGTATTCATTCACACGCATGGTATTATAACTCTGGTCCTTTTCATGATCGTGATCGGGGCCTTCTTTAGTCATAGTGGCTTCGCTGCCTGTCGATGGTCCTGTTGTGCCAGGCGACTCTTTTGCGGGAAGTCGATCCTGAGCATCTCCGGCTAACCGAGAAGCATCTTCCTCTTTTGTTGCATTACGCTCGATGTTTTCCGCACCAGTGGACACTTCGATTTTGGCCGCTGAGTCGAACTTCCTCTGTAGTGCCATGTGCCAATCGCGCAAGGCTCGCTCACAGTAAATGAGAGCTTTGAAAGGCCTGATAAAGACGATCGGCGCCCCCGCCACGAGTGAACTTCCGTCTGATCCCAATATTTTGGACAGAATGGTGATGATGATCAACGAGTAGATGCGGATCCTCTCAGGCAGAGGTGCTTGCCCAGGCGCCATTGCGTCAAAGGCATTGGTATCCTGGGATTTAGCCACTTTACGCACACCGGGGCCTGTGTACCCAAACCACCTCTGAAAGCCGGGAATTTCGTTATCCAGGACCGGGTCTCCGACTAGAACGTCGATGACACATTCATCCTTTGCCAGCAGCCTAGTCGAACGCTTGAAGTGGGACCATTCAAGCCGGTTAATATTACACTCGCAAGCAACCGCTTTGCGAGGTGCCACGTCCGTAGCCGTCGTATCTGAAGCATATTTCTTTTGCTCGTCCCGCTCCGAGTTCTGTACGGGTTGGTTGATATCCTTCTGACGTTGCGCTTGTTCTCTTTCCCTTCTGGCTTGCCGACGGCTTTCAGTCTCCTCGACTAGGTAAAGGCGGTCCATCTCCCATTCGAAGTGTTTCCGTAGTCTGTCGCGCCTTTGCCCATAATCAATAGTACGGTCATATTCATCAGGTATCTTTGGGTCGTCTTCGGACTCTGCACAGATGTGACGAGGGTCAAAAGGATCCGGCCGTATGTATTCTTCGTAAGGGTTCGGGTTCCAATGATATGTCCAGGGCCCGAACTGGGATGATTCGGTTTTGCGAACCTCGGAAACCATGTCAAAAGGTTCCGGCTCGACGCTCCTCTCCCAGTTCCTCCTGTGCCGGTACAGGCACTGTTCCATTCGTTTGTAATCAACTGCATCTTCCTGTTGCTGTGGTGAAGGCTTTTGCTGCTCACTGGGTGCTTTTATTCTTCGAACCTGGCTCTCAAGCTGAATAATTTTGTCTTTCAAAGCCTGAATATCACCGATGGCACCATTGACATCTGGTGCTAGAAAGAAATCGCCCGTCTCGGTAGGGCTATCACTATTGACTTGCAAGATATGGGGGTCACGGCTGTTCTCGTTCTTTTCAGTGGTAGTTCCCAAGGGTCGAGTCTCTTCAATGAACCCAATCCCCGAGGGTTCGACCCTATGGGCCTCTGTATCTTTGCCCTCTATTACCATTCTTGATGTGGTATTGCTGAGCGAACCGCAACTGGTCAATAAAGTCTCATATGTAACGTCAATCGGGTCACTTCAATGAAAGTTGTAATGCTTCAGTTGGTTACCAAGAGCGACCGACTCGCGACCCTTGAATCCAACCTGCAGTTGCTTATACCTTAGCATTGTCACTCACATGAGGGGTATCTGGCAGTCGCAACGAGATATAGCCTGTCACGAGCCAATACCTGAGAACCACGTATGCCTGACTAGTTGAACCCCGCCTATGGGTAAGCACGAACAACTGGGGCTCAAAGGAGTAAATATGATACTGGAAATCCGTATGCACGACGCAGCTGTCGGGGCAGCCGGCCCCAGAGGCCTGCCCTAATCGGTGTAAATCTCTCGCTTGATTAAAAGGCCATACAGCAAAAGCTGTATGGTTGGTGCGGCTGACGTTTGGAAGCATCCCCGCGTTCAGCCTGACATTAATACATCGTCAGCTTCGTCATGTTGAGCAAGCATAGCTTTGTCGCTACATGCAAACAGTCATGGCTAGCCATCGCATAACTCGACTCGGTCTCCAACCCCCGACTGTTGATTTCATCGACAATGAGCTTCCAGATTACCATCCCATCTTTGTCAACCCTCCAGCTCGCTACGACCCCACATCTGGGAAGTATATCCCAAATGACCAGATGCTCACGCCGCAGTCGGCGAGTATCAGTCGGACGGTCCGTTCATCTGTATCGCCGAAGAGCCATTGCGTTGCTCCAAGGCCAGCCTTGAATGACCCCCAAACATTTCAGTTTTGGAACGACGTCTTCCCTGAAGCCATGTATAGACTTCGGTCGGGAGATCGGGAGCCCAAAGGCCTAGTGGAAACTGCCTATAGCATCCGAGGTCAGAAACATTGGGAGGCCGTGTATGAGATACTTCGATCGGCGCGCGACAAATACGACCAGGGTGGATTGGTTCGAAGGGCGAGAAGAAAGGTTGCCGATCACATCGGTCCTGTCGCAGAGGCTACAAATATAGCCTCTCAAGTCGCGCCCGGCAGCACTTATTCTACTCCAGTTCTAGGGTCACTGAAGGTTCTCTTGGGTGTAAGAACAGGGCCCTGCGGGGGGTGACAGCAACATCTGATTCGCACGGCTGACTTCTTGCGTAGGCTGTCAAAACCGCTGCAAGCGTACGCAGCGAGGTCCTTGGGAGTCTGGAAAACCTCATTCCCACATTCTCAACCGCCGAGTTGTTCCTTGGAATATTTCGCAACGATGCTAACATTAGAGAAGCTTCCATACAGTTGACCATCAGTACACTTGTTGCGATCGAACGGGCGATTGTCTTCTTCATTCGGCATGAGGGTAAGTTTCCAGGTAGCCAGGGACCCACGTCGACACACACAGCAGCAGCTTGCCCCCTGGAAAAGGAGTGGCGATGCTAATGTGACTAGTTCGGAAAGCAGGCAATGCGATATTCCAGGGAGCGGATTACGAAAAGGGCTTGCTCGACAGCCTTCAGATGATCAACACCAAAGCCACGGGTCTGGCGGGAGAAGCACAAAAGTCCCACATATATCAGTCTCACCTGGGTAAACATATCACTGCCAACCACTATGGTGAGCGGCAACTGATCCTCTATTCAAGATAGCGTTGAGACACGTAGGTCCCAGCAAGAAACAGCAGACACTCTCAACTCGATCCATCACTTACTACTGGATCATGTGCGGCAAAAGAACGGTGAGCCACATCTCCCCTGACTGCATTACCTGGCCCTGCCAATTTTTGTGTTCTGATAATCCAGTTATAAAGAGCTGCAGGCTGCAGAGCAAAAAATAGCATTGCTGAAAGCCGAGAATGTCCGGCTTCGCAGCACCTCTCCATTCGAGCCAGCAAGTTGGGTTCCATCGACACAGACACAAACACCTATCACGAACGTCCACCTCAGCCAAGAGGCTTTGAGCAGAATTCTGAATGTCTCCGACTTTGACATCTCAGATATAGACTTTGTCATCGCCAAAAAGGGCCTTCTCCCTGCCAAACAACGAGCCCAGGTCGAACAAGCTGTCAACACGCAACACTTTCAGCAATGGATCGTGTCCCCGTTCTCAGCAAAGCTCCTAATCCACTGGGACTTCCAGCTGCCCGAGACAATCAGTGGCATCTCACCTCTGTCGAGCCTGTGCGTGTCTCTAGCGCAGGGACTCGGGGCTCACGACCAGTTCATGTGTGCGGTGTTTTTCTGCGGGCGGCATACTGACGCAACAGACGCTGGTGATTACATCGGAGGACGGGCAATGCTCACCAGCCTCATCCGGCAGCTGCTCCGACAATGCGAGTTCGACACTCGCTCATTATCCCAGCAGGTCCATGTGCCTTCTTTACAACAGGACAGGTTGGATGAGTTGATCACCCTATTAGTCTGCATCGTACGCCAGGTGCCGAAGTCGACTACTCTGTTTTTCATAATCGATGGTGTGTCTCTCTTCGAGCGCGAAGAGTTCCAAGACGGCGCTCTGGGGGTCCTCTCGACATTGTTGGGCCTCGTCCGCGATCCGGTCGTTTTCGCTACCCTCAAGGTACTCTTCACGAGCACACCTGGTACAGAGATAGTGAGGGCTGCGTTTGAACCGGATGATCTGGTTCTCGATATCAGTGGACTACCACAAAGCGAGTGGGAGCCAAGGGAAGAACGAATGATGAGGGAGCTAGAGGGGAGGTTCGATTGAAGCAGGTTAGGCTTAAGTTCTCTTGCGGATAGGGCGGGAGCGAGGCAGAGCCAGCTGTCCCACTCCGTCGTTTTCTCTTTTCCACACTATTCACTATAAACATTAGAGCTCGAATATTGATATCAATATGTTGTTGGATAATCTTGATGTTTGTGGATGGAGCGAACCTGACATATCTTTCTTACTTATAAAGTCAGTATTATTATTCTTATCGACTTGTTAGAAAATTCTTATAATAATTCAAGAATCGATAGCCAGAAAGGATAAGTCCCATGGTATGTGCAGTTATTGTACTACATCATAATCGTGAATAGATATTCTTGAAAAGCCACATCCCTCTTTCAACGCCATCCGTCTATTCTATAGATGTAGATATATGTGTATGTATATGTAAGTTTCGTCACTGCGTCATGTCGGTTCTCGTGGGATAGACCAGTGCGATCAAGCCATCCAAACCATTATGCTGGATCTAGGTAGACGATTACTGTGACTTGGTATCTTCTTGATGATATGCAATTAGGGGGGTTGGTCCAATAAGCGCAATCCGAAACCCTCATTAGAGGGAATCAGTGCTTGATGCCAATCACCGCCAGATTCCGCGGGCTTAGGCCGAAATCAAACACCGGCTCCACCCAGCAGTCCTTGACGGATTCATCTTCGCGCAAAAACTGCCAGCGATCGACCACGATCATCGCCTCAATCAAGGCAGCACTGAACGACATCAGGCACCAGGCCACGCTGAGGTTTTTCTTCCGAGCTTGGTATCGTTCCGCGTAGCCATTCAGCTCCTCATCGGTGATGTCGGCCATTCCGGCTTTGACCCTGTCGCCGTTGTTCGGGTTGCGGCTCAGCTTGTCGACGGCGGCGCGGACGTACGAGTTCCAGGATTCGAAGGCTTTCTTCGGTAGCGAGCCGATGATCAGCGGCGAGTCGGACTCGGCCCCGTAGAGGTCCTCCGTGCTGGTGGGCTTCGGCACGACTCCCCGGTCAACGAAGACGCGCTGCAGCAGGGACCGGTAGAAGTGGCGGGTGAAGAAGCCCTCGCACTCCTGTCGGGTCCAGTTCTGGGGCGCCTGCAGCGACATGGACCGCGCGGTAATGTTGATCTTGACACCCGTTCCGCTGTCGTGCTCGAAGTCTTCCATACGTTTCGACATGGGGAAGCCGTGGGGGTCGTAGGCCAGGGCGTCCTTGGTGAGCCGGGGGTGCATAGACCGCAGGACGGGCAGTTTGTAGGTGGCGGGGCCCAGCCGTTCCGTCACCAGGTTGTAGCAGCATCCGATCATGGCGATCGCCTTCACGGACGGGTTTAAGACCAGGGAACGGACTCCATGGTGGAGTAGGTTCCCGCAGGAATGCAAGGAGATGACCATGACCCGGGGGTCCACCGGTTGCGCGACGCTTTGCGCGACGCTTTGCGACGTCTCGCCCTCCGCGGTCGGTGACTGCACGACGTGCTGAATGATGGGCTCTAGATAGCCGTCCTTGATATCATGCTCAATGTAGTCCATCACTCCTTCATGTTTCGGCTCTTCTGGTTCGACGGCGCGCTGTTTCTTCTTTGGTCTTGGCGGTGCCTTGGCCGCCGGATGGAAACCAATCTCGTCGGGATCCAAGCTGATGTCCCGGAACACGTTGAACATGGCGACTTCGGAATCTCCGTCCGATGGGGTCTCTTCCGTCTCGGGCTCCGGAGACGTCTCGGCCGCCTCGGCCGCTGCGCGCCGCCGGCATTTGCGGCAGTCCGGACAGTTCTCCTTGGCGTTGTACATCCTGACTTCCTTCTTCTCCTCGATCAGCTTCGCCTGGGCATCATACCCCTTGGCCCCCCGGATGAACTGATGTTTCCGTTCGATGGCGACGATATGCCGGTTGTAGGGATGGCAGGCGAGGGTGCGTCCCAGGTAGCTCTGTCCGGACCCAAAATCCACCACGTGGGTGATCTCGTCCCCGCGCCGTTGGGCGACCGTCGCACAGAGCTCATCGACGTATCGGGAGAAATGCGCTACCTCGTGGTATTTCTTGACGTTCATGCCCACGGCGATCTTTTTCGGAATGGAAGGTTTGCCGGTATGTAGCGGGGTGAAATCCCTCCGCAAGCTCAACCGTCGAATGGTGTGCACGTACTCGAGGAAATCAGCTGGAGGGAGTGCAGCGCCGCGCCAACCTTGTCCGTCCTGATCCGCATCCGACCGACTTTGCGCTAAGAGCGGTTCCAGGTCCTCCCACAACAGCAGGTGCAGGATGTCGTGGACGTCGTGCAGATCAAAGAATGCGCGCCATGACTCCGGCAGCAAGGTCGTGTAGATATCGGGCTCTCGGATCATAAAGTCCATCAAATGGACGCCCCCGCACAGGTGTCTAAACAGGGCGGAGGACGTCGCAAAGGACAGGAGGGCGTCGACATAGGCATCGGGATCCGTCCACTCCTCGGAGAGTGGGAGGGCGGACTGTTGTGACATGCGTGGTAGGATTAAAAAGAAATCATTCAATCAAGGAGGTCTAAAACAGGGAAAGAATTGATGATGAACGAATGGAAGAAGTGAGAGATGGCGAGATGAGAAGGAATGCGGGGCGGAGAGATCGCCTTTTTTTTTTTTTTTTTTTTTTTTTTTTCCCATACTAATTCACCCTACTAAAAAAGGCTAGAGCCCTCTTCAGCCAAGACGGGGAACCGTGTGGAGAAAGAGGGGGAAATCATCGTCCTCCACGTAACAACTCCTTCATGTCTCTTCTTCTCTTGGATCAATTCGACCACTAAGATCCTGTCGATATCACGGATGGGGCGGATGATCTGAAACTACCGTCTAATATGCTACTAATCTTAAGCTACACCAGTTCCGACACATCATCGCGGGGTGAATGGATCGAATAAACGGTTGATCCTATCTAAATAGTCCCCGTATAGCGTCGTTCGGGTCTCCAGTGAAACGGTCACGCGTTCGACTTCTCCTTTTTTGCTTTTTGAATCATGATTCTCTTGATAATACCGATTATGTTTTCGGATTCTTATCATTCAGGATCTCCTTTCGTCGACCGGTCGTGGAGACTGATAAACCGGCTGTGATCCGACCATATTCGCCCAGCCTCAGCCCGATGACCCAAGTGTCAGACAGATCACATCACCTTGTTGGTTAGCCGCCTGTTCAACGTGCCTGGAACACTCGTTGCTAGTCCACCACCCAACCATATCCTTTGAACAAAGACATCGGTCATCGCGGAAGAAACGCAGTCCGAGCGGTCCAGTCGTCTGGCAACCGCGCTTCCATCGCTAGGGATAGCTGGATGCGCCGCTGTTTCCGGGGTCAGCCCTCTCAGCGACTACCCGTCAACACGTCACACCGTCTGCCCTGGTTTAATTCCTTGGTGGCGATCGCTTTCTTCCGACAGTACGGAGTAGACGGGAAGGAGATCTTTGCAGAGTATTCTTAAATGGACCATGACACGGGTGGTTGGCAGAACACAGCGGAACGGTTCTTGAATTTGTGTAGGTAGGCTGTACTGATTAGGCTGTCGTCATGGTAAGTTATTTATATCTTATTTATCTTTCTTTCGTCCTTCTACGAGTAATATATTGTTCCTCGTTGTCATTGGTATTCTGTTAAACCCTGCTAACTAGTCAGCAAATACTACCCTCCGAATCCCAACCAAAGGCCTTGCCCTTTGGCTTCGTGGCCGATGTACTCTTCCAGATCATTATCCATGGTGGTATAGGCACAGTTCTCAAGCTCCGTCTTTTGAACACGGCCACGCACAACACCATCAAACTGCTGGAACCGCATATCTGCCGATGGTTCATGCGCGTCCATAAAACCCAGGGCTTCGACCCCCTCCTCACGTTGGATCCGTTTACGGGCGCCCAGAATGCCGTCGCCGTGCACACGCTCCCCCGATTGATCTACCGTCAAGGGATTGCCGAGCGACTGGCCCGCCAGATTGTCCCCGCCGTGTGGGGTCCCTTCTCCGACGACGGCAGCTCCGAGATGGACTTCAGCGCAGAGCTACGACTCGCCGAGCGTCTCGAGCGCGGCATCTACGTGCAGTTCCACATGGCCGACATCGCGCGGGAGCGCCGAAAACCATCTGCGGCGGTGATCACCGGCCGTCTCATGATCCTCACCCAGTTACTCGACGAGTACCACGAGCTCCCGCCGAACAAGCGGCACGCGTGGCGATTCGACGAGCACATCGGGCACGTATACACCGTGCTACGGTGGGGCTACGGGGAGGCAGACATCGGCCAACGGCGACTACAACTCCGCAGCTACCTGGACGAACAGACGGAGATCGACTTCCACACAACACTGCGCATGCTGCGGGAGCTCATGGAGCGCATGCTGCTGCGACACGGGCCCAAAGCCTGGCACCGCGACGCCAAGAACGAGAACAGCGTGATCTCATGGTTCCTGCTGAAGCAGTCGCCGCGGTCACTGGCCAAGCTCTTCCTCGGCCCGCAGGACAAGTGCTGCAGTCTGGACGCGAAAGCGACGGACCAGGAATTGCGCCGGTGCTACTTTTCCGACCCGCTAGACCACTATTGGCGGGCGTGGACGAACGTGCCGGACCTGGGGTGCCACGACTGCGACTGCAAGCGACGGGCGCGCAGCTGGAGCGTCAAGCCGGCGTTGGTTGATGCCCGGGGACGGGAGTTCAACCGAGAGGCGGAGCAGTATCTCCGCGAGATGTGGAGCGAGCGACATGTAGGGCTGCATCGGGCGTTTACCATGGGATATTTCAACACGGTATTATAATGGGGATATGATATTAATTTATCGGCCGGAATACTCTAATTAATTATTCAACTATCTCATATTAACACTCGTACTGGTAGTCATGGCGAAGGGTATTAATTTACTATCAGACGGAGTGATACTAAAGATAGCGTGACCGCCAAGCTCACCGCCCGCCGAGACTCTCGACTCGCCAGCATAGCATCAACTGAGGTATCTACAGATACAACCACACAGATTTCAATTCAGATCACAACTGCACCATCATATTTCTTCTCATCCAACTTATTAGACTACTTCATACAATCAACACGAACCATAGAACCAGACTCAAAACCATGGAGCCCGCAGACCCCTTCCTCCAAGTCCAAGCGTAAGCCCCTATACCACCAACCCAACCCGACCACCAAACCAATAACCATACATATCTACATACACAAATACACATATATAAAGACCAATACTAATCCCAGAAAAATAGAGACGTCCTCACAACCCTCCAAACCTCCCGCCCGCTCTTCTCCTCCTACCTCCGCATCCGCTCGCTCGCCAAATCACCCACGAACCCCGAACTCCAACAATCGCGCTCGGAACTCGAAACCAACCTCACCGACCTCTCCGCCGACCTCGACGACCTAATCGAGAGCGTCCGCGCCGTCGAGCAAGACCCCTACCGCTACGGCCTCGAGCTTGAAGAAGTCTCCCGCCGACGCCAACTCGTCAACGATGTCGGCGCGGAAGTCGAGAACATGCGGCTGGAGCTGCAGCGGGCTGTGTCGACCGCGGACCACCAGCACAATGCGGGACTGCCGAACCCGGCGGATTTTGCGGACGATAGTGAGGGGGAGGAGGAGGGGTTAGGTGGAGGGGGAAGGGGGGATCATTATGCGGCGATGGAGCAGCAGAGACAGGTGGAGCTGATGCATGAGCAGGATGAGCAGCTGGATGGGGTGTTTCGGACGGTGGGGAATCTGAGGGATCAGGCGAATGATATGGGGAGGGAGTTGGAGGAGCAGGCTGTTATGATTGGGGAGGTGGATACGTTGGCTGAACGGGTTGGGGGGAAACTGCAGGGGGGGATGGCGAGGTTGAAGCATATTGTGCGGAAGAATGAGGGTGCGTATTTCCTTTCCCTTTCCCTTTTCTCTTTCTTATGCCCCTCCCATTCTACTAAGGAAAGAAAGGAAGATACTGACTACACAGATTCATATTCGTCATTCTGCATTGCGCTTCTCATTTTCGTTTTGGTACTATTATTAATTCTGGTGATCGCGTTGTGAGCGCACCGGTAGATACATCATAAAAAAGGTGGCTTAAACCTTGGTCTTTTTGCGGGGACGGGACTCCTCGTCCTCGGCCTCCTCGTCATCATCATCCTCGTCGTCATCCAAGCCTTCCAGCTCATCCTCGTCGAACTCAAGGTCCTCGGGCTCGTCGAACGATTGGACTATTCAGTCAGCACGACTCGCAGCATCCGTGGCCAAAGTGAGAAAACCCACCATAGTACTTCAGAGCGTTGGGCCACAGGTCCTCGGCGAGCGCGACGGCGAGCTCCTCCCCGTCGGGGAAGATCTCCAGCGCCTCGACCTCGTCGTCCTCCTCGTCCTCCTCATCATCCTCCTCAGCCTCCTCATCATCGCCGTCCACCTTCTCGCCCTTCAGCATCTTCTGGTAGCGCTCCTCATCCTCCTTAGTCGCCTTGGCGGACTCCTCAGCAGAGACGTCCCGACCACGGTACCCGAAGAACGAGAAGAAGCTGGTGCCAGCGGGCGACGGGCCGACAGGGAAATCCTCCTCATCATCATCGCCCTCACCCTCCTCATCCAGCTTCGCCGCCTCAGCCTCCACCTCCTCAATCTTGCTCACGAGCTTCTTAAACTCAGGCAGCTGCTTCCTCTCGCCACCCTTCTTCTCCGCCTCAGCCAGATCACAAGCGGCATCCAACAGTCCCTTGGTCAGATCGCGGTCCGCCTTCCAGTGCACACGCACGGGCTCCGAAACCAGACCCTCCCAAACAATGGTATTGCCCTTCTGCGTCTTCGTCACACGCTTGCGCCAGTAGAACTCCTTGACCAGCTTCTCATCGGTGAAGAACGGGTTCTCCTCGCCGGTGCGGAACTCAAACACAAAGCGAATGCTGCGCGGCTCGCCCTGCCCGGCCTCATCAACCTCAAACCGCTCCACGGAGACGTTCTTCAGCGCGGTGCCCAGCGCAGCGGCGTCCGCGGTCGTGATGTACTCGTCGATCTCGGCGGGGGCGTGCGAGAACACGCGCATCCAGAAGTTCTCCTGCACCTCGGGGGTGGTGATGACCTTGTTGCGCTCTTCGTAGATGGGGCGGAAGAGGGGGATGGAGTGTTTTACTTTATCTTAGCATTAGCAGGTGTGATAATAATAGAGCAGTTAAATCATCCACAGAGTATAGCTCAATTGAAGGACAAGCTTGGGAGGAGAGGAAAGAAAGACAAACATTGTTCAACCTCCGCACGCAGAAACTGCTGCTCCAGCAAAGCAATCTTCTTGGCCGCGGCCTTGGGGATATCGGGCACTTCGACGCGCTCGGCGAGGGATTTTTGTTCGTCGGCCATTATGACTGTAGATAGGTAGATAGATACCTAGTATATGGTAATATGTAGGTAGGGAGAAGGTGTGTAGTAGGTGGGTAAGTCAATTAACAGAGAGTGAAGAAAGAAGTAAAGAGACGAGGAGAAGAGGAGAAGAATAGTTAAGTAGTCAAGAGAATGAAAAATCAAACCGACAGAGACGGCAGAAAAAAAAATTATTTTATTCTTTGATTTAATTAGCTAGTTACGGCGGAGAGAAGCTTGCTTAATCAGGTACGGATACAGTTTAGTTAGGTAGGTAGGTTGGTAGAGGGGGAAACAGACTGAAAATTCTAGAGGTGACGGTGTTGATCACCTACCAAGGTTAGGAGTGGATGTGGATGTGGATGTTCACTGGATGTTATGACGGGATGAATGGGCGGGAAGAAGAGATTTATTTCTCTTACTCTTTACTGCTATTTTACTACTATTTCCATCCTCCTACTATGTAGAAAGAGAGAGAGAGGCTTGGTTAGTAGTGCTATAAGTATATGCGACTGTCAATCACAATGTTACTTTCCGTCCGAGGCCTGAGTCCTGAGGCTACTGCTGTATAAGTGGAGTAGTCAGCATGACGTGTGTATAACCTGTATAACCTGTATAACTGTTATTGCTCTAGTATGATTGAGTCAGCTTTGTGTGCATATCTTTCTCTTTTTCTCCCCACTTCCTATCCTCCTATCCTGTTGTATACGAAGTATTCGTCCTGTATTGAAGCGATATCATATATCACTAATTATATGATATACTAGATACCAGTTTATATATCAAGAGCGATTGATCATATCAATACTATCTCAGGTACTCCAAGGTCACCAGGGAGTACTCTGAGCCAATATATATATAACCAACCCATCCGATAACTACACAAGGCAGTACATTTCAAAAGAATGATAAAAGTAAAAATCAATTCAAACAGCCGCCGGTGCATTCCACACCCGTGGGGAATAATAATAATACTAATACTAATACTAACTAAGAAAGTACTCAGACCTGGCACATCCTGAAGACGATAAGTAGATAGATAAAACATCGCATAGAATCAACCAATCAAACAAGGCTAGTCCCCTTAGGACTGACGTGAGATAGATAAGAAAGAAAGAACTTTTGGTGTGGCTGGGTTGGGTTGGGTTTTGCCCCTGTCATCATATCCATGCTTCAATCGTGACCTGCTTTGATCCATGCTGCCGTATACAGAGTGTAGTATAGGCATGCATGGAGGTAGAGAGAGCAGTTGAATTTCCCCCCTCTTTTCTTTTCGCTTTTCGCAATTCCCCTCATTTTTGCAACTCAAACCACAAGTAGAAAGACCATTCGCCAGCAATGCATTAAACCCGGTTCAACACCAGATCATATCATAAAGGAAAGCCTACAACATCCAATCCAACCCGTTGGCCTCCTCCTCCACAGGAAACACCTCCCGCGCATACTCCTCCATATCGCGCCAACCCTGCCACAGATGGCGCGCTTCGTCGGTAACGCGCAGTGAGATCACCCCGCCAGGCCCTTGCATCATCCCGGCTCCGGCGCCCTTGCCATTGGCGGGCCCCAGACCCTTGGGCGACCCCGCTGCCGGCCGGGAGAACTCGGGCTGCGGGAAGTAGGGCGCGTTGCAGCGCCCGAATACCTCCTCTAGCGCTTCTAGCTGCTCCCGGTAGCCGGTGGGGATGTTCACTTTGACTTCGATCTTGGGCACGTGGAGGTACCGGCAGGGGCGGTTGAGGGCGCGGGAGAAGGCTGCGCAGACTTGGTTGGGGGTGAGGGTTTCGAATGTGAGGGCGATTCTATTTTTATTTAGTTTTACGAGAGAGAAAGGGGAAAAGAGGAGGAGACTAACCGATGACCGTGCCAGATTTGCGGCCCGTCTTTGAAAATCTGTAATAGGGTCGGTCCGACGTCGTGCTCGGCGTCGAGCCACGGCAGCGGGGTTTCCGGGTCAAACGGAGCGTGCCATTCGAAACTGCCGTCCTCCAGCAGTTCCATCTGGAACAGGGGGTAGGGTAGACTGGTAAAGTTGTTGTTGTAGATCCCCGCGTAGACAAAAGTAGCAGGCAGACCCAGCTGACGGATATAATTCTCGACGGTGAACTTGGGCGCCCAGAGCGGCACCGGGGGCCAGGGGCCATAAACGGAGTGATCGGGCATGCTGCTGTAGATGTAGTGCTGGATGGAGCCGGCGCGCTTCGCGGCGTCGGCGAGGGCGCATCCGATAGCGATCTCGTCACCGGCCTGGGAGGTCGTGTTGATGAAGGCCAGGTTGGCGCCGTCGAAGAGGGCATCCATCATGGCGACATTGCCCAGCAGCGGACCCTGGAAGAGGGTGACATTGGGGAGGGTTTCGAGCTCCTCGGCGATGATGCCCTTGAGGGAGTGGATCTGAGCGCGCACGTTGTGACCGACGGCGGAGGCGACGCGGATGAGCGAGGCGGCCTGGCGGCCGGTCGCGTTCACGACGGCGATGGTCTTGCGTTGTTGGGTCATCCGGGGTGATTTTCGCAAACCGGTCGAATGCGGGCACGAGAGGAGCCCTCCGCGGTTAAGAGAGGGGGAGCCAGGGTGCGGGGTAGACGAGGTGACGGCGACCAGAGGAGGAAGGCAGCTGACTAGGACGCAGGGCTGATGGAGTTGACCATTAATCCAGGATTGTTTAGATGTACCCGACTAGGTTGGGGAAAGGGGAGACGGGCGTGTCGGAAGGGGTGTGAATTCCCGGTGTTGACGGAGCGGGCCAGAGATTGAAATCGATAGTGGGGTTCGAAACGAAAGGAAGGGTAGGTAATTGAGATGGGTATATGTAGGTCGGCAGAAGGCGGACGGTTTGCGAATGCCGTAATCGGACAAAGCGATGGTGTAATGAGGTCTGTCTAGGGAGGGGGAAGGAAAGTGAGTAAGGGAAGGGAGAGAGAAAGATCCAGAGGTGGAAGTTGATGTTGATGATGGCGGAGGATGGAGATTCACGGGGTCACTCACCCACAATGGAGGGGCTAGGTTGATTTTTCTGCTTCGTTCCCCCTCCTCTTTTTCTGTTTTATTTTTAAGCCTTTTTTAGTCTTTTTTTAAGACTTTTTTAAGTGTTGTTTTCTAGTGGTATTGAAGGTTGGAGGTTGGGCTCCAAGAGAGAAATGTTTGTGTGGTTCAAGACTGATTTGGATTAGTTTGTGGATGACTGGAATGTCAGTATTCCATATAATAAATAATCTCAAATAGAAATAATAGAAGGATTAAATCAATCAAAAGAATGGAAGAATAATCAGTCTCGACTTCAAGTCTGAAAATCGATGCGGGAATTTCTTTTCCCTGAAGTAATAGAAAGAAAAGATGGAAAAAATGCAATCCAATGGAAACTCCCGGCGTGGATCAGATCAGTCTGTCCTGGTCTGGTTCCGAGATTCGCTCTACAATCTTTACAATCATACAATGTCATACAATCTGAATCAGTCAGTCTTCTAAGAATGACTGCCATATACAGCAGACAGGATTATGCTCCTCTACTAAAGAACATTGAAGTGAATACTTGATACTAGGAGTGTCAGGAGGAGAACGAATCCGATACCGTCCCCCATCCCAAGCCATTAAGTAATGATGGATTGGGATCGTCTGGGGTTGCCTTTGATGGAACTTTTCTTAGTCGTGAGTTATGTTTTGATTTCTCACACCGTATTGCAATAATGCCGTCAATACATCCGGAGTCTCCCGACTGGATTGTCTGATGATTCTATCCGTATATGATTTGATTGATATTGATATTGACCTATATTCTCCGGGTTGAATGATATTGATGGATGCTCTTGACAGTCTGACTATATTCTCATTCTATGTATCTGTCCATTCCATTCTCCATTCCATTCTATTGAATGATCCATTCCATCCCACTATCCTGACCCATGATCCATCCTGATCCATCCAGACTGTTTCCATAACGGTCTGGCCACTGACCGTCTTTCCTTTACGTAACTCCTCTGCACGACTCCATTTCCCCTCCTCTCTCTTCCACTCTTCCTCTCCTTCTTTCTCCCTCTTTTCTCTCTTTCATTCTTTTAGAATCATCATTTATAGAGTACCATCAATCATTATATCTCCCAGTTCCCCCTATAAATCCAGGTCAGGTCAAATCAGGTCAAATCAGTCAGGTCAAAATGTACCTGACCGATCAAGTGACATACATGGTGGGGAACCCCTCCTTAGTCTCGCCCTAACACGTTCAGGTTCATCTCATCCACCATCCATCCATACCTCCAGCAGTCCCTAAACGGTAACCAATTCCTCCATCCCTCTCAACCAATCGCTTTCCCTTGTTGGGCGCGTGCTCAGCTCCTCCAAGCCCTAACACAGCCGGTGAAATCATGGTCATTCTAGTGTATCTCATCAGCATGATAGAATACATTCCAAGTGGACCCATTCACCGGTCTTCCTGTCCTCCGAAGTCACGGGGCTGATGTCTCCATTGAAACGTCTCAAATACTAATAGAATAGTAAAGAAAATACTGCTTCTCATGTGATGGACGCCTGGTGGGGCAATATCTCCGCGGTTACCCCCGATACCTCCCCGTATATCATTCCATGTATCCGTACTATCTTTATAACTATCTGTACAATATGTCTACCGAGTATAATGCACGGCTAAACTAACCCTAATCTATCCCCTGTTTCCACGCCAGCAATCAATTCAGCCCCAGCAATCAATCCCTTCTGACCACCAGACCAGCTGCAGATTTCAATTCCGACTCTCCCAATGCTGACAGACTGTGCGGTTGGCCGATCGGCCGAAATGGATCTGATAACCCGAAACGGCATAGCCAGGTCAGGTCACATGGGGTTTGGCCTAATATGCAGATATCCAACGCTGTCGATCAAGAGGCTCATTCTCGTGGATCATGAACATGCAATTGACAGATTATCTGGTATCAATTTACTTCTTTCCTATGAGGCTACCTCCCATTTTACATTCCGCCCATGCCGCCAGGCGGTTCCCTCGTCACGGGGTATCCCCCATACCTCCATAGCCGTTTCCTCGGCCGAGTCCTAAGGTGTGCTTTGCGGCGGAGTGGCGGAAACCGCTTAGCATGATCGGGTCGCGAAATGGTTTCGCTTATTGCCACGCCGTGTCACATGGCCATGACCCGCCACCATGACTCGATCTCAACATGCAGTCATATACTTTCACAATGAGTTCCTGAGCGATCTGATGTTGATCTTCCGAGAGTGCCTAGCACAGACAGCACGGACGGGTTTCGTACACCCCCCCCCCGCCTCACTAATCAGATGGCGGGCCGTCTTGGCTGCGATGACCCCGCCGTCGGTATTGGCTCGGGAGACGGATAGAGGGATAGATACTCGGGACGATCGTGTCTGGGTAGCTGGTGACGGACGTTTCGTTTCGTCTTTATTATGTCGTGGTATGCGCACTGACTACGCTGGTTGATGACTTGACGCAGATCTGTCCTACGCTGACTTTCCAACGGTTAAGTTTGGCATCTTTTGGACGTTTTGAGAACTCTTACTCTCTTTTCTCTTCTTCGATCTGACTTTGCATACATCCGTGGTTGTCTCGATCATCGCGTATGTGGTTATGTTTCAACGGTACATAGTATAGTACTATCGAGGAGTTACTTTTCTTCTGTCTACCAGTCTCACTCTCCGCTCAGACACCTCTTTAACGGCAAATGCACGCTTCCGTCCGCCAGACTTAACTAACCCTAACCATCCTCCTATTCACAGGCAACACAAAACTACTAACCTACACGCGATTCAACCCCGGGCACTGACCGGTTGTAAAGGGGACCAGAAGATAAGTAGAAGATTCTGTCATCGCAGGACATTGCTTATCGTCGGATACACCCGGTGGGATAGTTCTGGATACCTCGTGTTTTGCTCTAATGATAAGTGATACCGCACTCAAGTTCTACTTTGGAGGGGTTGCCATTGTATGTGAAGCGGTTAGTGTGAGGCGTTCTCTTTTACCGTAGGTGTCTCACATTTCAAGTGGGATGTTGGCGTGGGGAGAGGTGAGTGATTATGTTGGGCGTTGAGGTACGTAGCTTAAAGACGGCCCCAGGCTGCAAGTCATCCGTTGTCGCGGATGGTTGCAGTGTTTGGTCTGGTATGGTTAGCTATACCCCCTGAAATTGAGAGGCATGCAATCGGCCAGCATCAGCTGACTTGTAGTATTTTCCCGCATAGATTGCTGTTTCGGCTCTTCATGTTTCTTGCAAACTTGCAGTTATTTTGCAACTCTTGGCTGAGTCATTAGGGTTGTCAGTTTCACCAATATATTGACTGTTCTCATCTGTCTTGCCCATATTGTGGGTAAGTTTGGAGTCGCGTTGCTGGATTGGATGGTTTGGTTGTTGGCGCAGATATTGATTGATTTGCAGTGGGCTTGACTTGGTTTTATAGGGTATATCAGTGAGATAGCTGAGTATTTGGGCTCAAGTGATTCCCCAGAGAGGTCAGTTAATTCCAGGTATTAGGGCACATTGTGCTCCACTCTCGTATCTAGATATTCCAAATGTTTCAATTGTGCGAGTCATTAGTCTTCATGATAGGATCAGTCTTTCATGATCAGATCTATCAGATCCTTGATCAATGACTCTCCTGGTCACTTGTCAAGCATGAACAGCCTATCCAGTCTGTCTCTTATCATCCCAGAGCCCACAAATCGAAATACTGATGCCTATTGCTGAGACCATCAGCGGGGCTCGGAGTGGTCCACTTTCCGTACATGTCAGATCTCGAAATCGCTCTACCTAGTTGATCACGAACAATCTATTTTAGGGGCGAATGGTTTCAGATCCGGATCGTTTCATGTCGCCGCCAGGAAGGGCTAAATCTCGTGATGGTGATACTAGTCATACTACTGTTGCACCGAAACGGTTGCAGAATCTTCCATTGTTGTGTTTGGTGGCGTATATATTGATTGTTGTGGAGATGTGACAACAATATATTTGTGTCGATTAGAATTGACTTGGCAGAATTCGAGATGGCTGTGTACGCTGCAGGAATCGAAATCTGTTCCATATTGATCACTCGATGGGAACAATCGCATTCGATTATTGCTCCATTCTGGGCGCTAGTTGCAGCCATGAGAGATTGAGGTTACTTTGGCTTGATCTGAGGTTGCTGACCTTGTGTCTCGATCGGGTCTAGCGTCTTAAAATCACCAACATCAACGGACTCACTTTCTTATCCGTCTTTCCATCATTCTTCTTGTCGTTTCACTCCGATCTGATGGTTCAAATTTTTAATTTATCTCTTCTTGTATATATTTTTTCTTCAATCCCTAGAATCTAATACCCTGTAAAAGTTCATCATGACCTGAAGCCTGGATCCCTGCCGTCGGTCAACCGTCCAGTGTCCACAGTTCGTCCCAGCCTATCTGAAACTCCCTTTTCCCTTCCTCCTTCTCTGCTGGGTCCATCCTAATCGTTACTATCATCATTAGTGAGTCAAGTTTGGGACATCGGGTGAGCCGATCCCCCAGTCATCTGACCAGGAGTCAGTCAACCAAGGGTTGAACCCGTTCGCCTGGGATGGATTCCTTTCGATCGCAAGGATTCAGCCCTTTCCAACCCACGCGATAGGACCTCGGATTTAAAGTCGACCAGCCGCCCCTGTGTCTATCACCGGGCGTGATGTCACGATTGGGACTCCTTCAGGGATCCGTGACCCCCGTATGAGGTCGCTGTGGCTCGTCACTCGCAGCTGCATACCGCACCAGTCTGCACTAACCCTGACCCAACTCCCTTGGCGTCCGACCTAACTCAGGCACAGCCGATGATTTGCTCCATCTGGCGTCGAGAGGCCCGCTTCTTCTTCTTTTTTTTTATTTTTTAACTTGTTTTATTTCTTCTACTTTTTTTGGCGGGGGGTTTTCCCTGCTTTCCCCGTTTATGGTGGAAGTTTCCCCTTTTCACACCATTGTACGGAGTACTGTGAAGACTTCCCCTGAGACCCATAAATCATCCACGCATAGTCTGCCAACACCCTGATTTGGGGACTTCCAGTCTTAAATCTTCCAACGCTCAGTCTGACCGCCCTTACCCCTGGAGATCAGTAGTCTCCAAGTCTGGGATAGAGTGGGGCCGCCATGGAACCCGGTCGCACACTGCCCCTCTTGGCTTCAAATGAGAAATGGGGAACCTCCCTCTTCTCCCGCCATGGCTGTCGCACGAGGCATCCTCGTTTATCACCCTGTTATTTTACGGAGATTAATTCAACTTTGTGATAGGGGAAAAGGGGTTCAACCGTTCTGGTTCCAAACCCCCGCGCGGTGGCGCCCGGCTCTTACGCCCCCACTGTCCTGATAACTAATTCCACCTTGACGAGCAGATCATACTACTTATCGCTACATCTCCATGGTGCAGAGTTCGGTTCGGATGATTGTCATGAGAAATTAAGAAAACCAAGGCCAATAGTCTGGTCGCATGCCACTGCTCAAGGGGATTGGCCTCTGGGGGTTGGTGCTCGACAAAATAGGTTCCTCTTTAGCACCACCTAATGCAGAAAGGGGAAAAAGAGTGTCGACCCTGAAAAGGTTTGGGACCTGATTTTTTATCGGATGCCCCTCGGTAATTGGGCCTCTGATTCTAGCGGACTGGTTCCTGCGTAGTCCATCATCTTGGAAGCTCGTCGCGGGCTCCTCTTTTTTAATTATCATCCGTTGGTTTAGGAGCCGACTTTCTCTCTCCTTCCCCATTCCACCCCATCGTTATTAGACGGCGTTGACGTCTTTCCACTCTTTATTTTTGGTTCCCTTTTTTTTTAACCCTTTTTTCTTCTCTGCTTTTGGGATTGTATCCTGCGAGTTGCTTCCCTGTCCTTCTTTCCCTCCTTCCAGTCCTTCCTTTACAGTCCTTCGTTTACCACTTTGTTTGACCCTTCTTTCGTTACTGAGGGCCCTTTCTCCCCATTCCTCGCTCAGCGTAACCTTCGAGGAACCGATTCTTGCTTTCCGGAGAGACATTGAATTCCTCGCGAGAAGACTTCTGACTTCTACGGTATTCCTCATTCCTCGGTTCTTGTCGTGGCGTACACAGGTATTGATCGGCACGCAGACAATCCCTTGCCCAACTTCGAAACGAAGGGTACGTTCATGATTTCTTTGCAGTTGTAGTCCTTCTATACTATCCTCCACCCAATTCCATCCTGTTCTCCTCCCCTTGTCGACCTTCTTCCTGTCCCTTCCAGATGCCAGGACCTCGTGTGAAATGTGGTGGCGGGATGCCCTACCGTATGCAAGGAGATACCCCCCTTGCTTGAGACCGAGCCACCTATGTGAGCCAGAAGTTCAAAGATCATGCTGGCCAGACCCCTGGACGCCTCGCTTTCTGTCCATGGTGCTTTGTCATTATTGTTGTTGTTGTTATGATCTCATTCTTGCGATCGAATCGACGTTCTTATACCAACACTCGAAGCCCCACGGCCCGATCACGTCTGGGGGAATAGCAAGATCGATCCCACCATTACTTCTTGACATCCCCATTATCCATACACTCCTTTGGTTTCTTTCACTGGTCGCTCGTCATTTTCTCCATGGGAATTCTTACTTACCGCGCCTGGTGATGCTTGTAGTCAACAGATTCGCTCGTTAAGACGACACTCCTTTTGGAACCCACTATTGTCACTCATTTCTGATCTTTATTGACGCCCGATTACCACCATGCCTCGTGCGATGCGGCTCGATGTCGGCCTGGTGACATGCCTGGCCGCCTTCTCCAGCGTTGCTGATGCGTTCTGGCGTCTTCCCTGTCGTGGCCGGAGCGGTTTGGCCCGTATCGATCCTCTGATGGACCCGGGCGAGCCCTCCTACCACGTTCACTCCGTCCATGGATCTGGCGGTAAGTTTGAACCCCGCGCGCCTGAAATTTGCTCTTGATGCTGATTTCCGATAGCTTTCTCCATGTCTTCCGATGCCGACGTCCTGAAGGCCGCCGACTGTACCTCCTGCGAGGTCAAGCAGGACAAGTCCGCGTACTGGGCTCCCGCGCTTTACTTCGTGGACGAAGATGGCGACGCCGAGTTGGTGGATGAGGTGGGAGGCATGCTTGCGTAAGTGTTCTTCTTTCCTCCTTCGTGGCCATGGCCTCGTGCTCATTGAATCGCAGCTACTACCTCCTGTACGGCGAGGGCGTGAAGGCCTTCCCTGAGGGCTTCCGCATGATCGCCGGTAACCCCTTCAAGCGCGACTTCCCCTGGCCCGTGCCTGACCCCCCCAAGTCCGAGTGGACCGGCAAGCAGGGCTCCCAGGACGCCCTGTCCGCGAAGGCGCTCGGGTTCAACTGCCTCAACTACGAATCCGACGCGGAACCGTCGCTTGGACGCCACTTCATGCCCAACAAGACCTTCCTCGACGAGAACTGCAAAGATGGTATCCGCATCGAGCTGATGTTCCCTTCGTGCTGGAACGGGAAGGACGTCGACACCGATGACCACCGCTCCCACATGGCCTATCCTTCGCAGGTCATGGACGGAACCTGCCCCGAGGGCTTTGAGACTCGCGTCGTGTCGCTCTTCTTCGAGACCATCTGGGATACCTACGCCTTCCGCCACAAGGAGGGCGAGTTCGTCCTGTCCCACGGTGACCCCACCGGATTCGGCTATCACGGCGACTTCATCCAGGGCTGGGAGCAGGATGTTCTGGAGGCGGCCGTCGAGCAGTGCACCAACCCGTCCGGCGAGGTCGAAGACTGCCCCGTCTTCGAGCTCCAGTCCGAAATCGAACAGAAGCTCTGCACCTTTGACATCCCCGACCTCCTGAAGGACGAGGAAGTCGAGAAGTGCTCGGGCGGCCTGCCCAACAAGATCCTCATCGAGTACGGACCCGAGGAGGCCTTCCCCATCAAGTACGCCACGCCCACTTCCTCCTCCGCCGCGTCCACCTCCTCGCCCGCTCTCCCCACCCTCCCCGGCCTCCCCAGCATCTCTCTTCCCGACCTCGGCGGTATGTTCGCTGAGAGCTCGACCACGTCCGCCTCTTCCACTACGACTCCCCCTCCCGCCCCCAGCACCACTGAGACCCCGACCGAGACCCCGACCCCGAGCACCACCGAGGAGCCGACCACGAGCACCACCACGACCCCGACCTGGACTCCCACCCCCGTCACCTCCTTGATCGAGGGCCCCATCACCCAGGAGATCGTCTTCGTCGAGCAGGAGGTTGTGATCCTGGTCGACGACAAGGGCAGCACCGTGGGCACTCAGACCGGCGACATGAAGACCGTCTCGACCACCCTGACGACCGCCACGACCGTCGTCTCCACCGAGGTCACGATGGCGACCGAGCCCCCTGCTCACGCCCACCGCCGCCGTCACGCCCACGGCCACCGTGCCCGTGCCCACTAAACGGTTCACCCCGTCAATGGCCCACTGATGACTGATGGGTGAAGATGAGCGACGAAGCGGGATTCTCAACATCGGACACTCTTTGGGCGCCATTCACTTATATCTAGAAAAAGTAATGGCTTTGCACGCATATATCATTCTTCCCAAGCGACACACGCCCATTCCGTGTTTCTCATCTATAACTTTTTTTGTCACATTACCTTTTTTTTTATCCCCCTCCCCGAGCCGAGCGCGGGCTCCCATTCATGGATGATACTTTTTTAGCCCCCAGGATACCTTCACTATCTTATCTTACTGTCAATTTTTCTTCTCATTTTATATTTCGAATTTCAAATGGATGTAAATGTCACAATTTTCCCTCTTCTCCTTGTCATTGCCCTTGTCATTGTGCTTGTCCTTGACGAGATGGGTCGAAGCGTAAGACATGATCGTCTTATTTATTCTTTTTTGTCCTTTTTTTTTTTTCTCTTTCTTCCAGATGAGAACGCGGTTTGGGGGGGGTCCTGTTAGATTTTATAGCCAATTAACTATGGTCTGGGGGGTGTATGTACCAGATTGTATGGATTCTTTTCCTTTTCCTTTTTCTTTTATTTATTGTTGCCGTCGCTGGTCGTCCGTCCGCAATACTCTCTCTCTCTCTCTCTCTTTCCTTACTGTTATCATTATTGGTATTCTCGTTTTCATTACCATATTCAGCACTGTCGTTGCAAAAAATCTCGTTTATCGTTATTCTGGAGTTAGATAGTTAGATAGGTATACTATCTAGATTATATTATGCAATTCAATCATCACGAGATCATTTCTCCATCCATACTGTACTCATTACAATGTGCAATATACATGCTACTGCTCCCCACTGAGTAACAGTATCTATCCTTCTGCTACCTGGGTCCTGTAAGTATGCCGATCTGTCTCAGATAGGGACAGGGGCAAATAAGCTTAAGTTGGTAGTACTATCCCGCGGGGAAGACAGAAAGAAAGGGGTAATGGAGGGAGGGGGATTAGGATCGTCGGTCTGTTCGCGGAGTTGGAGGTGAGTTGCGTTGGAGTTGGACTAGGAGGACTAGGGAGGGGTAGACACTAGAAGGAGACACTAACGACTAGATTGTTTAGTTGGGTTTGGGTTTGGGTTTGGGTGTGTGTGTGAGTAGGGAGGATGGATTGTTCTTTTTCATGGGGATATCAACTGTAGATGTTCATTTTTCTTGTATAGGGTTGGTGGATTTGTTCTATTGGTATCCACCTAGTATATAGGTAGGTAGTAATTAGGTGTGAGATAAGAAGATCCCTAAATAAATGGACAACAGATACCTAGGTAGGTACAACGGCTTGTCCGAGAGCCCTCCCTATACAAAACAATCAACGAGAACATGACGTAGTCCCTCGATTCTGGCCTGATCTACAGTAATCATGAAAAGTAACTAGTGGGCAAAATAGAATAGATGGTAGGAGCTGTCTCCGTTGTATCATCATTTATTATCGCCATTTTGTACGGACTATACAAGGCAGAAAGTAGTATGTAGGATGTACCTTCCCTCATACTAGATGAGAACCACCCAAGCATCATTATTATATTGAGTGCTTGAAGAACAGCTCACCGCGTATTCCGACTCTCGTGGGATGAATATGTTACTGCCCCCACTGGATTACCACGGGGGTGTTTTTGTTGGCGGAGTGGTTGGCCGTCAATGTGGTGATGATATTTCTTCCCCCCCCCCTCTTCTGGGGTGGGTTATCTGGGTTTACTACCTGCTGTTACTCCTGCTCCTTTCTGGTCCCACTGGAACGACTACGGTTGCAACTACGTAGTATAGAGGTACGTGCTATCCATGACCTTATCCTCCTTAATCTTGATATCATGTCGATCGGAAACACCTATCCGATACCACTCATCCCAGTATTGATATCAAGCTTCTCTTTGGTTCCACAACATATGTCTGTGGATATGCCTGTATCTCTAGGTCCATGGATATATAGATAGATAGATAGATAGCTATCTACTTGTGTATCTCGAGCAGTTATCCTGATATACAGTCACTGTGGAACGTATGTATATGTTCACGGATCAATGAAATGGTGAAACCTTGTTGAACTTGCATGATAATATGGATTATTCTACAAGTTACATACAAGTGAAGACGAATGATCTAATTCAGCAGGCTATGTATTACAGCCAAGGGAATCTGCACGGCAGATAGTTTGGCTGATTGTATGTAATGGTGTGATTGTAGACATTGGGTTGCTCTGATCATGTAAGATATGATTATCAGTAATTGAATAACCTTGATGGTAGGTAAGATCTGTTGGTGATTTCCAGGTCCAGTCTACGTGACCGGCCTATTACGCGTATACCGAGTGTCTGATATAGTAAAAATTCATATTCAATCAATCCATTCAAGAAACGCCTCCACCGAACACCTAACCGAACCTAACCTAGCCTAACCTAACCTCCATCCACCCGGCCAACACGTCCGGGACCACCCAAGCTGTATGCCGGTCTAAACACAAGACATATATAACAAAGAAGAAAAGGAAAAAGATTTACGGGGACGGCGGTGATATCCACTCTCCTTCCTGCAGCCACACCCCAGCCCCGCTGTACTTGCCGGCCTCGGCGCCCCGCAAGAAGGCGAAGCGGAAGAACAGGACGTCGGGTTTTAGGTCATCGTCATCGTCATCGTCAGACTCCAGATCGGCCTCGTCCAGCTCATATTCACTCTCAATCACAGACTGATGCTGCAGCTCCAGGCCGCTGTGGCCGTGTCGGTGCCAGGTGAACTCGCCCTCTGGGTCCTCGTCCACGTAGCCGCGCCAGCGCTCGACGTCGTTGACCAGGACGGACACCCCGTCGACGCCCAACTCGCCCATCCGTTCCGTCTCCCACAGGGTGAAGGTGATGTTGCCGTTGCCGTGGAAGGCCTCGTGGGAGCCCGGGTTAGGCAGTGTGATATTGACGGACGCGTCCGTGACGTTGGGGTACGTGCTGCCCCACCAGCCGTGCGCCCCACCCGCGCCCGGGGCCAGCTCGCCCAGCGCGGCGGGCGTCTCGATGATCGAGGCGAAGCCCCATCGGGCGATGCCGTTGATGAAGAGGCCCAGCAGCAGACCCTGATAGATCAGTGACGGGCGCGTGGGGATGGCGGTGCCGGGCATCAGCAGGATGGCGAGGATGTAGTGGTGGATGCGCAGGCGGAGGCCCGGCAGCGGGAGCAGGATCAGCAAGATCAGGGCCATCGTGCCGTAAATCTTGAGGTAGTGCGGCATCACGCCACCCTGGCGGATCTGCCAGGCCTGGCTCAGGATGATGGTGACCACGGTCGGGATCACCAGCGCCAGCGCAAGCTTGGCCCCGGGCTGCTGCTGAATGTCGTAGGGGGTTAGACGCTCGAGCGGGATCAGGCGCGCGAAGGTATAATTGTTCAAGGCCCCGATGAAGATGGGCGGGACGTAGAGGAAGGCCTTGGTCAGCTGGTAGCTGGGATCCGACAGCGGGGTCAGGAGCGGCCGCGCGCAGTACTTGTACAGCACGTAGGCCACGAACGACGCCGGCAGCAGGCGCGACAGTAGAGTCGACACCAGGTCGGCCAGCATAGGATACGACGGCGGGTCCGACACCAGACCGGTCTGGCAGAAGATCATGAAGAACGTGCTGAAGAAGAGAACGGCAGGCGAGGTGCAGAAGAACCACAGGGCCGCGACGGCCCCGACGGTGATGCCCAGCAGCGGCCAGCGGGGATCCTGCGGGCAGGTCTCCTGCGAATCGGAGAGCGACACGAAGCTGAACGACTTGGGGAAGGTGGACGGGAAGCCGACAGACTTGATGTCGTTGCGCTCCGAGGCGGGGAACGAGTGCGCAGCCCCATCGAGCTTAATCACGCCACATCCGCCAACGCGGTTCGTGATGACGCCAGCGTGGATAGCGGCCTGACAGACAAAACTGTCGGCCCGATAGACCCCAGGTTCCTCGGAACCCGGCTCGGGTCCGCCGACAACGAGACCCTGGTAGCTGTAGGTCTGGTTGCCCACGGTATAGAACTCGCCCAGCTTGGCGTCTCGGCAGTTGGCGGGACACCGGAAGGGGATGGAAGCGGCGGAAAAGGGTCGACAGTCATTTCCGTTGAGTCCGCACTCGTTGCCGGATTCCCTGTTGTTGGGTCAATATGGATAGATATGTGAAAGGGGAGCAAGATGATATGCTGCATACCAGAAACTCGTCGAACAGGACAGGGTCTGGGGCGTTCCATAGCCCTCGATATGACCCCCGGACCGCGAGTGTAGCAGGATGATGGTCCAAGGCAAGAACCACACCAGATAGAGCAGACACAGTAACATGGTCTTGTGCTTGCGTTTGGGACAGAATCGGTCGAGCAGACGAACGGGCATCTCCTGCAGGCGGGGGAGCAAGGGTTTCAAGAGCAGATCATGCGGGGGATCGGGGCCCTTGACCCAGTTGGCGGTGGCTCGACCGGCCTTTCGGATGGGGAGGGGAACCCAGCCCCACCGGAAAGACTTGGACGACTCCGTCAGCCATACTGGGAGATAGTGACCGGCTTCATCATCTGGACGGAGGAGATGCTCGGTGTCGGCATCGGTGGAGCGAGTCTCGTCATCCAACAACGGTGGGATGTAAACCCGAGCGCCATCCTCGGGACCTTCACCAAACATGCTGTGGACGATATTGCGTCTTCAATAGACGAATCGGTGACGATATGATCGGGTTTGAGAACGAGATGGACACGACGAAACGAAGACGAGTATGGAGAGACGTTGTCGAACGAGAGATGGGGAGAGAGGGACCTTAACAAGCGGCGGACGAACAGACGAAACGGACCGACGACAAGGACATAAGAAACGATCGAACCGGAGACAATGAAGAATAACGATAGCGAGGGGGGGATAAAAGAGAGATCGGATGTGAGGATAGAAAGAGAGAAGAGAAGAAGAGAAGATGAAGATGAAGGCAGAAGTGAAAGCGAAAGAACTGGAGTCACCGGAACAGATCGGCAGGTGGCGGTGGTGGCCAATCACCGCTGCTTATGTCATCGTTCCTGACCGTCTGTTCTGAGGTACCTATATCCCCTATATCTAAGTATAGACATATAGATGTATAGTCCTGATTCTTTAGAAAGAATACCTAGATAGACAATACTGGATGATACTCTAATAGATATCAGTGGGGTCCCCGGATGGGTGATCGTGAGGCTAGAATTGGACTGACATCATATGGATGATCCTCATCTAACGGTCCTGACTAACGACGCGTTAGGGCTCGGAGATTATCATCGTAGTGCAGAGTAGAGAATAGGTAGTTACTACTTACCTAGTTGGCTAGAATAATGGCGATAGTATGGATCTTCTCGCCTCTCAAGTCCATCAATCCATCAATTACAGGTGGTTGCTACAACTCCATGACCGAAATGGATAACGAACCATGGATGCCATGTCAGCCTCGTCCATTCGGCCCCTCCGGTCTCCACTAAAGACTTCGGATCAGGCGAAGTCCAACTGCCAATGATGTGGATGATCCTGAAACTAGACTAGGTCCAAACCAGACTGATGCTTATCAAGCAACATCAACGCCGTTATCTTGACGGTCTTGGTGTATTTATGTCTAGCTTCTCCCTTCACAAAGAATCAATGATACAATATCAATCGCAGAGCGAGATAGGATAGAATACGATCGGAATTGATATCATCATGTCTCTATCACCCCCTAAAGACCTCTCCCATCATTTCTCCGTGACGGCCAAACGTCGCGAACCCAGCAACATCAAAGACCTATACAAGTACTTCTTCATTCCAGGCATTGCCAACCTAGCCGGCGGTATCACTCCCATCCACCTTATCTTCTGTTAGATCTAGCCAATTCATCCTAATAAAAAAAAAACACAGGCCTCCCAGACGCCTCCTACTTCCCCTACGACACCCTCGAAGCCAAAGCCGCCCGTCCCCAGCGCTTCCCCACCGCCACCAACACCACCACCTCCTCCTCCACCACCCAACCCACCAACCGCATTCTCATCCCCAAAGAAAGCACCACCCCCGACCCCCAGCACAAGATCGACCTCGCATCCGCCCTCCAATATGGCACAGCAGAGGGCCTCCCCCCAATGGCCTCATTCGTCCGCCGCTTCACCCGCGACCACCTCCATCCGCACGTCCCCTACGCCGACGGGCCCGACACCATTCTCACCTGCGGCTCCACCGACGGCTTCTCCAAGGCTATCAATCTGTTTACGGAACCCTGGGTTCCTGGTCGGGACCCTGTCTCGCGCCGTCAGGGTCTCCTCTGCGAGGAGTTCGTCTACATGAATGCCATCCAGGAGGTGAAGCCTCATGGTCTCAATGTTGTTCCTGTGGCGCTGGACGCGCAGGGATTGAAGCCGCATGGGAAGGGTGGATTGGCTGATGTGTTGGCGCATTGGGATGAGCGGAGGGGGAGGAGACCGCATTTGCTGTATACCATTACGTATGTTTCTATCTCTTTTCGCTTTTGTGTCTTGAGGGAGAAGGATGCAATCCTGTCTAGGGCATGTCAGGACATATGACCGCCCTCATCTAACATAGATATATCATATCTAACATCGACAGAATCGGCCAAAACCCCACAGGAAGCACCCAGTCCATCCCGCGCAGACAAGAACTCTACGCCATCTGCCAGAAATACGACATCATCCTAATCGAAGACGACCCCTACTGGAACCTGCAGTACGACAACCCCCCACCCAAACACCCACACCCACGCACCTCATCCGGGTACCCCTTCCTAGACTCGCTCACCCCGTCGTACCTCTCCCTCGACACAGACGGCCGCGTCGTCCGCCTCGACACCTTCTCCAAGACGATCGCCCCCGGCTGCCGCCTCGGATGGATCACAGCGCAGCCGGCTGTCATCGAGCGTCTGACGCGCATCACGGAGACGACGACGCAGCAGCCGTCGGGGTTCACGCAGGCGATGGTCGCGGAGTTGATCTTGGGGCAGCAGTCGGGTAGTACCAACAGCAGTAGCGGCTGGCACATGGACGGCTGGGTACGTTGGCTCGAGGGCCTACGCGAAGGCTACAAGCGCCGAATGCAAGACATGTGCACAGCCTTAGAAGAAGGGCAACACATACTAAGCGTCGACATCAACGACAACGCCGACACCGACACCGAGGAGGATAACGAATGGGAATGTATCGAGCGCACCCCCATGTACGAGTTCACACGGCCCGCAGGCGGCATGTTCGTGTGGCTCCGCGTGCGTCTGGAGACCCACCCCTTGCATGGGGAGTATGCGGAGGCGCGGCTCGCCCGTGCGCTGTGGGTGATGCTCACGCGTGAGCCGTATCTGTGCTTGCTGGGTCCGGGGGCGATGTTTGCGCCGGATGAGGCAGTGGTGGGGAAGGCGGCGTCGTTCTTTAGATTGTGTTTTGCGGCTATGCCGGCTGAGGAGGTGGGGGGTGTTACGAGGAGGGTGACGGATGGGATGAGGGCTTTTTGGCAGGTGAAGGATTTGGAGGGGTTGGAGGATGTTAATTGATTGATTGTTGGGTTGATTGGTATTTCGTGATTCGTGAGCATTCTGTTCTTGATACATTTCCTGGTCCGTATTATCCGTCCATATCTATCTATCCACCTCATTTCATATCCCATATCCATATCATATCCATATCCCCGGATATAACACCAACAAACCCACACAAACGCCATAAGCATCAACGCCATAACCCCCTATCAAAACACTCACAAAAGAAAGGAAAGAACCATTTAACCCTCAACCCCACCCCGCGACCTCCTCTGCACCTCCCTCAACCCCCTCAACAACCTCTCATACCGATCCACCCCAAGCGCCCTCCCACCCCCAACACTCATCCCCCTCCCCCTCTTCACCTTCTTCCCCATCCCCATCTCCATCTCCACCTCCTTCCCCCCCCCAGGAACCGAAACCGCCCTAACCCTAACAACCCCATGCTTATTCGTCCACCCCCTCGCACTCGGTCCAGTTTTCACGCCCCCCTGCACGGCCCTGCCCAGCTCCGTCGGACTCAACAGCCGGCTGACCTCGCGATTCGCAGGACTAACAAGTAGCGGGTCGGCCTCGCCGCCCACGCGACACTCCTCGTCTAGCACGAGGAATTCCCGCTCTGGGGCGGTGATGCTCGGGTCGAAGGAGGAGGGGTGCTGGGCTACTTGGTCGTCGGTGCCGAATTGGGCGGTTTCGGCCGGGGAGGGGTGGAGCGCTTGTCTGTCGAAGACGAGGTTTAGGAGGGTGGGTTCGGGGGTGCTTGATAGGGGGGCGGTGTGCCAGATTGGGTGGGGGTTGGTTGGGATTGTGTTGTTTGTGTTGATTGGGGGGTGGGAGGGGGTGGGGGTTGTTTGGGAAGATGCTGTCTTGATAGTCTTGGGGATTGGTTGAGAGAAGTGTGACGGTTGAATGGACGATTGCCGAAGAGAGGCCCGTTATTGATGGGGGGGTCTGGTCGGGGCATGGAGGGCGCTGTGTATGTTCGGAGGAGGAGGGATGTATAGGGAGTGGGTGGTTTGAATCCCCTTGCGAGGGGGGTTCTCGACATCATTTTCGCAGTTATACCAATATCGATATCTGTCTTTTCCTTTTGATTTCTTATTCAGTATTTGTTTGATAGAGCTAACCCAGCAGAGCTAGCTGCTCCCAGCTATCTATATACGACGATCCTACGGAAGTACAAGACGATCGTATTGACGTCACCATGCAACATACTTCGCCGCTGAGCAACTCTACCCCACAAACCTTCCTATGCGGAGCTGAATCCAGACCCTGAGAGCGAGCGCATGGCGTCTTCAACCCCGGTTCACCCCTCGCCACAAAAATCCTCTCCTCAATTGGTTTAACCAAGATTACTATTCAAGTATGAAAATCACAAGACAAACCAAACGCCAATCCAATTTGCTAATCCCTACTTAATGTATCTCAAATTCCGGAACGCCCGCATCATCAGATACACCCCGTGCAGCGTCGCATACATGCCTCCGCCGGCCGTCACCCACACGGGTAGCTGGTAGCGCAGCGAGGAGACGGGGATGTGGCCAGAGGTGGGTCGGCGTCTGTCTGGGGGCTGTTTTTGTTGGTTTGGTTTGGTTTGGGTTAGGGATTGAGAGGGACCCTAGGAGAGACGTACCGGTTGGAGTCTGTTTATCAGGTTGATGACCTGCTGTCTGGAGCGAGCGATGAGTGCCTGGAACATTCTGCTTTCTGTTTGTCTGTTTGTAGTGGGTATGAAGATGTAGGGTTATTCAGTTAGAAAGATCTAGTAGATGTCCGCGCGATATATACGAAGGATACTGCTATGGTGGCAATCATGCTTGAGGGGTCGTCACAGGACTGGAGACGTAATATCAGGATAGAGTTGGGTGGCGAAGACGGGGTGTGGTGGAAGAAGCATCTGATTGATGTGAAGCCATGGTTCGAGGAACGCCAGACCAGAGCTCGTCGAGGAGAGCTGGACATTGGCTGGAGAGCTGGGGATCCAAATTCTAATCCTGATCCATATCTTGTCCATCCGTGTTCAAGCTTTGATAGTACCAACATGAGATATAGCGTCCTAGGTCAGCACAAGACCTGTTTGGCATTGTGCCACACAGCGTAGTCACCTGTATAACTTGACGTGCAGTATGTGGAGGTTGGAGGGACATTGGATTAACTATGCAAACAGACTGGATCGACTCGATCAGGCAGATACTAGATTTATCTATCATCCACCTGAATCAGCATGCATAGGTTGATAGATTGAACAGGGCCTCTTCGCTGAGAACCCAAGCCAGTGACAGCAGAACGCAAATTTGAGCGTGTGATTGGTATATATTAGTGAATAATAGACATTAGAGGCCAGATGAGCAAAATAGAAAAGCCATTGGAAGTGGATATGGTATCAACTGTCATATTTCCAGATCCGGGTTATCGTACTATTATTGAATACAATGTCGAGTGGCCATTATCAAATGCGACATAGAAAGGCTCACGTGACAGTGAGGGGAATGTGGACATGGTAGTCGTACTTTGACGATTTTCTCATGTACATCATAACATTAAACTAGACAATCATTACTCAAGGGTGGATGTCAACTCAGTGAAATCGGATAGCGACAGCGACCGAAAATTTTTCCACCCGAAGCGCAACAGCAACATCCACAATTCAATCCATTCATTCATTCAATCCCAACAACACCCACTACTGACACTACTAGAATCAACCACCAAGATGTCGGAAAACAATGACCTCGCCGAAGAAATTGAAGCCATAAACGCCATCTACGACCCCGACACCCTCCTCCCAACCACCACCTCCACTACAGATCAACAACCCACCGCGACAACCCTCCGCCTCCAACTCCCCGACCACCCCCACCTATCCTTCCTCCTCGCCTGCGACACCACATACCCCGACACCGCGCCGCGCATCCTCGGCACCGCATCGACCGCCGCCCGCGGCCAAGGCCAACTCGCCGTCGACGCGCTACACGACGTGCTCGCTCGCGTGCACCACCCGGGAGCCGTCTGCCTCTTCGACCTTATTAGCGAGGCTAGTGATGCCTTCCGGGAATTGCGCATTGGCGAGGACGTCGCCGCGGACAATACCAATAACCACGACGAACAACAAGGACAAGAGGAGGATGAGGAACAAGGGCAAAGGGACGAAGAAGAAGCACTCAACGAAAACCACCCCCCACCCCAATGGACCCTCTCAGACATAATATCGGAGAAGAAGTCCGTCTTCGTGGCGCGCGCAGCCCGCGTCCACAGCGGGGCGCACGCCCAGTCCTGCATCGACCACCTACTAGCGACAGAGAAGAAAGTCGCCGCCGCGACGCATAATATCAGCGCGTGGCGTGTGAAGGAGACGCGGGCGGGCGGCAAGGGTGATGCCGGCGAGGTGATGGTCGTGCAGGATTTCGACGACGACGGGGAGGCGGCTGCTGGGGGACGGCTGCTGCATCTGATGCAGCTGATGGATGTGTGGGATGTGGTGGTTGTCGTTACGCGGTGGTATGGTGGGATTCATCTGGGGCCGGATCGGTTTCGCATTATTAATGCTGCTGGGCGTGATGCGTTGGTTAAGGGGGGGTTCAATGTGGAGACGGGTGGTGGTGGTGCTGGTCAGGATAAAGGGAAGAAGAAGGGGAAGAGGTGATTTGGTACCTCACTGGTGTACGCCTTGGTGTTGATGTTTAGATTGGCGCCGGACTCGACTCGACTACCTGACAGCAGCGGATCCACTAGTAGTGACTGTGCTACCCGATACCAAAGACACAGCGCAGATGTTTCAGCAACAGCCCAGGATGAAGTTTCCACGTGCGACATCTACAAACTCGAACCACCAAATCATCACCAATATCCTCACTTCATCACCACGCGACAGTCCAAACCACAAGGCTAACCGCCCATTCCAATCCCAACCAGCGACTCGACTCGCTCGACTCCCTCAAAGACACCCTCGAACCGCGCCCCTCAAATCCACGGCTAGGTAGAAACAGTCTGAAACCAAACGCGATCCATCTTAACGACCTACCTACTACAAACCCACCAATCGCAACGCATCAGGCCACACCTCACCCGAAACCGAATGTTTGACGCAAAACCTAACCCCAAGGGATGGATGGGATGGGACAGACCCTGCCATGTGACAAGACATTGTGTTACTTCGTTCGTTCGGCAACGAGTGAACCCCTGGCGCGAGGGGTGTGCTTTCAGCGGGTTGTTTTGGTTTCTGTGGATGGCTGGCCATTCATGTGCTTTGTATGGAGTTGTACGAGTACCGATAGAAGACATCCGTGTGTATTATACTCCGTAGTAGACGGCAATTTAGAGAAGTAAATAGAAGTCGCGTGCTTATTATATATCTCCTTGCATGCGTAAGTGGGCCCTCGGCACGCTTCGAACTAGAGTATGGAAGGGGTCTCGTGGATTAGCAGCCATGTAACCTCTAGAAACACAGTAGTAGTAGTACATGAAGATAATCAGTCACCACTTCTTCATTTTTATTTTGAGAATCCAAAAAATGAAACACAAAATGAAAGTCTCAATTAGTGCTAAGAAACCCATTAACCTAGAGTGTACTCAGCATTGTCGTCCTACATTTACCAAAAAGCGGGCACAGAATCGGCCTTTGGCCACGATGGCTCAATATGGAACAACACATCAAAATGACTGGGTAAAAGGAAACAAGTTCCAACTCTAGTTTTTTTTTGGTCGTGCGTTCGAGTCCAACTATTATCAATTGAACAGACGGTCTTTTTCCCGCGGGTTTGCTGGTTTTAACTTTACTTTCGTCAGAGGCTTTGGCTTTTGTTGATACCTTATGGTGGTTGATGGATGGGTTTATGATGGATAACTAGTGCGGGGATAAGTAATTCTTACTAATGCGAATACTTGCATAACTGAATAATGCTCTCTTCAAGCAAAAGAATAAAACCCACTCAAGACAGTTGACTTCCTACCCAGAGTATGAATCTCTACCCCGTAAAATTCGGTACATTAGCATCAGTATATCCAATCCATGTGGCGTTCTCGAAGACGATCGACTGCTGAGGCAAATCCTTTGGCCCCGAAGATCCACCTGCCTTGCCCTGTTTATGGGGCATCTTACGTACATCTTGACGCGATATCTCTGCGTGGCTTTGTATGTGGATCCAGCAGGTTTGTACAGTCCTGCAGTGGTTCGATGCTGTGGATTACAAGATTTACTTACGTGTTGGGGAGGGCTGGTGGTGGGCGTGGGACTGTACCTCGCCTCGAGCAGTAGATGCAGGAACCTCGGGCTACTACGCAGGTGAGTGCTTAGCCAGCCTCCTGCCAGCCACCCTGAATCCTGGATTGGGTTGTAATGGGATAGGCGTACACTGCACGTACCCTACTCGGTACATGTGCTGACTAGTGGGCCTAGGTCTAGGTCTGGATACATGTGGCTTTTGACTGCTTATAGGCTACAGCTACTCCGTGGGTTTCCGTGGGTAGGTAGCGATGTTTATGGTGGTATCGAACTTGGAATTATGGTGTATATAGACTCGGTCGAGAGATGTAATAGACTATCTGTGGTATGCATTTGATTTGAAATGGGTAATATAGATTGTTCAATGTGTTGGCAGTATTAATTAAATGGAACTGTAGAAAGTAGACGTGTCAGCTGACATATATATACCCTATGAATGTTTATTATACTCCGTATAGAGTTTTGATATACCGTACAAATTGTTATTCAATAGACTTTGCGAGGATTATCGATCTATCAATGAGTGGATCATTCCCATCGATCCGTGCCAGTAGATATAGATATGTAGAGAAAGGATTGATGAGTCGGCTATATATTTTACTTCACTGGGGGGAGAGGCGGCCGCAATTCCCACCACATGAACGATACCACCTCTACCCGTGAGCCAAAGCAATGAAAACCAAGCCTGAAAGTGTCTAGAACCAATGTGCGCATACTGTACAATGTACTCCATAGATACCTACACATGTTCTGAAACCCGTCAGACACAACACGAACACATGCACCATCCAAAGTCTTGGCTCAGCTGTTCCCGTTTGTTGGAAGTTCTCGGCGGGTGGATCACATTTTCTGGACAGTTCTGTGGGTACTGTTCGACCGAGCATGAATTTATCTACTCCGTAGTCCGTACATACTGAAGATGATATCATTCGATCGTGGCGATCGATGCATCACCGATTATCCAAGGGCGATCGGTCTATCTGTCGAGGGTAGCCGCCGGTGTGGGTTGAATTTTACCTATCTTTTCAATCGGGCGGATAGGTGATTGGGGCAAACCCTGTTCGTAGGTGGAATTACCTCATTGTGCATTGTTCCTACATGTGGAGTACGAGGGATAAAAACTCTTCTTCCCTTCTATTAAGTTTTCAGACAGGGCGCTGGAGATTAGCGGAAATTTTCGATTCTCTGGCGGATAGATCACTTTCCACAACTGGTCGGACGACTTCCGTAGGATAATACTACCCAATATCCACGATATATAAGAAAAAACCACTCCATACTATAATCTAAATTAAATACGGAGTGCCAACCAGCTGCTAGACCGCACCAACCCAACGACCCAAACAAATCACAATCCAGGAACGAGATGACGGGACAGAAACTCAGGTCCCGTCTCCAAAGCTAACGGTCGGACTGGACAAATCATTGTGGAGGCGAAAAGCCCGATTCAGGCTCCAGGGATGCTGATAGGTCAGGTAGTGCCGCCTTCGAAGGGTTGTTCGGCACCTAAGGTACTTGGGAGTGGTCCATTTCTATCGTCTTATAGGAGGCTCCGATGCGGGGGCTCAACAATGGAACAGGAAATCAACCTGAAACGTCAGCCACGGAGGGCCGATCGAAGTTTTCCTCCTTGGTGTCTGGTTGGTGGCGCCGACGGCGTGGCTTTTGTGGAGTGGAGCGTGGCGTTGGGGATGGATTGGATACCACCATGGCATTCCATTCATTTAATTCTTTGATTGTATGCGTTTCTGTCACATTGTTGGTCATTTGATCAGTTATATTATAGGATGAAGGGTGGTAAGTTGGACAAGATTGATATTGATTTCAATGCCTTTGTAAGTTTGTATAACCTAACGAGGGATAATGTATGAAGAACCGGGTACGGAGTACTCCGTACAGAGTTCCCCACTGTCTCACCGCAGTCAACCCTCGGTTCCGTTCCAGGCCTTTGCCATTGTTCCCCCCTGGTTACAGCGCGGAGAGATCCGAACGGAACCAAGGCGAGCGAGAGGCTGGAAGACATCAGCTGAAGTCAAGTATAAACATGGACGCAGTATGATGTACATACGTGTCTGTGTGTGAGTGTACCTTACAGACCGTCCCTTGATTCCCAACCGGCGTCCGGCGTCCGGCGCCCCCGTCCCTTACAGCATCAGAGTTCTATTTTGAACGTCTGTTCCTGGATTTACAGTCCGAGTGGCTCAGTCTTGCCCATGTCTCGCAACCTTCGCCACAATCCCGGGTCCCGTCGGGGAATTAATTACAATTACGGGCGGAGGGCTTGCGGCGGTACGGAAGGTGACAACGTTCTTCTCAATCCTGACAAGACGCCTCGTACGGAGTCGATGTGGATAGTAACTATCTCTGACGAGTGCGATTTGGCCACCCCATTGGGACCAGAGCCCCAGGGCTAGATGGAGGCCTGACGTTGGACCTGACTCGACGGGTCCAGCTGGCGGTGGATGAGATCGACTCATTGGGGGCATTTTCCTGTACCGGATGGATACGTATTCGAGTGGAAATTATACTCTGGAGGATGGTTAGCGTTGTCCACAGTGCGTTGATCAGTCGGTACCTTGGGCTGGTTGTAACATTGTTCTGGTTATATGGAATATGGATTGTACGGAGTAACTTTGATTGATCTCATCTTCTTTTCCTTCTTTTCTTCCTTTTCTTCTTTACTTTCTTTCTTAATTTCTCTCCTAATATTATCATTATTATTCCTTTCTTTTTCAAATATTGCAATCCTCGGACCAGCGTGGCACTGCATCCCTGATTGGCGGTGGATCCGCTGAGGATGCCGTCCCGCGGCGCCAATCGAGCCTGGATCAGCCAATCCCTTGCGCTATCCCGTCCGCCTGTGTTGACTACTACTTACTTAGCGATGTTCATCGGTCTATCAATCCAACAATAGTTGTGTAGAAAAGAGGAGTACGAAGCGGAGTAAAGGAGAAAGAAAGAGAAGATAATGAGTATAGAATGAATCAATAATAGGGATACTAGCTAGGCAATCTCAATACGAAAATCAATATACAATTTATATAAATAAACTCGCGATATCTCTGTCTGGTATGGATCCTCTGTTAGCGGTTTCACATCGCTTGACTAGAGGCCATACAAGCATTGGCCTGCCTGCGCTGCCTGGTGAATGGTCCATGAATGGTCCCATCGGGGATCCATCACTCTCTTCTCTGCTGTCACTGTCCCCCTCTCCACACACACCTCCCTGCATCTCCTCCTTTTTTCCTATTTTTTATTTTATTTTTATTTTCATTTTTATAGTTTTAGTTTTAAAAGATCCATTTGGGTTTTGGGCTTTTTCTCTCCTCGGTAAAGCCTGGAAAAAATAAAATCTTAATACCAGTAAATCAGAGTCCCCCTGACTCTATATAATCCCAACCCCCTCCCCGCTACTCATCCTCGGCGCTTCCTTTGCTTCCTTCTTCCTATCCACGCTGGTGCGTTTCAGTCCTTCTTGCAGGTTCGCTTTTTGCTGTTTGACTCCGTTACAGGCCAGTTCCTGTTAACTCATTGCTTCATTCATTTTCTTGGCTGTTCAAGTGATCTTGTCTATTGTCCATTCCTTGCAATCTTCATTGTTAAGCCTTTTGTCCGGAACAATAAAGAACGTTCCCCCCCAGACAATCAACGGTCACTCATTCCATTGAGACTGTCCTTTCAACAATAAAAGGTATTGTACTCTCTTCCTTTGTGTGGATCTATATCGTCGGTCCGATGGGACCGTCCTCTCATTCAGATCTCCACGACTATATATCCTCGGCTTCACCACTACGGCCACCATCTTTCCTTTCAACCTATATGCTAACTCCATACCTACTAGCTCTTGCTCAGCCATTACCACCGTCCTTGTTCTCTGATCCGTCTGGTACGATCAGAACTTGACATCTCATTCTCTTCAACTGTTAAACAGTTTCTCGTTTTTTTTTTGCGAATCTCTCCAACTGCACCAATAAAAAACACAAAATACATCCGGCAGAATGTTCTTCAAGACTGGTCTTACCGCCGTTCTGCTCGGCGCTTCCGCCGCCAATGCTCACATGATCATGGCCAAGCCCGCTCCCTACGGCGCGGCCACCCTCAACAACTCGCCTTTGCTGGCCGATGGCAGCGACTTCCCCTGCAAGCAGCGCAGCGGTGTCTACGATGCCCCCGATGAGGAGACCGTCGCCCAGATCGGCCAGTCCATGCCCCTGAGCTTCACCGGTACCGCTGTCCACGGTGGTGGTTCCTGCCAGGTCAGTCTGACCAAGGACCTCAAGCCCACCAAGGACTCCGAGTGGATGGTCATCAAGTCCATCGAGGGCGGCTGCCCCGCCAACGTGGACGGCAACCTCCCCGAGGGCGGCGCCAGCCCCGAAAGCTCGCTGTCCTACAAGATCCCCGAGGGTATCGAAGAGGGCAAGTACACCCTCGCCTGGACCTGGTTCAACCGCGTCGGCAACCGTGAGATGTACATGAACTGCGCCCCCATCACCGTCGAGGGCGGCAGCTCCTCCAAGCGCGATGTCGAGGAGAAGCGCGACGTCGAGAAGCGCTCTACCAACTTCCCCTCCATGTTCGTCGCCAACGTCAACGGCTGCACCACCAAGGAGAGCGTCGACATCCGCTTCCCCAACCCCGGCGAGGACGTCGACCGTGTCGGCAGCGCCGGCAACCTCGCGTCCGAGGGCGACGACGCCTGCAGCGGCACTCCTTCCTTCGGCGGCGCTGGCACCAAGAAGGGCTCTTCCAGCTCCGGTGGTTCCAGCGGTGGCTCCTCCGACTCCGGCAGCGCTCCCGAGCCCACCAAGCCCAGCGGTGGTGCGACCGAGGCTCCCGCTCCTGGCGTCTTTGCTCCCACCGACCCTGCCACGAGCACCCCTACCGCCCCCACTGAGCCCGCCGAGCCCGCTCAGCCCGAGCCTTCCGCCACGACCCCTCCCGCCGAGGCCTCCTCCGAGGGCAGCCTCACCGGCGCCTGTGACGAAGAGGGCCTCTGGAACTGCATCGACGGCTCCTCCTTCCAGCGCTGCGCCTCCGGCCAATGGTCGGAAGTGCAGGCCATGGCCGCCGGCACCCAGTGCCAGGCCGGGCAGACGCAGAACCTGTCCGTGACGGCCCTCAAGCCCCGGATGCTCTCCGCGATGCGTCACGCCCGACGTGCTCATGGAGGCCACCACGCGTAAGCGTCCACCTCTTATCTCTCTTCCCTCCTCTCTCTCCCGCCGGTCGGGAGGACGAGGGGGAGAGAGGAGTCAACTTGGCCTTTTTGACGACGTCTTGATTTCTTCGTTTCCTGTCGCGGAGCATCGGGCCGGCTTTGTGAGGGACTTTTCTTGAGCTTCATTCTCTTCTGTATGTACATTTTTATTTAGCCGTGTGATCTTTGGGGATGGAATAGGAAGAGAATAGATCTGAGTGAACATTATCAATACGGTGTTTGTAGTTAGTAGGTGTGTAGTTGTCTGTAGGTTACTAGGATATAAGTACAGGATTGAGATATGGAACTGCATTATTTTCACTGGCACTTGTAAGATTTGCACATGTATGGATCTACCGTCAGGACTAGCCATGTCTGTCTATCTAAACAGCCCGTCCATGTCGATAAACAACAAAGTATGGATGTTGACTGAGTTCTGAGCAAGGCGGTATCACACGGCAGTAATATATTACATAATCCATGCCAAGACACGTGAGGCCTCTCTCGGTAGCCTAAGCTCAAAGTAGTAATCAGGGTTTAGGGCAATCTTGGAACCCACCAAGCCAACACTAGGCGAAAATTTTCGCACCCGCACCTGGTGAGCTTCGATCTTCAATCCCTGAATAACGACGACATCGACCACCCTCACACCCGTCGACACGACAAAAATGGCGTCTCGTCCTACCGTCTCCATCGCCACGGCTGAGGGTAAGCCCAGCGGGGCTACCGCTACCCTGCCGGCTGTTTTCAATGCGCCTATCCGCCCGGATATTGTCCAGTACGTTGGGGGAATTCGATGGAGATGAGGAATGAGAGGAATCGAAGGGGAGGTGAGGCTAATGGGTTTTACAGGCAGGTGCACACCGGCATGGCCAAGAACAAGAGACAGCCCTATGCTGTGAGCGAGAAGGCTGGTGAACAGACCTCTGCTGAGTCTTGGGGTACCGGTATGTTGAAAAATTTGGATTGAAGGACTTGAATTGGAGATTGATTTTTCATTTTTCAGGTCGCGCTGTCGCTCGTATCCCTCGTGTCTCCGGTGGTGGTACTCACCGTGCCGGTCAGGCTGCCTTCGGTAACCAGTGCCGTTCCGGTCGCATGTTCGCTCCCACCAAGGTGTGGCGCAAGTGGCACCAGAAGATCAACGTGAACCAGAGGTATATTCAATCTCAGAGAAGGGGAAAGTTAGATGATGGAAGATGTTGACTGGAAAACAGACGCTTTGCTACCGCCTCCGCTCTGGCCGCTTCTTCCGTCCCCGCGCTCCTGTTCGCCCGCGGTCACCGCGTCGCCAACATCCCCGAGGTCCCCCTGGTCGTTGACTCCAAGACCTTCGAGGGTGCCGCCCTCACCAAGACCAAGGCCGCCATCGCTCTCCTGCAGGCCCTTGGCGCCGGCGCCGAGCTGGTCAAGGTCAACAAGTCCAAGAAGACCCGCGCCGGTAAGGGTAAGCTGCGTAACCGCCGCCACCGCCAGCGCCGCGGCCCCCTGGTCGTCTACAACCCCGAGACCGACGGCAAGGAGCTCGTCCGCGCCTTCCGCAACATCCCCGGTGTTGAGACCTGCGACGTCTTCGCCCTGAACCTGCTCCAGCTCGCCCCCGGTGGCCACCTCGGCCGCTTCGTCGTCTGGTCCTCCTCCGCCTTCCAGGCCCTCGACCAGATCTACGGCACCACCACCACCCCGTCCGCCCTCAAGAAGGACTTCTACCTGCCCTCCAACCTGGTCGCCAACGCCGACATCAGCCGTCTGATCAACTCCTCCGAGGTTCAGTCCGTGCTCCGCGCCCCCAAGGGCGAGGCCCGCACCAAGCGCGTCTCCGTCCAGAAGAAGAACCCCCTCCGCAACAAGCAGGTCATGCTCCGCCTCAACCCCTACGCTGCTGCTTTCTCCAAGGAGAAGCTCGGCCAGAAGCCCTCCGGTGGCTCCCAGGGCGCTGCCTCCAAGGACTTCATCGCCACTCTGCACCAGAACTAGGGTTTCTCTCCATCGTGTTGGGTCGGTTAGTGACGAGATAGGGTTTATTTAAAAATGTTTAGCCGAAGCAAATGAATAATTTGCATACAGCTGTAATGATACCATGTGATTTTATATCTGTAGCAGTGTAGCAACAGTATATCCGTAGTTTACTACTCTACATTTCTTTGGTTATGACCAGGACCCTACCTATTGTCCTGCACAATATCAGGTAATCTTGCTAAGACAGGTAGATAGGATGTGAATTAGAATTGAGAAGAAAACACGCAACCGGTCAGCATTCAGCTGACTTGCGGTGATTACCACAAATCGTCATCATAACTCTTCATATTCGCAACTATCTACAATCAACATTCTATAGCTAAGACTCATCAACAGCGATACCATTAATATATTGACCGTTTAAACCATCAGCCCTCGCACAATCAAGACCAGGAACCCACCCACCAACCAATCCGGACTAACAACAGATAATTCACAGTTCCAACCTACCTACCTACCTAATAAGCCAATGTGTACATGAGTCGACAGTAAACACAGCAAGAACAACAAAACAACAAAACACCAGAATAATAATATTATTATTAATAAGAATACTCTATTAATCTTAGTAACAGTAAAGCCAAAAAAAAAAAAAAAAAAAAAAAAAAAAAAACAAAACGGAGTCCGACTCTGGAAACCAACACGGCCGTTTCTCCGTCTTCACTCCGTCTTGGGGTACAATACATATTTAGTACCTAAGTAGTAGGCATGATCAATGCTCAATTGGGGCGTTTGGTTGTTCCCCGCATACTGGCACTAGGTTAGGTACGTAGGATATAGTTACAAATTCGCGTAAAATGTCCGATTGGCGATTGTATGTATCTAGATCTTATCTACTCGGGAGTAACCGAGTGCGAATATATCATATTATATCATGTAAAGTGGGATGAATAAATAGATGTATAAAAGTAAAGAAAAAGGTACACTACACCCATCCGCGGAGTTAGCAGCAGCAGTAATTAGTAGCAGTGACTAATGGCTGACAGAGTCAATCAATCAAACCCCAAGGAATCAGGAAGATGATTAGTTGGGGAGGAGTGAAGAGGGGGTATAAGACCGCTCGCTATACATACCCAAAACAGTTAAAGGGGAGGGAGGGAGGGAGAGCCGGGGAACGGAGAAAGTAAGTCAGAGGAAGTAATATAATATAAGGTAGTACGTGCCCTACTCCCCGAGGACGCCGAGTCCAACGTAAGTGGTGGTGAATTGGGTTAATTTGTTTGGATGAGGATGATTGTATTTGGGGACTATTAGCCGGGGGCGGCTGATCGGATCAAGGGATCGTCGGCCTATCTGTGTTTTGGATTGTTTGTGTAGGGGTAGGGATGATGTGGTGGTAGTCTAGTAGGTGGTATTTAGGTTATAGAGAGATATTAGGTGGATGGATGGATGGTTGACTAGGGTAGATCTTGGGACATGGTAGGTAGGTACTAGGTAGGTAGTAGTTACGTTGCAGTGTATTTATATAGATTTAGGTGGTATATGTGTAGTGCATGCATGTATATTGATGTTTGTCTACAAAATGCTTCGTACTATTGTTGTCCATGGATCAACAATGGAGAATGGATAATATAGGATAATGAGGGTAAATAAGATACTACCCAATACTGACACTTGGTATATACTACTTATTGCTACCACCCACGGAGTACTACAGCACTAGGTACTACCACCCAACGGCCAGGATCGCCAGTAAGTAGGTAGATCCTACCTCCCACTCACCGGCTCTTAACACGGCATCGGTTCCGTCGCGGATGTATCGTTGTCTTGGCTGGGCGGCTGTTTTAGATTGCTCTAGAGAGTGTAAGCCACTGTTTGAACCGTTGGGAGTATAATATATGCATTATACGCAGTAGTCCACTTCAATCGCCATCGTATATATTACATTTACATCCATGTAGTCCGGAGTGAGAATACTACCTATATAGCATTCAACACATGCCACAGACCTACATCAGTAAATAGAACTCCCGTGTCTCGGATTAATTAACCACCAACCTAGTTTAAAGCTAGAGGATCCCAGTACCGCGCCTAGGGTAAATACATCCAGTCGGGGCAATCTGCCAGGGGCGGTGTTGGTTGGCGTTGCATTGAATCTAGATCTTAACCTGGTTAGTGTCTATCTGGCTGATGTAGTGTATATGGATGATATATGTATACTTGGGTAGGTCCTAGGCAAGTGTCCGTCTTGTACATGCCGAACCGACCCTCGGTTAATACGCTCCGGTGTATATATTCCGGTTGATCATGGCTATGCGGTAGTCTGCTAGAATTGTATTATAATAGCAGTCGCTGATAAGGTCTACCCTTGGATGTTGTTCCTGCCGGGCACTCACTCACTCACTCACTCTACCGTCCTATAGCAGATATACTATACCTAGCACAGCCATGCAACTCCACCACGCCCAGACACACAGACCAGTCGTATCCGCAGCAAGTCATCAAGCACACCTGAAACATCCACTCCCGAATGCAAGCAGCGGTTAGAGTTTAGCGGACGAACGTCGGAATATTAATGGGATCCGCAACAACTCCCACTGCGGAGGGAACAGCATCCCGGCGCCGGGCGGACGGGGCAGGGTTCGGTCGTCGCTTATGCAAGGCCAGGAGCTGTTTGCTTTTGCCTTCCGACACGGATGCCGTTCAGCCTCTGCTGCTTTTGGCAATTGTACGGTGGGGTATTGTTGTGGGTGGATGGGTGGATGGATGAATGCCCGAGATGTGGGATTATGTGTCTTGTATGGTAGGGATTCGTAGGGTTTGTTTCTCCGCGTTGGTTCCTCCTGGATGGGCGGAGCTGGTCCTTGCGTTGTTGTGTCTAGACTTGGTCTTTGCGTTGTTGTGCCTGGCTTGCGTATGTTGACGGAGGTCATGTCGTTTTCGTATTTGAGGTTGGTCTAGGTTGGCATGGTAGGTATAGTTGAGGACGTACTGAGAAGGGTCCTTGCGTGAGGTGTTCCGTCTGTCCAATGACTTTGAGATATGGTAGATGCATCGTGGCGTTGTCATATGCTTCTTATGCTAGACTTGAGACAACACCTAGGTAAGGTACCTGGTTAGTTGTTTGTATAGGAAGGCAGTGATTGCGATCTATTAAGAATGTCACTGGACTGTAAACAACGTCGATATTGGACAAGCAGCACCTACGTACAACCTCTTCCACACCAATAGCATGCTTCTATGGATATTCATGAGTACCATAAAATTATATCATTCGGTGACTTTCCTCAGAGAACGATAAAGCCCCGGGTGAGACCTGGTTCTGTCTATGGATCAAGTTGGCCATGAATGTATATGATTTGGTCTTTTTTTCTTCTAAAAAATGCCATGAGAACTCCAGCATAGTAAAGCACAGGTCAGCCTCACTCTTCTCCAACTGCCACCTCCGGCAGCACACACCGTAACATGATAACTAGACAAGACACCGATTCACAAACACATCAAACATAAACAATACACTCTCACCTGTGCAGTACCAGGAAAGTATTTCTCCCAACCAGTCCCTACTCAGGACAAACAAAGCCCAACAAACTCCGCCCACTCCTAACTCGCAGATCTGCAGGTACCGCCGTTGATGGAATTTTCCAGCAGACTCACCAGTCACCACGACATGTGACGATACCCACCTACGTGCCTATCCAGTCTCCACCCATCATCCACTGAAGGATCCAACACGTAGCCGTGTGCATAAGTACCTACCTACCTACCTACCTACCTAGATACTATTCCTTCTCTTCCTGCTACCCACGGTACTATATCCTCCTAGGCTCATGGACGAGCCATCGGCATTACACCGTTAGTCCCCGGCACTCCACCGCATCCAACGATAATCCACAGGCGGTCAGGAGCCAAGTCTATAGCTGTGGCGATCATAGCACGGACGGTGGACACTCGGTATTGGTGGTGGTGGTAGTAGTCGTTGGGGAGCCGTTTGGACTTGTTTCTTATAGCCTGCGCGTGCCGAGGAACTGTTTCGAAAGATATTTGTTTGAATAGTACAGAGTAATATGTACTGTAGTTGGATGCATGCTACCAATTCCATACCATATACTCTTGGTAAAGGACATACAAACCGGACTAAGACCAAGACTAGACCACCCCGACGGGTGAGATCGTCTCCTCCCCGCTCCACTTGGGGAGACAGGCTGACCCGGTCATATGAAAGTGGAGAGGCGGACAATTGCAATTGCCAAAAGCCAATTTGCCACCTGCGTTACTGGGGGGATTTATAATTATTATAGTTACTAACCTACCTCCCAAGTAAGCTGTCTGCCTTGTAGGTTAGGTAGTACCTAGATGGTTGGCTTAGCGAGATCCGTCGGTGGTATTGAATTGTAGGTAGTAGTAACTTAGTTAAGGTAGTAGGGTTGACGTTATTAATTGCATCTGGCGTCATGGCGTAGTAGATTAATTTAACCAATTCCATTGTTAGAAACAATGCATCTCCTAAGCGAAGGTACTAACCAACTAAATAATCAACTAACTTCCCTGTTGCATAAAGTACCAACCAAAGTACTCCGTACATACTCCGTTCCCGCCAACTAGGTATTCAGGATGGTTAATGATGATATACGGAGTACTGCTGCACCAGACAGGAGACGAGACGATCACCGCCCGATCCCGAGGGTTGACTCGGCTGCGCTGCATCTGGGATCAATCCGGAAATAATTTACCGTTTGTTTTATTTGATTTCATTTTATTTTATCTCTTGGAATGGGTTTTGTTTAGTCTAGATCTTTGGGACGGGGATAGCCGAGGTTCGCTGTTTTTCTTTACCTTCTCTTTTTCGCATCGTGGGATTGATTTCTTTGGGTTTATTTATTTATTTTGTTGAAACGTGGATTGAATCATTTTGAAGAGATATGCATAACCTAATTCCTGATTCACCGGTAAATAGGGGTACTGATGATAGAGACGGTTAAGAAGTATAAGCTATGAGATTAATTGCACATGCCAGGTCAGTGCTCGATCACGGACTGCCGATGCCGCAGCTCATGTCAATCACTCTATTTACCATCTAATTAGAGGATTTACAAGCCAGGTGTTCAGAAGATAGAT